ACAGGTGTGGCTTTCAAGAAAGCTATCTATTATTTTTTGGAACCTTCATCACATTTTTGAAAACATTGAAGAAACAAACTTCAATGAATTAAAGCGGCTGTATAAATAAAAGTAAAGACTCTGCATTGGAGAATAATAAACTATTTGCTTTCTGTAAAACAAGTGGCAGTCATGATAAAGTGTCTGTTCAACACAAATGTAAATATAAGAAATAAAGTGTTGAAAGGGTATGCAGCTGCCCTGGTATAGTGCCAGTACAAGACTAGTGCTTAAAACTAGAAAAATGAATAAATAAATACGTGGCTGAAGTGTGTTCATCTCTGTGCTCACCCAAAGTCGTGCAACACTCACAGAAAACGCCGATGGTGTGAGCCAAAGCACTCCATATGAAGAGGTTGTTCACATTGCTGGATGTTTCTCCTCCAAAGCTGCTCTCTGCATCCGTCCTTGTTTACTTTCCTCATGAAGCACGTAGCAAGATCCGAGCATGAATTCGCGCGCTTTATCCGCCTATCAGGGGCAGATAGGTGTGATGATTTGATTCGCCACGACTCCAGAAATGATTAAAAAACTACAGAATGTCACAAAATGACGTATGCGCGCTCCAAACTTGAAGGGTAGAAATGCGCAGCCGCGCTCCCTGCTGACAGGAAGTCAAACCACTGTTGTAGTTCTTTTGTGTTGCTAGCGCGGTCAAGAGTGTTGGCTCTCACTGAGAGATGACTACAAAAATGGACGCATCTGTTCATCTGGTTGTTTAACACGGCTGAAAATGATCATCTATTAATGTTGTTCCCGCTCCCGTTGCTTTTTTTCCCGTCCCGTCCTGATCACGGGATTTATTAAAAAATGACTCCCATCCCGTGGGATTCCCGCGGGAATCACGTGACCCACGGGAATTCCCGAAAAATGTCATCCTCTAGTCCACACAGAGCAGAATAACAAACAAACATGGCGGAAGGTAATGAAGAGGACATTTCTGAGCAGCTGGTTACTGAACGAGGCTCCACATGAGGAATTTCCTTCAAGATTGGATTTAGACGAGTCCACTCCGGTGTGCCTGACATTGGGCAGTCAATCTGCTGCTGTTCACTCTGTGCAGTAAGTTTTCAACAAATGTTGAAAATGTTTAGACATTTGAGACTTGTTTGATGTCATTAGTTTTTCTCCATAACCTACCACTTAAACTATCCTATTTGACTACTCCATCTGGTGCTCTCAAGACAAAAGGGGACAAATTATAAATTGGAATTATAATATTTTTTAGTAGGACTTTTAATGTTGTTGCCAGAATGGCAAATCTTATCATGATACATTTTTTAGTCATTATCACCCATCCCTGTTGCCTGCTAGCCAAATATGATGCAGTTTTAAATGTTCTGCCATCTTCACCCATGTGTAATCTGCAGCTTTGAGTTCAGAAAAGTTATGTTTTCTGGATAATCAGTGTAAAATGTGTGATACTATAAGCTACAGAGAACAAAGTCACGTTTGTCAAATGCTTGGAGCTGATTTGACAAACATTGTGAGTGACTGGAAGATGTTGCATTGCATTGCAATGCGGCAAAGATAAACTGAGCTCAACTACTGCAAACTGAACAGTATCCCCCCAGCAAAGCTCAAGCAGTGGTCTGATTGAAAAATACAAGGAGGCTGCTCTCTGTGGCGCAGTGCTTCTGCTGCAGCTGCTGGTCTGAACACGGCCTATAGCAGAACAGAAAGAGCGGTTTGTGTTTAACCTTGGTCTCAATGTCACTCACCAGCCTCATGCTTTTCCTCAGCACCCCCCCCCCCACCCATCTCACAACACCACCATCAGCAGCCCCCTCCCTCAGCTGGTGTGTTTGAGCTTCTCAGCAGGGGGCCTGCAGTTCCAGAGATATGTGGGGGTGGTGTGTGCGTCAATGCGTGTGGGTGTGCATATGTGTGTGTATTTGTGCAGAGACGTGTGTGTAGCCTTTCGGCTTCTCCCTGGATGTGCTAATGTGATAATTGAGTATTCCAAGTTCTGCCGGCAACTGTGTTGCCACACACACACACACAAACACATTCACACACTTAAACATCACAGCTGGTTTGTCTCAGAATAGCTTCCTCTCTTCTTGATGACATTCTTCTTCAGCTTGACTTGTGTTGAGTAGTTAGTGATAACACACGCATGGATTAATCCACACTTCATTTGTTGCTTTTGCGCTTTAGATGTGTTTGTCGCATCATCTCAAACATGTAGATTCAGCCGTCCCTTTTTTTTCCCATGACATTTCTGTATAAGACCCTGAAGCCAAAACATGTGACTAGACTGTCAAATGGTCACTCGATAAATATTCATGTAAATTTATGTTTCATAAAATGGTGAAATCTTCTATTCGAACGTGGTATCAGTATTTTAAATGCTATGACTATAAAACAGAGGAGTCAAAGAGAGTGAAAGCACAGTTAAATGAAGATTGGTTGCTTACAAATAGAGCATGATGCACTCTTTCACTCCTCTTCTCCCATCTTCATGCACTGTCTCTCTCTGTCTCTCTCTCTGCAGGAAGATGAAGCAGATAGTTGTCTCAAGAATCCCTTTAAAGGAGCCACCAGAGTGCCGGGGGACCAGTGAGCAGCATCCAGAGACCGACTCTAGTCCCAGGCCCGGAGTCTGAGGAGCTGCGAACTGAGGAGCTGTTGCGCTCAGAAGCCAGTAGGTCATAGCTGTTCTGCGAGGCTTCGGGCGAACACATCACAGACAAACCAGAAAGGCACTCTCTGGCTTTCAATATTGATCACTTCTCACACATTTCCACACACAAAACACACACACACACCACATGTTAGAGAAATCAATGAACAGACAAATTTACACTGGCTGTGATTCAAGTAATTCTGGTAGCATCTGTGTTCTTTGCATCTGTGTGAGATGGAGTGTATATGCATGACTGAGAACACAAGAGGAGAGAGTCTGAAAGTTGGATCAGGAAAGTTCTGTGTGGAGATTTTCAGAAAACGGTTCAAGGGGGGAAGACTATATAGTAAGGAGGAGAGGAGGCGTAGAGGAGGCGTTGACGAGGCGTTGTCGGAAGGAGAAGAGAGGAGGGGATTAGGGTTGGCGGTTCGCTGTCGAACCAGCATCGATACAACGGCGGCATTTGCCTAATCCCCTGGTAATGGGAGCTTAGCAGCCTCCTCGGACACACAAACACTCCCACTGCCTCCACCTCCGCTCTGCTCCTCTCTTCTCCTTTCCTGCCCTCTTCCCTCCTCATTTACATAACATTAGAAACATTAAGGCGGCTCCAACAAGGCCCTATTATGTGCGTGTTGGTTTTGGGTCCCAGTGCGTCGGCTCCGGGGCTTTGGAGAGGAGAGGAGCAGAATGAGTCAGGACATCACAGAGGCTTGTCCACTGTTTTGTCTGCTGGAGATGGTATGTGTGCCTCCAAAGGACTTTTTGAAAGGAGAAAAAGACAGAGAGAAAGTGATAAATGATTTGCTGAGAGTCTCGAGCTAGTGATGTGATTACAGATGTGCACACGAAACAGCAGCAAAAATCCAGAATGAAATGTTACGATTGGTGCCGTCTGCTCCGTCTGATAACTCATCTGTCTGAGAACACAAAAAAACACCACAACAGTAATGTTTCACCAAAAACCTTCATGGTGCAAGACGTGTTTCTGAAAACCTGAAGTTCAGGTATCAGAGTGAGGGATCACACTAGTCTGTTTGTTACATGTGCAGATCTCATAAAACGTCTTAGTTAACTATGTAGAGGATCTGTGAGTCAGCTTTTAGGTGCTGGCGTCAAGTTTTGTATCGATTAACGTGATAACATCTTGTGCAAAAATGCTGCAAAAGGTCTATATTTGAAATCAAAGAGAAATTTAAGAGAATTTAAGATTACAAACTTGTTGATCCACAGCTACCGCATGCTGTGATAAAAAAGAAACAGACCTATAAAATTTTCTTTTCATCATAAAAAGAACAGAAATCTTTACTGTGACGCACTCCGCTCCAAATTGATGTGTGTATTTAAAAAGCCTAATGATGAGAGGATGATTTAGACAAAATGAAATAAAAGATAACAGGATCAGGATCTACCTGAAATAGCTTTAAATAATCGGACTGGGTGAATGTTTTCTGTGACTCCTGATGATGGTCAGAAACAGGCGTGGCCCCCCAAGACCCCAGAAGAACATTTTCTTTATCAAGTGGACTCATTTTGAAAGTGAAACCAGGCCCACAGGAGGATCTTCTGTTTTCTACATGTTTGTTTGTGAGGTTAGAGTGGAAACATTTCACAGACACATCCAGTAAATAATACAAGTGAACTTGAGACTATCAATACGCAAACTGGTAATTTCCACATATCTGTTAATTCCCTATTTAAACCATTATATATGCAAGTGAATTTGAACCAGTTAGATCATAATAAAATGGTGCAAATGAATACACGGTGGGATCATCAGCCAACTAAAAAGAGATCGCTCATATTGCTCATGTTTTGGCTGAGATCGCTCAGCCAGCTTTGGAGTTAAATAGCAGGCAGGGTTTTTTTTTTTTTTAGATCAAAAAAGAATAAATTTCTTATATGAATAAGCTTAAATGTCACATGTACCTGCAAAATCTAAAATTTAACTACCAAAACAAAAGATGCAGTGTGATTTATGAGTCATTGTGTCGTGTTAATTTTGGAAAAAAAATAAAAACATTAAAATGTTTGGTTTGATCTCTAAAAATTACTGTATTTTTGAGTTTAATAAATTTGAAATGTGTCTGTAATTTAGAATCAAATAGACTAAAACACAGACATGCAAACTGCAGTGTCTCAGCACTGACCACATGTCCAGACCTTACATATAAGGCGACAAACAGCCTGAAATTAATCATCAAACCATAAAAAAACAAATCTCTTAACCACACACCAGTCGAGGAGGAATAGCCACAGTGCTCAGTGTTTCTGCTTTTTATAACTTTCCTCTCTTCCTCGCTTTCATTTAGTCCCATAAAGCTGAGTTTTCGCTTGGCTTCAAAGCTCTGTGCCGAGCTCAGTTGGGGGCCTTCAAAGCCCCCTGTCTGTCGGCAGGTTTAGGCACAGAGAAAGCTTCTTGTTCTTTAAGGATTTGGCTCACAAATAACGCCCGGCCAGGGCCAAGGCAGCTAGGCTGCACCCTGACAGGATGGTGGACAGACATTTTAGTGATGTGTTTTGGGGTCTATTTCTGCATCTATCTGAGTGAGTACTGGCTCTGTTTGGTTTGTTCCTCTCTCTTCTTATGGTTCGTCTGCTGTCTTCTTCTCTTAAGAAATGTGGTTTTCCTGTAAGAATATTTTTGTGACCATTTAAAGTTACTCTTGAGGTTTTCTCTTTACCAAAGGAAAACATCTCAGATAGTTTTGGGATCTTCTTTTTGCATTATTATTTAATGAAGTAATAGACCTGCTGAAAAATATTAAATTTGTAATTCTAAATAAAACCATTGACTCACATTATGTTGCATTATCATTTTTCAGATTCAGTTTGATTACATCAATTCAAATAGTCTTTTTTGCTTTGTGGAGAGCAGTGCAACAGCAAAGGCCGACATTTTGATTTTTAGAGCGATGCTGGAGCTGCTTTACGTTCGTTTAATACAAAGCTTTGGACACAAAATTAAAAATCAGGCTTGAAAAGGTTTTTTTTATTTTTTATTTGTTCTAACAACGTAATACGACTGTTTTACTTTTTAAACCAAACAGTTTTTATTTCAGCAGATGTAGCACTTTGACGGATGCTGAGATTTGATTTCTGACAGCAGATTAGTTAAAAAGAAGAAGCCTACAATTCAGTGACACTCAAGCATATATCAGTGTTATTATTTTTTTTTACCCCTCGTGCCTTGGGGATTGTTTGAGTGGGAACTTGTTCAGAAACAAAACAACAGGTTCCCTAGCTGTATGCCACAAAAAGGGAGGAGACAGGAACTTTTCCTGGCCAATCATTGATCATTGTTGGTTAAAAGGTCTTAGCTGTGAGGTCTTATGGGGCAAAAAAAGGTCTGTTTAGCTGTTCATATTTATACAAACGAAGACAGAGAAAATATTTTTAGTCATGTTAATTTTGTACGTATTTGGATGAATACGCCAATGTATTCATATTTGCATATAGTGATCAGGTAATTGAGGTGCGCTGATGTTGCATGAGTTGATTTGTTCGTTTATTCATAGTTGTATTTTGAGCGGCTGATATGTCTGTGTTTTGGGATTTAAAAGAAATAACATTTTTGTCGAGTAGCGTAATTTTGAATTTTTGCCAGATAGCTTTTTGCAGAAGCTGGGAGAGGTTGTATGTATGTATGTGTGTGTGTGTGTGTGTGTGTCTGTGTGTCTGTGTTTGTGAGTTTCCATAGAGCTTAAGTGAGGTTATCTCAATATATGTAAGGTCACAATGTGTGTTTTTTTGACCATATGTTTATATAAAAGCACACATTCATAAGCGCACATGCACCGTGCATTTAATGACAATAAATGTTTGGCACACCAGAATTATTTAACACTCGCATTAATACACACACACACAGAGATAACGACTGGATACCAGGCACAATAACCTCCATTTGGACCACCTCTGCAGTGGGTGTTAGTATAGCAACAGGAAAAAAGGATTGTCAACCAGAAGTGTCTCGCAACATGTGCTCACAAGGCTGTTAAAAAAAACAAATAAGAATAAAGATAACAATAACAAATATTAACAGATGGTCAGAGATCCAGATCCAGATGTCCCTTGGCAATATTTACTGAGACAACAGCAGGCAAGGGCAGTTATAATTAAGTATGCATTAAGTTCAGCAATTGTGTTTCTTATTTGTTTTTGAGTTAATGTGCTTTATCAAAAACAACAAGTTATTGGCATTATATATATATGAGCATTATATTTTAGCAATTGATACATCTGCTCACTAATTATCAGCATCAATCTTTTGTCATGTCCATCAATGTCATAATTCTCATATCCCTGTAGCTTTGACCAAAACTTCCCTTGAAGGTGAGGCTGGACCTGGCTGTGTTTATACATAAATACACATGTATATCATCTTATTAAATATGGCTGAAAAATATCAATATGTGTACAATGTAGTTCATGTACGTGTGAATTTGTCACCGTTGACAGTGGGTGGGAAGATAATAAAATGTCTTCTGTAAATTTTAGGCTGTGAGACACGCTAAATCCTGCAGTATATTTACACACCGTTTATTTTGAATTAAAATCAAGTAGCTGTATTATGGCAGTGTTTAAACAGACCATCACATTCATAGCACATGAATAGTTTTCCTTTAACTGCACCTGTTCTGAAGTTCATCTCATTGTAGCATCAGTCTTGCTCTTTAGGCTGCTGAGGATCACAGGAATCACAGACACCATCGCCTTTTCTACAGCTGCTAGTATTGTGGCTCCCTTTGCACAAGTGCATCAGCTAAATGCCTAAATTGTCATTGTAAATGGTAGGCCTGCCCACATGTTAGCCCAATGGTCACAGCACTCTTAAGAAGCAGTGCTGAGAAGCTAGCGGGATGAGATCGAAACAGGCAGCCATTATAATCAGTCATTCAGCCTTTTGGAGTAGACATTCAGTGTTTGTGGTTTGTTCTAAATTCAAAGGGAACCTTTGTGACCTGCTGGCTTTCACATCAGCCTAAAAACACTCTGCTCTCCCCCCCGTTTTCTCCCCCTTCTTTTTTTTTTTCTTTTCTTCATCCCATCATTCCCTTAAACTTTCTCTCCTCCACTCCCACCAAGTCGAAACTTCTCTTCTCCATTTTAAACACACTCTCGGTCTTTTTGGTAAAATGCAACCAAAACCAGGCGCTTTAAAAGTCCCACTGAAGCTATGACCTGTGATTGCGTCATTAGTTAAAAATTTGTCACCGTCAATATTTGTTATAATGTTCATCATGTTTGTTTTCCTTCATAGTTTATGCATTTTTCTTTGTTGATTAATCCACAGTACTAACTGCAGACCTCCAGTTAGTCGTCATTAAACACCACGCTTAGTGGATCTGTTGATAAGATATGTTAGCGTTTTGTCTCTCAGTTATAGTTCTGTGCCTCTTCTTTTTGGTCAAGGTCAAACATTGTCAAGTGTATTTGATTGTTGTTTCTGTTGCTCATCTATATACATACGTGTCTCTTTTATTTTTGCTGTAATGTATAGATTCTGATAGAAAACCCTCTGAGATGGAGATGGGAGTTGTGCTCACAGCGTCCCCCTGTTCAAATTTAAATATGGACAGGGTTATGTGAGGAGAACTGTGGGTGGGTGCTTTTCTTGATTCTAACCAATGAGTGATTCCCAGGAGGACATTCTCAGAACTGAAGGCGGAGCTCGAAAAACCAAAATGAAGAAGTCGTGTTGCAACACCATTGCATTTTTGTTGATATTTAGCATTTACTGCGAAGGAACATTTCACTTTTTTTTCGTATTTTTGTCACCTTTGTAATTTCTAAAACCATTTTAGAGTTTGTGTGAAAACAGATTTCTCCTTTGATATAATACGATGGAAAATTAGGTTTATTGGCTCAAGATCATTCTTATTCACGGTCAGAGCAGAGGGGGGCAGGGAGGAGAGTCTTGCCCAGCAGAGGAAAGAGTGGCCGGTAGTATCATGAAAATATGGATGGAGACACAAACACTCGCAGTCAGAACAATTCACACCCCACCATCGCTGCCCTGACCTGTATATGTTTGGGCTGTGAGAGAAACGCTAGATAAACACAAGGTGGGAACATGCAAACAGCACACCAGAACGTAGTAAATGAGCTAACCACTGAGTCGCTGTGCCGCCCTGGTATCATTACTGTCACACCCTGTGTTTCTGTCCCACCTTTTCCTCCCTTCCCCATGTCTTTTTCTCTCTCTCAGCAGTGCAGGTATAGCCCGTGTGTATGTGTGTGCCACTTCTACAGCAAACTGTGGTTCTCAGCTCTCCACTGTGCTAATCATATTCTGGCAAGTTGTTAGCTGTTGCAGGCAAGAGGGAGGCAGGGATGGAGGGAGGGTGGGTGGGGGAGAGGATACGGGATGTGGTGGAATAGAAACAGTAGATGGGGAAAGAGGAGGTACATGTGGGTGGGGGGCTGAAGAAAGTGTGACAGAGGAGGAGATGGGAGGGTAGTGTGCTGTAATTAGCCAAGTTTTGCAGTGGTTTAACTCAGACACATTGTTGAGGTGTGTTGTTGAAGGATACCTGAATCTCTCTCCTGCTCTCTCTCGCTCTTTTTTTTGTCCCCTCACCCTCCCCTCTTGTCTGCGTCTCCCTCTCTACCTTTAAATAATGCAGTGTGAGAGATGGTTCTTACATACTGAGGGGGTGTCAGCAGACAGTTACCGAACCGTCAGCGCCATTGCACCTACCCAAATGACAAAACACATATGAGCACAACCACAACCACACACACACACACACACACACACACACACATACTCCTGTCATCTCTGGTTAGTGTGCAGGTAAACTCTGCGGCACAGAGAGGATAATTAGACGGGCTCATACTGTTAACGTATAACATTAAGGCCCAAGAGCTTCAAATAAGAGGTACTGCCACATAATTACACACAAGCGTATGCAGAAGAACAGACTGGAAGTGCCAAATAAATTCAGATGTATTGCAGAAAAATCAGGCCATTACAACAATGTGTTTTTATCATGTGACATCTTTACCGTTATAATGTATTTAGATTTATGGCACAGATCAGCAATGTAAACAAATCAGAAGATATTTCATTAAACTTCATAAAAACAATTACTTAGTGAGAAGCGCTGACAGGCACAAGGCTGGAGTATTGTTTGTATGACACTAATAATAAAATACATCATTAATTTCTTTATCACAACAGTGCACAGTCTAAATAACAGAATGTGTTGTTTTATCTCTCTGTTAAATTGGAGACAGTCCACCATTAAAATCCACACAGAAAACATAACCTAAATTCTTAGTGTCTCTCTTGCAAAATAGCATTTTTCTAAGCTTAATAGGTTATAGATTTTGCACGTTTCTTACGCACTTCATGTGGAGCATATACCTTTTTCCACATACATTGAAAATTTTTTCTGTTTATTATTGTTTAATTATCTGAAGGTAAGACCACTTTAGGGTGTCATAATCCGTCTAAAACTTATATCAGCCATACAGCTTTGCATCTTTCTTTAAATTACCTATGTCCTTAGGCAGCATGGATGTACTGATGCAGTGATTCAGCCTGAAAATGTCAAGGTATGAAAAAACTGTACACCCATCAGTAAAAAAATTCACGTGTTCAGAAGCAGAAGGAACACTAATTTTAGATTTCAAAAGCTTTTAAAACTCTAAATGTCATTCTTACAATGTAGAGAGACTGAACAGTTTATGAACAAAAGTGTCTCTAGCAGTTTATGTCAGCGAGAAATCAACATTTTTTAAAGGCTCTTGCCTCATATTTGCATGGCCACAGTGACAACGTTTAAAACAATGTAAATCATCATTTGTTTGATCTTATTTTGTTTTTAGAATTAATTGGCACAAAGCAAAAAACCATTAAACCTCGTCTTTTGTCGGAGTAATGGGGTCATTTTATGTTATGGATGTTTATGCCTTCAGAGTGTTGTGGGTTTTAGCATCAGCCAAATTTTAATGTGATTTATATTAAACCATTATAAAATTGCTGGATGCTGCCAAATGAAATACAACAGCTTTTGTCATGTCATTGTGTCTCAGAAATCACCAAATATCAAGTTGTGCTGTTTTATCACAGACCATTCTCCACCCACTGACTTACCCTATACCTCCTAAACTATATAAACTACATGAAGACATAATGTAACCTTGCAGTCATCCTTGTTTGACGGAGTCTGTCTTACAGTACAGGTTCCCTGTGTTACAGAGCTTCTCTGGGCCTCTCCTATTTTAGTTTTACTCCCAGGAACCGCTTTTTTCTTGGCAAATATAGCCAGACGCTTTTTTTTTGTCTGCCTGTCAACACAGGATCTGTTGCTACTTCAATAATCTCAATGTCAAATTTGTATTAGGCAAATATCTAATAATAGCCAGTGTGTTAGACGGAGGGCTCTTGCCAGGGTTTAGACACACAGAGCTGTCACACTGTCAGCATCCCTTGAATAGAGAGCTGATGAAATGGCTGCCTGTAATACAATTTGGACTCAATTTAATAAACAATAGACAGCACAGTGACTTTGTATTACATTACTGCATGCCTATTATGCAGTGTCTCTGTGAGGCTGTTTAATTGCACTGTGACCTCTGAGTGACACAATGAGGAACATAAAGAAAAGCAAAGTCAGCAAATTATAATTACCTCCAGCGCCTCTGTGCCAGTCGTATATAAAAGGGTCAAACTGGAATTGGTTCTGTGTCTCTGTGATTTGGGTAAGTCTGTGGATATAATGTTTTATCTTTTATGCTTATTTATATAAAAGCAATCTCATTGGGTTTTTTTTTAAATGAAATTTGTAAAAAGTTTCATGTTCAATGATTCTGGGTGTTTCAAAAGTGTCAAACACCTGACAAATCAGGAGTGTGTGAAACAGGAATACGGCGGAGGATGATGCGGTAGAATAGATTATTATATTATTAATACTAAGGGGATATTTCCTGTATCATTTGAAAGGAGAATATCACCCACACGGCTTTGTACCCACAGCCGAGGCGAGGCTGCCTTTATGCATAATTCATATTTCCATATCGTCATGGTGATCATGTGCAATGAGTGTTTGCTCTCACAGCAGGGGAGCTGGTTGTTGCTGGTGTTGTAGTGTGTGTGCATATGTGTGTGTGTGTGTAGAGTGGGCTGCAGGGAGGTGGTGTGTAAGGGGGGTAGAAAGGTGTCAGGAGGGACTGCTGGAAATGCCCTGAACGAGAGAGAGAGAGAGAGAAAGAGAGAGAGGAAAGTGTGACTAGTTTAAAACACCAGCACAGTATTCGCTTTAATTATCTCCCATCTCAGAGCAGCCCATTTTCCCATATTTCCAACTCCAGTTATTTTTACACCGCACAAATAGACACCAGGGTTGGGATGGGGAGGCTTGAAGCAGCTTGTAAATAGATTGTGAGTCAGATTTATTCTACACACCTCTGCCCTGTTACCCCTGGGGGGGTTTGAGGCATGTTAATTGATCACAGCCCACTGCTTTCTAATAATATCTAAAAAAGTCATTTCATAATTAAAACTCCATCTTGAGCAAATATTTGCTTTTGAATCACTGGGAAAAGAAAGTAAGGCAGAGTGAAAATGAAACCAAACCTGTTGTGCAATATATCGAGGCTTCACTGAAACCTGTTATTTCTTTGCATTAACTCTTATCAACAACAAACATCTGTGTATGTATTTCACAAAGTAAAATACTTATTCAGTGTCATAATTCATTATTCTGTTGGTAAATTTTGGCTCTTTAAACTTGTAATCTGAACTTCAGCTGGTTCATGTGCTCTCTTTTATTTCTCGTGTACTCATCAAAAACATAAATAAATAAATAAAAATAAAAAATGAGGCTGCTTCATTTTGAAAACAGGCCACCTGAAAAAATTAGATTTTTGCTGATTTTTTTAAATATAAATGAACGCCTGAATTCAGCATAAAAATCTGTCAAATCAATAAAAAAGTTCCCTAGTGCTCTGGTTGAGACCTGACCTAAAGCTATAAAGATACAAAACCCTGAGACTATAGGCTGAGAAAAGAAAGCAGCAAACAGTGGTGAGGGTTGACTTGTAGTTCAGTTTAGTTTCCCTTCAAAAATCATCTTATGACCTTTGTTGCACAACACGCTCCTCACTGTCTTGTGATTCTTGCCACTTGACTCTGTACAAAAATCCAGAAATACCTTATGAGGGATTGAAGAAACAACTGAAAACTATTCTTTACTGACCTTCTTATTGACCTTATGGTGAGAAGTATGATTCTTTATTTTACTCTCCAGAACAACAACAGTGGCTATGTATGTTCGGTTAAGCTTTGAGTGTAATCGAGGGGTTTCTGAGGCCTTTAGGTTGAAAATGTTCCCAGCAAAGATTTGGTCACCAGATTAGACAAGAATCATTTAGAGGAAAACTAGAAATGAACATGTTTATTTTTTTTTTTCCCATTAACAACACCTGGCCAGGTGTGTTTGAGTAAAGTATTTAACCATCAACTTTTCAAACCAAGTTTTTCCAGGAGAGAGCGACTTTTCTGAAGTGGGTTTTTTACACTTTTGCTCAGATAATAAATGCTGAAATAATAATTTCAAGGAAATGCAAACAGAAAAAAGGGAAAAAAAGTGACTAGCACGATGTCCTTATAGAAAACAACAGTGTTAACTTAGTTTGTCCTTGAATTGTATGTATTATTATTATTATTATTATTGTGACGTGCACTGCTGACCCCTTGGCCAAGTCACCTTTGTAAAAGAGATCTCAATCTCAATGGGTTTCTTACCTGGTTAAAAAAAAGGTTAAATAAAAATAATAATTAAAAAAAACAATATTATGATTCTTTTATTGTCTTTTACTCGTCTGCCTTCTCCCTCTTCTCTACATCCTGGGTGAAGTTGAATCGATCTGGTTCCTGTTCTGGGTCTTTCTGAGAAGCTCTTCAGTACACACACACACACACACACTCACGCGCGCACGTTTACCAACTTGTGCTCAATCTTGTTTCGCTCTCTCCCAGTGGACAAGATGGACAAGAATTAATTACCCCCACCCGTTATGGACACACACACACACATATGCACACACACTCACACAAACTAAAAAGAAAGGCATACAAATACACACTTTACCTTTTATGTGTGTTAGTGAGTGTGTGTGCACTCTGTTTATACACTAAGGAGGAGTGTGAAGTTGCTCATACTTAGTATTCCCTTGGCGTCTCACAGAAAGATATTGCATGTGTGTGTGTGTGTGTGTGTGTCTGGTGTGTGTGTGTGTGTGTGTGTGTGTATTTGTGTATGAGTGTGTCTGTCCATACACATGTGTGAAGGCTGAAATTCAGAATGGTATTGATTAAACTCAGCAGGGGGTGAGTGTGTGAGCTCTGCAGATAGCTCACTCACCTGCCACTCTGCAGACACACACACAAACACACACACACAAACACTCACAAACATCAAACTGTCCGCTGGCTTCATTAGAAAGAGAGGACTGGCTTTGGATATGATGAATCAAATAAATCAGGGAATTTTAATTCAGCTTTGTATTGAAAAATGTTTTAACGGATCGTTTTCTGTCCGTCTGTTCGCAATCCTGTCGGGCTTGAATTTCAACTCTGACGGTAAAAATTTCACTTGGTCAGTACCAAAAAACAGCCAAATCCTTTCTGTCTTTCTCCTGCTGTTCAATTTTAACTTTGCCTTGAGGATTACAAGTTTACCTACAAAATTACAAGAGGACTACTTCATCCTTGAGACGTTTTAAATACACATTGTTGAAATGAAGATTGACGTGGAATAACAGATGTTACAGGGTGTTGTTTTTTTGGAAAACACAGACAATGAAAAGGCAAACCTCAACCAAAATCAGCAGCAACCAAACCCCAGCAGAAAGATTTTGCGTACCCATACATTGACCTTGTAGTTTTTATGTCACTTATTAGCTTGTTAACTTCCTGTTCTGCATTGTTCTCCTCTTTCTTGCCTCTCATACTGGTTTTCTTTAACAATTTGGACCTTTTCCTAGACAATGTAAAGAAAAGCATGTCTGGTTTATGTGCTATATATATTGCCTTATCTACCGTAATTCCATCCTGGTAGTAGTGCTTACAGACGGACACTAAAATGCATGTTTGCATTTGTACAGTGGGTCTGATAAAAGCTGCAGTATCACTCAGGGAAGCCCAAAAAAGGGTGCAGCAGATGTTTGCAGTTTTAGTCAGAGGCAGTTTTTATCTGACTTTCAACAATGACATAGCAGCGTTGGCATCCGTGTCAACGCAGGTTTTCAATTTGCATTGCTTTGGGATTTGTAAGCACACAAAAATACCACTATCTCTATCATGTCGGAACACCAGGAGGCAGATGTAAATGTTTCCTCTCAGTAGGGAGCCAGTATTTATGGTAAATCTGACACAACATAAATGTGACACATGACGTACATCATAAGCGGTGAGTGAGGGAAACTTGGGGTTTATATTCCTCCAGTCTTGATGACTGGTTTTTGATTTGTTCCATTTAAGTCACCAGGATCTTCACATGTCACACTTGGATGTCTTCAACACTTAGGGGGAGGGACTATTCTAGCCTGTGCCACTTGGTAAAAAAAAACAGATTAATCATTACTTCTGACATTTTGTTTTAACATGTGATATCAGTGACAAAAGCGTCATGATGCTTTTAGCATTTATGATGAATGAAGGACCATGTCTGGGATGTCAACAGAAGTGTGTACAAACATTAGTCACATTGAAGGCTGTTACCAAGACAAGTCAAACCACTGTTTGTGCATTTATGACAAGCTTTTAGACTGTGATGTGTGTGCTGATTTCTACTATGACTTATCAGTTTGAAGACCCATGATAACCGAATCATTAATAGATCACAATTTAATCTTATAATCACAAACTTTAAATGAATCAATTACAGCATACCACAGCTCCACTTTAACTCTGTGGGTGTGCTGTAGAAAATGTAACTGATTCATAAAAACTGTTTACTTGTTTTAGATTTGTTGGGACAGGGACATCAAGATGTTGAAAAGTTGTGTAATGTTAAAAATACACTTGCAGGAACAAGTACCAACTACTTGGGTTAATTTGCAGCAGGTTTGTATCATGACTGGGTGTTTAAAAAAAGGCTGTGCAGAGATAGTCTCTCAGAAGTAGAGAAGAGGTTTGCTACTCTGTGAGAGACTGTGAGCAAATAGTTCAACAGTTTCAGAAAAATATTTCTCAGTAAAGAACTTATGGCTGTGATCTTCAGGCCCTCAGTTACTGCACTGAAAAACAGATAATACTCTGCAATGGAAATCATTGTATGGGCTCCAAATTACTTCCAAATAGTTTTGTCTGTAAATAAAGTTTGATTAAAACTGGACTATGCAGTAGAGGAAGATATAAACATGAATACTGGTGACTTCTCTGGTCCTGAGCTTGTTTGAGATGCACTCTGTTGACGTGCAGAACTGCCCTGTGGTCTAAAAAAGAAAAGAAAAATGACATTGATTTTGGAAATCATGGACGTTGCCTCTGCTTTAAACAGAGGAAGGACCGCTCAGCTTGCCGTCAGCACACAGTTCAAAGGCCAGTATCTCTGGCATGGGCAAACACAAGGGGCAATGGTGTAGGAAGTTCACACAACTCAGAAGGCACCAGAGATGCTGAACAATATATTCAGGTTTTTTAGATACAGTTTGCTGCTGCCCAGACAAAGTTTTTCTTCAAGGAAGAGCTTGGTCATTTCAGCAAGACAAACCACACACTGCATGTACTGTATTTCAACAGCATGGCTCTGTAGTAGAGGAGTCTGGGTGCTAATCCAGCCTACCTGCTGTCCTGCCTCAGATGGTGACCGTGCCCTGTTGGACAGCTCTGTTCTTTATCAGGCAAGAATAAGAAAACACTTTCAAAACTTTAGGAAATGCTCTCCGGGGTTACCAGACAGGAACAGAGTGTTGTTGAAAAAAGGAGTGATGCAACACAGCGGTAAACCTGTCGCAGCACCCCCTTCTTTGAAGGTTTTGCTAGCATCAAATTTGAAATTTGTGTTTTTCTCATTGTAAAATTGTATCATTTTTTCACTTTCACTTTGAGATGTTGTCTGTGCAAGTTTTTAATGAAATCATTCAAATTATTTATAAACCATCAAATTCAGTTTTTATAACAATTTACAGAGTCCCAAAGTTCGCCACGGGGCTGTGCCATCACTTCTTATGTCCTTTTTCACTTCAGCTCATCACTTTCACAGACCTTTCTCTATCCTCTATCCATGTTGTCCTGCCCTCTTCCCTCCATTTTTAGCTTTGGACGTTTTTATGGCTGTTCCCTTGTTTGTTGTATTGTCCATTTCTCTGTTATTCATCATTCACCCAATTCAAAAAGATTTTGGATTTAGCCTTATGTGAGTCATGTGAAACCTGTCTCTATGGTCAAGTCAGCTGAGGGAAGTAGAGTTTCAAAATGAAAGCAGTAGTTTCACAGCAAATTCATGTTATGATGTTCTCTTACTTGTGAGCTAAACATACAAAATATATGATGACAAAATTTGGGGCTGGTTTAGTGAGTGGAGTGGACATCTGGTTGAGTTGTTGCTTAAAGCTCATGTAAAGAGCTTTTAACTTGCTGTGGTAGCAAGCTGTTTGATAAGGAAGAAGATTGGGGCCACTGGAAAAAAAAAAAAAGGTACCAGATAACTTTTTTTAATTATTCTGACTTTAAACTCAGAATTGTGACTTTTTTCTCCCAAGACCAAAACAGTGGACATAAGCATGATTCTCTTAGGCCATTCGCCGCATCCACAATAGAGAGTCCATGTCCTAGCTGTTTCACAACACAGGAGTTGACGACTGTCTAGTATTTTATATTTAAAAGGAAGGACTTGTGTAACATTTGTAGTTGAATATTCACCCTTTATGTGTCTGACATTTTGATTTGAAAAGGCAAATGTCACGTGAGATTGGTGTTGTGTTCCAGTTTAGCTAGTTTGTCAGTCGTTCACTTGCAAAACACGTAGGAAATGGACTCTATTGTAGATGCAGCAGATGGCTTCAGAGAGAATCATGCTTATGTCCAAAGTAAGATAAAATCTGAGTTTAAAGTCAGAATTTATCTTACTTTTCTAACTATTGATTCTTTTAAAATGACTCTTAAACAAACAAACAAAAAAAAGTTACTTTCTGCAAAGCCAATTTTCTGCCTGAAACCAGAGGTGTTTGTAAACTGCTGTTACAGCATTATTTCACATGTGCTAAGATTCTCAAGTGACACATTTGACTGTCAAAGAGAGCTTCAAGATACACTTTTGCGAACTCAGCAAAGACAGCTTTTTCTACAGGGGGCGCCAAAATTGTAAGGACGTCACGGGGAGCTTTAAAACGATCGGGTATTACCCTGCAATCAGGCTTAATTTCTGACAGTTTTACTGTGATAATACCTGGTTTAACAAAGAAATGCCAGCTCTTTCCTGACTTTCTGACCCCGACAGGCCACATGCAGCACAACAAGGCCTACAATTCTGTTGCACATATAGAAAAGGTTGCCTGTGTTGAACAGATTTTTGTCCTGGTTCATTGTAGTTCTGTCTGTCAGACTCTCTGTACTCCTTTCTCTTTCTTTTCCCTTTTCTCCCTCTCTCCCCCTCTCTTTCCTTCTCCCTGGTTCTCTCCTTCCACAGTACTGGGTTTTAATCACTGCTGTAATTGGCAACTCCCCGCTGTGAAGGCACACACACTCGCACTCAGCCTAGCTGCTGCAAATCCCTCTGGCAATGTATATGTGAGTGTGTGTGTGTGAGAGAGAGAGAGAGAGAGAGAGAGTGAGCTGTGGGGGCAGGAGAGAGAGATACGGAGAGATAAGGATAATGAAAGAAGGAGAGTTTCAGAACTGCAGGCCAACTCACCAACTCACCAATCTGTCTGCTGTGAAGCGCAGTGAGGAAGAGGAGCTGTGCAGCCAAATTGTAATTATCTGTGAGAAAAAAGACATGGCTCAAGATTTATTAGAGAACACAACATTGTGTTGGAGTTATTGGAGAACCTGATGCTGCCTCAACTTAGTCAAATTAATAATTGGCCACATGCTGTGTATAGGAGCTGATACTTCCATTAGCGAATCACTATAAGGACGTTTTTTCTTGGAGTTTGTCAGCACAAAGTGAAGTGTTTGAAGCACCCATAAATTATTTTCATGGCACAGAATGCATGGGAATGAAGTCTTGCTCATCTAAGCTTAAAAAAACTCATAAGCACAAGCTGTTAAAACAAAACAGACCAGGCCTGAGTTTAAGAAAAAGGCTAATCTCTTTACACACAAATAAAGATGCTGGTATTGCTCGTGGTTATGAGCAGATATGGAGGTATCATCTTGTTTGAGAAAAATTAGTGTAATAGAAGTGATATTTGTAGCACTGAAACTGTTCAGTAAAAACCAATAGAATTTATCTTTCAATCCGTTCATATACATTTGATTCACTACAGAAGTTATCTCAGGACACATAAATGTAGGGCAGGTCTACCATTTTTCTTTGAAATAGTATTTACAAAGACACATCTAAATCGATCCCAAGCCAGCACCTGGCAACAGCAGCAAGGAAACCTCCCTTTTAAGTCCATCTTTTGTGGTTTTTGGCATTATATCTGACTAAGTATACGCCGTCAGAGAACTCCCAATTTGGATCTGTCTGGACTTACAGTATTTATTGTATTTTTTTTCCACATGTGATGATATACATTTTGATGTCATGATGAGACAGGTTTTATTTTATTTTTTGCGTTGCTTTAGTGGGAGACCACTGGGATGTACAATGGCTAAACTGTAGCTTTTAACATTAAGTTAAATTGTGACATGTCTCTTGAAAGTAAGCTGAAATATTATGTTAGTAATGCAACACAGAAGAAAATACACATCTGATATCTGCTTGTCAGACAGTGAGAGAAGTAGATCAAAAGGAAAGTTGAAAGACTATAAGGCAGTTGTATAGTTTATTCATAATGTACTGGACATAGATGAACTAGTGTTATCAAAAACAGCTTGACTATCAGATGGTGAGCAAAAGGACATTTCTGAGAAGATTTCTGAATAATGAAACAAATGAAACTTTGTTCATTATTCAGTTATGTCCTCCTATGCAATGCAGTATCTCTTCCTATACATTTGATGAGCTCACTGCTGTTTGGACCATATCAGAGATGTTTTCATTTATTCAGTTTAGTTTGTCACGGTACTCTAACTCTACTGCTACCTGAAGTGGTGAGGAAGCCCAGTGTGTGTAGTTACTATCTGAATTTAGTGTCTTTATACATTCCAGTTGTACTTGGAAGACGGGATTTCCGAGCTCTGAGTCGGAGATTCATCTGGAACGCCCCCCTGAAGTCGGATCTCTGACTGGGAAAGTTGGGTGATCCTCACCAGCCCTGCCTTGACGACAACGTCATAATCCAAGACGGCAGCGCAGTACATCAACAGTAAAGAGTAACAGCGAAAGCTCTCGTAATGTATTATTTATTAGCACTTCTGTTTTGTTTTTGTGAAATTAAGTGTTATATGTTGTACTGCCCAATGTCTAACTGTGAGCATGGTGCTACGGTATTTGTAGGAGTAAAATACAGTGTTATGCGTTGTTTACAACTTGTATAGCTAACAACAACTAACAACAGCCAACAGCCGCTCACAACCGCTAACGAAAGCTAACAATTGTTAACAACGGCTAGGCGTCCATCTTGGTTTTCAGACTTGTTAACTAGAATGCTGTCAGCTTGGGTGTAAGGTCATTCCCAGTTTAGACATCCGACTTCTGAGGTAACTGGAACACAGCATAAGTACACCAGCAGGAATTTTAAAGGGCTCATTACTTCTTACTTTACACCAAATAGCAAGCAATTGGGGATTAATCATCTGTCTTGTAGAGATGTTACAGGCACACACTCAATGACTGATGATCTTTCAGGTATAAACTTTCTGCCTTGTAAACACCTGCATTGTCATCCCCTCCTTGAAAAACGCGCAGTGGTGAGTTATTGTCTCTGTGCTGGAAGAAAAACTTTGTCCACCATCAAAACTGGTAACTCTAATCTCATGGAGCATGTAACTAAACAACATGCTTCTTCCCAGCTAGTTGTCAGACAGGCTATAAACATCCAACCCAGGTGCCGCTTGTGTTAGCTAAACAGACCAAGGAGGAGCCACCGCATCAAAACAACTAAAGCAGGATTTAAACCTTCGCCATCTCCGACAATCTGTAAGACTGAACAGAATGACTGTTTGGTTTGTTGGTAGCTGGTACTTGTGACTAGTTTCTAATCCTCAGAAAGTTGCCAAACACTAACAACATACAGCCCAGCAAGCATTGTTCCTCCTTATTCAGTCTCAAACCAGCCAAATCTGACAGACTCCAGAATCTTTCCATTTATAGCAAAAGCATATGCAGCGAGTGCAGATGGCAACACAGACTAAAACGTACAGCAGGACTCATACAGAGTGGAATCTTTTCACACCAAAAAATGTAAGCAGAAAGAATGTGTTGCGTTGATAAAAAGAGTTTGTCGTAATTGTACAGAATATATTGAGGTTTATTGGAGCAGCAGTTCCTGACCAAATCCTGCTCTGTGAGAACCCTGTGACAATAGCCATGCAAAAGCCGATGCTAAAGAATTCCTGCTTTATGGTTATCATGGCACATTGGCCGCAAAAAGGAAACTTTCATGGTTTTGTGTGTGTGTGTGTCCGTGTGTGTGTGTGTCTTTTATGTGGGTCACCCCACCATGTCTAATGGCCCCTTGCTGCGTGCAGCGTCCTGCGCTGAGCTGCTCCCTGCTGTCACACTCTCACACACAAACAAACGCATACACACAGCGGGGGAGATTTTGGGGTGTCCCTCACCCTAATACCCTCGACAATACACCACCAGTGCATCTGTTGCTCCTGTTCTCAAAGTTGAAAGTTGATCAGTGAAGTGCTAGCATATCTCTCCTCTCTCTAGATAGATTTTCTTCTCTTTCCTCATTATCTTCTCTCCTCGTCTACTCTGTATTACTTTCCTATTTCATCCCAAACCAAATGGGTGTTTTTTTCTTCTTCTTTACCTCCTTATCTAGGTTCATTTTCCACCCTTTATTGATTTGGATTTTAAGAGTTAGCTGATGGCTTCTCCTCTGTGTTTTGCTTTCGTAAATAGAGGTAAAGGCTTAGCCCTTTGCAGGCCTCTTTCACAAAGACACCTGCAAGCAACGGCCTGAAACAGGTGAGCATCTGCACCACACATTTACAACACCTCTGCATCTAGTGATATGTACACTTACTAAAGATTTAGGTTTTACTGTTTTAATGATGTATAACAATCATATTAATATTATTTGTGTAGTTGTGAGTGAGTTATTACTGCTAGGGGAGCATTTATCAGTTTTAGTTCTGGCTACTTTATCTTGAAACAGCTCATTAGCAATGTTAGCCATCAGGAAAGGCTAACACCAGGTTAATCAATGAATTAGCTGAACATAATACCCATATACCTTGTAGTGTAAAGGATTTATGCGTTGTATTTATGAGGTTGTAACTTATAATAGGTTATTTGGGGGGTTATTTTCATGTCTGAATGTATTCTGTTTGAATGTGTTATTTCCCTACAAAGCTCAAGTGTTTTCAGTTTTCTTCTGTGCGTCTGTCGAGGCAGTAACAAGACAGTAGGGAAGAAAAGACCATCATTAAAATTCTAGCACTGCAATTTTATTTACACCCAGTATTGTGGAATAGTCTGAGGAGAGGAGAGGATGGGAGGGGAGGGGACAAGAGAAGTAGAGGAGAGGTAGAGAGTGAGAGGGGGGAGGAAAGACAAGCGAATGCTGAAATGTCGAGAATTCAGATTGATATAGCTAGAACATGGCCATCCTCACTCTAAACTCTTAGACTCACACAAGAGCATACTAGACATTACCAACACTATATATGAAGAATGCAGATGTGTTGACTACAAGCATACCAACATTAATCGTCACAAACTTGCTTTGTACAAACAGACAAATGACACAAACCATCACAACACGCAGACAGACATAACAAAACATAGTATGCATATTATTTCAGTCATGAAGCATTAAAACACACTCATACGCACACACTCATACACACACACACACACGCAGACTGAATCTGAGCCACAGAGAAGCCAGCTACGTCAGTATATTTTCACACTGCAGTAGTGTCTCTTTGTCTGCCTGTCGACCAGCCAGCTGTAAGATGGAGGGCGAGAAATATGCTTTTAGCGGACGGCTTCGTGAGACAGAAGACACGGCTTTGTCATTTCTGCTTCTATTCGCCATCGTTGTAATATTGATTTCTGTCACGCCATTCTTTTTACTTGGCGTTTTGGGTTATGTTGGGTGTTTTTCGTCTTTGTGCGAATGTCTGATTATTTGTACAGGGCGTAGGCATATATGTGTGTCGAGTTGAACAATGCAATCATCACAGTTACTACTTCCGCACTTTGCAGCCATGTATGTCTGCGATGAGATTTGTGTTAGCGTGCAACTGCATGTCCGTAAGAGGCTAAACAAGGATGCTAACAAATACCAGGTGTGTTAAAATGTTTCTGCGCGCGAGAGGGGGGGAGGGCGACCTTCTGTCCACCTGTCCACAGCATCAGCTGTCGATTGTGTGGCCTCAAATGCACACACACACACACACACACATACACACTCATAGAGCAAGGGTAGTTTGTTCCAGCAGTCAGAGGTTTCCGTAAAAGCAGAATGGCTTTTAATGTCTTTACACACATGTATCTAAGGTAGAGGCAGGTGATTACTCTGAAGTGCATTCTGATACCACAGTCCTGCAGAAACATGTATGAACCACATTTTTTTAAGCTTTATTTTCTCTCTCAGCCATTTTTTTCTTTCCATTTGCATCAGTGAGCTGATAAAATAGCCACAAGCAGTTTCAGCTCACTGTTATTTTCATTGGAAAGAAAGCCTCATCTACTTGCCACACCTTAAATAGACATACAGCAATGTCACAACAGACACACATACAAATATTATACTTTTCCCTGTAACCCTGCTTTATAGCCAGCACAGCACTTTAATGCATGCTTTCTACTCAGCACAAGCCCAACAGTCTTTTTTTTTTTTTTTGCTGTTGACAGTGATGCAGCGCCTAAAAAGACAGCCATTTCAAGGAGAAAGCATCGATATGTAACACACACGGGCACGAAATAAAACCCTAGAAATGCATGGCGAGGCAGAGAAAGGCGCAGAGCCGTAGAGAATGATTCAGATGTATAGAAGGCCTCCGTGAGAGAAGGTTTGCCATTGTGTGATAAACACAAACACAGATGCATTTAGGCTTTGATTCCTGGTTGCTTTTCTCTGCTCGCAGTGGGAGCTGTCCTAAAGAAACAACCCCTCACACACTCACACACACACACACACACATAAACACACCATGGACCGGACTGATAGGATTAGAGACTGGTGCTATAGTCACTCTCTCTCTCCCTCTTTCTCTTCCTCTCTCACCCCCTCTCCCTCTCGAGCCTGCCAAGCCTTGATTATTCACAAGGTTAGTTCCTGATTGCCTATAGCAGGAGCAGACTCAGGTTCATTATCTCTCCACCTCTTTTCCTCTCCCTCTCACTCTGTCCCTCTTGCAGTATTTTTAATGCACGCTGGTTGAGTGAAAAGGCTTGACTCACATAAGAAAAACAAAATGCACCTGTTCACAGTAGACCCAGTAAATTGCAGCATGGCTGAAATGTTGTCAAATTATCTTTGTATTTTATTTTTAGCGGTGCAAATGGAAAAACAGTTCAAGCAAAAGTAATGTCCCCCTCCCTGTACAATTTTTAATCATCCTAATCAGTGCACAGTCTTTCTACTTCTTTAGGCTTCCTTATATTTTCTATTCAAACACAGAATCACACCTTTGATGTGATAATTAGAAAATTAGGCTGAGGATGATTAGAATGAATTTATTGTTGGAATAATTAAAACACTTATTCTTACATGTTCGAAGAATGTGTAGCTAACTCTGTGTACCCAGCCTATCTATCCATCGCATAAGGCACACGTGTTTCTATTTTCCTCCACCGACGATCGTCTGCATTAGCACCATATACAAAGAATTTCATTGACGTATTTGAAGGCAATGTCAGCTGTCAATTATATGAATAAAAAATGCAGCAGCACTGGAGACAAGCTGGTTTCAGAGAGCATCGATGACACTGAATGTGTATGTGTGGTGGAGGATATCAGTGCTGCTGCAGCAGGCTTCAAAAGGTAGCCGTCGGCCAGCCAACCACAATGCTGCCACGGTGAAGCCGTTACAGTAAAACCAGCACAGCTCAGATTGAAAACACAGAATAGGAGGAATGTTATTGGTGAGAAATACCCAAAATGAAATTCAAGTTAAGATATGTGTAGACCAAAGACAGATTCTCTTGTGTGAGTAATTGTTTGGACGTTTCGTTGCAGACGATTTTGACAATGAGTGAGGCTTTATTTTTTTTGGTCCTTGTTTGTTGTCAGGATATCGAAAGAGTGTTGGTTTTTCCCTCTGTCTGCTGGACAATGTCTCCTTTCTGAGCCGAGTGTGAGTGTAGTGTTGACACATGTTAGTGCTGGCTGATTAGTCCACACATAAAGGAACACGCAGCTCCTCCATCACTATTCAGCCATTTTGTATCCCTGTCTGTCAAACTGGTGGAGTGGATGTGTGTGTGTGAGGCTTTTGTTAAGGTAATAGGAAGGAGAGAGAGAGCAGCGAGGGAGACGACACCGTGAAAAATTACACCGGCTTCGGCTAAGTCCCGATGACCCACAGATGCGATCATTTTTTTAACGTAGAAGCATCAGAACTGCACAGTTTCACTCCTTTTAACCTTTAAAGTCATAGTTTTATGACAACAAGAAAACACACAAAATACAATGTTTAAAATAAAAAATGGTAAGGAACGTGTTGCGTAGGTCTGTTGTCTATTGTGTCTTAAGTGGATTAACAGCGCGGTCACTGAGACACACAGCCAAAGTGGCAACCATAACCGTTGTTTACAAGCTTGTGTCGCCTCTGTCGCCTCGAGTTTTCAGACGATACTGGTTTGTTGTCTCACACTTTTTCCCACAATGGTGGGGTGGAGTTTGTGCAAAATCGTTGTGTAATCTTTTTGAAAAAAGCATGGAAGTTGGCACTCTCACATCTCACAAATTTACAGTCATTGTATTCATTTACAGCTTCCTGAGAACTGCTGGGCGTGGTTAGATAAAAGTATATGGATTTCTATATTTTCCACAATTATTCTGAGATAGTCTTAAAAAAATATAGACCCAAAATCACAACTATGTGTTCTTGTTTCTGGTTCCAGGCCTTAACTACTAGGCAGAATGCTGTAATATAATTGCAACACCTTATATGTTTGAAAGATGTTATTGAAAAATCATGAAAGATTTATAGTGAATTCTTGTTTTGTGAACAAAATAAAAAAACATTTACCATGTTTTTAAAACCATTTATAAATATACTCAAGGTTCCTAATCTCTTTGAAATAAACCATGAAAAAAAAATCCACATTTCTATTTGTGTATATTATTGCTTGATTTGCCATTTTGGCATTTTGATTTAGAATATGATTGAATGCGACACAGTGGCTTAGAAATATAAGTCATCTTAATGCAGTGTCATTACATGGCTCCATCACAACCCACTCCACTTACTATAACAATGTATCTAAGATGTTCCTTTTAATTTGGAATTAATTATAATCCACCAAATGTCATAAAAACAGCGATTTTTCACATAACAAATACATGATCTTTTTTTCTGAATGAAATTATTTTAATACCATTCTTAAAACAGCAGATCATGTGATTTAAACAGGTATTTTGTTGGCAACTGTCATAAATGAGCTGTTGAAAAGCATAGGGTTGAGAATCCATGTTTTAATTAGTCTTATTGTTGTCTACTTAAATAAAAAATCACCAGAAAATTTAGCATGAATTTTTACCTCAGAGATGGGAAATGAATGATTGCTCGAGAGTTTTGGATATGCATACATATATCAAGATCTGCCAAATAAAGACATATTTAAGCTGGAAATAATATTATTATTTAATCTTGTTATCATATTATTGGGTTTTTTTTTACTTTAATTGTACAGGTATCATGTGAGTGCCTGGATGACTCATTAATTATTCTTAAAATAAAACAAATAGCTTGTAATAAATGATAAAAATGAAGATTATTTGTTTGGACAGCATAGCGCCCCCTCTGGATCTGCGGTGGTTTAACACCTGCACCTTGTTTCTTTGATCCATGTATGGACAGAGTCAAGCAAATGTTGTCTTAGGTGATCTTGGTTTATTTTTAAAGACATAACCATATAGCTTAGCATTACATTAAAACAAAGTGTTCATTGATGAGTTATTTGTTACCAGTTCTCGCACTTACCGTCTTGTTTTTACTCCTTTCTTTTGTCAGTTTTGACCTCGTTTGCATTATAAAACAAATGTTGTATTAATCAAGCACAGAGTTATCACCTCAAACATAACCTGATCATTTCCTCTCATACTACTTTTTTCTTCTTGAATTCTTAGACAAATTTGTTTAAAAAAAAAAAAAAAAAAACATATATATTTTCCGTACATTCATTAACTGAAAAAATCAGGTCTGAAATATTTTATTTTGTGAAATAACTTTAAAAGTTTGTTTTTCTTTTTCTGCTCTTCTGGTTAAAGGCTCTACTCTAGATCAATTAACAACCAGAACACAATTTATTGATAAGTGTTTTGATGAAAAAACATACAATCTTCCTCATTTGATCAGACTGTTCACAGAGATGAATACTGAAACTATTTTAAGTCAAGCTTCTTTTCATATTGATCATCGCGCTGCATATTTCTTATCTCCACAGATAACAAATGCTAACATCTTTAAGATTTAAAGTACACACTGTGCGTCTTATCTCTACAGGTGATATATACACCTCCATACGTTCACACTTAACCTTGCCTACGATAGAACAGATAAGATTTCTTGACGTAGTGAAGTACTGTGAATTAAAAGACAGTGTTTTACTTTCATGGCCTAGAGTCAAACAGCATGATTTGTTATTCTTATTCTTCTCTGTTTTTCCTTTTGAAAATTATTTCAATAGCAAGCTGCTAAAAGCTGAATGATGGCATAATCTGTAGTTAATCTTTGTGATATGCTGTTTTAATATATTTGTGTACTTCAAGTTAGTGTTTAGGTTTTATCTCAACCTTGTGATGTATTTTCATGCTTTAAAAAATTTTAAATTCACCATTTCATCATTATTTTTGTGTACATCAAATCAGAAATAATCTTGAAGTCACTTTCATGATAGAGAATTAAAGGAGAGATTTCATTGCTCTTTCTTGTCATTTTTATTATGGCCTTACTTGTATTTTTGTTTCAAGGATTACCAGATGAATTTTGATCATTTTAAAGAGTGAAACAAAAGATAATTGATATAATCCTTCCCTTACTCTGTTTACTCTGCCTTTCTACTCTGGTGTCATCAACAGGAATATGAACAACACACGCCTCTGTTTGTCTTGCAATGGCAGTGAATGAGTTGTAGATTAAGAGCTTAGCGTGAAGGTGCACCGAGTCTATGATAGCATTCAGACGTCTGTGTGTTAAGCCAAATTATCTCGTAACGTGTAAAAGAAGAGAGTCTTCTCCTCACCATTGAATCTATCAGCTCCATTCAGTCCTGTTAGCTTTGATTGAGGCCTGTGCTACGGGCTGCTATTCATGTCTAACCGTCTATGTAAACAGAAAAGAGTTGCCATGATGATGGTGTGTGTGTGTGTGTGTGTGGATGTGTGTGCTGCAGCTTTTTAGACAGAGGTTTAGCATCCTCAATTCTCAAATTTTTTTTTTACCCTCTCTTTTCTGTCCATGTCACGCTTTCTCAGCATTACGAACACACACTCTCTCTCTCTCACACACACACAGAATCAGGGAGACCTACGGAGGATCAGTCATGCTAGAGGTCGTCTATGGGCCAACCTGACATTGTTGTCCATAAGCTGCTTTGAGGCAAGAAGAGAAGTTTAAAGGACAATTCCGAATAGTTTGTACAAGAAAGGGCGTTTTCACTATTCTTTAAGGCCAGTGTCGGTGCCGGTGAACCAAGCTTTCTACAGAAGGGGGGAGGGCGTCAGTACACCGTGAATAGAAACGACAATTGATTTGCTAATGATAGCGTATTCAGTCTTAATACGAAGGATATAACAACCTTATCCTTCTCTGTGTTTGGAGGAAAACTAGCTTTCTAAATTGATTAAACTGAAGGTGAACAGGAGCCAGCCATGCAGGATGTTGTCTCACACTGCAGAGAGATGATTGAGATAAGCGTAATACAGCTGTTTATTTCTGTTTTGGTGCATGGCATTGTTGAGGCTAACTCAAATACAATAATTCATAAACTGGAGATGCATGCACAGTCTTTTTTTTTTTTTTTTTTTTTTTAAACAATCAGTGTTCTCCCCTTGTCTCTGGAGAGCCTGAAGACCCTGACCCAGGACACCAGTTTTCATTGTTAAAGGTTAGATTTTTCCCTGCAGGCAGACTTTTAGGTGGTTCAGTTTGACAGTTGTATCAGCTTAAATATGATGGTGTTTATTTAAAGTCTTTTTATTTGGCTTTTAAATAATGAAATTATTCGTCTAAAGAACCGTGATATCACACTTTGTAGGGACGTCTTTATTGTTCAGCTTAAACTCTTTTTCTGTTGCCAACAATTAATGATATATATTTTATGTATTTTGATATATAACTATGAATATGAGTTGCTGTTTTTGCACAGAGCATTGAAAGACAATAATGCAGGGAGTTATTTCCTTTATTTTCATTAATTTTTTCCTCCTGTGTACACTTAATATCTAGCTACCTGAGCAAACAAGACAGGTTAGCATTTTTTTGTGATTTGATTTTTATGTTTGGCACTCCATAGTGTGAGTTCCCAACAGTGGTTCATATCAGAAATAACTTTAGAACAGTGTTTCAATGAACACCTCCTCTGTTATTTCCAATCCAACTTGTCGACACACTCTGTATTGGCTTGTTGTAATTATTTTAAAATGTATTATGATATTAAAATAATAACTGCAGTCACAGGGAGATGCTGTGTATGTGACACAAATGATGCATAAATCCAGATGTGACTGGCTCTAATGAGCATCTGTTGACGATAATCCAGCTGATAAATGACTTTTAGAGGCTTTAAACCCTTCAGCTCTGATATCTCTGCATGTGGAGTTTAATTTCAACGTGACATCATGAGACATAATGCAAAATCAGGGAGCAGTGAGCTAGCTTAGTGCGCCAGCATCACACTCACTGTGTTGTGTTGATTGAAATCCAGAGCACGCCCTCTCTCTCTCTTTCTATCTCTCTCTCTCTCCCTGTCTGTCTTGTTTCTAATAGAAACATAGAAATTATCATAAAAACAGACTAGTGCCACTTTGGTTTGGAGTGATAAAGCTACAGATAGCTGTGAACACAAACTGTGGCCTTCCTCATCGGCTGCCTTGCTGTGCGAGTCGCCATGTTGTTGCTTTGCAATAACAGTGGGGATCTCAGCATGAATTTACAGGTAGATCTTAGTGATAGCACATCTCACAGCTGCTCCCTGTTACTGTGAATAGCTGTCATTGGGTTTCAGCTGTTTCTGACTCTCAGACCCTCTATTTCCTCAAGCAGAAATCGGTTGTCTGCCTGCGCAGGATAGATGCGGGATGGAAGACTTTTACCATGGCAACCACTAATGCAGTAAGGATGCAGGGACTGAGCCCAGCCTGTCGTTGTAATAATACCGGATTCATGGAGGGCAGGTGAAATGTCATGCAGGTTTTTCTTTAAAATGAGAAAGGAGTGCTTTTGATGTGGAGTGCAGACAACAAAAAAATCCCACTCAGCTCTGCGATGAAATGAGTTTCCCGTATTAGTTCAGCACCACAGCATCCTTTCTGCTCAGCTTCCTCTCAGTGACAAAAAACTGTCTCCTCCACATGGCTTCCTATATATTACGCTGTAGCCCCACTTCACTTCTCCTGCACATTGTTTCCTATATCGGCTTATACTGCCCAATCCTCATAATCCCACTGTAGCCTGAGTCAAATATCTGGTCCCTGCAGTGTCCTCCACTCACCTTCTTCAAGGATGGGATTTCTGTTTCCTCCTCTTCACACGCTGGATTACAACTAGGCAACTTTGAAAAGTGACACCTTACAGGTTAATATGGAGTTTTGATTAAAGTCTCTCTCTGGTTTACTCTCTCTTTTGCTCATGTTTTTGTTGAGAGTTTGAGTTACATTTCACCACTGTGTATTCTGTGGTGATGCAATGTTTGCAGGTCATATGTAAAGAAATCATATTGCACTGGAATGAGTAATGTGGCAAACTAAAATGAAACAGACATGAGGAGTGGTCTTGGTAGCTTATCACAGGTTAATTTGTTCACTTACCCAGTATCATTGAGCTTACAAGTAGGGCAGTCACGATTATTACAATATTCACCAATCACGATTATTTTACACATTTGCGATTATTTTTTATATTCACAATTATTTTTCGTATTTGTGAACAATCACCGTCAATTATTTATTTTATCCACAAAGTTGCATGAAATAACCCTGAATCTGAGTCTGACGTCACCGTGTTGCGCCAGCAGCCCCAGCACGCACCATCGCCGTCGCAGCCACACGTTGTTTACCTCTCGTCTTGGTAGGATGGGCAGTGACTCGAGGTTAGGATGAAGGATGGGGAGGTTCCGGTTCCAAAGCCACGTACCATGGCGCCGCTGTCGGTTAAGCCGAACGATAAAGGAGAACCTGGTAACATGGAAGAAGAGATATGTAAACTTTGCCATAAAAAAAGTGCCAGTAAAGAGTGCTAACACAACAAATCTGAAACAACATCTCCAGATAAACTGCTCTTATTTATTAAGGTGTACAGTATGGTAATGTATGGTACAGAATGTGTATCATTAAATTTCATTATACTATGATAGTACAATATAGAGAAGGGAAAAAAATGAATATATTTGTCAATCGCAATTATTTGTCTGACATATAATTGTCTCCAGAAATTTCTAATTGTGACAGCCTTACTTACAAGCTATCATACATCAAAAATAGGAAACACAGGCCAGAACATTTTTCTGTTCTGAAATCAGTGGAGTCTCAAACACACAACTGATGGGGTTGTTTACATGGGAAAATAGATACAGTATCTGTGTTAACAGTGGTAGAACATTGAGACAGCTACTGCTTTACAGTTCCCTGAAATGAAATTACATGTTTGGTTTGCATGACTGTGTGAAAGTCCAGCAGGCCATAAGTCACAGCCCTTTTCATGAGAGCATTAGTCCCACACAGACATTCCTACAATGCAGCCCTGTCCTTTGTGCCTCTCTGACCTGCACTACTGTTGTGCATGTGAGTGTGTGTGTGTCCCTGTGTAAGAGTGTTTGTTTTGTCTGCCCCTATCTATAGCTGTGTCCTGCCCCTTTCTTTCACTGTTTAAGAAAGGAGCCACACCCCTCAGGCCTTGGCCTACTGCACGTGTGTGTGTGTGTGTGTGTGTGTGTGTGTGTGTGTGTGTGTGTGTGTGTGTGTGTGTGTGTGTGTGTGTGTGTGTGTGTGTGTGTGTGTGTGTGTGTGTGTGTCGTTTTGCTCTCTTGGGATTTGGGGGTCTGTACTGCAGTCTCTGCTTCTCAGCAATAGCTGATACAGTGCAAATACATGCTCCTCTTCATTAACTAAACAGTGGAAGTGTTTCAAAAGCCGTACTTTGCATTACAGATACACAGGCGTACGTGGTGTAGGTATGGCCTATTCTATGGTAATACTTGAAGAATACCCTCACAACTGTGTACCCAGGCTCGTTCACCCCTTATCAATGCAGCACATGCACTCATGTAAATAGAAAAACTGAGTGCAGGTATAGAGGGAGGCATGTTAATGTACACATGTTGAGGACACAAAACAAGTTACATGGCACAAACATATGTTCATGCACACACACGTAAACAGACACACACACGTAAACAAATTCAGTCTGAGTTTGCCTATGACCTGCCCTTGCAAATATTAACCCCCAGGGGGACCAAAACCTCGGTTTTGATGTGTTTCTGTATTATTTCTGCTTTCCTGGGCTTTGTGTTATCATGGGCTTGTGTGAACAGAGGGTACACACACACACACACACACACACACACATTATAGTGAGCTGGAAGAAAATGAAAAGTCAGAATAACTATTGTTTTAGTCGACTTTTGTGCGTATGTTGTGAGGTACGTGTGAGTCATAGAGTCTGCAGACGCACTTGTTTATTGTTTTGTTTGCATGTCTGCAGCTATATTTTATCTCCTGAAGCACATTTATGTTAAAGAACTGTAACGTACAGTTAGAAAAACACTGAGTGGGATTATTTACTCAGTCAAAGACTTGGGGAAATTTATCCCCCATTAAAACCCTCACAGTTCTGTCAGGAGAACATTTTCTGACCAGCAACATTTTGAGAGATGGTTTGAATTTTACCCCATGAACAGATTTACACTATTAGCTGATTACTTTCAGTGATGTGACCTTGGATTGGCGCAGAGCCTATGCTGGAAAGCAGCCAAATATAACTAACACAAACACACAATAATCAACAGAGTTTGTGATGTGCTTGTAGAAAATTTTCTTGCCGTGTAGAAAAGCTTTCTTCTTTTTAATTCTTGTTCCTGTAAATAGTTATTAATAGTAATTGAAATGTTATTTCCTGGACCTTAAATTAAACTACTTTGTAATAATCATCACATTCATTTACCTACAAATGAATTTGTCACTGCTGCAGCATTATTCTTTAAAATCACCTTGACTTGACATTTACACCAATCTGAATTTATCAATAAATTGCAGGACCAAATTCTCTTCCAGTGAACTCCTTGCATGCCTCCATGGAGCGTGTGGCAGCTTTTCCAGCTGGAGGAACGAGAGCTGTGTGGGCTCCCTGAAGTGGTACAACGCCGGGTCATTGGAGAGCCACTGCTTGTTTGGGAACAGAACAGTCTGTGGGTTTTTTTCCAGCACAGCCTGTGGGATGAAGGGCCATTTCACAGGCATCGTGGATTAATCTTTGGTGGGATTTCTCAGGGATCAAACTAAATTGGATGTTTAACCTCACGTGTCCGAGAGCTGAGCGTTCTCTGCTGATAAACCAGGATAGAGGGGATTGAAAGTGACCCACATTGGGTTAAACATTACGTACTTGCAGATGTGCTTAAACTGACTCCTCCATGACAAGCTAAAAATATAGTGAGTATACACATTTTTCCTGCAAAGTCTGAAAATCAGTAAAATCATAACCTCACATTCAAACTGTGTATTTTTCAAGGCAGAAATATAACATTTAGTGGCCTCTATCTGTTTTTTCCTTGCAAACAACTTCAGTTTGTCATTAGTACAAAAAAAAAAGAAAGGCTTAACACAACTTGTAGTTCCTGTGCTTGTCTCCTTAGATTTGATGTTTAACTCCTGAACAAACCTGAATAAACTAAAGTCATTTTGAATAATCCTTGTGGAAACTCTGTTCAGGAAAAAGAGGCTGACCTTTAAATTGTACTGGTTTATTTTTTATCCACTGCAGATGTACAATTACACCACATAGTAACAGATTTATCTTTGATTCTTCGACTTATTATGATCTTTCATTTTTGGTTATATTGACCTGACTGTAAAAATATAACCCCCTACACTGATTGACAGCTGTAGATTTTAGCAGGAATGACAGGAATTTGGGCCTTTCACATGCAGAGATTTATTCATGTGTATTGAATGTATCCTTGTAAACAACATTAAAATGCATAGTTTTTATAAATGCATGAATGTGATCTGTGTTTTTATTCAACAAAAACAGAGTCTACTTACCAATGAGATCTTTGTCAGAAAGTCACTGGATGCATTGAGTGTTTCCTGTATGCAGAATAATCTATACAGACATTAGACTTCAGAAAACATTTGACACATTGCAAATCTGATTTGAACTCTTTCCTCTTGATCTTGATCATTTCGCCACCAAAGAATAAATGTTTGCCACCTGTCTCTGATAAATAAAACTTGACCATATCCTCTTGAAAAAGAGTCAGTCCCCTGCTGCCATTATGAATGGAGGATTTATACAGTCTTACAGTAAGATTAGGAGCATTGTGTGACTAACACAACAGGTTCATATGAATAAAAAAATAAAAACTAAAGATGTAATGTCATTGAACTTTCTATAACCAGTGCAGAAGAATACTTAAAACATTAAAGTTCATTTTGGGTTGGATGTACACAGCTCCAGCTCAGAAATGTCCTGATGAGGGAAACCTACACAATATTTCACAATTATAAATACTGGGTACTCTGGTTTGAAGAAAGTCACTGATGCACCTTTTTAATCAATGTTAGTAAAGCAGGATTCCAACATTAAGGGGATTTTCTTTTTCTTACATTAGCGCCCAGAGCCAAAAACTGAAGTTTATGTACATACACTTCAAATGTTGCTGCTAGTCTTCACTAATTGATAATTAGTGTTTTTTGATCAGAAATAACATATCTAATCCAACAAAGGTTTTCAAAAACATGTTGCAGAGCAAACATTAGGTCTGCATGCGTGTTTTTTTAGCCACTGCCAACTTATGCACAGATATGTTTTGTATTATGATCACAATATTTGTAACCCTGGATGCTCTCTGGAGTTACTCACTGTGCTGTGATTTCATACCTGCTTGGTTATATCAGCATGCTCCTGTGAAATCATGTGACCACATTTGCCACGTCATTGACTTCACAAATCATAGCAGAAATTAATCAGACTGACAGCAGTGATTCTCATTGTGGTTTGAAAGGTATTCAAAAATAAAAATCTTTCACTTTTAATTACAGTAATTTTGCAATCTGATGACACAGGGTGGACTTACTCTGGGTAATGTGCTCACATATTGTGTTTACTCACTGTGTTGACATAACTCATCTATATCCCATCCAGGGACTGCAGCACTGACTGTTTTGAATTAGTTTGGCTTTCAGTCACCTCTTCCACCCACATACTGTAAATAGCTGTGAATCAAACAGCCTGTAGGCAGATGACAAGAGAGGATTTTACCCTTCTTTGCACAGGACAATGTTAACTGTGAAGGTACAGTGTGAGGGAAGCATTTTACCTGCACTCCACCTTTTATAACACTGAGATTAAGGGACTAGACTACTAAAGACCTGTGGTGCATGTATGAATCTCCCACATACCCTGTCCTCTATCTTATTTATTATTGTGCCATGTTGAGAGCCATCAGAAAATTAACACTCTATGATCTTCTGATGAAGTAGAGATCACTCTTTGCTGCCGGCGCATCACTAATAAAATTAATAACTAAATCTCTCTCATGGAGTCAAGAAACATGATCAATCTAATTCAGCCATAACTCCGAGAAATTATCCCCTTTAATGTGCTCAGTGTTTAATCAACCCAGTCTGTTAGATGTTTGCCTGAACTCAGATATTCTCTGATCCAGCCAATGAAAACAGAGGCAATGAGGCGAAGACTGTATTTTAGGGAATTACCTTTTTGCAGGAGTCACTGGTAGTTACTTCACCTCATTTTTTTCTCAAGTATTTAAACCTAACATGTGACTTTACTCAGGTGTTTGCTGGCCTGATCAGTACACACAGCTTTGATTGTAGCTCAAGGTAAACAAACTGCTCGTAGATCATACACTGCAGCAATTTTAATCACCTATGGCATGTCCAGTGAGTAATGACAAACAACAAATATATCGAACAATCTCCTTGTTAAATTTTCACGTTTGAAGTCTTTATTGCTTTTTTAAAAACCCTGATGAGCCTTCATTCGCCAAGCTTTTTGAGCCTCATATAATCAAAATGGATACAATAATACCCTAACTTTGAGTTTAGAAACTGTTTTCATGTGTTAATCAGAGTCAAAGTGGACAATTTTGACCTGTACGGTTTCTGGTTTGTTCTTTTGGGAAAGGGAATACTGATATTCAGTGTATTTGCACTCAGACCAGCTCAGTCTGAATGGATAAATAACAACCGTATTCTCTCATTTCAGTAGGTTTAAGTTGAGGAAAGGAATCGGATTTCCCTTTTCTAGTCCGCCGGAACTTCGTTCAATTGTGTATTCATACTCACACTGCAGATGTTGATTTACATATGGTTTACGCGGGTTTAACATCTGTAAAACACAATACACGTGTCTTGTGCCATGTTCGATGTTTAAAATGTGCGGATAGCTTGAAAGTGACAATGCTTAAACATTATTTAGATTTTTGTTTCTAGTTTCTTCGAGCGGACGGCAGGATATGCGGCCGCTGGAGGTGTTCTCCGGTCTTTATAAACGCGCCGCCATCTTACATTTTTCAGTCTCTGCTGTTCCGGCCAAGTCATCATCTACAGACTGCGGAGGGAGTGGACGAGGCTCCCGGCTGACGCTCGTCCCCACATATTCATCGACTTTTTTTCCATTTCGAAGTGGTTTTTACACACCAGGAACCAAGTGGACGGACTTTTTGTGCTGACAAGGGTAGGCTTCCACATTGAAACTCTCTGCTCCACTCAGTTTGTCCCTCTTTACTTGCCGGGGTTTGCCTTATCTCCAGCGGGAATGGAGACGGCGTTAGCGTGCGGGCCGGCTGGGGATGCTGCTGCCCCCGTTAGCGAACCAGCTGCTCTCACAGCAGATATTTGGGATAAGCCAGCCACCAGCTAATGGAAACCTACGTATTTTAGGAAACTATATCCAATAAATATATCAAAGCGTGGAGTCCGTGTTGGATTACAAAGGCAGTACTTACCAACAACGTTAGCGCACCGCGAGGGATGGTTTGAAGTGCATTTATATTAAGTGTGAAGCTTGACTCGTTTTCGGGTGTAGACACAGATTTTGTGCCTCTCATATTTGATTTGTTAACGTTAGCTAACGATAACCTAGTTCCGAAAGGCTGGATACTATTATCTCTGGTTAAAGTGCTGGCTACATACCACTGGTCTGACTCATTTTTTGCTCGGCTAGAGTTTCGTCTGTTTTGGCGAAACAGATTCAGTATTTGAGAGGAATGTGTACGCTCGTTATATAGTGGGCCTTGCGTGTACTAAAGTAAGTGAGAAAGTGGTTTTCAAAGTGGGTCAAGACGACAAAACTAAAGGGTCGCGTTGACTCCAAACAATCAGTCTGAAGTTGAGCCGAACTTCGTCAAACTGAAAACGGTTGAACTTCAACGGTTTTTGAGGGGACCTGTGAACACGACTCCTCAAGCCCCCTTCATACTGTTGGTCTATATTTGGGTGTATTTTGTTTTTTGTCTAAGTGCTCTTGAGAGTGTGTTTTCAAGCCGTCCATTTAAACAAAGACCGACAAATTCCTCCCAGCCCGTTGTGCTCTGGGAGGAAGACGAGGAGGAGCCACGGTGTGAAATCTGAGTCAAGAAAGTCAGGGGCAGCCAGCAGCTGTGGGGGACAGGAGGGGGCAGCGCACTGTTATCCGGAGAGTGTGGAGTGCGTGGGTCTCTGAGGCATTTTATCAAGTGCTGAATTGTTTGTATTTTCCACACAGTTAATTTTGTATGTATTTTGGTGTGGCAAGCCCACGGATGAGAAACTCAGGGAGTCGCGGTGGACAGATTTCAGGATAAATTTTCTAGTTATTTGAGTTATATTCTCGATATGAGACAGAGACGTACTGCTACGGCGGCTATGTTGATTTTATACCACTCAACCCCACGAATTAAAGCCCCATGTGTTTTTTTTAATGGTTAATATAATCAGACACAGCAGGATGATGAGTTTAATGTTATCTAAGAGGTCACTGCACTGTCTCTGGATCTTGAAGTTTCTAAAATCCCCATCAGATTGCACAATGGAAGAAAATACTAACAAACCATCGTCAGCAAGATTTTCTTCAACCTCTGCATGAAAAATGTTTGAACGGAAGTGTGGTGGAGACTTGACTCGAACACCAGTCGTGGTTAGTTGTGAGGTAATTTACCTGAAAGACTGTTCCCGAGAAGCTTTACTGTGGTATATACATGTTGTACACACACATACGGGACAATTTACTGTATATTGTGAGTTATTTTAAATTTAACATGATAGTAATATTTATTTTTTATTTTCAGAAAACATACTCTGTGTAGGAAAATGTTGAATCCCGCAATTCTCCCTCCCTGCAAACGTATTTTTCCAGTTTTGATCAAGTCTGAAATATACAGCAGCAGGCAGAGACAAAGTACTCTGGTGTTTCCTGAAACTCCCGTGTCTCCACAGGCTTTCTCATTTTGCAGTAGAGATGGAGCAAACACTGCAGCGGCTGCAGGCATTGAGCTCATTGTATTGTTGGCAGCCGGCAGTGAGTGCTGCTGACCCTGCACATTGTGTGGCCAGCGCTGAAGCCTGTGGCGGCTCTTGTCTCACTGCTGGGCCCGATAATGCAGCTTGTTTGGGTCATTTACTCATATGGATGTGTTGAACTCTGTTTTCTTCACTTGAGAGGAAATGGACTGTGGTAGAGTTTGAAATAGATTTAGCTCTTTTGAAGCCCTGTTTACCATGAATGTTTATCTTTTTTTCTATAAATCAAAACATTGTGTGCCTCCCCTTTCCAATTAATTTTTATAAATGAAACTATGTCAACTGTAGCCAAGGTAGACCTTCGGCATAACTGGTTAAATTTGCTGACAGGAGAGAGAGAGAGAGAGAGAGTTAGAGTGGGCTTTTAAATTCCACTAACAGGAAATAGCTGTGATTTTCTGCTCTTCTGTCATCAGTTTTATTTCAAGTTCACACAAATTGAAACAGAAATGACAGTAATTCATCTCTGCAGAAGTGATTAAAGAATCTAATTTTCTCCAGTCTAGTTTTCCTTCCCCCTTCTTTTGGACAGTTGGTCAAAGTTTGGTGTGTTTTGTTAACATAAACATGTATTTTAATTTAGTGCTCTGTCATCATATATTTGGCTAGACCTAGTCCAGTAGAATCTACACAGGGGTAATCCTATTTGTTTCAGTCGAGGTTCTACCCTGTATGATGGGAATCAAGTCTGCAGATCAAGTGTTTGAGAACTCTGATAACACAATTTCTAAATTTCCACATATATTTTTTAAAAATTACTCTCTGCCTTTATTTACTCAAGCAGTTGTGGCTGTAAGAGTCTTGCTGTTTCACCTTCATGTGTCCGATTGTTTGTCTTTTCCACCTGAATGGTCTCTGGCTGCATTAAAGGGACATTTATAGGCAAGGAGCTGGTTTTTGGATATGTCTCTCGGTATAGGTGTTTAGTGGATTTGGGTTCACTCCAAGTAATGTATCAAAAAACGTGTTTGAATACAATTTAACTCAGTGTAGTGTCAAGAGCACAGCCAGAAGAAATGTGGGATCTGTACATGTACGTAGAACAGCCCCTGAAACCTGTTTCTTTGAAGTGAACATTTGCAACCACGAGAAAAAAAACAGCTTTGCATGTAAACTAAAACCAAAAACACATTCAGTTTTAGTACAGTATAAAAAAAAACAGTGCATTATCACAGAAGTTGGTATTATAAATGTTCAGTTCAGCCCCTCTCTGTGTGATTAGAGCAGGATTCTCTTGACTTGGTTGAAGGCAGATTGAAGGACTCTATTTCTGGCCACCCTGCTTTGTGCTGGAACAGTAAGCCTGTCATTTGAGTTTTGTCCTGGGACTCTTCTGCTGTGGTTAAACTTCACTTCATAGTACTATATGCCCATGAACGTAGCATCTCTATCTATACCAGACAATAGTATGTCTTAACAAGGAATGAAAAAGTTTCTACATTGTCAAGGTGTTATTATTACATATACCTGAGTGTATCCAGCACAATGCAGCCAAGAGAGCTCTCTGACTGTTGACTTGTGTATCTCTCATTAGTCATCTGGTTTCAGTTGTATGGCTTTTCTGTGGATCCAGCACCGCTCTACATATGGGATTCCACATCTGGCTTCAAAGAAGGCTGTTTTTGAGGCTGGGCTGCTCGCCCGGTTTCATGAACTCCTTACCGTAACAAGTTTTTTTGTTTAATGGTCAGTCAGACTTGTGGAAAAACTATCATTTGTGCGTCTCACTTACAGACCAAACTTTGCCTGTTTGCACATTTAAAACTTCCCATCAGCTCAGATTTCAAAGCCTGATGTAACGGCCCGTATGTTCAACCAGTGTGGCTGATAGATGGTTCGACTGTGAGCTTTGATTGAACCTTTGATTTTGCATGCTGCTCTATGACACATATGGCTACCATTAGGACAGGGCAAGGTTATATGAGGGCATGTCTGCTAAGCTGGGAGGATGGTGTGTGAACAGTCAATTTGAGTTGGTGTATTTGAGGTTAGGAGCAGCAGGATTGGAGCCTGACTCAAGATTGGGCTTTAATGACACAGCTGAGCTGAAGCAGTGTGGCTGCCTGAGCAGGGAAGTCATCCAAAGCAGTAGTTAAGCTACCCATGGGTATGGGTTTACGTATCACCGCAATGAAACTCCACATACTTCCACACAACCACAGACTCTCAAACCTGAGAGTTTGTTAACATTGCATGCATGTATGCTGCACATTTCTGTCATCGAACTGTTTTTTTTGTCCAGCCTCCATATTTCAGTCAGGGTTAGAAAGAAGGTTAAACACTCTGAGAACAAAGAACAACGAGAAGAGCAACCCTTTTCAGGCATATGTTTACCAAGCAGAGTGCATCCTATCCTTGCCAATAAAATGTTATTGTTGACGAGATTTCTTTAAACTCGAGTCATTTATAAAAACAATCAATAAAATCTTGAATTATGTTCATTATGTCTTCAGTTTCTTAGAAATCGTTTTCTTTTTCCTTTATCTCACACATGTAATCTTTTTAAGCTGATATGACATGTCACACCGACCACCAAGTGACACTTCTGAGGAAGGCAGAAGTTTCTGTGGAAATATGTCTTGGTATTTGAAAAAGATTACATGTCTGAGATAAAGGAAAAAAGGAAACTTCCATGAATAAAGGGTGACAAAAGGTTGACAGAACCACACCAAAATGAGGTGAAAAAGATGAGTCTCTGCTCAGAGACAACAACAGTGATTCCATTTAACATGATATTGACCAAGTCTAGCCAAAGCTAGCATCATTAGCTGATAGCTCTCCTACAGAACCTCCAGTACATCAGGATTTTGTATTCGCTGCGTGCACTCAGTCAGCTGAACGATCAAACCTATTCACCCTCACTCCACCACTAGCTGGAGCTGCTGCCATGATGCTGTGACGCTCTGCTCTTCTAATGTAAACAAGCTAAGAGGACATGAAATTATCCGTGGATCTCCCGGTGTCTTCTAACTCTTCATAACCAGGAATGGCAACAGCAGCGTGATTAAATCTACTCAGCACCTTCGCTGTCAACGTTGGGTGTTGAATAAGGGACCATCAATAAATTACTGGTTGATGTTCTCAAAAGAGGCTGTTAATAGCTTCCATGTCAAGTGACCAAAAGACCTAAAATTGATTTCATATAACAGTACTTATTTCGACCAATTAGACACTCTCTTTTTATTTCTCTAATTTGTCCTCCAATAATTTCTGTGTTAAATTTAAAGGCAGATTTTGAACATTTTCTTCAATAGCTTCTATGTCATGTAACCAAAAGATCTAAAATTGATATCAAATAATAGTACTTATGTTGACCGATAAGACACACATTATTTGATCAATTTTCATTGTGCCCCTGTAGTTCTTTTGTGCTCCTTACTTTTTAACTTAAGGGTACATTTGATCCTTGTTAAAAAAAACTTAGTGTCAAGCCCTGAATCTGGTGAAAATAGCATCAGTCCTCATAGAGCAGGGCTGGGGGTGTAGCTCTGATGGTGTTTACCTGCAGACCGAATAATCCAGTATTTAGCTAAATCAAATAATCATTCTTCATTCTGTTAGTTCAAGGCCTGTTGGTGCATCCAAAGTAGTTGCTTAGGAACATCCTGAGTACAAATCTATATCTGTGGTTAGAAAACTAAATATGAACACACACAAACACACACAAACACACACATACACACGTATCACCTGAACAGACACAGGAATGACAAAGGGATGCTTGTCAGACTGGGCTCATACTAAGGCTGTATCTGTGGATGACTTAATGACATGTCTGGCACATCTCTGTGTGTCCTGTGCAGTCTTTGAAAATTTAATTGGCTATTTCACCTACAAGAGGAGATCTTTTTTAAAATTTGTTTGAATCTTTGACAACCTCCAAAATCAAAATAAAGTCATTCCCTTCAAAACCCTGTGCACCCTTTTATCAAAATCATACAAAAATCTCAGCTATCAAATGAAAGTTTTCACGGCCAATCCTTTTAGATTTCTTTCAAACAGCAGAATCAAAGTTTCTATTGTTGCTACATTTCTGACCTCATGTCGGTGAATAAGCTTCATGCTGGTTGCATCAGGCTTCGCAGAGGAAAAGTAGCTGCTGGGGACTTCAAATACGGTTAGAAATATAAAATAAAACCTTTTTGTCAAAGTGTTTGTTCTCCTGTTAGCTGATGCAAATGTAGATTGTAGTAAAATCCAAGACCAGACTTCATCACTGGATCCATGACTTTGTTGATGTGTTGATGTGAGTGCAGCTTATCATATGGCTTTGGGCCGACTTCAGTCAGTTTGCCCCGTGTTAAATGATCATATGGTCAGATGATCAGGCAAAGACAGGCCTCAGGGTTTTTTTTGACTTGTTTAATGGAAATGATGTCTAACCAGTAGTGTGTGTTTTCAGAGCTGTGGCTTTCCGTCACTCAGCTCTCTCTCTCTCGTGTCATTTTAAAGGTTGAGGTTAGTGGGCTGTGGCTCACATCTGCTATCACGAGTGAGGTATGAATCAATTCCTGACTCTTGTTTTGTCATCCCGGCGTTTCCCTCTGCTTAAGCCTCTCAAGTCTTAAAAACATGTCCGGACCGGTTGTGCCGTGAGTGAAAAGGATTGAGTCTGTACTTGGCTGAAGAATTCATTAAGGTCTACGGCGCACAGATTTATTTAGAAAAGGGTTTTGACGAAGGGATTTCTAAATCTGTGGATCCACAGCTCCTGTTTGCTGTCTCATTTGAGCCGGGATTTTCTTCGACGTTTTCCCATTTCCTGCTTTGGAGTGTGGCTGTCATAACATTTATCTTTGAATATAAATTGGAAATTCTTGCGTTAAAATGTTCTCTTTTCTGAATTAATCCCCTCTCCCTTTCTCCACCTCTCTGCTGCCATAGCCTGTGTTTACTTTCCTGCAGAGTGTGGGTTCAGCTTCAAAGAGAGCTCAGGAATGTGTGTGCCCTCCCCCCTCCAATTTTTCCTCCACCCAGTGCTCCACTTCCCCCGTCCTTCCTCACCTAAATAGTTACTCGCTGCTGCACTTAAAGGTGGCTTTGTGTGTGTGTATATGTGTGTGCGCGTGTGTGTGTGTGTGAGAACTGCTGTTGATTACATGTCAGGGTCCAACAGAGGAGGATACCCTCTAAAGGAAAGACAGTGCTTGTCTCGACATTTTCTTTTTAAGCGACCCAACTCTGCAGTTGAGTTCTCACCTTTCTGCTTTCTTCTGTGTGTGTGTGGAAACAAAGATGGCCGTTGTTTAGAGTCAAAGGAAGGTGGGCTGATGGAGGGTGAGGTGCCACAGAGGAGCTTTAACTGACCACTTTTTGTTTTGTTTTTCCAGATCAGGAAGCTGTGTTGGCTGCAGTTTGAGAAAGGAACATGGCTTCCCAAGGTGAGTTGATTGTTTTCAGACACACACACACACACACACACACACACACACACACACACACACACACACACACTCGTCCCTGTGTCATCATTAGTATGCAGCTGTTTTTTTCCCCTCGGTCATATTGACAGTAACAATAAAAACAAATATTCAGTTTTGCTGTAGTTCACTGGCCTGTTCTCCTGCTGAGATTTATGGTTTCATTGGAGCAAAAGTGAATTAGTTATTGATTTCAATTTGAAACATAAATTTTACTTAGTGCTTGAAAACATTTTAACACCTTAAGTGATAAACCACACATCGCTCAAGTGTGTTAAATCAACAGCTCGAGGAGCAGATGAGAAATCCATCAGTGACAGTTACGCAGCATATTGCCTTAATTTTTACATTTCCCCAAAATGTATCATATCATGTTCGAAACTGAGCTCTTTTTTTTATAATCGATGTATCCCATTTTTCTGGTCTCCTCCCAGCTGATCTGATGGAGCTGGACATGGCCATGGAGCCGGACCGTAAGGCTGCAGTCAGCCACTGGCAGCAACAGTCTTACCTGGATTCAGGCATCCATTCAGGAGCCACCACAACTGCCCCCTCCCTCAGCGGGAAGGGAAACCCCGAAGAAGAGGATGTGGACAACCAGGTCATGTATGAGTGGGAGCAAGGCTTCAACCAGAACTTCGCCCAGGAACAAGTTCAAGGTCAGTACATTCATTACTCAAGCCTTTGACGTGTACCCCCAAATAGCAGCTTGAGGACCAGTAAAATAAAAACAAGGCTGTGTGTCTGCCTCTTCCAGACATAGATGGTCAGTATGCCATGACGCGTGCTCAGAGGGTGCGTGCAGCCATGTTTCCAGAGACCCTTGAGGAGGGTATGCAGATTCCTTCGACGCAGTACGACGCAGCAAATCCCACCAATGTCCAGAGGTTGGCAGAGCCCTCGCAGATGCTCAAACACGCCGTGGTCAATCTGATCAACTACCAAGACGATGCGGAGCTGGCAACCAGAGCCATACCTGAACTGACCAAACTGCTCAACGATGAGGACCAGGTAGCTGTCCTATGACCACCTCTAAATGTTTGTTTATTATTATTATTGTTTTTCTCACCTCGCTAATGTGCGCTCTGTCTTTTGTAGGTTGTAGTAAACAAAGCGGCGGTGATGGTTCACCAGCTCTCAAAGAAAGAAGCCTCTCGCCACGCCATCATGCGCTCCCCTCAGATGGTTTCCGCTATCGTCAGGACCATGCAGAACACAAATGACGTGGAGACGGCCCGCTGCACAGCAGGAACGCTCCACAACCTGTCCCACCACAGAGAGGGTCTGCTGGCTATCTTCAAGTCTGGAGGAATCCCAGCCCTCGTGAAAATGCTGGGGTATGTGAGGGATGATCTGAGTAGAAGCCATTGTGGGCCTAAGTGTTCTCATCTGAAGAGTTATTCTCGGTTTTTGTTATGAAGTAGATATTTGTCATATCAGATGAGTCTTTGGACTGTGGAGAGATGGTGATAGTTTACTAACTCATCAAATACGGAGGATGAGCAGCAGAAAGAGCTTTAAGAAATCTAATCGAATATCAAACTGTGGGCTTATTATCCAGTAGAGTAGCAAACCAATAATAAACCTCTGTGTTTGCTTCACAGTTCACCAGTGGACTCTGTCCTCTTCTACGCCATCACCACCCTCCACAACCTCCTCCTGCACCAGGAAGGCGCCAAGATGGCTGTTCGTTTAGCAGGGGGTCTACAGAAAATGGTGGCTTTGCTCAACAAGACTAATGTCAAGTTCCTGGCCATCACCACCGACTGCCTCCAGATTCTGGCGTACGGAAACCAGGAGAGCAAGGTAAAGGGTCGGGGAAGGATGGTGAGAATGTCACAGTGGATGTTACAAGAACAAAAAAGTCTTAATCATCTCTTCTGTTTTCTTCCACTGTAGCTGATAATCCTGGCCAGCGGCGGCCCCCAGGCCTTGGTCAACATCATGAGGACTTACACCTATGAGAAGCTTCTGTGGACCACAAGCAGAGTCCTCAAAGTTCTGTCAGTCTGCTCCAGTAACAAGCCTGCCATTGTAGAAGCGGGTATGTCTGCTGTCTGTAACTTTCAGTCTGCTTATCGTGACTGTGAGCGCTGCAGGTCACACACATGATTAATATGGTGTGTTGTAGTGTTCAGAGTCACGTGTCACAGAAGTCACATTCTCACCATCTGTTTTCGTTGGTCCAGGAGGCATGCAGGCTCTCGGACTTCACCTGACAGACCCAAGCCAGAGACTGGTCCAGAACTGTCTTTGGACTCTCAGGAACTTATCAGATGCTGCCACCAAACAGGTAATGAGAGTTTTCAAGTCATTTTTTTGTTTTTGATACAAACACTGTGCGCTCCATTTCTCTTTTAATTTAATTTTTCTTTGACACTGTCTCTCTGCAGGAGGGAATGGAGGGTCTGTTAGGGACTCTGGTCCAGCTACTGGGCAGTGACGACATTAACGTGGTGACCTGTGCTGCTGGAATCCTATCTAACCTGACCTGCAACAACTACAAGAACAAGATGATGGTCTGCCAGGTGAGAAACACAGTACATTAATTATTTCAGTGTTGTAATGTAATGTTACCAATGTAAGAACACTCTCAGTGAGGCTGGAGCGTCCATTAATCTGTTGAATGTCTGTCTGTTCAGGTCGGAGGCATTGAGGCGTTGGTTCGCACGGTGCTGCGGGCTGGAGACAGAGAAGACATCACAGAGCCGGCTATTTGTGCCCTGCGTCACCTCACATCCAGACACCAGGACGCCGAGATGGCACAGAACGCCGTCAGGCTCCACTACGGTCTGCCTGTGGTGGTTAAATTACTGCACCCGCCTTCACACTGGCCACTCATTAAGGTACAGACACGCACAAACACACAGTAGCCAGCAGCAGCAGCAGTCTGCCGCGTTAGTTGACACTCACACTGGCAGCTGCTCATAATTCCTATGAAAGTGAGTTTTACTCTTGACCTCACATCGACTGTTCGGTGTTGCTTTGCTTGAATGTTTCTAGTTTTTTGTCCTTGTCCGATTCAGAAGCTGCGAAATATGCTTGAATACTGGTATCCAGGATATATGAATGTAAAACTTGCTTTTCTTATCACTGGATTGAAAAAAAAAAAGACTCACATTGCAAGCACAAACCAGAGAAAGACTTCTCAGTAAGAAGGGATTTAGGTGTGCATATCTTGAGATTACAGAAATGATGTGCATCGCTCTGTAAGTAACTTTGCTTTAGTTCCTAATCTGATGTGACTGATGGTAATCTCGAGCTGAGGTTTCAAACAGCTGTAGTGAAATGAAACTGTGCTCCTTCATCAGGCCACAGTGGGACTGATCCGTAACCTGGCTCTGTGCCCCGCCAACCACGCTCCTCTGAGGGAGCAGGGAGCCATCCCCAGACTGGTCCAGCTGCTGGTCAGAGCCCACCAAGACACACAGAGACGCACCAGCATGGGAGGCACGCAGCAGCAGTTTGTGGTGAGAACAGACGCAGAGCTCTTTAGAGAAAACAAACAAACAAACAAAAGACAGTATGACGGGATTGTGTTGGGTAGGGTTTAGTCGGGTCATATTTTTATCTTTAAATTGATCCCATCGCTGCCCTCTTGAGTTTGTTGTTTCTTCAAAGTTCCACACACTCTTCTAAACTAAGCTTTCAACTGTTTATTAGGAGGGAGTCCGTATGGAGGAGATCGTGGAGGGCTGCACAGGAGCACTTCACATCCTCGCCAGAGACGTCCACAACAGGATAGTCATCAGGGGGCTCAACACCATTCCACTCTTCGTACAGGTACAAACATTCGCCGTCTCTCTACGAGTCGCTCGCTGTGACGCCTTGAGAATCACCTGAAGTAACTCTGTGTCTGTGTGTTCCTGTGCAGCTGCTGTACTCTCCCATTGAAAACATTCAGCGTGTGGCGGCCGGCGTCCTGTGTGAGCTCGCCCAGGACAAAGAAGCTGCTGAGGCCATCGAGGCTGAGGGAGCCACCGCTCCTCTCACAGAGCTGCTGCACAGCCGCAACGAAGGAGTTGGTACGTTTTTAAAGTCAAAGCTGATGACACGAGCTCTTATGATGAGATAAAATACTGGCACTGAAAGCAGGAATGTATGGAAATGAATTAGATCAATTTCCAGGTCTTAAAAAGTATGGAAAATGAAAAATAAAGTATGGAAAAATATTTGTTTTCAGACTAATTTTCCAAAATGGAAAAGTAGGTATTTCTGAAAATAATTCTATAAAGTAGGGTATGGAAAAGTATGAAAAGTCCGAACATATAGGAACCCTGCTAAAGTCATTTTTAAATGGGTTTTAAATCCACTTTTTTTCCAGACCTGTTCCTCGTCCTCTCTTGGAGCAGTGGCTTTATTTCTTCTCTTTACTAACCTGCCATTAAACTTTTCTCTCAGCCACCTACGCTGCAGCTGTTTTGTTCCGTATGTCAGAGGACAAACCTCAAGACTACAAGAAACGCCTCTCAGTAGAACTCACCAGTTCGCTCTTCAGGACAGAACCAATGGCCTGGAATGAGGTATGAAAACTCTTAATGATGAGCTCTCTTCATTCGTTGCAAATGTTTCTAAAGGGCAAATAAAAGCCTGACTAGCTGATGATTGTCAGACTACTCATCCTCTTTTCTGTGTGTGTGTGTGTGTGTGTTTCTCTGCAGACTGGAGACCTAGGTTTGGACATTGGAGCTCAGGGTGAGCCTCTGGGCTACAGACAGGAAGGTAAGTCACCCTCTGACCTCTAGCAGGCTGGGGGGGCTCCCAGGGGAAACACGGGAGGGATGAAGATGTCAAACATACACACCAGAGCAGTGAGACTGCCACAAAAACAGAGATTAGATTTTTTTTTTTTTCTGTGACTAATTGGACAGACAGTCTCTGCTCGGAGTGTTTCAGTCCCTTCTGTTGTAAAGTTTCTCTAAAACAGTGGACCTTCTCTGTCCTTATTAAACTGACGCACAACCAGACCTGTCACAGTCCAACGCCTGAGCTGGGTCTTCCCATCATTAGGACTGCTAATGACAGGATTTACTGTTCACTCTGAACTTCAAAGTAGTGTTGCCCTTCACCACTGACTCAAGTTACCTGAGATAGATCCTCATCCCAGCTGTGAGAGTGGAGAACACCAGTGTGTTCAGAAACTCAACACTGCTGCCTGCAGTCATTGTCACAGTTGGCTCCCAGAATGCAGCAGGTGCAGCAGGACCTTGGACTGTGGACTGATCGATAGTCTGAGGGCTGAGGGTTCGCTGTGTATTTGAGTTTACAGCTCGCTCTGTTCCTCCAGCATTGTTTTCACAGTGGAGGTTTAGGCTCAATTAAAGCTAACACGTAAATTTATCTGAGAAAAACAGAGACGATGAGGGCGTGAGCTAAAAGCCCCTCAGCTCACAGATAGTTGAGTCTGTTGGAGGTCTGTGTGTGTGTTGTGTGTGCCGTGTGTAGCTGCTGTGCAGTGTTCGAATGATCATACTACTGTGTGACGGCTTGGTTTGTTAACATGCTTCTAACAACTGCTCTGCTTCCCCTGCTTCTCCTCCACCCACTCCTCCCTTCCCCCAGACCCCAGCTACCGTTCCTTCCACTCAGGGGGTTACGGAGGGGACACGATGGGTTTGGAGCCCATGATGGACCATGATCTGGGTGGGGGCCACCACCCTGGCCAGGACTATCCCCCTGTAGAGGGGCTGCCTGACCTGGGACACGCCCAAGAACTCATAGAGGGTCTGCCACCTGGTGACTCCAACCAACTGGCCTGGTTTGATACCGACTTGTAAATACCGAGACCAACATTACACTACACTTTCTACTAGGTAAGGAGGTCTTCACACTCAGGGCGGCATGTGAACAATCAAAGATGAGACCCTCTCTCTCTTTTTATTCTGTTTTCTGAACCAAATGTTTAAGTGGAAGTAAACTGTGGAGGTTTTCTGTCATGACTGATCGTCTGATGGGGAAGAGGAGGGTGGGATTACTCACTGTGGCTGTTGCATGTTCAGACTGCTCCTAATTATACGGCTGTGTGATGTGGGGTGTGTGTGTGTGTGTGATGTTTCACTGGGTTTGATCTGTGTGTGTGGTCTAAACCGTCGCCTGTGCCCTGTCTCCTTCCTCTCACCTCCCTGGTTTTGGACTCATTTTCTTCTTTTTTCCATCCTCCCCCTCTCCTCTCCTCTCCTCTCACAGCTGTATCATGTGATCTGGATGAACCTGCATCGTGATTCGCCCATATGGAGGAGGCGGGGTTTCAGAAAGTGCCTGAAGATGACTCAACAACAACAACAAGCAGAGTTTCCTGTCTATGGGAACTCCATTGGGACAAACAAGATTAAAGTGCGGTTCCGCTCTCAGCCCGGCAGAAGGCTGATTTTAAATCCTGACACGACACATGGATTTTGATCTCAACAGTTAATTTTTTGAAATCCCTTTTCTGTATTTTGTTTTTCATTTTTACTACTTTTGGTTGTTTTACTTTTTTTATTCTGTTTTTCTCAAGTCTGTAATGGTACAAACGGATTCTAGCTTGCTTTTTTCCCCATCCTTCTGAATTATGATACTCATCCTTTTGTTTTCGCAGTCCCTTGTATTTTAAGTCTCTGGTAGTGTTGAGTTTTTTAGTGCTAATGCTCCATCAAAGTAAAAGAAACTGATCACATTTTAAATGGTGTCCGAACACTAAAGTTAATCAGTTGAATTGTATTCTGATGATCAAGTGTAACATTGTGTAGCTTTTGTATAAAAACATGAATTGGAAGTCATGGTCCAAATATCAAGCTATTTTCTTGCTTTAAAGGTGGACACTGATGTGTCCCTGCTGTTCCAAAGGGGGTGTAGCTGACCTAGCTGGAGGGGGGAGGCTGTGGAAGGACCAGGGTGTAGGAGGGCTCTTATAGGCCTGCTGTTACTAAGGGGAGGGGGTCATGGGAGGAGCTGGTTGCTGTAGCCTGCTGTGTTCTGAAACAATAAAATGGACTGTCATTTCACCTGGATGAGTCAGTATTATTTCACCCACATTTTTCATCAAGTACACAGTGAGTACACATGGTTGGTGGGAAAAGGAGCACTTCTCTCTCAAGTTTTGTAGGTTTTTGAGTGGAAATATGTCATCTAGCACTGCGCCCTGTAAGTCAGCCATCAATTACAATTTAGTCTTTAAATACTAGACTTGTCTGCTGTTAGAAGATGGAGATAGATCATTGTTCATACAACCACAACATAGGTGTGATTCACAGCTTTAGACAGCTCATGTAGGCAAACTATGACCTCCAAAAACGAACATCCACAAGCTCCAACTGAGGCCTCCCTGAGAGGATACCAGAGCAGCATATCGTCTTTCAGTTTGGTGGCTGTGCTCTAGTCTAAGCCAGAACTGCATTAATAATGGAAACTAAAGAAACTAATGCTCTGTAGCAGCGGATGTAAACTTTCAAAGCCTAAGTTCTCTGTGAGAAAAGATGTTTGGAGGGTTTTCTTAACCTTACACAAGCAAGACCCAAGCAAGAGCTTCACTTCACCCTCAACTCCCAGGTGACCCCATGATACCTCTGAGCAGCATACAGACCTCTGCTGAAGGTAGAAGATCTCTGTAAGCTTGGTTCATAAAGTTGAATCACTAAGAAACTTTAGGTTGATAGCAGACAAACCTGATTGATATTAGTACAATGACTGTAACTTTGATTACCCCAGTCACACACTTATGGCTCTGGTCTCAGCTGCAGCGTACACATCCTCATCAGCGTGGAATCACAACTCCTCATAACATGACGAATGAAGAGTGTGTGAGGACATTTCAGAGTCGGCAGTGGATGTGCAGTGTGATGCTCAGAGCTGCATTAAGCATCAGGCTGATTTGAAATGTGATTATGCCACATTAAGGGCAGACATACGATGTCAGACTCATGAACTTATTGCCTGATACTCCATCATTAATGCTTCCAGTGACTGAATGACCCCAGCAGTCAGCGCTGTGACGCCTGTGACAGAGTGAATTAAGTCCAGCTGTAATCCTGTGTGCCCTGATGGACACTGAATGGATGTTATGATTGAGCTGTCAAGTTCTCTTAATGATACAGTCATATTTATTACTGTCATTGATTCAATTTGCAGACTTGATGACCGTCATGTTGAGGGGATGAACACTCTGATCACACAGGGTCAGATTCACTCATGTCTCCAAGCTGGGAGGAGATGTTCTCATGGATCATGTGAAAAGAAAAGTCATTTCATGAGACATTTGCCACATTAAATAGTATTTAATACAATTCACTGTTGTGTTTACATCCAGCTATTCAAACTTTTTTTACATATGAACTCTCAAATATAATAAAAAGCAAATAAGTGGACATTCAGTAAAAAAACTTGCAATATTTTGACAATACAAACCTCCAATTAGTCATGTAGTAAAACGACTAAAATTAGAGGGAAATTCTCAAAGTCTGAAATCATTAATAAGTTATTAAAAAGGCACACAGGTTTTTGTTCTACTTTCCTAAACATTTGGAGATGAGAAGTTTTGGAATCCAGAAATATTGAGGATTTCAGCTGCCAGGGTAACAACATCAATGTGACACCTGAGGTGGAGGAAACAAAAAACACCGTCAGTGTAAAAAGTCATTTACATTCTTCTTAAAACATTTCATCATACAAAGAGACACTTAAAGAGATCTGTGGGGTCATGACTTTAAGATGAATTTTAACAATAGCAAAACATGTACACTCTTTGATTCAGCATGAGGATGTGCTGAAAATATCCCCCTCTCTTCTTGTTTCTTACTTCTTAAACGGTCAGAAAATGAAAATGAAACCAATTTTGAAAAATGAATCTGACACCGCTCTGAAAGTACCACTGAGTTCTGACCTGACCCTCTTATACCTGCAGTGTGCCGAGAAACTTTGCAGCACAAAATAAAAAAATCAATGAATAAAAGTGAATGACTTCTTGATGGAGCTCCAGATTACTGCAGCTTTTTCTTACTCATTTCCATCTAAAAAAAAAAAAAATGAAAGATCAGTTTCTGAATATCAGTCTATTTTCTGAAAATGACTGTGGCCTTCCGGGACAAGAGGCTCATGTGAAGCAAGTTAAGAATGATCCTTCCTATGTCTCAGGCTTTTTCCCTCAGAAACTGCATCTACCACTCTCTTCTCCTTCACTATCTTCCAACCGGTGCCACTTACTAAATACACAAATGGCGCAGGTTATTTGTTTGTCTGTTCTGAGCTTGACAGAAACACGATGATGCAAAAAAGAGGTGATAATATTTGTATTATGAATATCCTATAGCTGCACACTGTACCTTTAATGGCATTAAGCAGACATCCCTTCCTTTTGAAAGAACTTTTCTACACTAACATGGTCGTCATTGAAATTCAGTCTTTAATTCAGCACAAAAGTCCATTCAAGGTTGTCTAATTTTCAAGAAACTGTACTTAACCAAAACAAACCAGATCTAAACTGTTTGGGTTTTAAGTGATATGCAGTGCTATTTACTTTTTTCAAACCAGAGTCCTTGGAAACTTCAAGAACCAGACTAAAGTCCCAGCCAACGGAGGACTCAAAGTTGATCCACTAGTCTGTGTTGGTTAGTCTGTTCAGGCCTCTGTTCACAGCAGCACAGATGAAGCTGTTGACTCAAATGAAGGAGGATTGACAGGGGGGTTCACTCTGCTGGAGTCCTACTATTTCAAGGTGGGTCAGGTGAGAGCTCTGGACCAGGTGTTCATGTAGGATGCTGCTCCATCCTACAGTGACTGCTGCTTCAGTCATGCTGATAGTCAGCTCTGTTTTCTAAACATTATTTTCTTATTCTGATCATAGTTAGACATTTCATCCTTTTTTGACATTTCGTTTCTACGCTGTTGCCATGGCAATGATACAAAATCTTGAAACAAATCTTTTCAATCACATATTTGAACATGTATCTACATAATAACTCTGGTGCTACACTCTCTTGGCTGACTGAAAAAATAAGTCACATTAGTCCTGATCAAAATGAAGTCTTGTACAAAAACATACAAACACTTATTTAATCATGTGTCATAGTTAGCATGCGCTCCTACCCTACCTCTCCTCTCTCCTTCTCTAATCTCCCTTTCTCACCCTCCTCCCCCTTCTCTTCCTCCCAGGTGTCTTTGAGGGCAGCCTGCAGCCAGGCCGGCAGAAGCCCACCCCCTTACTTGATTAAAACCTCCATAATTAAGCTAATTAACACAGCTCCCGGAGGCCTTAGAAAACCTTGAAAGTTTGTGAATTTGAAGAGCATAAATTGGATCCCTAAAAGTTTCTGAAGCAAACTTTCACAGCCTCGCTCAGCAGCTGGAGCAGAGGATAGCTGAGAATGAAATAATTGGTTTGAGATTGCAGTAAATGGCCATTACAGAACCACATTAGTCTCACACGCGCCATGAACAAGCAGTTTGACGGTTTTCTCTGTGAGAGGAGCCAAAGAACCTCCAGCAGAACTTAGCGCACAACAAGGTTCCTCAGACTGTTTCCTTCCTCTGACAGCTGCTCAGAGGGACTTTCACTCTATCTCACATAGATAGTTTTACATGATATATTTCAAACCTGCTCTCAGTTTAAGGTTTGTATACATAAAGGTAAACTGAGGGGACTACTGCAAAACTACTCAGTATAATAAAGACAGTGATATCTGTGGACTATCATATGGGAGGTAAGGTATCTTTACTTCTGTTTTGAGTAGATGTTAATGTTGAAAAAAAAAACACTATTACAAATGTTAAAACAGAGGTTAATATGTAGAGCAGCTTGAAAAGTCAGAAATATTATGAGGTAATAGCTAATATAAAGACTTAAACGTTTGTTCATTTATCATGGTACTGTCATGGCCTTATCTATTGATTATTCAGTCCATTCAGTCAAGAGGCTGATATAAAATACACCCTCAGCAGTACTGACCTGTTCCCCTATCTAGTTTATAGCTTGTAATTTTTCCTCATGGGATAAATTATTGAATTTTATTTGTCAAAACTTCACACAAGTTCTAATTGATCCTGAATAGTAAAAGTGATGCTAATCTGATCAACATTTATGAAGCTTATGATTGATCTCAGCTGGATGTCTGTCAAAACACTTTGCAAACCCTCACTTTTTAATATTTTACATGTAGTTATTCTTCTTGATAATAACAATAACAATAACTATAACTATAATAACAATAATAATAATAATAAAAATAATAATGCATTAGATTTCATATAGCGCTTTATCCGAGACCTTCAAAGCGCTTTTACATTGGAAACATTGATTCGCTCACACAGTCACACTTTGGTGGTGGTAAACTACCTTGGTAGTTACAGCTGCCCTGGGGCAGAGTGACAGAAACATGGCTGCCATTTTGTGCACAGCCTAAATCATACACCAGTGGAGGACACACACTGGGAGCAAGATGTCTTGCTCAAGGACACAATGGACAGACTCGGGATAGGGGGGAATCAAACCACCAACCTTCCAGTTATTGGACGACTGCTCTATCCCCCGCCCCTTATTATTATTTATTATTATTATTATTATTATTATTATTATTATTATCATACAGTATATAGAATTAAAACAAATAAAACTTAATCGACTTTATCTTGTTCAGCTTGATGTATTTATGTAGACTGGTAGGAATACTGTTGCCATGGAAGCCCCACTAACTGTTGAGTCTGAGGGATGATTTGTTTAGCTGCTTTTAAGAACTTGCTCTTCAATAAAATATTTTTAAAAATCAGATTTATAACAAGTCTTTTCAGTTTCAGTTGGAAGCAGGACCATGTATAGATTCCTGTTGAGGTTTTGTATTACCCAGTTTGGATTTGATTTGGAATAACCGCCTCCTCACATCATCTCTTATGAGGCAGCGACCTAAAATACTGTATGTTTCATCATGGTTTGCATTAGACTTGATGATTAGTTTGTGAATGTAGCTCATGGTTCTTAAAAAGTGAATATTGATTGTGAATGTTTGTGCTGTTCCATGTAGATACTACTGTTTAGTAGTTTGTTGCTGGCTTAGAGTCTTCTGCAGTTCTTGTCCTCTGAGAGTGTCATTAATGGATGGACATGGTAAAAGGCTCTGTACCGTCTCTATCTGTGAAAGTTTCGTCTCTGTTGTATTTGATTTATCAACCCAGTAAAAGTACATCCAGTCTGCCTGCCATACTCAAAATGTCTCTTTTCAATGGACTTGATTTTAGACTGTTCAATAAAAATGGATTTGCACTCCTGCCTCATTAACTGGATTTTTACATACCCATCATCATTTCTAAGAACCACCATCATATTCAGGTTGAGTGCCTCCAAATTTCTCCATTAGCCTTTGTTAGGCCTAAAATAATGTAGTCGAGTTAGCTGAACATCGCTCAGACCAGCAGAGAGCCCTGCCTTGTCTGTGTCTATTCCTCAGTTTTGTTTGAGGGTATAAATGCTCAAGTTTGGGTCAAACTCTTCCTGAATTGGTAGCTGAGTGCCGGTGTAGTTGAGTAAGTTTAGTTGGTAGTTTGGTCGGTAGTTTGGCTGCTGTGTTTGCAGACTTTACTGAGCTGAACGGCTGATGGCTTCATGTTTGACTGAACACAGATCAGGTTTTGGGCCTCCAGGCTTTTCTTCAGAATAGAGGACTATGAGGCTCCTCCTCCCTCTACACCCAGCCACTCTGAGGTTTTCAAAAAGGCATTCCTCAGGTTGCCATGGTGAAGGCTGAATGACATCATTTGGGTGAGGAGCTATGCCCAGACCTCCCCTCTCTCTCCTTCCCGCTCTCCTTCCGTCTCCTCTCTCTGCCCATCTCATCTCGTCCTCTCAATTAGACCCCCTTCTCCCTCCCTTTCTCTCCTCTCCTCTTTCCTTATGACTCCTTTCATCTCCTGCCCTTTCTCCTAAAACCTCTGCTCCCTCCTCCTGCTGCTAAACCAGGGGGAGTGTGCCAGTCTCAGCCACTTCAAAGGCTGGGGCTGATCTGTGCTTTCATCTGCTGGAGAGGAAGAGGGGAGAGGGGGGACCAAGGGTGAGGAGAGGAGACAAGAGAGAAGGAAAAGTGGGAGAGAACAGGGGTGAAAGAAAGAGAAAGTGAGGGAAAGGAAAGAAAATGAAGGGGGAGAGAGGAGGAGAAATCTGTATAGAGGGCGACAGAATGCGGTGAAAAGGGGCGACTGAGGAGAAAAGAGGAGGCGAGGGAGGGGAGAGGAGGAGAGGTCTCTATAGCACGACAACAATACACCTTTATTATCGATCTGACAGGGTGTGTGTGTGTGTCTGTGTGCGTGATTGAGAGACATAGTTTGTATATAGAAAAGGGTGGACGCCATTATTTGTGTGTACTCACTGTGTGTGTGTGTGTGCCTGTGTGTTTGAGTGTGACAGGCCTCTTGTCTCATATAACCAGGGATCAAACGAATCCTGGTCACCACGGTGACAAAACCCTTGGCTCAAAGAGGTTACACACATTCCGCCCACACACTGATAAAAAGCAGCAAGATGCAAAGATACAGGTGCACTCACACACACACACACACACACACACACACACACACACACACACACACACACACACACACACACACACACACACACACACACACACAGCCATTATTCCAGGTTTGTGTGCATCTTTGGTAGCATCAGCCACTAAAATAGAAATGAAAAAGCTAGATTTTTCAGAATGTTTGAAATATTGAACATGTATTGATAAAATATTATTTAAAAAGTAGTTGTAACCAACCAGGAGGCTTATCCTGGTCAACCATTAAGCATATGGATATAATTTTGTGCCAACACAGTTACATTTTTTGTCTTGTTTTGAAACAGTTATTACTTGGATGTCTGAAAAGGTTGTTCTTTGGTAGTTTTTTTTCTTTAAAGGAGGCGTGTGAGTACAGATTTGCAAAGTTTTTTATTCAACGAGGAATAACGGTCTCTCAGCTTCTGTTTTGCTGACATTATATATCATTTAGGTAGATTGACTTTCTGATTAAGCAACATTGGGATAAGGAGGATATATCTCTCCCTGTGTGTCTCCCAGTTGGAAAAACTAAAATATTCAGTCAGGCCCCTTCAAAGCAGTAATGGATGAACATACACGCACACACATAACCACACAAAAACTCTCTCAAACCTGTTGGATGTGGTCATATCCTTCAGTAGACTGGTAAACTCTGCCCCCTCTGGACATTCAAACCAATCGGGTTGTTCTGTAGTCTGTACCTGGAGACGGGGACAGAGGCAGGATGAGTGTGAGGAAGACCAGAGTAAGAGTCACTTTGCTCCGTAGTTAACGGCCATTATATGACACTTATTTAAGGATGTGATTAAGTGAATCATAGTGAGGGTTTGACAGTGTCACAGCTCAAGATGGTACATTGTTAAAATGACATCTATTACTTAACACATTCAATAATGCTTCTGTAGACCCACTGTGTAAATTCACACTGTCAAAGCGGAACAAAAGTAGGAGCAACAATGAACTCACAAGTCTGCTATTCTCAGAGATCACACCCAAACAGGAAAGAAAAAACATAGATCTTCATTTGTTGGTGGAGATACTTATTTTTTCAGTCAACAGAAAAATAACCATGAAATTTGAAACTTATTTCATCTCAGAAGCAAAAAGTGGATGTCAAACTCATCAAAGCTCAAATGTCTTGCAGTGACAGTGAGCTCCTAAACCTCACACCACAGATGAGAGCAGCACGGCTGTTCATGACCTCATGTCTCTGGATTTTGTGACAATACAACAGAGGACCAGGATAAACATCTATGACCACTTTACAGCATCCTAAATACCAAAAAAATAACCCATAACAATATACGACTACTTCAGAAATTTAATTTTTGCTTTTTTTTTATCTTTCCAGAGGGCCATCATAACAACATCAGAAGAGTTTTAGGCTCAAAACCAACTGCATGGTGACATCAACATCATTTGTAAATGTCAGTACGGAGTAAACTGATCACAAAGTTTATCTGTCACAAATACAGTTAAATACACACAGACTGCCTCCTTCTCTATCGCTCTCTTTCCATGGATCACTCAGTTATGTTCGTGTTTTTTTCATATTGTTCATGATGTCCACATTTTTAGATTTTTTTAACCCTTTACTCCATAATAGTAGCATTAGTGATCCGTGAAGTTACTCCCTGATTCTGCGGTTAAACTCAGACCTAACACTACACCGTTTGCTTAAGGGTAATCTGTTGCCCAATGTCATGACATCATCCCTCAGTCTATCCCTGATCCAACATGTCTTCCAAATCGTGACATCCACTCTGGCTATTCAAGTTCCTTTTCATTGAGATTGTTCACAGTTAACAGTTTGCCCATGTCCTCTTCAGTGAGTACAGGGTATGAACGTATTGTTTTTTTGTGTGTTTAAACTGTGTACGGTCTCTAAACACTGGTGACATCATTACCTCTGTCTTTGCCGGACACAGCGTTGTTGTTGCTAGGCAACGAGGTTAGGAGGAGACAGAGACACTCCCCTCGCGTGTTTACTTTCCAGCGATAACACACACTCTGCCTTCCACATCCAGGTGAGGGGACATTTATGTGTGCCAGCTGGACAAATACTAACCTCGCAAATATTCCTAAAGCCTCCACCACCCAGCTCTTAATCACATCTTTTTCACCACCTTCATTTTGCTCTCTTCTTCACCCTTTCTGACCAACATCCTGACTCTGAGATACTTGATTAAAAAAAAGGCAAACTATTTATGTGGATGACAAGTTCATACTACATAGTCAAGAGCTGTGTCTTCTAAAGTGCGAATGTCTTGATGATGAGGTTGAAAATTCACTCCCAGCTAAATTGTTGAATCAGGTTAAAAACATTATCAAACTATTTGATGACCTCCTGTGCCCTAGGGGAGAGCTTTGTAGAGACTGGAGAGACCACACCCATCAGAGAAGATATTTGACATCGCAGGATTAAAATGACTGTTTGTTAAAACAAGTAAAATAAAATTATAATATTGATCTTTTGGGATTTTTTCCATCCAGAGTTCCGTGTTGCTGTAAATATAGATATCAAACCTTCAGGTAATTCTTTTTAATGGACGCCCATCTGTAAGTCTGTGTGATATTTGAAATAAAACCTCAACAATCAACAAGTGTGTGTCAATACAACAGTAAAACCAGTCTGAACTGACCAAAATATGAACTGGAACCAACAACTGCATCAACATCTGCAATCACTGAGGTAAGCAACAACATCCTCGAGAGTGTCATATGAACTCCTGTTGACATGACTTTTATGCACTTAGATGCCACAAATGAGTTTACATTCTCCTGCTTACCTCTGAGTTGTGCGATTTCTGGCATCAATTTTATGTGTCAAAACTTGCTGGGTTTATGAATGGTTTTGATTTCCCAAGGTCAAAGAAAATATAAGAAATTATTTATGTGTTCTCAAACTCTCACACCAACCCAGTCACATTAACACACACACACACACACACACACACACACACACACACACACACACACACACACACACACACACACACACACACACACACACACACTTGCATGATTTTGGTTTTGCTGTCATTAGACATTAGAGTCATAAAAACAGAGCGATACTGTCCATCTTGCCAGGGTTAGCCGCTTTTTGTCATTGATGGATGGATGATGGATAAAAGTCTCAGTGTCCCTGACTGGAACATGTAAAAGGTTACAATAATTGGACATAATATCCTCTGACATTTTGAAGACTCTGCGCTGAGACGTTTTGTCCTGTGGGAATAAGAACGGAAGAAGCTTCAAGACATAAGAGTGGGATTAACAAGCAGTGATAGGAGGAATATAAAAGAGCATCAGCATCCAGAGACTCAGGTTTGTCAAATGGTGAAGGAGTACTCGGAATAAACGCTACAAACTAAAATACTAAAAAACATTACCTTAACATTATAGTCTTACATACATGAATGGGGCCTGAGAGGGATAGGATTTGTGCAAAAGGAACAAACTGCTTGAAACAATCAATTCCATGTTGCCAGAGTTTAAAGGAGCATTTCAAAAATTCTTATTAAACTGCTGCACAACAAAGACCAAATGATTTTTCTCTGTCAAATCTTTTCTCATCTGATTAGCATTCCCCTTTGAGTCTTTCCAAGTAGTGTGTGTGTGTGTGTGTGTGTGTGTTGAAAAAAGACAAGTTGAAAATTTCACTAACACAGACTTGATTCATTCGCCCTCTCTCCTCCTTTGCAGTTTTCAGGCTATTAGCGGGGTCTTTGATTGAGATTAACAGAGCCCTGAAATCAATGAAAGATAATTAAAAAGCCTTTGTTAAAGGGCAGACACTTATCTGAGTGTGTAGGAGTGTGTTTGAAAGACTGTGTGAGTCACTGTGCGTCTGTGATGGTATAAGTGTGAAACATTTTTGATCCGTGGATAATGAGTGTCTGATACATTCTTTGAAAAGGTGCACATTGTTTTCTGCATACAAACCGGATGATGGCTTAAAAGGTTCCAGAGAAACCTACAAACAGCTTCACGCTACTGTCAGATGTTTTAACTTAAGCACTCCGTCAGTAAGGACACAGAAGGTGAGGGGAGAGTTTTTACAGATCTATTGAAGGCATTTCAATGATTAAACTCTTTAAATCATATAATGTACATAAGTTAAATGACTAAGGGAACAGATGGGTTCATGGGTACTTTTTTGAGCAAATAAATTATTTCTATTCGCAGCCTTGAGCTACCTCGTGACTCATCCATTAGTTTCACGAAAAAGGCTGGAACACACACACACATACACCCACACACACACACACACACACACACCCACACACACACCCACACACACGCTTTTTTAGTGTTGCTTGGGGTGGTACACAGGACAGCAGGCGCACACCTCAGTGTTACTATTGCTGTTGGCACACAGGGTAATGAGGGAGTTTCACAAGAGGACAAATTTGCTACCAGAGACAGACAGGAAAGAGACAGAGGTAAGACTGAGAGTGTGTGTGTGATAGAATTTTTGTGTGGGTGGTTCAGGTGTCTGGAACTAATTAGTAAAAAAATAACACACAAACACACACGCACGCACACACACACACACACACACACACACAGACATGCATGCCAGGCCGCTTTCAGGCACAGCCTTCAGTCAGTCAGACAGTATCATTTCAGAGTGTTAGCTGACCTTGCATCCCTGAGCTGAAACTACTGTACTCATAACCTGTAGCCAAACCAGATCTTTACAAACGCAATTTACATAATTCATTGGGCTGTCAATCAACCACTTTCTAAACTCGTCATGTTTTTCTTCTGGGAGTTTTCTTCAGGAAGGTGCTCTGCAAGCCAACCTCTATTTTACTTTAGAGGTCAAATTATCAGTCAATTCTAAAGATTTATAGATTAATGCAAATACGGCATCCTCTTAATAAACACTGCGATTTTGAAGTCTCTGCACCACTAAAACTAAAGTACTGTTAAGTCTCAGCAGCCAAACCTCCTTGTTTTTGTTTTCACAAATCACCAGGATACTTTGCAGGATAAGCATTTGACTAAAGGCAAAGTTGTAGAATGACGTTACAACACTGCAAACCTTATACTTTTTTCTTGCACTAACTTTCCCCTGCTCTATTATGTCACCTCTGCCAACCTCACTGCACAAACAGTTGATTTTATTTTTCCGTTATCATAGATTTGACTTCATATTAACAATTAATTTGAAAAATTGATACGTGATACGATATATCACCAGACAAAATATCACGACACTGTGCTGTATTGATTTTTTCCTCCCACCCCTACATTTTATGTAGCAATATCTTGTCCACAAATGCTTCTATCACAGGGCTGATGATGTGGATAAATCATAAGTTTGAATTTTACTGGTTGTACTGCTGTTTAGTTAACTTTCTCTGAGGCTATTTGATTTAAGATATCAAGCCTCAGATCAAGCTCTCAGTCAGGCTACGTTACAGTATATGTATACTCGTAATAGTGAAATGTTGCAGCAGCTGTGGGCTGTCATGTGTCTTTCAAGAACTGCCACCTTGTTAAAACCTGGTTGATTTTTTGAAATAAGTGTGCAGCAGCTGCCTGCGTCAGATTTCTTCATGTTACATATAGAGCTGATGTTATTCAGTGTATTCAGGAGGTAGAGGCTTCACTTGATCTCTACCTGCTACCCTGCAGTGTGCTCACTCATGAGTCAGCCATCTTTGTCCTGTAACACATATCATTTCAAAATTTGACAATCAGACAAAATTGGAGAGACACTTGAACTGAGAATGACAGGCAGATACAGACGAACACCTTTTCTCCTTCTCTGTCTCCATCCCTCTGTCAGTCTGCTGAAACTACTCGCTGTTTTCAGAGCAGCAGCACAGCGGGGCTGTCTCAGTGAGTGAATGTATGTCTGCACTCAAACTGTTGGTATTATTCCAGTTGATCCGGTGTGCAGTGGTTGTATTTTGGGGGTTAATATTCTGAGCTGAGATCTTTGATGAGCTTGATTCATACACGTCAGGACAGTGATATGATGATCACTGATAAAACAAATGCGGGTCACATTTGTGTCTGTATGTCTAAGTGTGCGCCACACTCACCAGTCGTTTGATGATCCTGAGTGTGATGCGTTGGATTTTCGGGGTCTCACTGTGCATGTGTATGCTCAGAACATGTGAAAAGCTCTGCAAACAGGAAGGTGACAGACAGTCGCAGTCCTCTCCTCCGTACAGCTGGACCAGTAAGGACAGACACCGAATTGTCTCCTCCCAAACCTCCTGATTCTCAGTGGACAGCTAGAAAAAGGGAAACCAGTTTAAAGAGGAAAAATGATACAAACAGCACCACATGCTACCTGATGTAACTCTGGCACCTTTTGTAAAGGTTAAAAAATATATCCTGAGTTTTTTTCTCTAGCATTACTTACAATATTTATCATCAACAAAACATGAGATTGATTCAGAAAGTTACTCATACCTCTACACACATTAATAATAATAATGAATCTGAACTAAATTAGTAAACAATTTTCATCATTATGTGAGAAATGTATGAAGCTGCTGTGAGCTGTGTCAGAGTGATTGGGCTATATATATATATAAATATATCACTTAATTTGGATTTTGTCTCCAGCAGTGTTACTTTGAATTGATGTTCTGTCTAATTTCTGTACTTCTAGTATTAGTTCTTTTAATTGAGCCCTCACCACATTAATAAACTAGTCGTATTGCCTATTCGTCAATGCTTCAATAACCCATCACTCCTTTGAAAGATATAATCTTTACAGAGGCCAGTTAGGCAGTTTTATTTATTCGGGGATCATATTGACACTTCTGCTGTCTCTATTGCAATAATCTCCCATGGGGCAAAGAGGCTGCTTGGAGGCCGGGGTGTGTCAGCTGCCCCCTTAACCCCCTCATACACAACCGCACACAGACGCCCACTCAACACTCACAGTGTCAAGTATAAGTAAAAACCTCTATTGTGTCCCTTGAGACCTCCTCTTCTACTCCTCCCACTCTCCTAACCCCCCTCCTTTATGCCCTCAACTTCCCAAGATGCCTCACTGCACCTCCTCTCTTTGGCTGGTTGGTTGGATGGTTTACCCCCCATCTTCCCCTCTCTCGTTGCATCGCTCTTAAATCTCATTACATCCTCTCACCTCTATACTGTCCCTTCAAAAGCTTAACCCTATGGCATTCATTATAACCAGCTTCAATTCAGAATTTTATAAAAACCATGTCATTATTGGGGTGTGAAAATATTGCTTATATGGAAAGAAGGAGACCTTGAATTTGGCTGGATTGTAATGCTTATTTAAAAGTACTTCAATCATCAATGCATGAATCTGACTGCAGACAAAGGGTGTTATTTTGCAAAACAATATTTTTAATGAGAAAAAAACTCCAGTCTTAAGAATTTCTGATTTTGGTGATTATTAGTCGGTCACAGAGTTATTATTAGAATTATTCATATGACAATTAAAACAACAGTTCCACATTTCCCTGAGCAAGAAAAAGCCAACATTGTACCCAGATTTATCTTCCTTGCGGTCAGATTACATCACTTTCTGTGCTGGCACTTGCAGAAATAAGAGCCTTTTCTGCAGATTTGTGGGATTAATATTTGTAATGACTTTAGTAAAATTACTTCACAAACCCGGAGTAATCATCTGCACTGAAATATACAAGCAATTTCCTGAGCAGCATGCTGCTTTTACATAACATGGAGTAACATGTAGCAGAGTAAATATGTTTAGAGGAAACACAGTAAGAAATAAGAGGACAGAAGTTGAGTCTGAACAGGCATTTGAATCAGTACGAGTTGTTCATTGATTTCATTACTACATCTGCAGAAAAGGACATATCTGTATTGCCCTCCTTGAAAGTATGTATCTATATACATATAGATTAATATCTATATACAAATGAATTTCCCTTTGGGGATCAATGAAGTCCTTATTCTCATCTCAACTTGCTCGGTTGTCTTGCTGTTCAAAATGCAGAAAGCAGGTCCTTAAGTTTTTTGTATTTGGTCTAAATATGTGTTTTGGTTATCACAGCAGTCAAAATTATTCTAGTTTACAGATTTGGTGTTTCTGTTCTCCTGCTCTGCAGGGCATTAGTTACTGCTGCCTATGAAATTAACTTAAAATTCAACCAGAAATCTTTTGATTGTTGCTTTACTTGTAATTTATAGCTATCTTTTTTCCTAATAGTACAATTTTCCCTGAACAAACTGATTCCTGATAAAAAACAAACAAACAAATGCACTGTATGTTCTTATTCTCTTTCTATCACACACAAACACACACACTGCTTCGCATAAATACACGTACACACACATTATCAGGCATACATTTAGACTTACAGTACACAGCGGTGCATGCAAGGGCAACAGAAATATTTATGTATGCATGCAAGGCATTTACTATTACACATACACACCCACACATGCACATCCGCACACACACACACGGCAAGGTGTGCGTGTGCACTCACACAAGCACACACACACACACACACACACACAGGGGCCCTGTGAGTATTGGTCTCACCATGTGAATGAGGAGTGTGCTGAGTTGGCTCAGGGGTCGGTTTTCTAGGAGCAGCTTCTCTGCTGCCTCCGTCTCCACTGCTGGACAAGATAGCCTCTGGCTCTATACACACACACACACACACACACACACACACACACACACACACACACACACACACACACACACACACACACACACACACACACACACACACACACACACACACACACACACACACACACAGAGGTTTAAATCATTTATAGAGATTTGACAGTCAATAATGATGGATCCAGAGACCTGCCAGGACAGATTCTGTCAGACAGAGACACACTCATAGATTGGACTATCGTTTTTCTGCATGTGTTGAGTTATTTTAAACCTTCTATAAAAAAGCACTTGTTTGTAGCAAACAGTCTGAACATTTTTTTTTGTCATTTTTAAGTTTAACTAAACCCCTTCAGTCTCACCTCTGTCCCTGACTTTGGCTCATTTTAGTTCAGTTCATGCCTACAGGAAAACTTCAGGCCAATTAGTGCTTGAATTATGTGATTAATTCTGACACAGTTTTTTTTTGTCCTCTCATCCAAAGTCACTTTTCTGTTTTGCTCTCTCTCTCCCCTTCTCTTTTTTCTTCTATAGGATATATATATACTCTCAGGCTCTCTCTCCCTTGACCAACAGAGTGGTAGTTTGGGGAGGGCTCTAGTCACGTCCTCCGTCCTTATCAGACCTTATTACCCAAATGAATTTGGTTTGGGCTGAAGTTTTTCTTTTTAATGAGCTTTGCATTTCTCGCAGAATTGATTTCCACTGCACATTCTGCCTGCTCCCTTTCCATCTATGTCTCGCTTTCTATCTCTCTATCCTTCTTTCTCTCTCGTCTGTCCTTCTCTTTTCCACCAAGTCTTCAACCCTGCCTCCCCTTTACTCCCCCCACCCCCTGTCCAGGCATTAATATGTATGCGTTGGGCTGGGGTGCACACTATGGGGAGATGGGGGCTGGTGTGTATGTGTATATGTGAGCGTATGTCAGTGTGTGTGTGTCTGTGTGTAGGGAGGCAAGCTGAGGACAAAGCCAGTGGTGATAATGAGGCCGCAGGGACATAGCCAGACAGGCCCCTCTGTGTATGCCTGTAAGTATGTGCGTCCATGTGTATGTGAGTGTGTGTGCGTGTGTGTCCGTGTCCCATGGATTCAGGACCTCATCCGCTTCCTCCTGAGTCCACAACTTCAATATTGCTGTTGCTTAAACCTAGTAGCTTCCACTACACACATCAATGGAAACATGCACACACATTCGCAAGAATACACACACACATACACACGCACACACACAAGCCTTTAGGGACATGATACAAGGGCAGCATTTGGAGGGAGTTGACTTTGTGAATCTGTGCTCAACTGAGATGGAACTGGTAAATAGTTGTGAATTAATGTGTGAAATGGAGCAGCCTGTACAGACCTCTGGATCATGATGCAGGGAAACAATCAACACATCGGATGCATATGTAAAAAAATCTTTGACTATTGTGACTGTCGCAGGATTTTTGCAATGACTGTATGTATAAACTTATACATACAGGCAAATGCTAATATTTTTTCCACAGCCTTAAAAAAATTGAGAATGGACCTACATTAACTTCTTATTCATTGGAGACTCAAAGATCCTAATTTTTCCTTTCTGAGGTCTCTTATTTTCCTCCACCCCACACAACAGTCACTGCGGTAGCGACCTCATGGTACCAGCTGTTAGCTCTGTCTGTGGGATTTGGCTTTTCTTTAAAATACAGTGCTTATGCATTTGAGAAATTACAAGTAAAGATGGTGGTTATATACCTATATATTTTTTGGTGGAATATTTGATCTGCGTGTGATTTTGCTCAAAGGTTGCTACGCTTGTTCTCATTGGTCGTGTCGCAGACTTCATACCTGTAGTGCAGAGCGGACAACGGCAGATGTCTGTTTTAAGATGTTGTGAAGCAGTTCCAGAAGAGCCTGTAACACCAGATGACTGACCTTCCTCCCAGCATGCCCAGCTCCCTTCATGTGAACTTCAGCAGCTTCTGAGAGAGTGCTCACCACCACCTCTATTAAGTCTGTACAGTGGAAAAAAACAATGGATAAACAGGTGTATTTTCAGATATTTGCAGCCAGGTGCATTAGATGTTATACAAGTTACATCATGTCAGTCTATAAGCTTGTGTTCACTTCACAAAATTGACATTTATGGAAAACATCAACCTTTGAGCTGCCTTTTTAAACATTTTCCCAAAATAGGATGGAACCAAAACATCATTCTGTGCATTTGTTCATTTAATCACAGATAAAGCTTATAGTCTGTTGTGTTTTAACCATTTATAGTAGAAACTTATGGATTCTCACCTACCAAACACCTTGCTCTCTCTCTCTCTCTCTCTCAGCTGTGCCTGTGTGTATGTCATGGATATAAAAAACACCTGAGCAGACTCGACTTGATGTCTGTGGCTGCAGGCTCTGGCTGGACTCCACAGTGGATCAATAGCCCCCACAGAGGATGAGGGACACTCTCTCTCTAATGTTGATTAGCAACTCATTGTCACCACTTTGCCCAGCAGAGAGAAAAAAAAATGCTGAATTTGACATCTGACTACTGAAACAGGCTTTGAACTTGTGGGGTTGAATTAATTTATGAAAATCACATTGTAAACAGCCAAGTCCAAACAATGGTGTTAAAAACAGCAACAACAAACTATAACTGGATTTCGATACGGATCCAAAAATGCATTCTGCTCTGGTCTTTACATCTGTTTCCCTTCCCTCACACCTCTTTTTATTGCTCCCTTGAAAATCGCCCATGTAGAACAAGTTGTAAAGCTGCAAACCCTTGCAAAGCCATGAATAAAAAGCTTCTGCTTAAGTGCAAAACCGCGTTCCTTTGCTTGTTAAATTTAACATGACACAGAGGATACTCTGCATTTTGCAGCTCCATTGGTGCAGTTTGCATTGGCATCTGTCCCTAAGGCCTTCACATCTTTGTGAGTAAGGACCAGATGAATCCTGTCCTGACATGACACAAGTGTCTACAATGTGCCTATCAGTCAGTCCAAAGTTGTACTTTTGTTTCTGAATGCACAAATGTTACAGCCAAATGAAAAATGAATTACATTAGTCCTCACTGGGGAAAATACACCCAGTATTATTTTCTATTCCAACAGATCTTTATTTAGATGGTAGACAGTGTGAGAGGGTTTATTTTTGTAAGTGAGACTGAAACACTGCAGACATTAGAAAGCTGTTATAGTTGGCCTGCTGTCAGGAAGATGTACTTTTACTTTGTCAAGCTGCCTCATAATTAAATAAATAGGCTGCTCTGCTTTGGACTGTTGAGTAAAAAAAAAGACCACTGCTGTTAATGTGATCTGACAATGCAGTCCTGTTCAGATGACTACTGCTCCAGATAGAGGCTCATGTATATGTTAATCTTAGTCTGTGGTTATCTGTTAGGTGTAACTTCACCATATATATATAAAAGCATCTGTAACTAAACACAAAGATTAAAGACATCTATTAAACTTGATCCTTATTTTAGTCTCAATCAGATACCAGGATATTCAGTCCAGCATAAAAGCTTAGGTTTGTTGGTCAAATTCAAAGCACATCATCATCTCAGGGTTGTACATAGAAGCCAAAAGCAGAATTCCCTTCTCAGATGTGCATCCTCCATGTCTTCTCTCCCATTAATACTTAAAGATACAATAGTCTGAACGGAGATATTTCTGTGAGGAATACATAATGTGTTTTTGTCATGAGAGAGCATGGAATGTGGTACTATTAGAGCACAGGGGACAGATCATTTGGAGTAATGTGTGTAATGCTGGACAACATGTCGAGACCGAATGCAAAGCACTCTGCTGTAATATATGCTAATGTACAACACTAAAAGGATGTCTATTTTAGATTTTTGTGCTCCCACTCCAAACATTCTTGATAATGACTTTGTGAACAAGAAACACATATTTGAAAATAGCTGAAAAAAAGTGACTGAAATATCTCAAGCGATTCTCAAAATTTGCACTGACTTGAGTTTGGAAACGGGAGAGAGGAAAAAAAGATGTACTTGAGGACAACCTTGTCAAGGCTATGGAAAAGGATTGGCTGAAATTGGAAAGAGCTTATCCAACAGTATTTGGAAAGACACCAGCTTCTTCTGTTTTAGTTAAACACTGCCAGTAATCTGTGGCTCTTCAGACCACCTGTTGCTATCAGAAATGTTTTTATTTTTTTTCATGGTGTCAATACATTCAGATTAGACCAGCTGGTCTTCCAAACGAAACAGACCTGGTGACATACTTCGTGAGTCACTGTAAAAACACAGAGGAACTAGTAGAAGGGTGACAAGGACAAAACAAAGTGAGTCTCTGATACTGCTCATAAATTTGACAACTTAAGATTGCTGTGGCTCCATCTTAAGTGTTGCATGTTTCACTGAATTTCTCCAAGAGGAATGAACAAAATAAAGTTGCAGATTTTAACTTAAGACAAAAACAACACACTAAAAAAAGAAAAAAAAACAGGAAAAAATAAGTTTCACATAAATACCTCAAAAGACTCAAGTACATCAACACCAGCAAAGCACAGTTTGCATTTTAAACAGGAGAAAATTTTGGAAACAGTGTTCTCTTATTTGCTTGCAGGCTTGGGAAGCTTTTTATTCTCAACTGGCTGAATCACCATCAGACGAGTTAACATTTCCAAACTCAAATTCACATAATTTTGCAATAATTACTGCACAGCTCCTCTACACGATGGGCTCTTTTGGAAAACACATTTTACTGATCATGCACAATGAGCATCGGCTGCTGAGAAAATTTGTGAAAAAAAAAAAGACGTTTTTATAAGATTTTATAAGACTGTATGTTTCAATGTTTGATGTCTTACGCATTAGGTGGAAAACAGAGACTTACCTGGAAAACCCAAGCACAAAAGTGGGAAAAAATCTGGAGCTGGATTTGCTTCTAGTGTTGCACACACACTGCAGTGTTACTTAGAGATTAATATGGTCATTGTTATGAGTCTTATGTTGCAAATACATTAACCCAAGGGACAAAAAAGAGTGTGTATCACAGTATGACTCCCTTCTTTTTCTCTACTCTGATATACATTAGAGATTGCAAAGTGAATGTTTTCATTACTCAGACACACACACACACACACACACACACACACACACACACACACACACACACACACACACACACACACACACAGGCTTTTAAGTTTAGTTATCTTTTGCAGAAACTTTAGATACATGTATGTTTTTTAGGGCAGAGCACCCACTGCACCCAGCGTAACCTTTGTGAATGTATGCTGAGCATGATGCAATTACAAGCAGTGCAGTGAGCAACAAACGTGGAAAAACATGCATCTTTGTAACTACGGGCAACTTCATACAGGTGACTCTGGCAAGTCAACTTTATCAATTCTATCTGGAAACTAAAGTTAATTGCTCATTTTGAGTGATAGTGGAATGACAAGTCTTGTGCCCAGTCTTATTTTGCAGTTTAGACTTTAAATAGATTAAAAATAGACACTGTACAATGCCTTTTCTGTATTATCTATTTATAACCATTGCTAAATGAGCACTACAGGGATTTAACAGGAAAAGTGGCTCAGAGCATTACTGTCTGAGTAAAACAGGAAAGAAGCCAGGGGACAAAAAGAGTTCATAAACTAACTACATAAATTACTGTGCTAGTTCATGAAGAAAGAGTTCAATTAAAGGTTGCAACAATTATGTGACCTTCATTGATACATCGTGCTGGCTCTGGGTAAGTCTCCCTCAAGGACAGACGTAAGAGCAAGTCTAATAAAATGTATGCTTAACAAGCGTCTAAAAGATAAAAGCTAAAGTTTTATTCTCCATATTTATGCCATTCTCCAAATCTTTACCCGATACACACTGGTTGAGATTTGGTGATCCTACCCTACGTTAACAAAAATGGCAAACATCAGAGAAAGCCTTCAAGCCAAAAGCAAAAGCACCATCAAAAACTGGCACACTGCATAAAAATACTAACTAAAAAGGCAAACAAATTGATAAATAAATGAATCAATCCGTTAATCAATTGGGTCCTTGTGGGCCCACCACCTGTGGGAATATACATGGAAGCCATGTATATTGGCAGCCAGATGGCAGCTGAAAAAGTGGACCTGGTTGTGCTGATCTCTGGCGACATAGACAGGTCCTTGGGATTTGGGACATCACCTTAAGTAGCTGTAGAGAAGGGCTCGACTCTCTCATACTCAGAAGTTGAGTTGCCTCTTGCCTCTTGGGGGCAGAGGCACCAGTCAGATGTGGGTGTACTGAGTTTCCACAGGAAAAAACTCTTTGTAACTTCAGGTCACCAGAAGAAAGGCTCTGACCTCTGTTTGCTTCAAAATAACATTTCAGAGTACAGTGCCTTACAGTGGAGTCTCTGTCTTGGGTTCTGGAGGGGACTCCACCTGGAGACTCCATAATTCTTCTGAGGAATTTGAATGCCCATGTGGGTGATGGAGACACCTGGAGAAGGGCGACTGGGAGGTATTGTCTGCCAGTGCTTTGTTTTTGGACTTCTGTGCTGGCCATGGATTGGCTATGAAGAACACCATGTTCTAGCGTAGGTGGTTCATGAGCATGGTGGTGAGCCTTCTGTGCCATCTGATCCCAACTGGGAACAACTGACAACTCCATAACAATTTCTTTTGCATCTTGGAGGAGTTTGGAATCTAAACGTGTAACGGGTATTGACTGGACCCAATTGCAGCACAAACAAGCAGGTTCACTTTAACAACAGTCTTTATTTAACACCAAATCCAATGAAGCAGCAGAGTATAGCAGGTGGGTATGGCAGGATTCGAACTCGGGTCTTCCGGGTGATAGGCGAGCAGATTAGCAGTGGACCACAGGTCAGGCAAGAATTTTGGACTCGTGAGCAGGGAATTGTCCACAGTCTTAATTTGCTCTACGAGTGTAGAGAAGGGGAAAACGCTCAACTCACAGCTGGGGGAAGATTTCTTGGAGAGAGGTTCAGGTGAGGACTGGGTGAGGATCCAGAGCTTGCAGAGGAGCTGGCAGAAGCAACGTCGGCAGAGGAGGTGAGTTGGCGAGGTGAAGCTGACGAGAAGGGGGATCTCAACAGAGCAGGAACAGGCTGAGTGCCATTCAGCCGCAGGCAGACGAATAGCAGGAAACAGGCAGGCAAAGCTCGTAGTCAAGGACAGAAGGCAGGTAGGTTTACCGGGGCTGAGGCGAGAAGCAAAGGTCAGGGGCAGATCAGGTCGATAACAGGTAAGCAGTCCGAGGATAAACGCTGGAGAGTCAGGCATGAGAGCAAAGACAATCTGGCAAAGAGTGAGGGGAAAGAAGCTGCATATATACTGGTCTGATTGGAGATGATGAGCAGGTGAGAGCAGCAGGTGGAAGCAGTTAGCTGATGAGGGGTGTGGCTGAGCAGCAGAGCAGGAGAGGGGCAGAGCAGACTGTTACAAAACGGACCATGTTCAAAGCCTCCATTGGGAGGGTGGCTACTGGCTACCATCAGTTGTGATCTGAAGGCCATTGGTGCCTGTGAGTCTGTTCCAACGCGGTGGTAGAAACTGTTGGTCAGGGTTTACACCATGCTGAAGGAGGCCTTTCAGGTTTCACTGGCACATGAGTCTCTAGAAACCACTGATACACACTGGATAGCTAGGATGGTTGTGACTAGGTGTGGGAGTTCAAGGAGGCTGTGGATACAGACTTTCAGTTGCACTCAAGGAAGTTGAGGCAAACCTTCAGGCGGCTCAGAAAGGAAAAGCAGGGCTTCACTCAGGCTTTTTACAGCAGGGATAAATTAGTGCTGACTTGAACTGGAGACGAGAAACACTGTGTTCCCAGTTTCACAAGAAAAGCTTACTCTAGGGTGCTGGAAAAGAAGCTTTGCCTATTGCCAAACGTTAGATACAGGAACAATGTGGATTTCACCCTGGCCATGGTACAGTGGACCAGCTGTTTGTCTGGCAAGGCTCCTGGGGGCATGTATATTTGTCCAGCTAGTCTTCATGTGTTTTATGGACTTGGAAAAAGAAGAAGAAGAAGAACTTTATTGATCCTCAAAGGGAAATTCAATAAGGTCCACAATCATGTTCCCTGGAAGGTCTTTTGAGGGGGCGACTGGTGGAATACAGGATTTTGGGACTGTTACTTTCAACTACTTGATCTCTGTAGGACCAAAGCAAAAGTTGTGTCTGCTTGTTCAGCACAAAGTCAGACATGCTCTCAGTGTGAGTAGGTCAATTCCAGGTATGCCTTTGGTCACCTATTCTGTTTGTGGTAATGCATGGGATCAAAGGTGCAACCACAGGGAGAAAGGTCTCCAGTTTTTAGGGCCCAGAATCAAGTTTTTTGCCTCTTGCAGATGATGTGGTTCTTTTTTGGAGGTAACCACCAGCAGGCATGGAGTGGTATGTAGCGGAGTGGAACTGTGATGAGAGTCAGCAACTTCCAAGTCATGAGCCAGAGGGCAAAGCTTTGGACTTGCCAGTCAATGCCCATCAAACCCTCACTAGTGGTCATGACATGCTTTAGAGCAGAGCTTCAGCATCTGGTGGGGGCTCAGAGTACAGCCTTGTCTTACTCTGCATCAAAATTATTCAGGTAAGTTGGTTCACTCATTTAATAAGGATGCCTCCTGGATGGCTCCTTTTGGGGTTGTTAGTACACTTCCAGTTGGAAGGCGCACCCTAGATAGATAGCTTGTTGAAGAGATAACATATACCACCTGGCCTAGGAACGCCGATCCCCCAGAAGGGGTTGGAAAACATACAGTAGCTTTGGAGAGTAACATCTGGGTCAACCCAATCTTAGATAAGCAGGAGAAAATGGATGGATGGAGATAAATAGGTTGATAGATAACTGTTAACAGGCATCTTAGGTGCCATCTTGGTTCAATAATGTCTGATTGAGAGAACTAAAGTTGACAGACACAGGGTTATATCATCATTTCCAGTCAGGTCTTTTGGTCTTAGGTTTGTAATTAAAACAAAATGGATGGAGATGTTGTCCATGTTCAGTTGGATTAGCTTTTAAGGGCTCACATTTGCTTGTGACTGAAAACTAATCAAGAACAGCAAAAGCAGCATCCAAAAAATCTGAGTGTGGGGGTGCTTTGGACACGCAAACATGCCACATTTATGATGACTTGCTTATTTGCAATTTTTGTTTAAGCCAGTTTAGCTGAAGAAAAAACATGGTCTATGCCATGAACACTTCCAGACTACAGATACAATCTGGGGCATGTAGGCACCTTGGCATTACAGATAGAAATATGAAAATATCTGCCACATCATTACTTATTCACCCAGCTGTTGTTCTTTGTAAATCCAAATATCTTTATTTACAAATCCTCATCAATCAATAACTTCTCACTACTTTTAGGGGATGAAGATACAAACAGCATCATATTCAACAGAAAGTGCTTAAGACCCACTGTGGTGCATCCTAGAGTTACTGTTGAGTGTGTTATTGATTGGCATTATGTAAAGTTGTAAAGCCGATGACCTCCTGGGTGCTTGCTAATATGTTAATATTAATAAGGAAGACAGAGCTTTGTGGCATAAATTATGCCAGGGGGCATTCTTATTGATTGGACACATATGGAAAAAATCTGAAAGAACCATTATAGAATTTTTCAGACAGTGTTTGGGGAAATTAACTTAAGCCTGAGCCTAATTTTAAACGGCAATCTCAAAAAGTAGGTTACAAATCAAGTAGATAGCACCAGAACAGAGGAAATTACCCCAAAGATTCCTCTAGGCATCCCACAGAGTCAAAAAAAAACTACTGATGGCAGATCAAACCCGGAGAGAAAACTCATTGACCCTAAAAAAAAAAAACAGATAGATCACCCAGAGATTTCCTAAGCTAACGGAGGGAAAATCACACTTAGTTTAACTGACAACTTGTCAGCCCATGACTGAACTCTGGAGATGCTCCCTAGCTAACTCCTCTGAATTATTGGAGAAAGTTAAGCAGCTCTGCATGCTCTAGATGTGTCCATTTTCTTATCAAATCACACAGTCTGCTTCTCAGTGTGCCAACAAAATGAGTCTGAAATGTATTCTCATCAGAAAAGCTCCAGGCTTCACATGCTTATATAATCAGATCATAACCATGACTTTCCACATTCAAATTAGAACTAAGCCATCCATTATCATATGAAATAAGAATGAGTTTGTTGATGAAATGTCTCTTACTGAAATACGTCTTGTTAGTCTTCCCCCTTCCACTTCTTTTTACCACTTCTCATGTCAACTACACGTTTTCTGTACCATCATCTTATCCCTCCATCCCAGGACCCCAACCTAAATACATCACATTCTCTCTCTCTCTATCCCTTTCTTCCTCTTTCATCTCACTGCTACCCCTCTTCCTTTACATTTTGCTTTTACTTTCTATCATCCCTTCCTCTCTCTTCTCTCGTGCTTTTTTAGCCATTTTCCTTCTTCTGTTGTTCCGCTCTCCCTCCCTATCTCTTCTTCGCTCCCTCTGTCTTCATTCCCCAGGGGGTATTATCTCAGTCGGAGGCAAATCTGCCCAATTATAAACCTCATCTCCTCTCTCTCCCTCTCTCTAACACATACACACACTTGTGCTCCTGCATCCACCGTCCCCCCTATACACACAGCTCCTCTCAGCCTCACTCATATACACCAGCATAAGCACAAATACAGTCACACAAACACAAAATAGCATCTTCCTATTTTGCTCTTCTTCACTGTCTACTTCTTTGGCTCCAAACACACACAGTCACACAAACACACACATACATACATGCTCACACACCGCCCCTCCCCTCCTCTCTCTGTCACACCTTAAAAAAGCCAATTATACACACTTCCTCCCTTCTCCTCCTCTCTCCTCCTCTTCCTCTCTCTTCTTTCTTGCCATTGCTACACTGATCTGGAGTGAACCACAACTAGAGGTTGGGAGAAAGAGGAGTGGGGAGGATAGAAAAGGGACCCAAAATAGAGAAGAGGGGAGCAGGCTAAAAAGGTAACAAGGTAGGAAGGAGGACGGAAATGAGGAATTCTAAAGCTAAGGGGAATGGAAAGTAAGCAGGGAGGAGAGGAGAGGAGAGGAGAGGAGAGGAGAGGAGAGGAGAGGAGAGGAGAGGAGAGGAGAGGAGGGGGAGATAGCATTAATTGCCCAGCTAGTTTTAGTGCTGGGTTGACAGTTTCTTGTTGAGAGGAGAGCTGATTGGACGATAATGATGCTGACTACTGAACTGCCGCACTGCTGACCCAATGGAAATAGAGAGACAGGAAAGAGTGATTGTAGTAATGGTTTTGGGGAGGATGAACAAAATGATGAGTGAAGGACTGAGTCAATAAAGGGAGAAATTACAAATGAGTTGCTAATAGAAGTGTGTGAAAGCAATCATCGCTTATTTTCATTGCCAGTGTGAGTAACTTTGCTGGACCGTGGATCCTGAAACATATGCAGTTACACACAAACACACTTGCACACATGCTGGCAGATATACACACAGGCAGGCAGCAGTGCGTGTGAACATGTTTTTGCAAACATTTCTAATTTACTACATTCATTCTCTAATAATAGATTTTTGGCTGCTTTCCTACATGCACAAACTTTGTGCCTTACTTCTCTCTAATTAAATTCCTAAATCCCAGACCAGCTCTTGTGCTGAAATGAACCTAAAAAGATCCAACTTCTGAAAAATATACTCACACTATGACACGCCATAAATTTGGCTTCCCCCTCTGAATAATCTGCAATCGATTGCAATTGACAGGAAATATAATATTATTGAGTTTCAGTACAACTGAGTGACGAAAAATGCCTTTCCCTTCTGTGTGTGCGCACACACACACACACACACACACACACACACACACACACACGCACACAGCCAAGGTTATTGACCTGAATAAGCACAAATCTGCAGCATGACAACAGGCTGGAAAACAAGATGTCAACAAGTAACATGACAATAACCAATGCTGGTGAAGTGGATATGTAGTGCAGAGACACTGAGCAGTGAATAACAGATAGATATCCAGGACTCACGTCTCAGTCATACATGCACTAGTGACCAATTTAGTACAAAACAAAATAACACAGAGTTTTGGTCATTTATCACAGCAGAGAAATAACCTCTCTACAGAAACTTGATGTGGATCTGTGGTACCTTGTTGCTGTAGTGGCTCCACTCCACTAAGATTACAAAGCAAGGCAACTGCATTCTGGATCAGCCCACTGTTAACATTACCGCGGTTTGCCTACAGAGAGAAGGAAGAGACCAGACAAATAAGTGACAGATCAGCTGACCCTTTGTATTCTATTTAAAACGGTCACTCTCTAACATTAACCTTCCTATGATGACTTGACATAATGTTAAAATTCCTAGTTAATATATTTCAGCAAATTGTGCGTAAAAAAGTGAAGGCAACATTATTTTTTATGGAATTTAATCTCACATTTGACTCACAACGTGATAACTGGCATTTGTGCTAGGGCTCCACAGTATTGAAGAAAAAAAACAACAACTGACATTGTGGTACGTTTTCTGTCTGGGATAAAAAAAAATTTATGAAATTAAAGCGTAACTTGTGATTTCTAAACACATTTTATTTTTATTTCTGTTTATAGGTGCATTTCAGGGCACTCAAGGACACCTTACAGAACAATTAAAGTGACACATCAGTAAAATGGTAAAGTCAGTAAAATACACATCAACATGACAAAAGTTTTAAATAAAAAAAGTTGTAAGTCTCTAACAAAATACTTACCTCTTACTGTTACTACCACAGCAAATCTGACACTCAGCCTGCACAATATGAACAAAAAATGTGCCATGCGCGGAGATGAAATTGGGCCGAAGCCCTCCTTGTCAGTACAGCCAGCAGGAGCTGAGCTCCCCCTGCTTCAGTGTTTCATTGTAATCATGGGTGTAGCTACCAAAAATCATTCATTTGGATCCCCATCAATACATTAGCCTGTTCACTCAGCGCTGTTTTCAGAGCTCTGTGTCTGAGCTTCATTACTGAATCTGTTCCGCTCGTTTATTGAGATAAGACCTGAACCGATGAAACTCCAGTCCACGTTTTCACTGCTACCAGCATCTCCTTGCATATTGTGCAAGTGCAGGTAGGCACACACACACACACACACACACAGGATGCTGCTGGTGCACAGAATGTGGGTGAAGAAACTGTCACAGCAAAATGTTAACTTTGTTTATTTACTGAAGCTAAATGTCTGTATTTTTTACCTTTATGTTTCTGTGATAAAGTCTCTACAGAGCTAATGCTACCATATCAAATTGTGAAAAGATGAGGAGGGCGAGTAGTTTTCATTTGATTAACCGCCCTTCTTATTAGCTAACTGTCGATGAGCTAATGCTAAGTTAGCGTTTCCTAATAATCAAGTCATTCCCCCACAGTGTATTACAGACAAAAAAAAAACCAATTGTTCCATCGCGATCGCACACCCCTCCCCTCCGCCGCCATAGCCTTCTGAAAACCTATGGGAAACAAGCCTGTGGTAGATTGATGGGGAAATGTAGGCTTAATAAGTTACCAATTTATGAATGTGAGATATAATCAAGTAAGCTATAAGTTGATAAAGTTGATAAGTTGTTCACTGTAGTACCGTTCATTGCTGGCTCTTTGGTCTGCTGGTATATGCCCACCATTGGGGTAGTAACATGTAAATATTAGCAGCCTTCTGCTACTCAGAAAGACACACATGAAGCTCCCAAACAACTTTGGCTTCATGCATTTGTCATTTTGAACTCAAATTTTCTAGTATGCTAGCAGTGCTATTAACAATCCAGAGTAATCCTAACAACAAACTAAAATGTACTATGGCATTCAAATTCAGACTTTAAAATCCTTTAGAGTAATGCATATGTTCATGATGAAGACACCTGAGCACTGAATTTGGACCATCACTTTAAGCTGCTCAGATCGTGCTGCTGACTTTACAAAGGTGCTCTAGAGCCTGGACAACAGGTAAGTTATCCCTGAACTAATTCTTCTCTGCAAGTTTCTCCCTAAAACATGTTACGAAGGACAAACTAACTGCAGGACACCTATCACAGCACACACGAGGTCAATAACAATTAAGGTTTCAAAAACAGCTTTCTTACACACGCACTGACTGGAACGATTGCTCTTGTTCTGTCTGAAAATGAAAAGTGTATTTAACAAGGCCTGTGACGACTTGTTACACATCAGGGTTAGTAAAATTGCTGTGTAGATGTAGGACGCAAGCCTGCCTGCATAGGATTGACTAAACTGTCAAAGTTGTCTTTAAACTGCACCAAATTACTGTACACTGGAAAGTTTTTATTGAAGGCATCATGTTGAGCAAAGGATTGAACACATCCTGTTTATCTGCTGATGCTGTAGGTTTGACCTTTGATAACAGATCTGTTTTGAAGGAAAAAGAAGCAAAGCTGCAGACTACACTTTCCCCCACTTCTCTTCTCCTCCTTTTCTGTTATTCCCCTTACTTTTTACCTTTTCACTTTCTCCTCCCAACAAATCCGCCTCTCCTTCCTCCTACAGTTATTCACATCTCCTCTCCCTTCTGCCCTCATTTCACTATTTGATCCTCTCTGAGATACACCAGCGCTGCCTGCGGGCTCTGTGCGCATCAGTGTGATCTGTGTACGTGCTGATAAGCCTGCCTGCTGCTCATCATGTGCTGTAGCCTGAGGCTGAAGACAATGACATCAATTTGCACCTAGGACAACCTGCCCGTCAGTAACAACAAATGACAAAGCTAATCTATTTTGATCTTTATAGACTAATAAGCCATGAAAGGACTATTATGTATATCACAGAATACAAACTCCTTTCCAGAGAGCAATGAGGAAAGTCAAACAACACTAAACCTGATGACTTACAGTCCTGCTTCCAAAAGAAATCAACATTTATTTGTAATGTATGTACAGCCTTAGTTTAGTTATCTAAGGGCCTGATCTACTCAAGGTTTGCGTACAAAAACACATGCAAACTTTATAGCCCAGATTGCGTCAGTCACATGAGCAAAATAGCATGTGCAATCCATTAAGCGTGTTTGCCTTCATGAATATGCAGAATGTATGTAGATCATCAGACTGATCATCAGAGAGAGAGAGAGAGAGAGAGAGAGAGAGAGAGAGAGAGAGAGAGAGAGAGTTTTTCTTATTCGTGTCAACATACTTGGCCTATCAGAAAAAAAAATAGTAGAGCAATAGTAATAGTAATGCTGGGTGACCTGAGCGCTGATGTCCCAAGTGTTTTAAGAGTGAGTGTTGGGGAGATCCGGGTCTAAAAGTCTGTGATTTATTTCGTTTTTCTGGTAAATGACGGTTTTTATAAACAGTTACTGTAGGTCAACGAACAGTAGCAAAACACAAACAAACAAAAAAAGTTTGTCTTATTGATTTTAAATTGTTTTAATCTCTTTTTTTGATCCTTAATATATTGTTCTTGCATCTGTAAAGCACTTTGAATTGCCTTGTGTATAATTGTTGCTGAACAAATAAACTTGCCTTGCCTTTTATGCAGTTCCTCAAAAGGATATGTGCAACTCTGTGGCTTCAAACCTCTTTTTCCATCTAGAATCTCTCTGCTCTCACAAACTCTCCATGGTGACAGCTGATAGCGCACGCAAAATCCTCATTAAAAGAGGGTGGTCAGCACCACTTTTGCACCTGTTATCAATTGCGCACGCAACACGCCCACTAATAGCACGTGCAATTTTTTAGTTTGCACACGCAATTTAGTATTCGCTATTGGGATCTTAGTAGATCAGGCTTAAGTATTTAATTGTATCCCTCTCTAATGAGTCTTGGGCCTCCTAATCCACAACAACCAACCTGATCAGCAACCCTGGTCCAACAAGCTTCCTGAGGTCCTTTCATGTCTGAAACAGAACTACTTCATCATCTAGACAAATGCAATTAAGCAAGTTTCTCCATGACAAGTGTGATCAGCAGTGACAGGTGAAATCAATCCAGATCGCAGAGTTTCAGGCGGCATAAATCAATTTGAATGTGAACAATACAGACTGCGCTAATGGATCTGTACATGAGTGGCTCAGACAGGAGTAAACAATCAGGAGAGAAGTTAATCAGACGGTTAGAATGCAGTGTTTAAAGTTCTACATCAGCTGGTCGGGGCTGGACAGCCAGCCAAGCAGAACACTGATTATTTGATGTGTGTGTGCATGTGTGCATGCATAGGTGTGAGTATGTGTGAGTGTGTGTGTGTGTGTGGCACAAACCCTAAATTGTTTTCTGCAGCACGAGTGAGTTAGTTTGCTGAAAACAGATTGTGCTGTGTGAGTGTTCATTAGATTGCGCGTATGCAAAAAGGGTCAGGTGAAATAAATTGTTTACTGGAAACATTGTTATGCTTGGCTGATAAGAGACAAGCGCTGTGTGTATGTGTGAGATCTTAATAGCAGAGTCCATATTCTCAGTCTATTAACCCGTTCTCCCCTCTTAGGCTGACCTGCAAGTCAATTACACCAGCCCTTTAATAGGTCAACACCACTCAGACTCATTTACATAAATACATATAGAAGGGTGACATGGAGCGAGAGAGAGAGCGAGAGGGAGGGAAGAGGAAGGTTGGAGGAAGAGTATTACTGAGCTGTAATGAAATCAAACAGGGATTTATTAACTGACTGTTTACCACATTGACTGATTCTCTGACTGGTGAATTGACCAAGTGTTTTGCAGATCTGCTGAAAAAAAACCTGATTATTTTATTAAGTGAGATTGGTTTCTCACCATGATGAGATGAAGGACCGTTGGAAGAACCTCGCTCTGTTTGATCAACCTGAAAAGGAAGGAGAAAAATACATATTGAAGCAGAGGTGGAGAGACCAGAGTAAAAATAAATTTAATTTAGAGGCAATTCTGCCGCCTGTTCACACATGCACACGCACACACATTCACATTTACACACACTGAGCTGTTTCATCTTCATTAAGGCTGGAGTTCCGCTACAACGACTTCTGCCTAGTACCAGTGGAATTGGGGAGAGAGGAGAGGAGAAAAGAGAAGACGTGATGACAGCGGATGAAGTGAGGAAAGGTGAGAGAAGAGAGGGAAGGACACAGAAAGAGGAGATGACAGTTAAGGAGAGGAGGAGGTGAAAGAAACATTTGGATCTGGGGAAGAAAACTGGACAGTTCAGAGAGAGAAGATGATTTGGGATGGAAAAGATGGAGGACAGAGGTGGAGAAACAACTGGAAACAAGGGAATTATTTGGATGATGGATTCGCACAGAAAATGAGAAGAAATGAAAAATGGAAGAGAAAGGACAGAGATGGTTGTTTATATAGGCATTCAGTTTGCTCAATCATCAAGCCTCTCAACTTGCAGCCAAATTACTATGTGGCATGAGTATCAATATGTACACACACACACGCACACGCTCACACAAACGCACGTCATGTATGCAGGCGTTTGCATGCACAAAACAGTCAGACAGCAAAGCCAGCTGAAATCAGGTCTGTATTAGTATGCTTGTAACACAGCTCTGAATTCAAAACCTGTCTTCATTTTAACCATGATTTATTGCTTCTTTTACAGGTATTAGATCACTTATGGTCAACCTGCTGTCTCTATCATTGTCAGCAGGCTTCAATCACAAACACAAACTGAACACAAACGGAAGTGTTTGTGATTTTCTGGAGACCACATTAGAATAATGGTGTGTTATCTGGACATGCTCAGAATTGTATCCTTTTCACTTTTTAGTGGGTGACTGATTTTATTTTACTGTCTCATCGTCAAATATATGTTACATGCAATGTGTTGAGAAACAGAAGTCTTTTTCTTGTCTGGTTTCTACCCATTATAACAAGAAATAAACACGACTGATAAAACTAGTTGATGCTCCACACACCGATAAATGTAATTCCAAGCAAAACCATAGACTGTATACACAATGGATGACTTGGTTCCACCTTCCGTCATCATATGAATTTGAAGCTGAATTGCTCTCTGTAATTCTGAGATTTTCTCCACTTCGTGGACCACCATTCGCGCAGTAGTGTTACCGAAATTTGCTGTGATGACACTCCACTCAAACATCCCCTGGGTGAGCAACACAATCTTCGTACGCCCATAGGCTGTATCAAGAGTCAATCATAGAAAACATGAACCCCCTAATAACTTTTAAAAATGGAGCTGTACAGAAAAAAGAGGACTTGAGCACAAACCAGTCTTACAGTAACTACATGTCAACATTGCAACCAGAGGGTAGAAAAATGTATATTCTGTGTAATTAATCTCTAAAGTTTGTCCACAGCTCCATAGGGATTGATGGAGGAGGTGGGATTTATGACCTATACAGCAGCCCGTCACCAGAGGGTGCTGTTCTCACGGTGGCTTTTATCACAGCCCTTGTTGACGCCTCTCCAAATGTAACATTTATGGTTTTAGTCCAATCACTCCAAATAACTTTGTATAAGCCACATCACTTTCTTCTAAGAGTCCTGTGTGTCAGCTTAAGTTCTTTGTGGATTTTTCTTTGCATTCCTGGCAGTTGTGGCTGAAATTTGCGTTGGTCTACCTGACCTTGGTTGGACAGAATCTCTCATTTTCCACTTTGTAATTTGAGTTGGAGCACTGCTGATTGGCATTCTCAATTCCTTGGATACCTTTTTATATCTGTTTCCTCTTTTATACAGTTTAACTACCTTGTCTGGCAGAAACTTTGATCATTCTTTTACTTTCCTCATGGCCCGGGATCCAACATCAGTGCGCCACTGGATGAAACATGCAGGGGACTGTCAGGAGCCCAGAAACTCACAGACTTTTTATACACACTCATTAATTACAAGCAAACAGATCACAGATGAGGATGGTTACCTTTAGTAGCCATTTAGACCTTTGTGTCTATGTTATCAGGGCAAAACCTCAAGGGTATGCAAACTTTTGATCAGGGACGTTTGGGAAGTTTCTAAATGACGTCACCCAACCATTAACTGTGAGTGAAAGAAATAAGGTTTTTGTATTGTTGTTTATATTCTCTGAAAAATGACCACAAAAATCACAAATTCTGCCAGGGTATATAAACTTATGAGCACAACTGTATTTATGTTGTTATGTTATTGAATTACCATAAAAAATGAACCAACTAATCAACACTGGACTTCATATTTATCTCTCCACTCTGTCTTCTTTGCTCTATGGAGGCTTGAATGTGAGTGTATCAGAGTGTGTCTGGGTGTGACATGTCTGTGTTTGTGTTTGCAGACGTGATGGATGGCCTCCCATTACGTGGGTGACAGACCGAGAGAGAGAAGGACAGGTCGGGCCGCCACTGCATGATAAACTGGACCACCTTTAAACTAGCAGCCATACATCAATAAACACAGTGCACAACACCAGACATCCAACAGACCAGGACACAACAGACAGCCTTTAATACAAGACAGATGAGACAGCCCTCACTGCATATGTCGCACATCATCAGCATAAGCATTGTAATATGTCTTATTATAAACAGCAAATAAGATTGATTAACCTCTGCTGGGCTGGTCCTCTAATCCAGCTGTCAATTTAAAGACTTAATCTGGGATCATTTGAAAAGGGCAATGTGGACAATGATGGTCAACACTAAAGAAGGTCCAATTATTCATAAATGAATTTTAGCCCAACAAAACTGGCTATTAAACTTTAAACTGTATCTTAGGGGCCTTTCTCATCCAAAGTCCACATAGAAGGTCCGGATCAGGGTCCAAATGTTTACATCGTTGCATTTTGCATTTGGTCCGGTTAGCGTTCTCATGGGACTTTTGCTGAGCGAACCAGATGGTTAAAAAAAGAGGGAAAATCACTGTCTGTCACTTGCTCATTTGGGGCACAATCTTCATTGTCCCACAACGCACACAGAAAGTAGGCGACCAGAGAGAACAATAGGCGTCTTACTTCACGCAATTCACCAGAGGTGGCGGACACGTTGTGCAAGGAGACGCTGGGCATTAATGCAAAGGAATGCCTATAACACATTGTCAGCGTGTTTGTTGAACAGAAGAACATCTAGGTATAAAATATTTATCACCCAACTATTGTGTTAGAACACATACCCTCTACGTTCATACCACCCTGACCAAAGGAGTAAGGGGACCATGGTCCTTTTGGAATGAACCAAACAGTCCTGGTGTGAATGCACCCATAAGCATGAAAAAACAACCACCAGAGTGTTATTAACATATGAGTCGGGTCGGGTCCTGCTCAAGGTTTCTGCCTGTTAAAAGGAAGTTTTATCTTGCCACTGCTACTCATGTTAGATGAGATGGGCCAAAACCCATCTTAGGTTGGTTCTTGATAATTCATCAAACAATGAGCGTGGTCTAGACCTGCTCTTGTACTTTGAAAAGCGTCTTGGGATGACGACTGTTGTGAATTGGCACTATATAAATAAAATTTGATTGATTGATTGATTGATATGATAAATACACTCTTCCCTAGCTCAAATGATTAATAATGTGTCCAAATGACTTTGGAGGTTTGATGACATTATGTAAGGTTGAGTATCTGTTAAGGCATTAACTTTTGATTTAAAAAAAAAAAAAAAGTAGGGGACAAATCTTGTGGAGCAATGAGCTGTTGAAGATATTCTCTGCATATCCAACATAGTTAAACTTAAGAGGAAATCCTACCTGACTCTGAGTTGATAAGCATGATATGTGTGAAGAGGTTAGGCCACATTTACATACATGAGACTAACAGACACGTAGAAGGATTCTGAAACATACTTCAACACATACGCGTGTAACGACACAGCATAAGGTTCCTTGGCTAAAGGTCATAGTAAATGTAGTTGTTTGAAGGTGTGTCTGGGCTGTGATAATGCTGAGAGAAACAGCAGGCTGCCTTCCCAACGTTAATGTCCTCAATTTACCATCTAATTACCGCTCGGCTGGCTTCATAGCCACACTTATCTAACCAAGACCCAGGCAATTTAATTTCTGATTGTATAACCGCAGTGATGGAGGGAGAGCTGTGGAGAGAGGGCACAGAAAAAGAGGGAATGTGGACTAATGTTAATAAATTAGAGATGGTGACAGAAAAAGAATGAAAAAGACAGAGAGAACGTCAAATATTGTTAATAATGTCAGAGTAAAAGGAGTGAGAGAAAAAAACTAAGATGTAGAGAGAAGAGTGCTGACACCAATTTGAGAAGTTCACGTCACTCTACTTGTGTCAAGGAAAGAGGGGGATGAGGAGAGGCTGTGCAGGAGAAGGATGGAGACGAGAGGGGGTAATATTGCTGATAAGAGCGTAGGAGCGTATTCAGCGATGATGGTGAACTTTAAACTCAGGGAGCGGTGGATGGAGATAGGACGAGAGTGGGATATTAGTGATAAGAGGTTTGTTGAGTTATTATTGCCTAAGTCGATAAAGTAAGTTGATGAAGAGAGAAAAAAAAAAACAAGGGAGGGACACAACAAAAGGTTAATTATGATGGTTGTTGTAAATACACAATACAATTTGGTGTGTGTGACACACTTTAACTGCCTTTGTTTTCCTCTAAAAGTGGGCTGCATCCTCAATACTAGTGTGTTCAGTTACCACTGTACACTAATCATCCTAAACATTGTGACCACTGGCAGATGAATTTAATAACATCCTCTCTTTACAATGGCCCTGGCAGGGGGATGGACTATGTTTGGGAGCAAGTGAGCATTTTATTCTCAGAGCTGATGCTTGAGAGAGAAGCAGACAAAATGAGCAAGAGAAAGGATGTGAGCAACTTTGACAAGGATCAAACTGTGATGGCCAGATGACAGGATTAGAGCATCTGCAAAATAGTTGTCAGTTGGGTTGTTATTTTACCCTCAAGATAGCACAATACTAGCCAAAGCTTCATCAAGGACACACATGAAACCATGGATGCCAATGCAGCTGCCACCGCCACCTACTGACAAGACTAAAAATTCGCCCCAATTTGTTGCGTACTACAAGAGGTCAGTGTACTGCTCAAAGCACACACAAATCAAGCAGCAACCTGATGATGTAAAATGAAGTCAATGTTTGATAGTAAAAAAACTGCACCCGCAAAGGAAGGCATTTAAATCTTGTTAACCTGGTGAAGCCCCGCCAAAAACATAGTTTTCACATACTTACATATAACTTTTATCACAGATTGAATGGTGCTTTGTATTGAGGAACTTTGATCTATAAATGGGCTACACCATATGACCTTGAAAAACTTTGGTGTTTTTTTAATTTATGATCTGTAACTATTTTATACAACCACAAGACAGTTTGTCTGAAATAAAGCTGCAAAGTTGATGGGAAAATTCGGTTTAATTAAGGTAGGAGGAATTTTCTGCTTCCATAATTGTGCTACTCTACAGCAGAAACAACTGCTTGCCAGTGAAACTGCATATTTTTATCTCCTCTTGCTGTCTTTGTCTGTTTGAAATGGTAAATGTTGAGTCACGCAGCCTTGCCAATTAACATGATATCCCTTCTATCCAAGTACCCCAACCTTTGTCAAGATCCTCTCTCTTCCCAAATGTTGTTCTCCCCCATCCATCTAACTTCAGCTCCCAGCTGAACTCTTCCACTTCTCCACTCCTCCATCTTTTCTCTATTCTCCCTCTTTCACTGTGTTCCCTCTTTTTTTTCATCCTCACATTTTGTCTCTGTCAACAGCTGGGAGGAAAAGACAGATGACCAGAGAATTAAGACTTACTGACAGCTGCTGTCAGAACACATCTATCAAACACACATATCAGGCATGCATGTACACACGAACACAAACCACACTTGTATACACACACACACACACACACACACACACACACACACACACACACACACACACACACACACACACACACACAGGTGAGTCACCTCATGGTAAGAAAAGGAATCAGCAGACTGGCTGTGCAACCATTCAAGGAACATACTTTCTTATTTTGATGACTCCTTTCTCAAGACATCTTTTTCATTCCTGACTTGGGATTTTTGGAAATTGTGCAGTCTTAAAATCCAGTGTGTGCAGTCTTAACCAAAGCATACCAGAAAGAGTTAATGTATAGCTGTGTTCACAGGGGCCCGAAAAATTGGAATAAATGCTCGATCAGAATAAAAATGCGTAATGTAAAAATCGTTATTCCGAAACGCATCCATGTAAAAAGCTAATCCGATCAAGGCATATATAAAGCGTAACAATGTCACATCTGTACACACAGTGCAAAACTTTGACAGGACAGTAAAATAAGTAAGCAAGGGCGCCATCTAGTGCCAACATTTAACAGGGGGAAAACTCCTGAATAGGATGACGTGAGGCACTTCCGCGTTTGTTGGTTTGTTGACAGCACAGGCATCAATACAACTTCTGAGGTTGTTTTAGTGAAATTAGACAACTCTGCACATGTCTGAATGGTTCTAATCTGAATAAAGCTTGGTGCATGCATATGCATGTCATGAACGGATTATTTGATTTTGCACCCATATAAACAGTGGATTCAGATTATCCAATCCCTCAAATTTTTTAATCGAATCAAGAAAACATAGCTTATGAGACTATATCAGATAACATGCCACGCTGCTCCTCTTCTAAAGTATATTTTGAGTCTCACTAAACTAAGTGTTAATTTAGTCAGAAAAAAAGGACTATGAGGGTGGGAAAAGGTGTTGCTGAATGTAGATAAGCAGGAGCTGAGCTGATGGTGCTGTTAGTGGTTAATGTGCACCAACAGCATTACTGAATAAATGATTATCTGTGTGTATTTGAATCGAGTATAGTGGGTAAATAAATCACTGCTGAAGTGTGTGTTTGCGTGTGGTTTTGAATAAAAAACAGAACTAGTGATCCACCGTGCTGGTCTGGGAGTGACTGGCCTTGGCATTGAAACATTACACATGGAGGGTTTAAGTGAGTGTATTTGTGTGTCTGCCTGCCAGGAGTAAAAACACTGCCCAAAGCTTATACTTGGAAAAAAAAGACAAATGCAGACAAAAAGATCTCTTGTTAGCTTATTTACTGTCCATTAGTGTTGTTCAGTCGCTGTAAGAGGAAGTAACCAATATAAAAGACCGGTTCATTTCTGCTTTGAAACCATGACTAATGATGAAACTTAATATGCAGGTAAAGTTAAATCAGCTCTACTCATTAAGCCCTTCAACAGTATATTGTTGTCTCCATGCAAGGTTCGGGTGTGTGTCTGAGTGTGTGAAGTACCTGCACATCTGAGTGCTGTGTTCAGTCAGTGATAGCAGCAGTTTGAGAGCGTAGAGCGGGACAGGCTCTGCTGCTCGAAGAAGAGACTCATACCTAGACACAAACATGCAGGAGTACAAGGTTTGGCTTTGGTACTGTGAATAATTAATGTACTGTTCTGATCATTAGTAACAGAGTGTAAACTGGAACAGATCTGCAGAGAGGGTGGAGAAGAAGGGGGGAGGGGAGGACTTGAGTTTTTATAGCGGAAGGAGAGAAAAGGGAAATATGGGGGGAAGAGCAGGGGAGGAAAGGGAGAGATGAGAGTGTGACGAGGAGGGGAAATGAGGGTTGAAGTTGAACAAGAGGTGACATATGAGGCAACCCCCAAAAGAGAGGCACATTTTAGAAATAGAGATAGAACTGTAAAGCTGTGGGAGGCGGTATGGATTCACAAATGAGAAAAGCAGTCTGTCTGTTACTGTCATTATGTGAACCTCAGTCAAGTTCATTTGTCTGCGTGTGCTCTTCAAAGATTGCAAGATCAGATGATGTTAACACTCATCCTGACAGACACTTGACAGGAAGCTGTATCTGACAAGTGCAAGGATGCTACATGGACCCACAAATGCAGGATGCAAAAACACAAGTTAGATTATAAAACTCCCCAAAATTCGATAGAAAGGTTGTTGGCTGGACATCCTTGCCACCTTATTCCCTCTAAGTTTGGCTCTGTTATCACCCTTGTTGGCATTAAGGTACAGAAACTTGGGGCATGAACAAAATGACTAGGTTGAGCATCAGAATGGGCCAAAGAGGGTACATTTGGGCTAAATATATATTTAAAAAAAACAATCAATACTAATAATACTGGCACTAAAATGAGGGTCAGTTTTGTCCCAATAAGAAAAAAAGCAGGTTGAAAAACTGCCAAAATAATGTACAGAAAAAATTCAAACCAACCTTGGAAGAAGGGATTGATTGACAAGAACAAACATCTGATTACAGGCGCCTCCATTGTCTCTTTGCTCTCCTGCTGCCCTCGCTTGTTTCTCTCCCCTCTCATTGTTTACATCAGCTTCTTCATCTTCCTCAGCTCCCTCACCCTCCTCAACCAGCAGGACAAGACCGAGCTCAGACAGGACCCTTAAAACAAACACAGACCACTCCACTGGAATACAAACACATGCACAGGAAACAGACCAAGAGTGTTAATGCAGCTCACAACAAGCACATTTGAGAATGTTATATGTGAGTATTCACAGGTACATTTCAAGGCTACACACATAGGCCAACACATTCCTTAGTGTAATTAGTTTCTCAGGAGACTGTGTATGTGATATGAAATAACAAAATAAATTGATCCAAACCCAAACACTGCAGAGGATAACTACGCTTTTCACGTGATACTGCAAGTGTCTGATGCAAAGATTTTCATGAGCAATATAACTTAAGACATCTGTCTCACTTTTGCCTCTTTTTTTTAGATCCAATCTCTTATTTCTACAATCCTTTCTTTATCATATAATTATCAATATTCTCAATTTGCTTCTCCTATACCCTAAACTGTTTTTTTGTATTTTTTTCCCCATCATTGGATCTTTTTGATGACAGATGGGAAACAAGTGGAAATAACGCAAGGTTCGACAGGTATTGAAGGTCCTCAGCTGTGCTCTTCTCTCCTGCTCTTTCCGATTTCCTCTCTTCTGCTCTCTTCCCTCTCCTCCCTCTCTCTCTGACATTTGCTTCCGTTTCCAAATAGCCTCTCTCATGCTCTCCCTTTCCACTCTCACAAAAAAGAACCAACATCTTCCTCACCATTTCTGCTGAAAGCCAGTGTTGTCAGAGAAGGTAGAATGGCATCCACAACCTTCAAGAGACATAAACAGACAAAACATTTGGACGAATTTAGTAAAATCCTGAATTTTTGGAGTAGTCCATAAAAAAACTTATCACCTGCTGTAATGTTTGCATGGTACAGAATAATGTCGATGGTTTTCATTCATTTTATGATATACAAAAAACCTGTACAATATCAAAGTCTGTATGTCATTTCTCAATATCATGATAAATAGATTGTTCAAGAAGTAGCTTCAAGCTGATGAAATTTTCCTTTTGGTTGATCCGCTCTGTACTATGAACGAGAAATGTACTCTTTTAAAGTGAGAAAATAAGCTGTTGAGTACTAATTAGTAGAAGTACTACCAATATGCTTAAGACTTTAATATGTAAAAATCCTACAATTAACTTATCAAAATCAGTGAGTGTGAAAGAAATGATAAAAACCGCTCCATTTGCTCCAGCATTCTCTCATTTGTTAGGAACAAAGTACATCAATGAAGCAATCTCAGCCTTGTTAATATACAGTGAATCTAAAAACAGAATATATTTTTGCCTTACACTGAATAGAAGACATTGTACCGTATTAATTCAGTGAACATCAACCACACAGACCAGTGTTGGAGGATCAAATTACTATGGAAATGCACTGTTGAATGATCTCTTTGATCAAACACACACGCAGACACATGCACACACAAAACCACAAAAACTAATGTACAACAACTGTCAAAGCCCCTTTTTAGGCAGGAGTGTGTATTGCATGAATTTGCATGATTACTAATATTACCATAGAAACAACACTAATGCTGAGTGAGTGTGTGAGGTCATTACATTGAAAGCCAGAGAAAGGAAACTACAAAGGCTGTTGTCCGCCACTTAATGGTTTGTGTATAATATCAGGACCATCAAAAGACTGGACAGTGCGTGTATATGTGTGTGGCAGAAGGCTTGGTGCAATTTGCCTAAACTGTGATCTTTGGGTGACCATGTCCATTTGCTGTTAGAAATCCTTCTTATCTTAAAATTTATTTATTTTTTGTTACTCCACTTATTAAACCAGTTTTTCAGCAGATTACGCCGATCCAAAAAAAAAAAAAAAAAAAAAAGGAAAAAGAAAACAGAAAAATTCAGTTTATATATAGTTGCATCATGTTGTTCATGCTTAGTATTGTATTTATCTATTTGTAAATCACAGCTGTTTCTTCTCGTAAACAAACAAAAAACCTCTTGGGCACATTGTTGATAAAAAAATATGCATGTCTTTCTGCTGTGCTGAAGCAGCTACTTGTTAAGTTTTTTTCTGCCTTCTTTTGTTGTGAGCTGTACTAAATGAATCAGCAAGGCTTCTTCAGATTACACACTGTCATAAATGCAATGTGAGAGCAACTCTGAATTTTCAGATAACAACCATACGATAGTAGCTGCATTTACAGAACAGTTGGAGACAAATTCACCCAGTCCATACCAGCGATAGGAAGAGCAGCAAAACCCTATTGAGAAGTCTTCAAATTCTTGAAACATCATGGTAATGTAAACTTGAAAAAATACAACAATAGTGAATAGCTGTTCTTGAGGTATCAAGTTTTTCGATCATTTCCTATGTCACTGTTCATTGACACATTTAAATCAATTTGAACCGTTTTTAAGTTTTCCTCGTTAAGAAGTAAACAGCTTACAAGGTTGGATTGTTTTGAGACATAGTTCACAATAGTTTCAATAATGTGAAAGCAGTTTGTGTGGGGGAAAAGGAAAAAAAAAACTTTCTTCAAACTTTACTTTGCTACAGGGTTGATAAGATGCAAATTGACTCAAACACAAGTGTGTGTCCTTGTCCAGCAGGCAATAAAAGTTAATCCAAGCTGGCTGCTGGTAATTAAAGTGTCTTCCTGTGTTATTGACTATCAGTAGCAGCAAGCTCCCTCTTTGCACCATTCCACCATTCCTCATTTCTTTTCTTCTCTCTCCGTCTATCCTTGTGTGCTTCCTGCTGCTTTCCACTTCCATGTGTCAATAGTCATTAAACACAATCTCACCATCCTTGTCCAGGTACATACACCTAAACATTCAGACACACGCACACACTCACACACACACACACACACACACACACACACACACACACACACACACACACACACACACACACACACACACACACACACACACACACACACACACACACACACACACACACACACACACACACACACACACACACACACACACACAAACTCACAGATCAGATGAGTCTCTGGTGGTTCAATAGTTGATTAGCGTCTGCCTAATAGCACTTATACTGACCCTCTGTCCTCTGACTACTGACAGACAGTTTTAGTGGACTGGAGGACAAACTTTGAACATGACAAACTAACAACTACATGACATGGAGAAAACTGAAGATAAATCTGGATATGCATACAATCATTTCTTTTCCTTTTAAAGTGTCTGTATTAAAACATAGAAACAAATATCTTTTGTTATTAGAAATAAAAACACAGTAAAAATCAAATTAAAATCTTAGTTTTAGAAATTTAACTGACCACCAGGACGACTGGATGTCCTCTAAGCCTTGTGAGGTGAAAGGTGCTGACATTTGTTAAATATTGCAACTTATACCTGGCCTGTATTTTTCATACCGTTACAGTCGTTTAGTCAAACATTCAGTCAAATAGAAAGACATATCCTTTTCCACCAAAGCGGCTCTGGTGCTGGTTCTGTGCTGGTGATGTCTCAGAGTTGGTTCAACTGAACCTTCGAAGAACCAGTTTGTTTTTTTTTTTTCAAAATGAGCTACACCATTATATCACTGAATAAGTCGGTGAACAACACTTCCCAGAAACCCTCAGGCTGGTCAGACGCTCTAACAGACACACATTTTCACGAACATTTAGACAGTTTTTTTTTTTTCATCAGATAAACAAACTGTGAGACAAACAGGAAGTCAGGTGTGTGTTTTCTTGTAAACATACTTACAATATTCTTCTTTGGAGTGATGAGAGCATGATGCTGACTCAGGACTTCCACAATGGATAGAGATGTCCTTATAAGCTCATCACACACAGCTGAACCTAACAAGGGATCAGAGTTCCTTTAGCAATGCTACAAAAAAAACCAAAAAACTGGAATACTGTATTAAGTGTCTTACTGCAATTTTTATTCAACATGTACAAACGAATATAACACAGGACATCACTTACCCAAAGCATTAGACAGACTTGTTTCACTGGAGTCTATGGAGGTGATATAGTTCTGTCAGAGAGAGACATATGAGCTCAATACTGCAGTGATTCCCAGTCAAAGTCATTTCAGTTTTTTTCCTTCACTGAGCACTGTTTTATCTGCCTGTGGACTTTTTCTGACCATAGTTTGCTGTTTGGTTATTTTGTTAACGCATATCTATGTTTGGGGAAATAAACTATGAACCAGTGCAGCATTTTGTATAACCCTTTGTCTTTTGATGACCTGGCTTTTCTCAGATATTGTGACAAATGTACACGTTTTTTAAAATCATATGTTTACTATTTTTTTAAATCCCCTGAATTTCTTTAACTTACCGCTAACCAAGAAGATAAACTTGTCCAAAACAAAGCAGGAACCTCATAACCCCACAGACTGCATTAAGGTGAAAAAGGTCAGCCATAAAGCTGGACTTTCTTGGCCTGAAGAAGGTACATATTAATCTATATGAATTTGCATTGAGCTCCGGTCCTTCTGCATTAATTTGATGTTAAGATTATTTCAATGAAGTTCCACGAGTACCAGAAATTCATTTTTCAGAGCTGTGGTATAGTTTGATATTGTGCCCTAAACCCTTTTTTGACGACTCCATAACATTTAATCAGACCACTGGTCATGTCTAAAAGCACAAGAGGTCATATATACCTACAAGAGTCTTTTCCTAAAATGACTATTGCTAATTCTGTAATGCTTAACACTTACCAGCAGCAATCCAATCTTAGTAAGGAAGTCTTCAGTTACAATTTGAGATCTAAAGACCTGTGAAAGGATGAAGTCAGTCAATTTGACAGCAAAGGTATGAGTAGTCAAACAACCAAGTGTTAAGGTAAAAGTTAAGAGCTTGACCATACAACATCCATTCTTGCAAAATTTTTATAACAAACCCAAATGACACCAAACTACAACAAATAACATCCAAAGTTATTATGTTTTTGTTTACAGGTGTAAAATTGATCTGAAAAATCTGTTGAAACTGCCAAATTATTATGACCAAACAATGAAGGACACATGTTTTAATCAGAGTTACCTGTGATGTAATTAGTTCAAACACGACAGACAATGTTGGCAAAGTGTTTTTAAGCTGTCTGCTCTGAGCTGTAGTTGGGTGTCTCCTCCCAATCACACTTTGTAATGCACCCAAGACGTCATCTACAGGGTCACAGAACATAAGACACAGATGAATATGAAAATGAGACTTGACTGTGGAGACTTACAGAATGGAAAAGATCACATTCCCTTTTAATCTAAACATGGACAAGTTTAGATTGCACTGGGAAAGATGGGTTACACCACTAAGACCTGATTTTGTTAAAAAATTAACTTGAAGGAACATCTATATTATATTTACACATTGTTTTGTCTCCTCCTTGAACCGTCATCGTACTGTGGTGGAGGAGTTTGCGTGCTCTAATAAACCTAGGAGCTATGCTGTCCGAGGCATTTTGCCCCTGGTAGGGTCTCCCAAGGCAGATTGGTCCTAGGCGAAGGGTCAGACTAAGAATGGTTCAGAAGACCCTCATGAAAAATAACGGAGGGATCCAGTGTACCCGGCCCGGAAGGACACCGGGCCCCACCCTGGAGCCAGGCCCAGGGTTGGGGCTCGATGGCAAGCGCCTGGGGGCTGGGCCCAGCCCATGGGGCCCAGCCCGAACGAGCCACATGGGCACCACCTCCAGTGGACCCACCACCTGCAGGAGGAACATGAAGGGTCCGGTGCTTGAGGGATTGGGCGGCAGACCAAGGCTGGAAGAAGCTGGGGTGAGGGCCCTCTGGGCTTCCCTCCTGAAGCTGCTGCCCCCATGGAGCGGAGGAAAAGGATGACGATGACATTGTTTTGTTTCTGCTTTTGTTTTTTTTGTTTTTCTTCTCTGAAAATGTTTATCTAGATATATTACACTGCTGCTGCCTGTCTAAGTTATTGAATTTTTTTTTCTTTTACCTTATTACCTTCTCTATTGGATGTATAGAGTTTCATTATGGCCTATTTTAACAGGAATAAAAACTAGAAATACTTTTTAAAAAGAGTATACTAAAGGATGTAAAGTTAAGAGAAACATAAAAATACAGTGCATTTTTTTTCTTTGTAGATGTATGTATACCCATAAATGTGAAGATGTTGTATGTAAAAATGCATTGTAATGATAAAATAAAAAAAATAATAATAAAATGGGATGAAAATGAGGTTGCTTACTGTAACACAAAGGAACACTCTATTAACAGCTATATTATGCTGTTAAAATAAAAACAAGTATAGTATTTTCACTGCTTTATGCAGAAAGTGTGTTTATCTGTCTGTACCCAGTATCAGAGGTGCAGTGCTGGTCAGATGCACAGACAGTACATCCAGACACTGAGACAGGTATCCTGACTGGCCTGGGTTCTCTCTGAGGGGAGTGGCTTTGCGCAGGTCTCTCTCCAGGTACATCACAAGTCTAAACAGAGACACATGTGTTGCATGTTAGTACATTTTGATGGCATATCTAATACATACATATCCAAGGGTTCTGGACCTAACTTTCACTTTGACTGCTTTTTTCAGCAACTCAAGGTTTTCTTCTGCTCTCGCTCACAGTAACAACTCAATGACTGAATGATTCAAGGATGCAGACACATTAATATGATGATTTCTGTCAATGAGCTGTAAAATTTTGACAGGATGCATAAAAAGCGCAAAGTGAAACAGACAAGCCCTGAGTTTCAGGACATTTTTATTCTTGTCAGACTGTTTGTATTGAACAGTAATCAATAATATTCTATTCACACATTCAGAGCAGAGCAGAAATGTTACCATTTCTAACTCATATTTATAACCCACACATAAACACCTTTGTGTGTGTAGAAACACACACGCACAGGCACAAACAGTCTGCATGCAGACACATGCAGAGATTCAGAGAGGTCATATTAGTTAACAAATATTGATTCTGAGCTTTAGAGCAGCAATGGTGGAGGCGCAGTGGAGAATGACTAATGCGTGTTTTCCCTCACAAAGCTGCATAAAGATTAACTTTCAGAGCTTACAGTTACAAGGAATCCAGCGCTCTACTGTCACTTTATCAAGGGTTCTATGTATTCCAAGAAAGCCAATTTAACAATTACTGCATTTTTTAGTATTGTTATGGTGTAGTGCCAATGAAAGCCTGGCCAAAGCAGCTTTTGCATTATCAAAAATTCAGAGACATAAAAAAACATGAAGCTATCGACCACAGGCTTTTGCTGCTTCTAAATTTCTATGCAAATGCACACAAAAATAAATAAATAAAACAATGAGGGTATTTTGTTCATAGGTGAGCCCTTCTGTAGACAGCAAGTCCCAGATGGTGAGTGGTTCACAAAAATCTTTCTGATAGGATTATAAATATTTACTGACAATGAAAGTCACAGAAAGGAGAGATTTCAACTGACAAGTCAACACAGACAGAGCAGTTTCTGCTCACTTATGGAAAAGCAAAAAACGGTTTGGATCAAGACAACCAGCTGTGGGTAAATCTGTGGATAACTTTGTATCATGCAAACACAACTATTGTGTTTCAAATACAATGTGCTATGAATTAGAACCAGGGTATGTGTTTAATGTGGAATTTTGATTAAAAGCTCTTTCACACATCAAGTCTGTCAAAAGTCCAAAGATCAACTTCTTTGGTTGACTATAACACTAGTTTTCAGCATAGCAGAAATTTGAAGTTCAAGCTAAAATCAGCTACAGTAACATTTCACCAATGCAAGCTAATGCTCAGTTTCTTGGTTAAGGATCTTCTGAAGGTTTTCCACGGGCATCAAACATCAATAAAGGCCGCATTGATGGTAATGAGAGGGTGTGTATAATGCATCAGATTTTATACCAGTGACCCTCAAAACACTTTACATTGGATTCATCATTCATTCACTCACACAGTCACACCCTGGTGGTGGTAAACTACCTTGGTAGTCACAGCTGCCCTGAGGCAGACTGATGGAAACATGGCTGCAAATTACTGTAGGTACTGTAGGTCAAGTGTCTTGCCCAAGGACGCCATGGACAGAGTAGGAATAGCGTGGGGAACGAACCACCAAGCTTCCAGTTACTGTACGACCGCTCTATCTGATGAGCTACAGCTGTATGTAGGTACAGTAACTGGTTTCTAACAGAGAATACTTTTATACTTTATATATGTCCTGCATGCTCTTATTAATTTTTATTCGAGTATTTTATGTATTATTCTCCGTTGAATGTTGCACCATCACGCCATAAACATTCCTAGTTTGTGAATCCTATTCATTGACAATGGCAATAAAAACCCCTTCTGATTCTGATTCTGAGAAACATTAGACCAAAGACCAGCAATATGATACTGAGTAAGTTTTATGAGTCATCCAGAGGGTTCTAAAATTGTACATTAGAGTTTCATAGCAATCCATTCATGAACTTGTTAAAACGTTATAGACAAAAGCTAATGTCAAAAAGTCATAACCAGTGAGAAACTGGCCCTTCAAATCAAGTCAGGGGGTTGTTGCTTGGATTTACTGTCTCAGTAACATCAGTTTATTTATTTATAAAATGTTAAAAAATAAAAAAGTAGAACCAAAAAGTTATTGGCTTATGAAATCAATTGGTTTTAACAAACCATTGTCAGATGTATTGGTCATTCTAAATCGCCTCTAGCTTTGACTGTGTGTGAAAGCTTGTTGGTCTCTATATGTCAGCCCTGTGAACAACTGTCGACCTGTCCAGGGTGTACCAATCTCAGCCTCTCATCCAATCACAGCTTGGATAGGCTTCAGCCCCTCCGTGACCCCCTGAAGGGATAAGCAGTAAAAATAATGGATGGATGGATACAACCTAGTCAACATTTCATTCTTGATCTCTCTGGCTTTCAAAAAATTGTAAAATACTTATTGGGGTGAACTTCTTAATACATGTAGTATGTCCGTCTTCACAGCTATTTACCTTTTTATAGAGGTTACAGCTCTGACCAGCTCCATACCTGCCTCTTGTCTGTCAGCTCATTTGTCTCCCTGCTGGATGTCTGCCTGTGTGTTCCTCTGTCAGACTTGCAGCTATTTTTCCTGATTGCTAAATAAAGAGAGACAAACTTGCCACCTCTCTGTCACTCTCTGTGGGAGACTCACAAAGCACTCACACACTACTGACCTACAAGTGGCCAGCTCTGCGTGTGTGTCTGCATGTGTTGAAAGCCATCACGCTCCACTCCCAATGGCATTTTTGACACTTCCTCACTGAGGCCCGTGCAAGTTATCTCCTACTGACAAAAACACACACTCGCTTACACACATATTTTCCTGCCACTGAGGAGCTAATTAAACACAACGTGCCTGGGTGAGAGCAGGACTGAGGGAGAGACGTGTTTCTGTGTGTGCGGTTGAATCATGCAGAGTGCTCAGTGGGAGAGAGACAGGCAGGTCAACTCTGACAGCTCCAATACAGCGAAGAGAAAGAGTCAGTTTGAGGGGAGAGAGAGACAAGGAGAGAGAGGTAGAGGGAGAGACAGTGTGTATGTGTATGTGTGTGTGTGTGTGTGTGTGTGTGTGTGTAAGAGAGAGAGAGAGAGAAAGACAGGCACAGAAAAAAATAAATAAATAAGGAGAAACAAAAATAACTTGTCTGTTTCAGTTTTATGTGTAAAATGAGGTTGTGCTGAGACTTTCAGGAATTAAGCTATCTCATATCTGAATACAAAATGGCCGAGCCATTCTAACAAAAGATCAATTATATGATGCTTCGGCCCAAGACAGAGAAGTGAGACAGAATGTCCAATCAAAAAGATCCTTAATGAGCTGATTATAACATGTACTAAGGATTATTGCTATGCCCTGCTGCAGCCTGTGTCTGTATCCTGGTTCTTTAGGACACGGACGCAGTAACTTGTCTTTCTCTTTAGCTCTTGTTCTGTATGGGTTTGACTGGAGGTAGATAGAGTAGTAGACAGTGTTTATGAATTTATTATGTATAACAACATATTTATTTTGTCAGATCTTAAAGGGATATTCCAGTGTAAGAGATATCAAATATCTTTTTAGCTTTGCCTGGTTTCTTTCCAAACAGAGCTCACCCACTCTCTTCCAGCAGCCGCTTATTTGTCAGGGAGCCCTGACGAGTCAATCACCAAATGCAGCAGAGTTTCGCAGTTCAAGGAAGAACATTTATGATTATTACTTCATGGAAATGTCAGAGTTCTTGTGTATCTTGTATGTGCACTACAGACGTGGTAGTCCTTCTGCCTTAGCGTCTCGGTCTGATGACATTTCCATGAAGTAATGATCATAAATGTTCTTATTTGAGCTGCGGAACTCCGCTGCACTTGGTGATCGACTCGTCAGGGCTCCCCCCACAAACAAGTGGCTGCTGAAAGAGAGTGGGTGAGTTGTGTTTAGTCTCTTTGCTAAAGAAACCAGGCAGAGTTAAAAAGATGTTTGATGGCTAGTACTATAGCTGGGACCCTATATGTACTGTTGATGAAGGTAGGTGCTGTTCTGAGCATTATTTGTGGCTATAGAGTGGCTTTTTGGTTGAGGTTTGCAGGTGTAGACATAGACCGTTGTATATTGCTATCGTGCAGTCATTACTAATGTTGGTATAAATAGAGAAACAAGCGGTTGGCAACATTCATCTCTCAAGGGGGTGTCTAACTCTGTGTTATGGTGTGTTTGGCCGTGAATTAAATTTATGCCAGAATATCCCTTTAAGCATTTACTGAATCCAAACCCAGACACCATTACTGTGTTTCCCACCCATGATACATAGAGAACACAACTTATAGACATTTGAACAAAATTACAAAATCTTAGAATGTGGTCACTTAATGCTTCTTAACAGAGCTTTGAGCAAATGAGAGGCGTGTCCCTTCAGTCAAATGAATTAATAAAGTGAGGGGGGTAAAATCCTGAAAGATAAATTGAAAAAAATCTGGTTGTGTCAACATCTTTAATTCGTGTAATTCATAAAATTCAATCTATAGTAGCTAACATCTAAAATTTCTGACGATGACACAGAGGAGACCAACTGCTCAGAGTGGGAGAAAGTAGGAGAGAATGTGTAACAGTGGTGCTTTTCCATTAAAAGAAAAAACAAAGAGGGAGAAATAAAAAGAAACAGTGGAAAAAGACAGATGAGAGAAAGGCAGCTGCAAAGATCCACATGTAAATAATCTAGGTCATCTTTTTACAACCAAAATACCAACTGGCCATAAATTACCAGGGGAACTGGCTGTGTACATATGTATATACATCATGCATATGCATCTGATCATGTGGGCTATGAATACTCACAGTTGCACTGCAAGTTAGTGTGGGGTGAAACACAGGACAACCGAGCTAACGAGCCATTTGAAGTTTCTGTAAAGTTACAACATGCAGCAGCACAAACTCAGCTGAATGTCCAGGGTACATACATTTATATTATCATTCCCTCAGCTGCTGTGCTACTTAATGCAGAGGTTACCCAGAGTCCAAGTGCTTTCAGTGCAGCATTTTTGTGAAGGAAGTCTCCCTTCTTCACACAGTCAGCTTTATAGATCAGATAAATGCATTAAAATGCTAAGTGCTGTAACAAAATGTGACATCTCTTCTTCAAGATCAAACAACCCCAAAAAACAAGTTTGGAAAAAGTGTTGGTTACTAATCTAACAAATCTTTAACCGAGTTTATTGTACAGCATTTGCTCACTACAAATTGTCAAAATCAAGCTTTTGTCTCTCAGCCCACATAAAGAAACAGATTTTGCAAACCCAAAATGACAGCTTTTCCAAAATAATTTCCACTTTTTATATAAAGTGTCTGCCTGCATTTTGAACTGAGATAAACAGCTTCTGGATAATAAAAAAAGGGATAAGTTGCTGGATGGAAGCACAGTTTTCAGGATATCTGTCTATGACGTGTAACTCTGAATCAACTTGAAAGTATTAGGGTTCACACAGATCACTTTCCCATACAAACATTATCCCTTTTTCCAACAGCATCCCACCAAACTAGAAACATAAGCTCTTGAACAGACTGGTGTGCCAACCACAATCATTGGCAATCAGTATCATATAACTACTATCATATGTATATCATATCATCATCATATGTATAATTAAGGATTGACCAATAATTGGCATGACCGATAATATCGGCCTATATTCAGCATTTTTACAGCATTTGGCATCAGCCGTTTTTTCCACTGACAGCTGATAAAATACGTTTATTTTAAAGCGCGCTCGTTCGGCTATTACACAGCTGCCTCTCTCTGCCCAATGTCACCACTCTTGGATGTGTAACAATGTCCCGCCAACAGTCCCCACTGATTGGCTACGCAGACAGCCACTTAGGCTTCTAGGTGTAGCTCCACAGCAAGGGAGAGAGAGAGGAGAGTGCATCTTATTATATAAGGTCTTTTTATCACAGATTTTCCACAGTGTACAAAACAAACAAACTGTACTGTGTTCAGTCTAATCCCAGGTGTGTTATTTAATATCTTGACACCAAAATATACATATTTACTACAGATGAATATTGGTGCTAAATATCAGTTATTGGTTTCCTTGATTATAATAATCGGTATTGATTTCAGCCCTACAAAAAAGGAAATCAGTCGATCTTTTCTTTTAACCAAAGAAGACTTCTGAGTAAGCAGTGGACAGCAATCAATCTAAACCATATCACAACCTACATATATATTATATGTGTTGTGGCATCTTATAAATAAACATAAAAAAGTACAAATGTCAAGTTCTTAAAAAGAATAACTTTGAACACAGTTTGAACCCCCCAACCCCACCCCACCCCAAACACAAACAAACACTCGGCACTCTGAGGGGGGATTTAGTTTAGCACAGTGTAGCAGGCGAACAGAGCACACTCAGAAAGCTACAGTTTAATAATTAAAAGGGAATCCCACCCTGAAATGGAATTCAATTCACAAATGCTATTTGTTTGTTCTCTGACACTTCAGTGTATGTGTGAACACGAGTTACTGCATTCCAGAGAAACTAATTAGCCAGCAGTCTGACAGACTGAGCAGAGTTATGAAGGTGCTTCACTGGTCCAAAACTCAGCACAGTCAGTATGGAGGTGCGGGGGGGATACTATGCTGTGAAATAACAGTACTGTTAATTTATGATACATCTCTTAAGCAGGATCCTCTTTTTAGAACTCTACAGTGAAGTTAAGATGTTTTTCTTCAATTAAAAATATCTAAAACTATACTTGAGTAGAAATGAGTAGAAATCTCTTCTAAAGCAAACAGCATAAATGTATCTGGATTTCAACAAGGCAGAACATACACTGTGTGACTAGAGGCCTAACCCTGTGCAGTGTACATGGGGGCACAAGAGCTGATCACAGCCAGATCAACTACTCCAGACTTGTTGGATGAGTTTCGAACATGTCAGAAAGTTTGGCCAATTGACTATCCTCTGGCCCAGTGAGAGCGGGGCTATGATGACTATGCCTCTGCTGTAGCCACTCCCAAACTCTGGAACAGCTAACATTCTTTCATTAAAATCTCACTGTAGCCACTTTTAATAGACTGAAGTCTTAGGTTTTTAAACTTTCAATCATTTATTGTTTTTCTTTTCTGATTCCCCACTGGTCAACGGTGGCTGTTTTTCAATGTGCTCTTTAAGTAAATGTGATTTGTTTTGAAAAGCTGATTCTCTAAGGGCTTTTTTGTCCTAACTGTACCTGAGCTAATAGCAGACAGCATCTCAAAGTACAATGACAGTCAGTTTGGCAGTTTTTTAACCTTTGAATTGGAAATGAAGTTGCATGTTTCTGTGTCTGGTTAAATTGGTAAATTTCCTCCCAACCAGAGTAGAGTAAGCATAATGAGCACTGACAAGTGGATGTTAACATGCGAAGAGGACAGAAAGCAGCATCATAATGACGAGGCTGATCAGAGAATGAAAAAAGGTGGATTTCCCTTTAACCTTGCTTGGTTGAGCAGGTGACATAATGTAGGCGGATCTTTGGTGTTTGCAAATTGAGACAAAGAATAAGGATGCTTAGTGTGTCTAGTAGGATGTTTTAGTGACATATTTGTGAAATAGAAGCTTTGCCTGTGTTTGAGTGCATGGGCACCCAGTGTGTGCACGTGCATGGGTGTGAGTGGGTGTTTACCTGTGCTGACAGCAGTGAAGCAGCGTGTGCGTGTTGTCCTGTATTAGTAGCAGCAGCAGTAGTAGTGTTTTGGCTCTTGTTACCGTGGATGGACTCTCTAGACAGCGTAGCACCTTCAACACCAAATCCTACAAGACACAAACACACATATGAATAAAGCAAAAGTTCCTGACAGGTTGTGAATATATTGGCTGTTCTATAGTCCAAGATACAATGTGTTCTAATCTAAATACAAGTCAGGAACAGTCTTTGCAAAGTATCATATAAATGTTAATACGGCAGCATACCAGGCATATAGAAGTAGCTCAGTACCAAGTATGAACGGTGGAAAATGCCTGCGATATACAGTGCTATGTTCAAAGTTTATTGCATCAAAAGATATTACAGCAATGTATCTCTGTAATATATTCAAATGAATACGAAATTATTCAGTTTAACATTTGGCCTGAGGTATCCAGGAAAAAATACATTTTCTGTCAGAGCGACAACAAACAGGCTTAAGCTTAATCAGCTCAGACTCCACATTATCACATGATGGGCAACCACACGCACACACACACACACACACACACACACACACACACACACACACACACACACACACACACACACACACACTATATGAAAGTTCCTGCATATACACTCACAAACAAACTTGTATGCCTAGAGCTACTTTAGACAACACTTCATTCTGCATAAACTCAGCAGCAGCAGCAGAAACAGTTTGGAAAAATTTATGACTGGCCAACATTCATTACCATTATCATTATCACCAACACCATATACACATAGACCCTCTCTCTCTGTGCTTGTGTGTGTGTGTGTGTGTGTGTGTGTGTGTGTGTGGGTGTGCATGTCGTGTTCCTGTGTCTGTCTGTGTGTGTGATCGAGTGAGTGAGACCTAATGTGCAATAATGTGCATGCCTGGGTGTTTATGGGGAGACACAGAAAGTTAATTAATTTCAAAGCCCAGTAGTGTGCGCCTAGCTGATAAGTCCCTCCCCACTACCCATAATGCTTTGCCGAAGTAGACGGCTGCAGTGCATTCATTCAGCCAATTAGCCCAGATACTGACACACTCTACAAATTAGTGTATTTCCATGCATGCAAGCGCACACACACACACACACAAAAGCACACATAATCACTCTCTCACTCAGATGCCTGCAAACACACACACACACACACACACACACACACACACACACACACACACACACACACACACACACAAAGATAGAGTTCTGTGTAAACAAACTCTTGGACTGTCTGTCTTTGTGCCAGGGGAGAGAGAAGGGGGAGAGAGAGGGGGGAAGAGAAGGGGGGTGAATGCATATCAGTGTATAATTAGAGCAGAGTTGAAGTACTAAGTTTGTATTCTGGTGTTAAATTGGAAATGCTCAATGCAAATAAATTCAGTTCAGAGTCAATTACCAATGCCAGACTCCAACTTAAAAACCTTCAAATCAATTTTAGCCCCTCTGCATTACCAAGATTAGCACTTAGCACACACACTAGATGGGCTGTCTTATGAAAAATTAAGTGAGTAATTCCTGACAAATTAGTTCACGCACAGTTCAGCCTGAGTTCATGAACTGTATGGAAGAAAGAGAGAAAGAGACAGATAGAAAAACTGAAGGAGAGACAAAGAGAGTCAGAGGAAGAGTGTGCAGAAAATAAAGATCTAGAAAGTATGAACCTGGTTTCATTTGTTTCTCATGCAGTCGTGTTTCCATCTCCTGGTCCTTGTGTAAAGCATTATCATCATCTTGTGCTCTTCAAATATTTGATTTCAGTTTCTCCCATCTCTATTACTGACCTCAAAACCTTTAATGAAGTTTCCCAGCAGGAATATAAATGAAATGTAACATTTAGACGACAGGTTGTGATATGTAATCTGCATGTTTTTGTGCTCACATTTTACAGGATGCTCTAAAATTATTATATCCAGGTATATACTTACCCTGCTTTGTGTGATGCGGTGTCTGTGGATACGTGAGGTGAGGAGGGCACTAGCCATAGCAGAGAGCAGGTGCTGCTGCACCCTGGCCCCTGCTCCACCTACACCCTCCAAAATAGCTGCAGGGCCACATGTGTCAATCACTGCCAAGAAGACTGCTGGGACCACCCGGGTTAGCCTAGAAAGAGACTGGAGACACAGACACAGATAAACATTTTGCTTTTTTCTCTGATTTTGAGTAAGAGCCTTGAAAAACCCCTTTGCACCATTAAGAAATGCATCATGATTTACGGTAAAACAATGGAAGTCCCAGTGGATCAAGTTTTGCATAAGGGTTCAGTTTTTGGATAAGCAGGAAGCTTCTCTAGGTATAACACATTTCTACTGTTTTTTCTTTTCTTTTTTTCTAGTTGCGCTGATTTTGTAGGTCTGTGTGTATTTGATATATAATTGTGTTTGTAGGTCTCATAGAGATTCCAAAATAATTCATATTAATCTATATGTGTCTGTATAACTGTGGTGTTTTCATGCATGTTCACTTACAGAGATGGCAGTGACTCTTACGGCCTCCACATTGGAGTGAGTGAAAAGGTACCAAAGGGCAGCACCTATCTCTGGGATAACCAGGTGGTGGGTGGCGCCAGAAACACAGGTGGAGATGTTCTCTATGGCTTTAGCAGCCATGTGATGAACCACTGAGTCATCCTGAAAGAAGGATACATGAATATTTTTTAACATAGTTCCTTAAAAAATTAGTTACTAGAAAATTACCAACAAGGTATATTCAACATGATAGCCAGTTAAACACAACATTTTCTCCACAGCAGAAAAACAAGAAGGCAATAAAGGTTTATACACAAAAATTTATACAGTAGCCTTGGTGCTGGTAAGGCCTGTAAGTACAAATTTTACTGACAACACCTATTTCAAGAGAACAGCATAAAAATGTTTGAGAAAAAATGTAACCTTCAAATGTTTGCTTTGAAAATTTTTGAAGCTTTGAAAATCTTTATTTTCTAGTTTTTAGGCAATCCAAGGCAACATACTGTCAAAACTTTTCAGCCTTTAGACCTTAACAACAACTCTACAGAACTGACCCCAGTGACCCACCTCAGTATTAGTGACTATGTAAGGAGGCAAAACAGACCACATGAACACAAATATAGTTTTAAAGGACATGCTGAAATGTTTCTTCAGCTCATCCATGGGATTAGAAAAGCCATTCAGCAACAAAGTGAAGGTTATCTTTTATTTGTGTAAACATAGCAAGGCTCAGCTGTTGCCTAGGTGTGTGCATGTGTGTAAGTGTACGTAAGTAAAGCTAGTTGCTACCAAAGTGCTTTTAGTTTAAACATTTCTCATATAAAAATAATCCTATTTTGAACAACACACTTTTTTGTTTGTTTTGTCAGGTTAGACACTCTAAACTTGTTTATTGAAAAATGTCATAAACTTAATGACAGAAATGAACAAAAAGCTAACACAATCACAACCTGACAATAAGATTAGCACTCAACTTCACCTCAATACAAAAAGAGAGAGAGGTTGTGCATGTGCATGTGCATGTGTGTGTGTTTGGGTTTCTGTGTGAATGCTGTATGTGTATACTGTATGTACCCACACCTTCTCCTGAGTCGGGAGTTGTTTGTGTTCAGACAATAGGGCCAGGCTAATGAAATCTCTGTGGCTGAGGAAATGAGTTTTCCAGGAAAGTCATTGTAGAGAAAGACAGGAAGTAGAAGAGAAGTGATTGCTTCTGTCAGATTGTTATTGTGTTTCAGTGTGTTACATCACGCAGACGCTACAACCCCTAGATATGAGATATAATGGAGCCTTTCATAAATGGAGTTAACTGTATTATGTGGTTCAGGTTCATAATAACAGTTAAAACATTAATTTTGTGGTTACAATTTATAATCTCATGAAAGGCTGTGCAGTTGACATAGAACAGAAACATTACAATACAGAAATGTGTGTCACAAATAACACGATTAACTTTCCAAGCATTTTTGTGTCTATTCACACACACAATGAAAAATAAGGCAATCTCAGGTCAAACTCCAACAAAACAACAGTAGGCATAACATATAACATATATAAAACATATAACAGTATACTCAACACAAAGTTTGTCATTTTAACACAAAGTTCACCTTGTGAGGCCTGAAAACCACCCCAGAAGATTAAAACTCACAGCAACTTTGTGTCATTCATAATTGCCTGGGTTAATTTCTGTGCTTAGCAAACAGGCATAGCTTCAGCTAGGCCTGGGCAATATGGGAAAAAGTTTATCAAAATATAATATTTTCATATCAGTCGATACTAATATGTATCACGATATAAAAAATGAAATTTAACAGTTCTTATTGGTAGCATGTCTTTTGCAATACAATAAGCTACTGCATCTGTGAGGTCCTTGTGTCTCTTCGCCATTTTGTCGTGAGGTGTTGCACTAGAGAAAGCAGACTGAAAGGTCGGCTGTTTCGGCTGCACAGGCGCCATGGGCTCCTTGCTCCACTCGGGTTTGTAACACTTGCCTTGCGTGTGCCCTGCCGCGTGGCACTGTTTCAGGTGGTGAAAAAGATTTGAGGTATTCACTGACTTTGCGAGAACATGTACTCAACATAATGCAGTGCACATTACTCTGCTTCACGTCCGATCTCAAAAAAACAAAATACCCCCACACCACCAATGTTCTCGTGCCAGTGTTGTCAACAATGTCATCATCTGTTTGGGCTTCATCTGCATTTCTGCCGGGGGTAGCACTCATTTTCTTTTTTTTCTCACTGACAGTGCTGTCGGCTTCACGTATTAAAGTGCTATGGTTGCGTCTAGCTGCGACCTGCTACAACGCAGTTGTTTGCGACTTGTTTCTAATTCAGCACATGATTGGTTCAGCGCGGAGCCGACCTGGAGCAACTCCCTTTTTCATTGGCTATTTGTATAGTCTACCAATAGATGACAGAATGCAGACTTTCCAAAAGCATACTGACCATGTTTTATACTGATATTGAGAGAAATTAATTTTTGATAATATATCGTTATCGTTTTGTTGCCCGGCCCTAGCTCCAGCTATATACTGTATGGAAAAAAAATAAACAGCTTATGTTTCATTTCATTATGCTCCCTTAAAGAGCTCCAATGCAACTGCATTTAAGATAAGACATGAATTGACAGCATGATGTAAGCTTTTTTTTTTTTTTTTTTTTGACAGATAACTTTTCCAAAAACTCATCGACATTTACAAGGATGTTTTTCAGACACAATGAACCAATTGTTAGGCTTTGCTTGATGGCTACTTAATATTTCATTTAAAAATCAAGCACACTTCCTATACGCTTCAACATGGAGATTCAAATCATAACTGCTTAAATTGTCTGTCTATTAATCCAATATAACACATTATATTGCGCATTCAACACCAAGGGACTACATAGGACGACAACATAATGAATCCTCCGGCACCCCTCCGGGAATCAGCAGAATGGTCTGTTCCAGCATTCCCCATGCTGCGTGGGCCAGCTCACTAATGAGCCCACGGGGGAGCACCCACTGTCTGTGTGTTTAATAGACTGTAGCCCTGCCAGGAACTACACAGAGAAAGCAAAATAGGGGAAGACTAAAAGATAGAGAAAGAGAGCGAGAGAGAGATGGGAGAGAGAGACTTCCTTACATGTGGTGAGAAATAAGAAGCTGAGGCAATAGGCTCCATCATTATGATGAAGACAGAAAAAAGGAGGAGACAGGGGTAGGAAAGACTACGCTATTCTCATTATAATTTCTCCTAGTATGAGAAAAAGTTCATCCAAGAGACACACTTACTATATTACACTCTCACACTTCAACTTGTCATAACTAAAATGTCAATCATGTAGGAATTACAAGATACATTAATAGCATAAAGTCAGCCTGATTTGGCTAAAGGTCCCCCAAAACTGTTCAATCCTTGCACACAAAACTTTGCCAGATATAAAGGTATATAATGACTGACCATTCTTTTTACATTAACATTGAAATATTATAATCAAACCTCATTTGTTTCCCCATGAGACCTATGGGAGCTGAGAGTCGGCCACTGTTCAACCAGTAAAATATGGTCAAGGTACAACTGTGACACACATTTTTAAAATAGCATTCAGGGACTGATAATTTGTAATTCAGACCACAAAGTTTAGCCTTATAGATCTTTAGCAGGCAGATGTTATTATTTGATATACCCACTTTAAAAAGTACATAAAACATTAAATTGTGACTTCTGAGTGGGAACCTAATGAAAGACCAATTAACAAAAATGGTGAAATCACAAATTCAGTACAAGTTTCCTTGATCGGAAAACTGACCACTGGTGAAAAAACAGGACAATTCTCCCCATTTTCCTCCTGATGTTTTCTGGTTTTAAAAAGTTTTTCATCCCTAAACTCAAGTTTCAACAGAACAAGCTTCCTTCCTAGTAGCTGGAAAACATAAAAATCTCTTTTATTCTTTAGAACAGACCTGACAGATAAGATTTATGCACTTTAAACCCCTGGCTAAAAGAGTTGAAAAAACCTCAGTTTACGGATGAAAAGAGTTGAAAGGCTGCAGATACCAAACAAAATAATATCCTCACTTCAAATGTCAATCAGTAGATTAGCTTTTTATACAAACATGTTTGCACCTGGCCTTGGAGTCTCAAGTAGAAAGAGATACACATCACAAAAACTACACCACATGACCTGATGTAGGATTTGTGCAAAGACTGTGTGTGCACAAGTGCATGTGTTCACATGTCTGATGTGGTTTCCCCCTGTAATTACTATTCTTCAGAAGCCAGCGCACCTGGTCTTGAATGAGCCCCCATGGCAGAGTCACAGACACCATCTATCAGCCTCACACAGCACATCTGAAACCACTAAGAGCCACAGTCAAAGAGAGACAGAGACTGTCTGATTAAATGGCTAACAGACAGACAGTGAGGCGTGAAAGAAGAGACGTGTATAAAACATTAGAGAGAGCAACAAGTCAGGCTAAGGTCTTAAAAGAGACAGAAAGTGCTAACAAGCTATATATATATATATATATATATATATATATTCATTTACATAGCACTTGAACAACAAGAGTTTAAAAAGTGCTTTGACAGGCAAAAAAACAAAGATAGATAAAAACAACAGAATATATATAAGTGTGGTCTATATATGTATTTATATATATATACATATACAATCTAAAGAAGAAACCAGCTGTAAATGAGCAGGTACGTAGATTGGGAACCTTCCTGCTTTTCTGTAAGACATTCTCATTTTAGGAAACTGTGCTAATTTAGACATCACAGTTCCTTTGGTCTCCACCCTGTGTGTGTGTGTGTGTGTGTGTGTGTGTGTGTGTGTGTGTGTGTGTGTGTGTGTGTGTGTGTGTGTGTGTGTGTGTGTGTGTGTGTGTGTGAGTGCGTGTGTATGTGTGTGTGTGAGTGCGTGCGTGCGTGCGTGTGTTTGTGTTTGTGTGTGCATGTGTGTTTACATGCATATGAAGTGGTCATTGTATGTTAGAGACGTAAGGGTAAGACCCCTGACTGTCTTGGAGAGTCCCTCTCTGTTCTCCTCTCCTTTGTGGAAGATAGTGATAAATCATTAATGAACTCACCAATACTGTGTGCCTGTGTGTGTGTGTGTGTGTGCGTGTGTGTGTGTGTATGGGCGTGTAAGGGGGATTTCTGCCTTCTGCCCCCTGGCTTCTACCACTGTATTACTGTTCACACACACATACTCTCTCTCAGACACACACACACACAGATTTTTCATCATAGGCAGCAGAAGCATCATCTTGTTCAGGCTCATAAATAATTTCCTGCAGCTCAAGTCTGGCCTGGAAACCTGCCTTTCACTCCATGCCATCCAATCCCCCTCTCCAAGTACAACTCTCTCTCTTTCCCTGTCTGACTGTCTGCCATCTCCTCTCCCCCTCCCACTACACTGATCATTCTCTCTCTTTCTTTCTGTCACTCCCTGCCATCCCCCACTCTCTCCCTCTTCACTGGTAAAACCACCATGGTTGCTTTGGCTCTGCGTCCCCCCAGTCGACCCCTATGTCTTGTACAATGATCTTTATCCCTCTCTCCAGTGCTTTACTTGTAAATCAGGAAGACTCTGAACAACAGCAGAGGAGGCTGGGGTGATCCAGGGGGTCAGGAAATGCATCAAAACCATACTGCCTGGAGCGCATTAGACAAGGTCTTGGCGCTGTATCTCAATGCTGTCATGCAATGAACAGTGTGTGTGACACTGGATTTAGATTTAGCACGTTGGAGGGCTATCTCCCTCTCCATACAACACCACATACCAAATGCATAACTTAAGATTGGAGTCAGCACTGAAGCATGAACAATTGGTAATAATGATCCAGTTGGTTCATAATCAAATACTATAGGTTCTAAAACAGTTTGTATTCAACATCCAAAGTAAAAGCTGGAAAAGTCCTCAATAGAACGTGCCCTTCCTGTGGAGTTGGGGTCTCGAAAAATTAGCTAAATTACACAGCATTTATAATGGCCCCCATTGTGGACAGTGCATAAAAACTCATACAAGCCCATTTCAAAAGTACCAAACTAATGTATGGTAAGTGTCCATACCAATGCTAGGGACGTGTCCCATTGGTTTCCTTAACATTTAGAGCATTGTAAAAAGAAGAGATGATTCAGCACAATGGTACTCATTTACAACATGCTTTTTAAATGCATGTTGTTGGCATGTTTTTAAAAAGTTTAAAAAAAAATTCGCTTAGACTTTTCATAAAATTCAGTTTTTCAGCTTCCAGATTTGAGTTGTCTTTGACATATTTTACATTGAATAGAGGATTTAAATGATTTACCAAACACCCATTTCTGTTTTATAGACATTTGTGCATAAAGTGTCTGAACTTTTTTGTGATTAGAGTCCAAAACAATTTTTGCAGCTTTTTAAAATTTGCACCTATTTTTGCAATAAACCTGCAAAGGTGGGAAGGTAAAAAAGCTTTCTAGCAGCTGATTGTGAACCCAAAATCAACAGTCATACATGTTAAACAAGCCTCCCCATCTGTGCTGGCTCCCTGGAGCTAGCCAGCAGGAGCGGGTCATCTAGATTAAACAACACTCTCATCCTTGTTCTCATGTAGTGCCCTGGACCCATCTCCAAACAACTGTAAATGCACCCTGTAGTTTAGTCCTGGGAAAGACAAGCCCCATTCAACCCCTGATTATGCTTAGCTTTTCACATGACAATATTCACAATGTATTTTTTGAGAGTTGAATTATACAGGCATATCAGAGAATTTTGTGGTCTGGACCTCTTCACCACTTTGATGATTGAGTAGTCAAGGGCTCTTAAACCAGTGGAGGCCTCTCAGTAAACATCAGGGTTCTTTTAATGTCATTTTAAAATTTAAATCAAGAATCTATGTTATTTTAAGCTAATTTTCATCTCTACCCCCTTGTAATCATCAAGGGAGAGAGAAAAACAAAGGGAAGCAGAATGCATTAGTTGCCCTTTGGGAGGCTTATCACAGCTGTTCATGTTTGATGAGTGAAGGCCCGCTCAGAGCAGAAAGTGGCACACAGAAATTCATTTGCACATCCTTGTTAAATGGATGTTGCTGGAAGTTTGGTGATTCACTGACTTGCTGGAGGGCACATGCGTAAAGTGTGATAAGTGAGCTTAACATGATAGACTGACTGCTAAGAACATGCTCCTTTAAGCCAGCCAGATTCTCAGACAAGTAGCAGGTCTTCTTTATATATCAGTTTTAGAACCTAGTTTATCTAACAGAAATATTTGATTAACTACTTCTGTCAAGAAACTTTTTCTAACAGGTGTGATTTTAATGGCACAAAAACACAGAGTTTTACTGGTCAGTAAAAGCCCTGACATTAACTGGGACAATGTTACAGCCTGCAAATGTTGGCTATGGTATCTTAATATTTTACTGATATCTTTGCAAGTTAGTGGTACAATTATAAACATATGTGTAAAAGTCCCGCATGCGTTGATTTTTAGTATGTGACCACCTTGTTGACACCAGGAAGTGAAATTCCCACGGAACAAGGACTATTTAGACAGCTATGTACAGTTGTAGCCATACACTGGATATAGAATGGACGCTGTCTGCCTCCTCGCTGGGTGAAGCCACCGTGAGAACAGCACCCTCTGGTGACGGGCTGCAGTATAGGCCATAAATCCCGTCTTCTCCAGCAATCTTTATGGAGCTTGGACAAACTTTAGAAATTTATTACACAGAATATAATTTTTTCTCCCCACTGGTTGTGATGTTGACATGTAGTTATTGTAAGACTGGTTTGTGCTTAAGTCCTCTTTTTTCTGTACAGCTCCATTTTTAAAAGTTATTAGGGGTTCATGTTTTCTATGATTGACACTTGATACAGCCTATGGGCATACAAAGATAACGTAGCCAAACCCGAGGGATATGCTTTTAGAGCTGAGTGTCATCACAGCGACTCTCCAGCTGAATGCGCACAACGCTACTGTGCAAGTGGTGGCTCCAGGAAGTGGAGAAAATCACAGAAAGACTGTGAGCAATTTGGCTTCAAATTCATATACAACGGAAGGCGGAGCCAAGTTGTTACTAATATATACAAAGTCTATGATTGTAGCATACAAAATAAACTCATGCATCATCTGTAATAAACAGCCAGTCAGGGAGTGGTAGACAGAGAGACAGAGGGGAAGTAAGGAAAGAGAGGAGAAAGAGAGGAAGTGAGAGGGAGGCAGGGAGGTATCGGGATGAGTGTCTGGTCCCAAAGGCTGTGTGTGTGTGTGTGTGTGTGTGTGTGTGTGTGTGTGTGTGTGTGTGTGTTTCCATCAGTCTACTCTCACAGCTCAATAATGATAAATAAGTCAACCTTCCCTCTCCTCCCCACAACCCCTCACCACGCTCCTGTCACATATACCCCTCCTCTGTTCATCCACCCCCAACCCCCTCCCTTACACTCCCAGTGGTAATGAAGCAACAGTAGGTACTAGCTGACAAGTGTGCAGACCACAGTTTCATCTATATTCATTCTGGTAGTGGGCCACCACAGTGAGACCCCTTATAACTGTGAGATACAAAACAACATCCATCTGTCTCTTCCCATCGCAATAGCTGTTCACTGTATCCATCGGTCTCACCTTCACCAAAATCAGCCCTGTTCAGCAGCCATATCATTTTCACCGGAAGAACTTTCTTGACTTTGTCAAATCTGAAAGAAAGTGTCTAGATTTGATGTTACCTTTCTATACGGTATTCATTTTATGCACAAAACTGGTTGTTTTAAGTAGACCTGTTGATTTTAAACGTAGTAGTCCTATTTTTTTTTTTACTTCAGAATCGCTTGGTGGTGTAGTTCCTGAAAAGATCTCTGCAAATATAGTGTATTATGTTTCATTGTTTTAAATAACAGTTTTTTGTTTAATTTTTTTAATGAAATGATTTTTTTTCTTTTGTATAATGTCTTGCCAAAATAAAATAAGATAAAAAATATATCAGTTATTCTAAGGAAAATAACAATCAGTATGATCAACTAGGGCCCAACCGATTTATCAGCGAGCCAATGAAATCGGCCAATTTAAGTCCGTTAGAGACTAATCGGTAATCTGACAAAACTTGCTGATTTCCGCAGATATTTTCAGAAATAAAATGTGGAGAATAAGGTTCAGTTTCACTTCAAAAATGTTCCGCCAGTTGAAAATATCCCCCAACTTATGCTTGATGGCGCAGCGACCTCATGACAATCTTCATCCACCAACCACCTCACAGCACAGCAGAGTGACAGACCTGAAGCAGGCAGCTACGCCTCAACGGTAAATAAGCTAGTTTGTGAAATAAAATGTGGCGAACAAGGTTCGATTTCACTTCACTGGTCTCGGTGATGCTGAGTTAGCAGTAAAGCACCATGTAATATGCAAGCTAAAGTTAGAGTTAGCCATCTGCTATTAGCCTTGCTACACTGTTAGCCGTGCTAGTAACGGTAGAATAAACAACAGTACACATTACATGATTGAGCTACTTCTCTTACTGAGGCAGATGCATGTCTCCAGATAAGACCGACCGGAAATGAGTAAAGTGAGTTAAGACGCGGAGGCACCGAGTTTGATCAGTCGGTCTTCCTGTCGGCGTGAAGAGCAGTAGCCTACAGAATTTTTACAGTATATATATATACATTTTTATAACTTCATAAAAAAAATATAAAAAACCGGCAGATTAATCAGTAATCTGACCCCCCCCTCCTAATAATCGGTATTGTTATCAGCCCCGAAAAATCCATATCGGTCAGGCCCTTATATCAACTTCAATATGTTTTCTAAAAATATTAAGGCACACTGTTTTATCTTTGGAGTTGTTCTGTATGTGTGTCACTAATAATTTTTTTTTTTTTTTTGTGACAGGGGAAGTACAATTAATTAGAAATACAGTGCAGAAACAGAGAAAGTAAGCACAGCAGAGAGAGCTAAGAGGAGAGAGCTATCTCGATTTTTTTGCTTGTGTTTCTGCTCCATCTACTGTATCTGTGTGTCTGGAGGGCCCTAATTGCTGCTGAGGTCAGGCTGCTGAGCAGTAAAGGGTTGTGTTTGATGCAGGTAAGAGTGTGCGTGCGTGCATGTGTGTGTGACTGCTCTGCATGCCCTTGACTTGCAGCTGGCAAACAACGCTTTAGGCCCCCACAGCTGCCTCATCATTACTGTTCACAGGGATCCCCTGCCACATACACACATACACACATGCATGCACACTCGCAGGCGCACACAGTGAGACTTAGTCACAGCTACACAGGCACAGATACAAAAAACAGACACACGCAGACATACACAGAGACACTCACCCCTTCCCGCAGGCTCCTCATTAAGCCAGTGTAGGCGGCAGCGGGAACGAACCACAGTCCCTCTGGGGAGCCTCTCTTCTCCTCCTGATAGAGAGACACAGAAAAGACAAGGAGATAGGGGTGAGAGGAGGAAGATGGTGGGGGTACGGATAGGGGAGTGGGGGCAGAGGAGGAGCAGAGGGAGAGTCAGAGGGAGGCAGAGAGTTAATGTGCAGGAGATGCAAGAACAGAGCAGTGAGTGGGGCAGGAAAGGGCCAAATCAGGTGGGGAGAGGAGAAATCAAGAGCCATGACATCTTGATTACTTGACACACGTAGTGCATGCTTCCTAAACAACTAAGAAAGAGTCGGAGCAAAGGTAAGCAGAGTAAAAAATAATCAAATTAAAATTTGTTCGGCTGTGTAGTCATATCAAGTAAATCACAGTCTTAATTCACAGAATAAGTGGTAGCAAAATGACAATAGTTCAAACTTTCACCATGCACAGGATGGAAGTTTTTAAAAAATTACAGAATTTCAAAAACCTCCAACTTTACTTAAGATTAACCTTTGAACTTCTAATTAACCTTTATTCCAATAATTACTCATTGATATTTTAGTCCTCAACTGGTCCAATTTTTAATCAACACTTGTTCCCCAGGATTTTAGAGAAACAAATGTGTTATTCATTATCAAAAGTTACACAAAGGATTGTTTATGAAAGACTTTATCAGTTCATTTTTGACTCTTCAAGTACTCCTGATAGAAGTTAATATCTATATTAGCATTTTATAAAGTACACTGTCACAGCAGTACAATCTTACATTCCACAAAAGTGGAATCATTTCAACTTATATTTTATTTCATTTTCATGAAACTGCTTATTCTACTGCTACTTTTTTAGGCTCTAGGCTACATCTAACCTTGAGGAAAAAGTCAGCACTGGAGGCTGTAGCTAATCGTTGTCATTGACTGGTGCCACACAAGAAAAAAGCAGCAAGGCTGATGATTTTACCTGGGGACACTTAAAGGGCTGTTCCACATTTCTCAAAAATACATTTTCTCAGCTATTGAATAAGTGAGTAATTTCATCCATTAGGATGAATTCACAGCCTGAGTTCAGGTCTTTCTTTGGAACTTCCTGGAAAGGTAATATCAGTTACTACTGATGTCAATAATGAGTTGAACAGCTTGTGCTGTCATTGACACTTCAGAGAGTTTAATGGTATTTTCTGCGATGATATAACAAATATTATACCTGGCACTACGCCTGATTATATTTATCATATTAGACTTGCTTTGGTCACTGTTGGTTTCAACCTTGAAATCGAAGACTGGACTTAGAACTCAAAGAGGTGTTGTGATGACATCAAGGATCATGATCTATTGTGTTGGTCTTGTTAACAACCTGAGATGCTGAACAGGAAACCCAACTAATAGTAGACTAACCAGTTTACCAAAGGATGTTTAAAAGACTGTGAAATCACTGCAAGGTTTTTAGACAACATTAAGTTTTCAAATGAGAAAAACACAGGTAAGCATTTTTGTACGGCTGTTAAGTTGTAGTCAACTGGTCGACTTATTGGTCGATACGTGCTGAGTCGACCAAAATTCTGATTTGACTCGATTTTTTTCCGTGTCAATTCACAGTCTATGGTTAATTTTATCAGGAAGAATGTACCAAGTGCTAATGGGGGTGTTTTCAGAGCACCTCTGTTTGGACTTACAATGGTAAGTCCATTTAAATATCTGTAAACAGGAGAAAGCACAATGAGCACTTATATTGCAATACAATACAAGAACTTTTCCAATTTGGAATACTTCCAAAATTCCCCATCTTAACTTCCCATTGAAAGTTTCTGGAAATTTACCGGAAATTTTCTGCCCTTTTGCAACCCTAATCTCTGTAAATTGATGCTGACATGAAGCAGGATACATTTGGCACCAAGTTAAAATGTTATCTTTGAAATTAATGTGGAAGAACCAGGAAAAAAATGGGAAAGGAAAGTATGTAAGCCACATTGACAAGGCTCAAATCGTGAAGGCTAGATAACTGGGTCAGAGCATTTTCAAAACTGTATTTTTAATGAGGAGAAACTGGTCTGAAGCAGTTAATACCTGCCAAAATTAGTTACCGAGGGGGGAACTGTTCTTAGTTTTTACACCATTTAAGAAATTCCAATTTGTTCCACACTTAAAAAAAACACAGGGACCATTTGACCTCTTTGTCACAAATGAGCCAATAAGGAGCGTGTGATCCTCAAGTAAAGGACTTTTTCGTGTACCGATGGCCAAGAGGTGACAGATCATTTTTCAGTTAAAATTCTGAAGCTCTGTCACACTCTGCACAAGAAAATAAGGGTAAGGTTAGCCTGTGTGGCCAATCCAGAAGAACTCCTGAGGCCGAAATCTCTGAAAAAATTAATAATGGTTGTGTCAAATAGATGGAACACACTGCAGATACTATAGCAGTCCTTTAGAGTTCTAGTGGAGCCCATCTCTCATCAGTCAGGGCCAAAACCTAGACCTGGTGTTGAGCATAGGACCTGTGCAACATCAGGAGGATCGTGACAATGTTAGGTACATACGTGTCTATTCAGTGCATATTCCTACTCAAGTTGTACAGAACACTATCCTGTACAGACAATTTTTTTTTGTGTAGGCCTTCAGCCATTAGGGTTTGTCCAGCTTTCTGGGTGTTTATGTGCAGTGACTATGTAGCCAAAATATAACGAATATGATCTTCTCAGTATTTCCCCTAGGTTGAGAATTTAGTTGTGGTGGTGGGCTAGGCTGGGTGGTGCAGGGTGGCACCGTGGTGTTTGATAAGAACATTCAAGATAATCTAGTCAAACTAAGGTTATGAACTATGTGTTATTTATTGCACATACAGGGCTCCAGGCTAACTTGTTTTGCTAAGAGCACAGTAACCCCTAACTAAAAATTTTAAGAGCGCAAGCAGAAAATTTAGGGGTGCACACTGTAACTTGACTTGCAAGGCAAATAATTCACATTTCCTCTCATTTTCACTGTATTACTGATAAATAGATAATAAATGCAGATGTTACAATGTGCTGTTTTAAATTCAGTGTCACATTTTATTGTGCACTTTTAAAGATGCAAAAACAAACATAAAACATAAGGTAGACAGTGCACTATCATTACACTGACCAATGAGAAGATTTTTTCACACATGGCATTTGTTTACAACTTTAGACTGCTACAGATTGTTGTTTTGTTAACAAACAACCCAAAGGAAAAATGAAAAAAAAAAGCCGACCGTTTCTGTCTGAGCAGTGTATCTTTCTTTGTTTCGAAAAAAAGATCTCTAATGCCTTTCTGTATGGTAAGGATTCATGGTCAGGTCTAAATGCTGATTCACATGCATGCAGCAAGATGCTTTCCTTGCAGCCTGTTCAGTGTTAGTGTAGCCAGAGCGCAACAGTTTGGGTGCGCTTCCACCAGCGTGTCCCATGCTGTGCTGCGTTTTTCTGGAGGAAACCCTGCTGTGTGTGTGTCTGTATGACTGCATTTTTTTTTAATTCTATTTTTATCTTCTTGGGCGGGTATCAATCTTCTTGGGCAAGCCGCCCAAATAAAGTGTATGTAGGGAAAACACTGATCTTCTAGTTATTTCATGTTGTTGAGTTTTTATTGGTTTTGGGATATTTTGTTCTTTTATGTCATGTAATCAACTTTTACGCCTTTACTTTACTGAGGGGCTAGGACAATGGACAGAGCAGAAAACAGAGAATGACATGCAAGAAAGGGGATACAGGTTGGGATCGAACCTGGGCTGCTTGGCTGGAGACCTCTAGGCCATGACTTAACCACTAGGCCAAACCAGGATGCATATTTGTGTTGTTTTGACTACTTCCTCTGTGTAAAACTTCTGTGGCATTATTAATAAATTGATGGGTGTTCTTCAAAGTTCTCAATGGAGGAAAGAAAACTGAAATATCTAGCTTTTTTGATTGATTGATTTTTTTTTTAACTTATTTACTCACAAATACTGAGACTTGTGCTGTGCAACAGCTGTCATTGTTGTCTGGGATAGGGAAAATAATCAGTTAATTGTCATGTTATTTTTTTTTGTTCAGAAAAAGCTCAGAGGGAAACAGTCCGTCTTGCAGGAGCTGAAAAGTCAATTTCTTAGGAGCTTTTTCGGGACGCTGATGAGATTTTCCATGGCTTCAGGAGAGTAATAAGTGTAATCAGGCGAGGTGATTGATTTTTGAAGGTTATCCATCAGTCGTGTAAATAAAAATCCTACTCTTAATCTACTTGGCCGGCTAGATTGAGGTTAACCAGAAATAAATTGGGATCACCTTTTCTAATGAAGTCAAATGAGGGCTCCTCTGCTCCTTCTCTCGTAATTTTCAGGTCCAGAGGTCAATTTGCTTTCAATTTAATTTAGCCAGCATGTAAATTTAAATTCCATTACCTAATGGCAGGGCACTCAGTTTTGTTCATTCCACTCTAGATTGGTCTGTCTCACTGAACAATAAGAAAACAACTTGATCTTTCTTACATCTAACATAAGTTAAATGTTTAATCCATCTCGTTACCACAGAGGCGAGAAGTCATGTTGCATTACTAACCTAGGAGTTAAGAAGAGATTTTTTTTTTTTTTTTACGATGACATGACATTCACTATCCTCTTTTAAAAATCCACCTGCTGAAGTGCTAACTATGTGTCTACAATGCTAGTAGCTTATTTGTCTTGAGTGCTGTTTGTGTATATTTTGCATAGCAAACAGAAAACAGAGATAAGCTTGAGAGCCTACAATTGTTCAAAGTAGTTACAGGCAGGATGGGTAGTACTGGATGAGGAAAAAAATAAATACCTTGAATCAATGGACTCAATGACTCATCTTTCCCTTCATCGACTTATTAATCATTAGAAATTAGAGGAGTAGTTATCTGAAATGTAATCTACAAGCTTATACATTACATGATGATGCAGACAACATCAAATGCCCAATAATAAGCAGTCTCAGAGAGGCCCAGGAATCTGATTTTTGACACGGGTTTCTGATGTGGTCAGCCTCAAAGCTGGATGATGATTTGTGTCCAATGTGCTTGGCCAAGTTTAGCAAATATTTCCTATAGCAATCCGTCACACACCCCAGAGTGTGAGTGTAAACACAATCTGGTGACAGTAAACAGCCCTGGCTCTGTGAATAGAAACAAACTTAGTGGCAAATGGAGCCTTACAACACAATTCCAGCTAATCAGCAACTTGATGAGTTCCTGCATCCGGCCTCTCCCTTTGCCGGGGAATTCTTCCTTTTTCACTCATCCACTGCCACACCACACAATAAACAACAACAAATTCTCCCCCTCTAAGGCTTACTTCCTCTAAAAACAGGTGCTTTGCATTCTCCCACATTGCTTTTTCATTAAGTTGATGATTGATCATGTCTTTATTAAAAGAGGGTAAATTAATCTTGTTTATGGACCTATTGCAATAGTTCTCTTCCATATCTTTAATATGAATGCAAACTAGTGTATGTATGCACCTATATCTCACCAGTGAAGTTTGCTTTGCTTGTATAATTAATAGGATTCTTTTGGATCAATAGGCTACAGTATCTTCAATAGTATTATCATAATGGCTTCTGTAATGCAGACTGTACCTGAGAGGCGATGAGGTACAGGAGCTCCCCTAGTGGTGGCAGCAAGAACTGTTTCACTTTACAGTTCCTTAGGTTCTCTCTCAGCAGGTCTGTTAGCATGGACACAACCTGGACAGAGGGGAAAGAGGGACACGCATTTGCATCAGCAGAGCCATACACAAACAAGAAAAGAATAAACACAGCAGAAGCTGCCTCAGTACATCAGCTCTCTTTTCAAATGTAATGATGTGTTAACTTCTTTGTGTCTTAATATTTCATATTGAACTGCGAACTTATTAAATTGATCAGCTCTGGTTACATATATTCTTTTTGGTGCGTTACCTGTTTTCATGTCATGGACTTATATTTGTCTTGTTTAGTTTGCTTTATCCTATATCTAAAATCATGTTTTTGTCTCGACTGCTTTTTTTTTTTTTTAAATAATGATGGAGAGATGTAGACATACTGTATAACCAGGTTAAAAGGTTTGAAAAGATAGAGGACTGAGATATGCACTGGCCAGCAGCAACAAAAAAATCACTAGAAGCCACTAAAAAGCCAAAAATACACATATAAATACACACACCACAATACATGCACATGTATATTCTGAGTCTAAAAATTATGCAAACCCAGAGGTACACAAACTTCTGCAATCACTCCTGGAAATGCACACCAAACTCACACACACAAAGACACACAGTTAAGTGTATGCAGAGACAGGTTTCCTGGCTGGCTGCTTCCTGGCATTAGCATTACCGCCAGCTTCCCCCCTCTGTGATCTGATGCAAGTTCAGCTTCTCTCCTCCATCTCTCCCTCTTCACTTTTTATTTTTCAGTCCCTCTCTGTTCTCACTCTTTTTTCTCTATTGTTATTCTCTCTACTTGTCTTTCCTCTTTTTTTCTCTCACTGCTCTCTGCTTTGAACTGCCCTCTATGTATGTATCTCGTATCTCCCAGTCTTTCTCCCCCTGTCTCTCACCTCCTGTCTCTCTTTCTTGTTGTAGGGTGAGAAGTTGTTAAAGTCTGTTTGTCATGTTCTCTCTTTACATATCTTCCTCTTTCTCAGAAGACTTGTTCCTTCCTGTTATCTTTGCCCAAGCACCATGGTGTAACCTCATGCTGAGCCATGGATGAGCTTGGTGAAGTACCAGTTAGCCATTGGTGTCCAAAGTGGATCTGTGTGTAAGGCCAGTATTTTTTATATGACTGCTTAACTTATTTTGAAACAAACCACTAATTCATGCACATGGGCAGCCAAAAAGGCATCTTTTGGTTCTCTTCAGCATTATAAATCTGCATTCCTCTCTTTCACTCTCTTCTGGAGCCGATCATGCAGCTGCTCTCAGGCAGAGGCTGCTAAAAAGAGGCCCTGTGCACTGAGCCAGTGTCAAAAAAGCCCTCCTGCCTACACACTGACACACAGACACACAGACACACACACACACACACACACACACACACACACACACACACACACACACACACACACACACACACACACACACACTGTTATTATCATTATCTCAGCATCAACATCCTCTCAGATCAAATAATGCAAATGAATGCACACAAGTAAACATAAACATATGCACTTAATTAACATCCACAAACAACACTCACACTGTGCTGCAGGGAATAAAAAGATGTCCCAACACAAAACACAAAGGTTCTGCACTCATACACACAAAATACAACACAGACAAATAGTGCTCCTAAGCAGTTATGACAACCCTTGGCACAGTCAGATGTGTAGAGAAAGACTACAGAGAAAAGGTTTGGGGATTAAAGGTACCATAAAGAAAAAAATGCATGACTTGAAGCTAATACAAGACTTGTCTATGCAAAGGTGAGAGAAGAGAGAAACGTACAAAGCTGAATGGTAGCACTGCAGTCAGGGGTAACCCTCTTATCTTCTAACACCCAGCTTTGCACCTAAATTTGCTTATTTTCACACAGAGCGAGCTCGCACCTTCCTGAGAAGTCCCAGGATTAAATTGCAACATAGTAGTAAAGGACTGCTGCGGATGTGTCATATCATATGTTTAATGGCAAAGGAGGAAAACGAATGCACCATGTTCATTTTAGGATAAATAAATGAAACCGAACAGAAAAAAAGATGATGGACAAAAAGTTGAGCAGACTTTGAGAACACCTTCATGAAAAACTACTGCTAAACTCTCTGCTAGACCACATGACTGTGAATTCATAGTCTGCTGAAGTAGATTATCATCATTTCATCGGTCAAGTTATTAGTTGCATGTGCAGCACAAGTGTTTTAGCCCTCATCATTGCCTTGCAAATACTCTGAGTAGTGTCCCCATTTCCTGGAGCTAATGCCCTCTGAATGTGTGCTTCTAAAGATCGCTGTAAGCCTTCGGAATACGTTAAGACTCCATGAAACACTCTGCAAAGGGTAGGCTTTACTGCAAACCCGTTGTAAAAGCCACACAAAACTTTAGAGGGGATGATAAAGTGAAGGGGGGAAAATGATACTGAGTTGGTTTGGAAAGCACGGCTTCTAAACCCACATGGATGCACAAAGATTAAATTAGCGGCATTAAACCATAAAATTTCATTCCCTCCCAAATGTACTTGAGGAAAGAGAAGGGGTGAGCGAGGGAAAAGGACGGAAAGAGGGGTATAAGTGACAGTGACAGAGAAAGACAGGAGTGTATATGTGTTTATGTGAGTGAGATTTTTTTTTTTGGGGGGGTGGGGGGGGGCATACAGCAGTAACCATAGTGACTAAGCCCAGCCCTGACACTCCAATCAACAAGACTGCAGCAGGAGAACCCCTGCTGAGAAAAAACACACACAAGTATTTGTAGTTCTATTGGTCATCTGCATGTGCACACAAACACACTCACACTTGCGCACACGCAAACAGGGTAACAGAGTAGCTCAGACACACAGAACTACATACAGAGGACCCCTGCTGGGTAAACACACAAACATGTCTGAAAAAGCCCGTGCACACTTAAAAACAGAGGGACACAGAACCCCTGCTGAGTCTATAGATGGACACACGGTCATAGACACAGACGGACACACAAAGACACACCAGCACAACGAACAGCTTTGTCCTTTTCTTAACAATTTGTCATCCTACGGTAGCAGCAGGGATGTTAGGAGGGTAGCAGAAAATATGTTCCGCCATTTGTCTTTAACAACAAGCGCCCTGAAAAACCACTGATACACCACGGTCGGCCATTTTGTAAATCACCGTGACGACTCCGTAGCTGTAAGGTGTCAGTACAAGTTGTGAAAGAGAAGAAAAAGACGAACAAGGAATGGAAGCGGATGTGATATCAGAACTCCTGCGGCGAAAACAGATTTCATTTAGAATAAATGGATGTGAACGAGCAGACAGAGAGACAAAGAGACGAGAGATGGTAGAAAAAAAGAGGGAGACAGAAAAAAGTGTGTTTAGTTCTGTTTGAGGTGGGTGGAACACTAAAGTTAGAGAAGCTAACACTTCGCCTCCATACAAAACTGCACCACTGTGTCAGGAAAGTGTGTATCTTTGGAGGGGGGGGGGCTTAGTCAGATATATGAACAGCCTCTCAGTGTACCTGTCCATGAACAACTGTGTGTAAATGAGCCTACGCAGTGTATGGTATTATCAGGTTATTATGACAGCTTGGATGTTGCTATAAACACTTGTTGACATTGTAATAGGTACAAAAAGAAAAAGCTAATGAAGTTTAATAATAAAGTCTTTGACTGAGTGCTATATCAATGAAGGCTATAAGGGTTAAGTCTTTTGTTCAATTGGTTTTGGAAAGGTACAGACAGTACTTTGAGTCCCACTACGATTGATTTTCTTTTTTTTTTTTTTTACTATTGTAAGTGTTCTCATTAAAACCCTGATAGTTTATTTGTTAGGTATTTTCCACTGCTGTTTTTACTGTACAAAAGCAGTTTTCTATTGGTCTTGGATTAGGGATCCCTGTTATGTTATTTCAAAAGTTTCTGTAATTTTTTTCCCACTTTTTTTTTCACATTTCTGGATTGACATTAGGGGCCTGATATCTAAAAACAAACCTAACTTAAGTCTGACCAGAAAATAATGGCAAAATATCTTTGCCAAATGAACTAGCAACCAATATAAATAACAATGATCAGCACTTCTTGTTATCATCATAGCATCCTCATAAGCTAGGACTCTACATGCAGCTGTGAACGGTAAAACTGATGTTGATGAAAATATTGCAATGAAGGGCCCATGATGGTGCTTCTCCATCACTTTTACCACAATGAGGGGCTAGGAGCAGAAAGCTTCAAAAACTTAGGTAACTTTGGAGGGTTCTGGTTCATATGAGAGGGGGGGTGCTGCCCATCCAGTGATCAAGTTGTCTTGTTGGTTTTTAATGCCACCTACTGGTATAAACTTGTACTATATAGTAAGGCTGGAGAAAACAGGTAACCCCGTGCACATCCTTTTTCAGGGAGCAGGAAACACATTTTCCCCCCGGATATTGCCTGGTTGTGGTTGTCCAAACAGCATTAAAAAATATATGACACAACACTTAGATTGCACACAATCATAGATGTGCACTTCAACCCAAGGTAAAGGTTTCTGCTGATCATAACACCATTGTTGTCTCTCTGTGTAGTTTGAGACTTTTGGTATTTATTTGTCAAGTACTGTATGTCCTTATTTGCTTTGAAAGTCTGTCACTGGCATAAGCATACCCAGGACTTCTCTTGCATACTGCCACCCTGTGATGTAAAATGACACTGCAGGACAAAAGCACTTAAAAATCTGAAGTACTGACAATTTATTTTGTCTTCAGTATGACTTCAACCGTTCCTTATTTGGAAAGAAAATTAAAGGATTTTTCTTTACATTATTAACTGTACGCTGTACAATCAGATGTAAACTGGAAGTAAAATTTAATACAAAACGAGAGCTTGCAGTGGACACATGATGGAGTTGAAATCAAATTCTGTGTGTGTGTGTGTGTGTGTTTTAGTACAGACCTCTGCCACAGAACTGTCCTCTTCAAGTTTGGTACAGTGCAGAGCCAGGAGACCGATTACTCTGAGAGCCTTGCTTTTCCTGGAAAACATCATTTAAAAGTGCAAAAGGTTGTTTTTTAAAACCAAATAAGCAAAGAGAGACACTGGGAATATTTTCAAGAAGTCATATCTTAAACTCTTTAGGTCTTTAGTGCTGCTTTCCGTTTTATTGAGAGAATACAAGAGAATGCACTTACACATCCCAGATGGGAGCATGTCGTAACTGATGAGTCAGTACTGGTAGCTGCGAGACAGCAAAGAGGGAAAAAGAAAATTAAACAAGTAATGTCTAACAAATGTAACTCCAAAATGTGCCAATTTTGACAGATTCTTTAGAACCTCATATAAGCATGGCCAGATGATACACTTTATTGAAATTTACCTTTAGGGTCTAATTAGTGAACATGAGAGATTTTAACACTGCTAACAGATGAGAGACAATATTGCTGAGCTGAAGTAAATGCTTTATGAAATAAATATAAACAAAAACTGATCGTCTCTGTAGAAAATTGCCACAAGAGATCTTTATAAGTCTGTTCGGCTGTCCAAAATCAGTGGGAAAGAAAAAAGTAAACAAGGTTGAATGTCATCATTATCATTCATCTTTGGCTGCATTTTTCTTTAAATCATAACACAATCTATAGAAAACACAACTCAGTCTTATAGTCCTTGTGAATCACTCACATCTACATCATGATGCTGCGTAAAAGTGATCAGTTTCAGTACCCTTTATCAGTACCGTGGACTCAAGTATTAGTCGACCATGTTATATCAGCTCTAAAGTGCTTGAAAGTGGATTTTCTCTGATATTAACATTTTACTAAATCCTCAGTTGTAGAAAAAGGTTTGTTCTCAGTTTCTGTTCAAAGACAGTAAAAAGAGAAATCTGCTTTTCGCGATGAATAATTCAGTGGAGCTGTTTGGCCTTGTCACTGCACTAATGACTCCCACTTGACTAATGACAAGTTAGGAGCAATGGTAGGTACCAAGTTTACAGCTCCCTGGTAAAGCATTTCCCCAAAAGGTCAGAATAAAATGCTGCAAAATGTTACATAAGAGGCAAGGACTCCCTATGATGAGGTCAAAATTACAGCCTACAACTTTAAACTTTTTTTTTGATTCAGCCTATAAAGGGGCAAGATGTTTTTCACAGGGGTCTTAAGTCACAAGATATTCTCCTACCAGTGTTGAGTTTATCAGCCTGTTAGCAACAACTTTGTGCCCAGCAACACAGCAGAGATAGCACAGCAGGTTGAGTTTGGAGCGAGTGGCTGTAGGAGGTGGAGAGGCAGCAGAGAAACTCTGCTCTTCAAGGGATGAACAGAACTGTGAGAGCAAGACAGTCCACTCTTCATCACTAAGAGACTGCAGCTTCTCAACTGGAAGAGACAAGAGGAGACATCCTTAATGAAACACGCTGGAGCCAGTAACCAAACATTCCATAAAACCTACACACCCTCTGATAAAAGATCAATATTATTTAAAACGGACCCATAAATGAATTCACCACACCTGAATATGCTGGCACACAAAGTGTTTTGGGATCATATCTCACAGGAGGACTCTTGAGAATCTGGTATAGAAAGAGAGGTGACCCAGTGAGCCAGCTGATACGCATATCACAGTTCTAGACAGTGTAGCTATTGTCATCTGTTATAACTCTGTATTCATTTTGGTTACAATCTAATGATGTAATGGGGTTATAATGACATATATCATATGGAGCAGGAGGGGCTTCTCACAATTAGGTACAGTGTTTCCCCCAGAATGGGAATCTAACTGTGGTGTTTATTTAATGGGGGTTGGGGGGGTAATGAATCAGCAGTGACATCGCCGACGATAACTCACGAATCCTAATATTAGGCGCGTGCACGTATGTATACCGATACATATAAGGCCAAGATAGAGCCACATAAGAAAACACCTCATTTTGAAGTTTTGGAGGCTTTTATTCAGCCATGTTCAATTGCATGTAGGGGAAACCCTGAGGTATATTACTGGAAATGTGTAGGTGCTAAAATACTCAACAAATTTGTATCCAAGTACACCATGATATTAGCCTCAGTAACTACTGCATGTCTGTACCTTGGGGTTGTCTATAATTGGGGTGACAGTCAGATCAGAGTCAGTGTAGATGAGAGATTTCACTTTAGATGTGATATCGGCCTCAGTACTGGCCTAGGAAAAGAAAAAAATGATAGAAGAGCAGAACAGTCAAACCTCAACAGTAAAGGAGTGAAGCATTTACTAGGAACTCCAGCATGTAAGAGCTAAGGAGAGCAATCTCCTTAAAATCAGTGAAAACAGAGTTATTAATATTTGTGAAGAGTTAGAAAAAAGTGGGAAAGAAAACCTCCTCATGTCTTATGCTCTATTGCCACCAATTACTTGTCTCTGCTGTGAAAATGTGAAAACATCAGGGTAAAGAGCAACTGTAACCTGAGTTGCAGGGGTCTTGTTTTGAGATTCTGAGGCAGTGCAGCTTCGCCTTGAATTGGCACAGGAGCTAGAGAGACAAAAGGGAGATAATACTGAAACCCACTGCTAGTTAATTCTGACTCGTGAATAAATTCATGAACAACAGACGGATGCACTGTGGCTTGCTTTGAAGAGCTCATCAGTGGCAATAATTCACTAATGCCACATATTTCAAAATATCTATCTTACAAGGAAAAGTGCTTAAGGTATTTAATTTGCTTATATAGAGAAATATGAAAACAATTATGGTATATCAGCAAAACTGAGGGCATGCAGCAGCAAATAGACTGAACTCAATACCTGAGCAGGAATATGGCCTCAGTGTTTTCCTCATCCACCCCACTCTTTGGCCTGAGGACTGATACATTATCTGGAGGAAGAAGCATACACAGTGCTCAATCAGTTTTTGATAATAGCTGTGGTGAGCACGGTCAAACACATCAAACACAAGTCTACTATAAGTGTGCAAATAGATTGAGGTCTTGTACTTGCAAAGGCCCTGGTAAACTAGCTGGATGATTTTTATTTTCATCAAACCATACAGTGACTCCTCTTGCCCTGAAGGGGGAAGCATTGTTATGCCAAAAGTGTGGCTTGCAGTCATGCTTTCTTGTTATGAGTTGCCACTCAGGTGCGTCCTTGCTTAGGTATGATGATGGTGCTTGCTTACCAAAAGTACACCTACAGAGTATATAATGCCTAATCAACATGTTAACTTCATGTTAACTTCAACATGTTAAAAGTGGAAGTAAATGTGAAAGACCTGTTTGATGTAAAAATAACTCACTTTATATAATCTGTGTGAAACTTGCTTGGAAAACATTCAGCACAGACATTGATTATGTGTTACCTCTTGTGAATGACTTATTGGGGAGCAGAGTGTGGCTCATTTGTTGGGAAGCAGTTAGCTTGTGATCATCTTCTGTCTTTGTCTCTTCCGCCTCTCTTTTCTCCCAGCCCACCTCCTGATTGGTGCCCTGGCTTTTCCTAAAGACTCCACAGGGAGAGTCTCTGATAGAGTGCAGGGAATCAGTCCTTCTGTCAGACTGACTGTGAGCGGTTGAAGTTGTAATCTGTGACGAGATTACTTCCTTAGAGATCCTGTGGGCTGAATGCTGGATGACAGAGCAGTTGTTTGGAAGCTGGTCTGCTTCTCCTGGAGTGAGAGTGTCAGGGATCCTACTGTGTCTGTGGGGGTTTTGAAAAACACACAAACACAAGCTTTTCACTGAGAGTATACTGAAACATAACATTTCAACTGTCCCAAAAAAGTTCATGGCAATTTTGCAAATAATTGCACTTAAACAAACCTTGAGCTATCAGAACCAACGGCCCCAAAGCCATTTCTATCCTCCTGATCCACTTCTTCATCATCTTCCTCTTCAACATCTCCTTCTTCTGTAAGTACTTCTGACCAGAAAGGGTGGTTTACCAACTCTGGCCAGTCCATCCTGAACACAAATAAATAAATCAAAACAGAGACTCAAAGACATGATTCTTATGTAAATATGAGGGACATTTTGCAGTCAAAGATCAGTCTGTGTTTTTAGAAAAAGTCACTCTTTCAACTCTCTGGCAGAATTTCCAACCTTAAATGTGTTTTATGTCAGCTCTTACAGCAACAGCAGGAAAGAAAAAGTTTAGGTATGTTTTTTTATGTAGAGTGTATGTGTGTCTGTATCTATAAACCTGACCTCTGCTGTGGATTTTTATGGAGCAACCCTTTCAGAAGGTCTTGGAAATCCTCACTCGGAGAGTTAGATGAAAACACTGCAACAAACAATTCAGAAGATGAACAAATCAAAAATAAAAACACCAAAACAATGACTCTCAAGAAAAATAAACATCCTCAACAAGTAGAACTTCTGACATTGAACAACATTACATATTGTTATCATAATTGTGTGAATGAGTGTTTTGCATGTGTGTCTCTGTCTGTATGTCAGTGGGTGTGTGTTACCTGTCTGTCTTGGAGGTGGTGGTTCCTGATGTAAAATCATTTCAGTAAGTTCAGTGTAGCTATCAGAAGAAAATGGAGGGTTACCTGAGACACAGGAAAGGTTAAGGTTTACAATAGCAGAGCACAAAGGTATATTTTTGAGATTTGCTGAGATTCTAAAGTTTGGTTTCCAATGTTTGATTTCCCTTTCCAAAAAATATCATAACTGGTTTATTATTCCTTCTCTAAACCTCCTAACTTCTCATTTGAGATCATTCTTTCTGCCCTCATATGTTCACCACTTTTGTACAGCCCCCCACTGCAAGCATATCTAGTGTGTGTACGTGTGCACATGGGTACCTGTGTACATGTAGTAGAGTATGCAACCCAGAGCCCACAGATCAGAACTCATATTAGTTTCAGAGCCCTGCAAAACCTCTGGAGGACTGTAAGCTGGAAAACCTGAAAATACAGATACTGTTATATCTAAGAGTCAGAACATCTATGACTATACATCTACAAAGAAACTCAACATGAATAGAAGCTTTTATATTCTTGCTCTTTATATTGTGTTATGTGAAGCATAATGTTAAAGCAATTATTCAACTACTGGTGGAATTTCACTCCTTCAGTTGGTTATCAAACAGTACACTTTCTCTTAAGTGAATAACATGCTCACTCACAATCAATCAGTTATTTTTGGTTTAACCTAAACTCCTGTATGTATCATGTTGTTGCATAAACCATACATACAACCCAACCATGCATGTCCCCCTGTTGTACTTTTAGTTGAATGCAGCAAATAGGAAACATGATTAACGCTCCTGTGAGGAGTTTTTGGCTTGTTATGAAATAGAATACATTAAACTCTGACTTTTAATGACTTATAAAAGTAAACCAGACCATTAGCAAAAAGACTGATGATTTCTATATTATTTTTAATATAGTTTAATATCAGTTTTATATGGTTGTTGCCAGATTTTACGAGATGAGCAAAGATAAAAGAGTTACCTCTTTGTTCATTGGGTGCCAACATTAACAAAAGCATAAAGTTCCTCACAGGTACTTTAAAGTGTTTTCTTACCTTTGAGTCTTTTCTGCAAGTTGTCAAAGTTATCCTTATGTTCTTGTTCTTCTACACCCTCAGATATAGACAGCATGCAAAATAAATCTCCCAGTGTCTCCCCCGCTGCCTTGGACAAACAGAAGTTACTTAACTTCAGAATGCCACTACCATCCAGGAGGATCTATGGAAAACACAGGAGTATTATTATATCATGTTGTAATAATAGCATGGCATTACACCAGCAGTCTTCTCTTGTATGAGAAGGGATTCAGGTACAAACCTTAGCAGGATTCAAGTCAGAGAAAATAATTCCCAACTCATGGATGTATTTCAGTCCTTTGACCAAGTCCCATCCAAGCTTCTTAACCACATCTTCTGACAGACAGCCATCATGACTGATTACTGACTGTAGGGAACCACCTGATAGACAGATGTGACAAAAAGATAAAACAGACATCACAGTTTAAAAGGAGCAAGCAGCTCAGAGAAGAAAATTACAAAGACCAACACTTGCTGAGTTGTTTCATTAAAACAACTCTTTATTTCATGTCATAAATTCTGATCCTGTGAAGGTGGGAGTCCATACAATGATAATACTTACTTTATTAAAACTACTGAGTTGCTAAGGTTGGGAACCAAAACAAAATAAGAATGCAGAGAAATGGTTACAGACAAACTTGAATGAAAGGATATTTACTATTTCTAAAACTGCCTTGTTTAAAAAGATACATTCATCATATCAGATCCTGTAGTGACCAATAAACAGTATAAGCTGTTTCCAAAAAAGGTTTTTGACCATTTATCTGGAGTACCAGAAAATAATACAGACCTGTACAGAGCTCCACTACCAACCACAGGTGTTTGCTTGTCTCATACCACTCATAGAAGGACACTATGTTTGGATGGGTCAGATCAGGGCTGAGACGTACCTTACAGAGAAAAGAAACAAGATATCAATAACTAAGTATAACAGTTACTGTTTTAAGCTCAAAGGCATCTCCAGTATTCATATGGCCTGGGGATCTTGATAGTGCTGGGTAGATCGTACAAAAGTACTGTAAGTTTCAGAATCAAACAAAGAACCTACATTTTGATGACATAATTGTGAAACATTTAATTCTTACCTTTTTTTCCTGATTACATCTTTACAGGTACATCACTTGTAAGTTTAACTTCAGTAAATCTTTATGTTGCATCTGATTTCAGATCTCAGATCTCTTTAGCTTCTTACAAAAACTATACTTGGAAAAATGCATCAAAGTATTTTATTGCACAATATATACACAAAACTTGAAGCATTGTCCTACATGGTTAGTAATCTCCAGTCTCTTGGCTTTATCAGCGCAGATGATGGCAACATAGTTGAGAAAGCCCTTCTTTCTTCCTTTATAGACCACAGAGCTCCTGCCTTTCCCAAGTTCTTCATACAGGATGTAGTTCTCCATCTGCTGCAGAAAAGAGGCAAGATAATACAAGTCATTAAACTTAGTTATTTATTTTGGGGGGTGCCTTTACTTTTTACAAATAATATCTCATAATTACTGACTGTACCATATAGCACTGGTACCCAGATGTAGTTGCTCAAGTGATTGTAATGTAAATAACAATGAAAAAAAATATTTCAGTAGTTGCCATTTGAAAAACCTTAGACTTATTATCACATTATTACGTGGTGACATCAACTTTTAAGAGGCATGTCATAAATCCATTCCATCAACCCTATTTCAAACGTGTAAATTTTACAAACGTCCAAATCAATAAATTGGTATGACCACTGGGACATAAGATAACTCTAAAGTTTGGGCCAAGGCAGAGAGTTTGATCAGAATCTGTAAACTGGCTTCGATTAAAACAGGTGTAAATAATTAAGGGCTGATTACTTCCTAACGGCTACTTACCAAACAGACGACAGAAAACTGGACTAAAGCGACTGTGGCACTTAACCAGTTATATACGGTTCTCAAACAGTAAACTTGACTTACTTTATTTAATTTTATTCCAAATTCATTGAAAAGTAGCCTTCAGTCAGCCTGTACTTACACTTTTCAAGCAAAAGCCGTTACGTCTGTTTGTGGTCTCACAGCCACAAAATAGTTACCGAATGCACTGTTAGTTCGCTCGTAAAACAGCAATATCCACGGATCCACAATATCAACAGAAAAACATTACAAACCTCACAAACTCGTCATTTATACGATGAAATTTACAATATTTATCATTCTTTTCTCAACTACCTGAAAACTCCTCCTCAACAGCCCGCTGTTTGTTGGCGGAAGAGTGACGGACCATGTAACTCCAGCTGAAAGAGGGAAATCTGGACGACCCACACAAATTCAAGACTGAAACTACTCACCAAAGTTTCAAGATTTAGGCATTAAAGTGTTTCTACCTTAATATATTATGTGTTTCATAATTATAGTAGTTGATTTTTGTTTGCTTTTACATTTTTGTCGGACTCAACTTAAGCTACAATACCTACATATGGTATAGTCCCAAGTTGCTAGGTTACGAGACCGCATACAACGGGGGGCGCACGGTCGAGCACATGTAAAAACAGCCCATAATGATTTTATCATAGTTGAAAAATATGCAAAGTTGTATTATTATAATAATATTGCCATATTTTAAACGATTCAGTCCTGTCTGTTCGATTTATTTTATTCAATTTGCACAACACACGCACGTGGATTGAATCAGATCCTTCTCAAATCGGTTATATGTTTGGGAATAAATTCTTTCAGCACAAATACATGATATGTGCTCTTGAATATTTTTCCTATATACCATTTAAAAAGAATACATGAAATATGATTCGCTTATTATTTTTTTATGACTTTAATGGCACGACTATGCCTAAGCACGATTACTTATCTACTCACGTTTTAATTCGATTTATTACTACTTTTTCCGGGGGAAAACAAAAAAAACAAAAAAAAAATAATAATAATAATAATAAAAATAAAAAAACGTGAAACTATTATAAGACATCTCCGAGTACTGAGCGTCAAATAGAGAACTTCAAGTTATGTAAAGTTACCTAAAGTTATATATACTTGTATTTCCGCCAGAACATTCCATTTTAAAAAGTAAAGGCAGAATGGTAAAAGCTTGACTAAAAAACCCTCATTGAAGACCAATGTTATTGATTTTGACACAGGAGAACTCAAAAAGAACAAAGCCAAATGTACTCATAGTACTTGTGCATGGCGTCTGACAACTCTTAGTTCAAATACAGGAATATCAGTTACTATTGATAAAATATGATGTTTCAAAATGACTTTGAATGTGGATTTTTTTTTTCTTAATATGGCTCACTTATTAGCACTTTCTTCTAAAAATACTGACATTGTTGTAGCCTCATGGTTGTGTCTTCAGGCCTCCTTTGTCTTGGTTAAAAGATGTCTAAATACTTCAGTGTTCTTTGCCTCATCTACTACAACTGCACAGGGCTGGCTCTAACCATTTTGGTGCCTTAAGCTTGATAAAGACAATAACAGCACAGTATAATATCAAAACTAGCTAAAAAAGTTCCAGTGCAGGTTTTACTCAGCTAAACCTGTTAGACAAGTTGCTCTAAATTGATTATCAGAATCAGAATCTCTTTATTGTCCCGTAAAGGGAAATTAGTTTAGCAGCAGGGCTCACAAAAGACAAGTACGCGATGACAACATAAATTTAAAAAACATAGAACAATTAAAAACATAACAACACAATATCAGAAACACATACACAAAACCACCTAATATCAGGCTGAGATGAAAATATTTCCACTTAATTCACATTTATGTTCTTAGATATTTTTTTGCGTTTCACTGATGTTGGTTGGTAGGTCTAAAAAATCCAAACTTTTCATTGTGAGATTCTATCTATCTATCTATCTATCTATCTATCTATCTATCTATCTATCTATCTATCTATCTATCTATCTATCTATCTATCTATCTATCTAATCTAATCTACTGATGTCTTGGGTTCAAGACCAGGCACTGACACACTAATTTAAAGGTAGCATCTACCAAATACGTAAATTCATTTTTTCCTTGTAGTAAAACTTAAAGAAACGCCACCTTGCAAGACAATTATGATATTATGAGCCCAATTATGGCTCAAAATGTTGAGATACATGCATGGAGTCAAGTGATATATTGTAGGCCTGTTCTGGCGAAAGATTGAGACATTATTGTTGTAAATTGCCACAAGGAGATACATGGATATAGACTAAAGATGCATTTGTAGATCTGTTGAAATATGGGAAAGATTGTCCATGAAAAGAGTTATCAAACATCATGGAGGACAAAGTCGTCAACTGAAAGAATTAAATATTGATGCAATTTACTTTGAACTCTCTCAAACCGGAAGTTGCTTCAAATTGATGTGGTTTGACCGGGTTCAGCTCAGCTGCTTTGTTCCCATTGAAACGGTTCAGTCACCCGTGCTTAGGAAGCCAAAATTACAGCTGAAGTTTTTTAACAAGGAGACTGACTCTAAATCACCTTTTATTTAATCGTCTGGTCATTTAGCGAGTTTTTCGCCTTATTGTTGCTCGATACCGGTGTCGTGAAAAAGTCTACTTCCCCTCTTCAAGCTGGTGCCTCCCCAAAGCGCTGCTCTCCGCATGTTAAGGCGTAGCAAAGTTAACGAGCGACGGGTTTAAACTCGGGTCACTCTGAGCATCCAAAAAGCCAACTGGTCAATGTTGGATAAGTTTCAGGTTGAAGTTTTATGTAGTGAGGACAGACTTTTGAAACAACTCCTGTGTGTTTTTATTAGCTCCTGACTTAGTTAGAGCTGGGTCGCGTTGAATTGTCTCGGTTATTCTCACGCTGTGACAACGGAGTCATACCCCCTCTTTGGAAAAGTCTACGCTTTCTACTTTCACGGTAAGGCTTTTTGACTGAGTTTGTGTGAGTTTCATGATAAGTTTGCCATAAAGTTTGACGATATAGTAGCAGGTGCAGACTGCAGTGCAGCGGTTCGCTCAGTGAAAAGTTATCCTCATGTTTCAACGCAAATCTCATTATTTGACTTGTTTCATACACTGTCTCTGATTGTCTCTCTCAGCTGTTTGGTCCACGTGGTTTTGCCCGAGAGGACTTTGATATAATAAATCTGCTTTCTTTCCTCACTTGGCCTGACTGGGAGGTGAAAAGGTCCAGGGGAGAGTGTGTAACATGAGTTAGTGGGCACGTTTTAACCAGATTGATTTCAGATTTAGGTAGACTTAATCCTATCACAGTAAATCTGCTTCCACTCATTAAAAGCGTCTGAAGTTCCCTAAGATAAGCCCTCTGATTACCTCAGACACCTCTCAGACACTGGACAAACCCTGTCATACAGACACATTATTTTCTCTCCATTGGTCAGTCAGCAAGATTATAAGCAAACCTATATGAATCAGTCTGACATATTTCCATGTGTTTCTGCAAACCCTCTTAACCTACAATTCTCTTTCTTTAAAACATACTTCAAAATTTGCATATTCAGAACTTCATAAAACAATATCACCAGCCGCAGTTAAGCTGAACTGAGATGTGGATTTGTAGTCATCGAGGCTGCAGCCCACAGAGCACTTTCAGTTCGCACTGTTTTTATTTAACTTTAGTCCTTGCTGAGGATGCAAGTTATTCATTCAACGCTCTGAGGCTAAATAAGGTTCCAGGCAGTTTTGCCAACTAACAGCACATGATCAGTGACAGACCTGCATACCATCTCACTGCTCAGGCATCCAGCATGTCTTGATGTGAGCACACACACCTCTAAGAACGATCACACAACTAGGATCTGGACCTCAACAGAGAGCTCACATGACAGCTAAAGGGACAGACAGATGGGCCGTGGAGGGTGTTTGTACTTATCTGACCCTTCTGACCAACACACACAAACAAACACACACCAGAGCTGAGACATTCACACTTGTACCATATGGTAAATCAGTTAGCCCAGTTAGAGGGTTGTGCATTTTGTAGCCCGAGCCCTCTCCTTTTAATGTTCTCTCCTCAATGTCTGAACAGTGTGTGTTCATGTTTATTGGCTGTCCTTTAAGAAAAAGACACAACAAGAGACAAGATTTTAAGCTTTCAGCAGATGATGAAATGCAAATTGTAAGGGTATTAATTTTTGATTGAAACAGGTATATACTTAAGCTGTCTTTAATGGAAAAATGAGGCCTATTATAAACTTTGAAAGCTTTTTTACTGCACTCTCTGCAGATGTGTAACTTTATGGGTTTATGGCTCACTGGGTTTCAGTATGAGTGAGTTCAGTTATCAGTCTGAGGAGTGGGGAGGTTTTATCTGTGGTTGGACTTGCTGTTGTTAAGCTGCTCATAAACAACACTAAATGTTGACGCATTATTTTGACACTTCTATCATGTGGTAAGACAGTAAAAATAACAGGCGGTAGGTGTCTTTCTACTGGTGCACCTCACGTGTAGTTTTGTATTAAACAGAGTAATAACTTTTTATACATACTGCCCTTTAATATTTGTTATAAGAGGATGTTAAATCCATTAGTTCAGCTCTGTTACTAAAATAAAAAGGACAAGGGTTATAAGTTTTCTGTAGCCATACTAGTTGAAAGCAAAAGAAGCTGTAAGATAAATGAATAAATAAAACATGCTATTTTTGATAGTGGTGTAATGGTCCACTGAACTGAGTGATGCAGATGTCTGAGCTTCCTTTATTGACTGGAGTGTGCAGAGAATCATGTAGAGATGTGTTCCAGAGTCAGACTGAGGTAAAACAAGCTTTTGTGTCTTGAACAAACACAAGCAGTAGATAGATGGATGTCACTGTAAATAATGCAGCCTCTAAATAACTCACTGTAGATGCTAAGAACTTAACAGCCGTGTCAGCTGTTTTTCTGTGCTAAAATGCTTATACAGCAAAGTATTGAAATATTCAGTTTCACAATAGTATGCTGATGTTCTTAACCCTTGTTTTAATATATCAAAGGGGTAGTTCCATGTATTTTGTAAACGTGCAAGAGAAAATGTACAGGCTGAAAAATGTCCAAATACAGCATAGACTTAGACTAACATTAGAGCTGTGGTTGGACACTGTTAACATTAGCTTAATCTTGCAGTAGAGATGACCCTGTCTGCAGCTGTTGTCAGCCTATAGCTTTCACTTCAGTTCTTGTCAGTAGCTGCGTTTACATGGGCACAAATAATCGGAACAAAAATGTGTCATGTTCTTGTTGATCGGAAGATTCTGATCCAATTCAGCTCAATCGGAAAGAAATTGCATTCCGATTGAGAGGGTTTGTTTATGCTGACCGTTATTCCAAAACGCGCCCATGAAAACACGTATTCTGATTGTGACTCTCTTAACTGACTCAATCTTCACTTTTTAACCTTTAGCTTATTTGTGGAGGCCAGTAGATGAGGTTTCATTATTAACACTCTGGCATAAAACACAACTGCAGGTGCCGTGTCTGCTCCTCCGATAACATAACAAGGCGTACATACAGCGTAATGATGTTACCTCTGCATGCACAGTGCAGCCTTTGACAGAACAGTAGAATAACAGGGGGAAACCTCTTGAATTGGATGAAGGCGTAAATACAACTCTTCTTCTGCGGTTGTTTCAGCAAAATCAGACAACTTCTGCGCATGTCCAAATGCTTCAAATCTGAATAAAGTTTGGTGTATGTATACGCACATCTTGATCGGATTATTTGATTTTGCATCCATATAAACAGTGGATTCAGATTATCTGATCCCTGAATTTATTATCGGATCAAGAAATTTTGCCCATGTAAACATGGCTAGTTTCTCAGCTATGGGACAGAGCTCTCCAGGATCTCCTGTAGCCACTATTTCACTGCTGACAAGTATCTCATATATTCCCACTTTAAAAAACGGACTATTCCTGCAAATGGGTTAAAATATCCATTTTCAATTCCTGTAAGCACAATGACCTCTGGCAGACATCAGGGTTCAGCTCATAGGCTGGCTCCTTAAGCCGCAAGAGCGAGAAAAAGCAAGAAAGTTTCCTCTGCATATCAAAACAGTCCAGCAAATCTCAGAGATTCATTTTCTTTTAGTCTTCATCTGTGGACTCGAAGTGAGCTGCACACCACTGCACAATGCGTTATTCAGAAATGTTTCAAACACAGCAACATGGTCAGAAAATCTCAGAATACTGTTAGTAGCCAGGATGTGTGCAGATACAGGCACCACCATCTCTCCAACAGAAGTATGGGTGATAAATGAGAGGGTAGCTACTTTCAACAGCTGTTTAAATGATCAGACGAGAGTTTCCAGCTCCTGTTGCCCAGCACTTCGGTTTTCGTAACAAAGGATGTAAACAGGTATAGCTTTTATTGTCACCATAAGTTTAAAACTGGAACTGTGACGGTCTTGTATTCTATAGATTAGACTGGAAATCTTGATTTCATTGTTTAGACTCAATTGCAGCAAGTTGTTCTCTCAGCCTCACTGTAATACTTCCAGTAACTTCAGTGGAGATTAGCAAAGTATCACAGTATCACAAAGGGACTCCTGTATTGTGATAGGTATCATATTGTGCAGTCATATCATATCGGCTCTACCCAGCCCTGTTTGAAACGGATCAAGATAAAGCAGGCTGTCCAAACTTTGCCCCAGGTCTTGTTGACAATGTACCTCTGTGCCCTTACCATACTGCAAGTTTGATCAAATCAACAGAGGTGGAGACTCAGAGATTTAGCAAGACTTCTCCTAGGTGCCAACTTTGTTCAGTGCCAACAGGATTAGCCAAACAGCCTGACGGTTAAAGCTGAGTTAAAGCTCTCTTCTTTGCTTTCTTTTCTTTCTGTCTCAAAGAACAATGACTGGACACAAAGCACTGTTTCTTTTCTGGTTAAGTGCCTCTCTGTGTTTCCTAACTCTGTTGTTTCTATACCTGCTACACCTCTATCTCTCTCTCAGTTATCATATCTCTCCCTCCCCACATCAGTCTTTCACTTCTGTTCACTGTCATATGAAAGCAGGGACAGCTCTTAAATACAAAAATTTGAACTAGTCAGAGTCACACCTGTTGCCTGATTTTCTTTCCTTCTCACATGGAAACTGTTGACTTCTTAGACAGTACAAGACTCCTTAGCCGCGGGGTGTTAAACTCTGACATTACATGAAGAGATTTACAGGTTTTCAAAAGGGATGTCTTCACTTCCTTTGACTGATCACGTGACTGAGGTCTTCAAGTTCAGCTTCTCTGTTTGTCTTCCTTTCCGTCTGTCTTTCCTGTCAACTTAGAGTGAGATTGTGTGTTTCTGTGAGTAATAGTATCAGATCTGTTTTATCTGGGAACACTTGCTGGATCGAAGTCTGTTAGGAAACAATGAGCTTGTCGGCATGTGTTTCACAGCTCAGATTGAGAGGCTCTGAAATGAATGAGCTAGCAGAGGGAGGTGGGCACAGACAGAGCAAGAGGGCAGCCATCACAAGGGCAAAGGTCATTTTCCCCTCTCACTCCTTTCAGTTGAAAACACGTTTTATGAGATCCACTGCTAACAGATGTTCGAGAGGACAATATTCTTTTACTTTTTTTTTCCAATCGTTCTTTCCAGCAATATGTTTCTACCTGTCATGGCTCTCCCTCCATTTTCTAAAGCTAAAAATGCTGAAAAGCATGGTTTGCAAGTTTTAATAGGAACAAAAAATTCTTGGAAACTGAACTTTCAACCTTGTTAAACATTTTTGAACGTCTTTCCTATGCCCACAGATATCTACTGTGCTGCTCCCAAGCCCAAATCCTCCTCAAATATCATTCTAGTAAATAATTCCAGTCTGACTAGCCTATAATGACTCTTCTCATAAGGCCTGACATCATTGTAAAATAATACAATGACTCTCTTGCCTTCCAGCCAAGGTTTAGTTGTTGCTATATCAGCCTTGGAGAACATGGCTGCAGTGGAGGCACTCACCAGCCACAAACTGAAAAAAAAAAAACTAAAATACATCAAATAAACTTTTGTTCTTGTTTGTGAGCAGAGCAAAAAGGCAGTAAATTATTAGGAAGGTGTAATGTTTATTTTTAAAATTCAACCAGTTAATTTGACAGCTCCTAAAATGTTGTACAGAATTTGTTCTATGACATCTTGTGTATCACTATTGCAAATGTCCTTGATCTGTTACAGTATAATTTAAAGACCATATCTAGCATACCCTAAGTAGTAGACACACAGTTGTCAGACTTGCACTAAATAACAATGCTTGCTTGGATCAATTTCTATCTGAAGGTCATATTTCTTCTAATACTCTTGTCTCATAAAACAGTATGAGAACTTAAGCTGCGTTCTTTGAGCTGCACCAGAGCCTCCCTCACTCTAGTGCACCACTGGAAATGTCATAATTTTATGAAATTTAGGCTGTAGACTTTTATGGGATTTCTTCTTTGACTCAAATGGTGGACCCAATCATAAAGACAGTATGAAGGTGGTGTGAGCTGATAATCTCAAACACTTTGAGTGTGTTGATGATATTCTTGTGAGTGGAGTTTGTAATCTTTATATCTCACGAACTGTCTCCATTTGAGACTGCCTGATGGGTACATTCTCTCACTTGTGGGGTATTTGTGTTAAATGGCAAATCCAGAAGATGTAAGGATTTCAATGTCAACATTTTTAATGTCTACAATGGACATTTTCCTTTTGGGTCAAGTTATTTGGTGGGCATTTTGGCCTCTATTAAATAGGATGGCTGTGAAGAGATGATGTCGGGAGCAGAGAGTGAAGGTTGAAACGTGAAGTCAGAAATCAAATCAGAGACCTTGTAGACATGTACCAGAGCCTCAATACAAGGGGCGTGCACTAACACAGCAGGTGCAATGCGCCTCTTGTCCACTTTGATCACCTAATTGAACAGTACCTTCATGACCCCTGTGTAATAAAGCTGTTCTGTACACTGTGAATTGTTGACATTGCTGTCTTTAGGAGCTCTTCATGTTTACTCTGCTCGCTCTTGGTTTCTTGACTTAACAACTATGAAGACTTTTCTATATGGTGGTCATCTCCTTGATGAGATTCCTTTTTTTGTGTTTACTGGGTAAACATTTCTTAGTTTCTGATTACAAAGTGTGTATATGTCCCTTGAGCCTCTAATCAGTCAGAGCAGGTTTCCTTAATGTATCCTGAAGTTCAGATTCCTGACAAAAGAAAGAAACGTCTAAACATGTTCCCCAGTGTCTCTGAGGATTTTCAGAGGAAGTTGTGTTCTGTAGACAGTGTTTCCTTTGTTAGGTCTCCATTTCTTCACCAGTCAGTCTCTACACGTGGGTTCATTCACCTTCATATTAGATGACTACAGTTTAAACGGCTTTCTCTCAGTATGACCTTGTCTGTGCTAGTAACAGACACACACAAACACACACACTCATAATCCATATAAGCAAATGGAGTCGAGTCACTTTAAATGATGAGTTGTTGACAGTAAGGAAACCACATTTAGCAAGGTCAAACCTCGGTCGTAGAGTTGGTCATCTCCCAATTAGAAGGTCAGGGGTTTGATCCCTGGGCTGTCCACATGCAGAAGCCTCCTCAGGCAGGACACTTGACACCACCTGCCCCCCGGCTGGCTGTGCCCAGTAAGGCTGAACGTTTTTGGAAAATAATCTATTTGTGATTGTTTTTCCCCTCAATATCACGATTGTGATTTAATATGCAATTATTTTTTCAAGGTCCTCTTCAAATGTATTTTTCAACACAACAATAAATCAATCTGTATCATAGTAAACAATATCAGATTAATTATACATAAATTCTTCTTTCTGGCAATAACCTTTTCACACACACAGGCTCTCTCTGCTTACACACTATCGCCCACACGCATGCATGCGCCATCGTATACGTCATGATACTACCGATGGCGAGAATTGGTGCCCAAAACACTGGAGTCTGGTCTATTCAATCAGCTGTGCTGCCATCACTGTATTGGATGTGTTTTCCGTCGTTATGCAGATGTGGTTTGAAGTTGAAGTGCTGGTCGCTGGTGTTTTAGCCATTCACATATTGTACATGGCTTTGTGGTGTTTTTTTAAGTGTTTATGAAGGTGCGTAGTGTTACCTCTTGATGTAGCAACAGTAGCACGGCACGTTGCGCAGCAGCATCTCTTTAGCCAAAATAAATCCACACAACTGCCGTGCTCGGCCATAGTGACACAGAGAGCAGTGTTGACCTCTCTCTCTCTACCTGCTCTACTTTGCTCACAAGTCACATGACCAGACCACGTGACCAGTCAAAATTGCAGCTTTTGGGGTTAGAAAATTGCGTTTAACATATTATGATATAATCGCACATGCAATTAATCGTTCAGCCGCAGTGCCCAGTGTTGTGTAAATGGATTTAGTGAAAAACTGATGGGCCTATACAACAGCCTCTGCCGCCAGTGTGTGATTGTGGTGTGAACAGGTAGATGTGACATGTAAAGTGAAAGCACACTGAGTGGTCAGAAGACAGAGAAAGAGCTCTTTAAACACAGTCCATTTAATATTTACTCTGCCTCTCAGCTGCTATTAAGAGCCACAGACGGATGGTTTACTGACGTATTGACCACTGTACTAGCCAACAGTAGACAGACTAATGTTAAAGGATTGTCTACAAACTTGCTATGAGGTTAGCTCATAGCCAGACCAGTGAAATCCATACCTATAATGCTGCTGTTCTGGATTGACTCCAGCTTTAAGATTTGGATGGTCTAAAGAGTGGTCTCATTGATTAAGCCTTCATCAGGAGTTAGCAGGCAGTGGGTGTGGTATAAAACATGCTCTAAATCTTCAGCCTGATTATTCCGATTTCTTTTGTCTTTTAACTCCAGTTTTGTTATTAATTTTATAAAAGCTACATTTTTTTGACAAAAAGATTTATTGCTAAAGAAGGCTAAAATGTAAAATGAAATGTAAAAACAATAATTTTCTGGTGTTGCCTGATTGGTATTTGGTTTCACTTGGGGAGTGTTGGTTTGGTTTTGTAGTCCTAAGGTGTGAAAGAAATAAAGCTGCAGCACCAAAAGACTGTGCTGAGCTTGGATAGGAAGTGTTTTAAGTGTAGTTACTGAAAGATGTAAAGGGATACAACTCTATTTCCACTTGCTGAGAATGAATGTTTGTGGTCTGTGTTGAAATGTTCACATTGTTAGACTTAAAAGAACAGCAGGGAGTGACCGATTAACCAAGTGAGTTGGGAAATCATCTGTGGGAGAACTGCGGGGAGCATAACAATGACTTTGACTGTCATAATTATTCTTCTTGTGAATTGATTGGCTTCTTAATAAATAATTTGGGTTATAAACAAACTTGTCTGAAGTGAAGCTGAAGAAAAGCACATGCAGCTCATCTGACAAAGATCAAAAATGAAGGGCTAAGAAGTTTGTCATTTTACCTAAATTTAACATTTTCTAAATCAACACCGCCAAATCTGCAACATTTGAAGGAGTGCTTGTGAAATAATTCAGAGAAAATGGAAGACCACACCTCGCCCTGTAGGAGAGAAGTTCTGGCGTCTGTTGTGTTCTCAATCCCTGGTTTCATTAGTCCTTTGAAACCTTCCGCTTCCTCTAAAGCTCAACCCAGCCCTGTTATTGTGAGCCCTGTTGAAGGACACTACAGGCTGGGATTATTGTTGCCAAAACATGTTGGATCATGATACTGTTGATCCTGAGGCTGTTGAACTTCAGTGAGAGAATAAGACAGAGCTGTTTGGTCAGCATTAGTGTGATTATAATAGCATCATTTTTTTCAAGGCTCTAACTGTGAAGTGTTTCTGTTTCTCAAAGAGATCAGAGAAACTGACCCACAGCAGTCTGTCATGTGTCTGCAGTGACTGTACAGCCTGTTGTCATTAGCAACAGTGTTTGAGCATTAAGATTTCCAAAATAATGGAGACTGTGTGACCTCAATTTTACTCTCTACCAGCCACTGGGTTATGACTAAATATGACTAAAAAGAAGCTGGGTGGAAAAAGAGAGGTGGGAAGAAAAGAAAGACAAATGACCACATGTATAAGAACGATTCAGTCGAGGTTCCTTAACATTTTCTGCAAGACCTCCCTGTGTTAGATTTAATCATTTTCAAGCCCCCTTAACATCCACACCAACAAATAAACATGCTTAATAACTATAGACACCCTATATGTAGGGTGAGTGGACGCCCAGTGTTGGTGGAGGGGGAGCCAAGTTCATTTTCAGATATTAATGACCCAGCAGCCTTCTAACAAAATTAGCTACACTTTGCAAACATTGTAGAGGGGTCTGTGTCTATCAACCACTGCAGGAGAGGAAAAGTATCATAAAGAACATATAGGAGAACAAGGGGTGTGGTGCAACAAAAGCCACAGCTGTGATTGTTATGATGATTGGATGGTGAGATTAGGTGTACACTACAGAGGGTTTTTCTTGAGGGTAGCGAGGGGGGTCTGTGTGTTTGTGTGTGTTTTACAGAGTTGGCTATAAATAGAAACTTAGCTAAGTTTCCTTTTAATACAGGCCTGGTAGCCTGCAGAGTGTGATTGTACTGTACGTGGAGCCAGAGGAACTTGCTTATCAGTTGTTCATTCCTTGCAGGCGTCACTGCAGAGTGTGTTTAATAGTGTCCTATAGGAGAGACAACAGGATTGTAACTACTGTTCCCATGGCCAACATACCCTGAAATTTGTAGGTAATCAGCGTTGTAGGTGCACCATCAGACCTTGAGTCACCAGTATTCAAATCCAAGTTTGAGCCCGTATCGTTGAAAAAGAATCCAAATGACCTTAACTGCTGTAGGCTGGCAGCAGAAGGGCCAGAAAACATGTTTACTGAGCCGAGAAAAAAATATATCTTTTTTTTTGTTTTTTTGTTTTTTTGCAAAAAGAACCTGGTTTTAAAAAATGGCTTTTGTCTGAGTAGTTCCCACAGCACCCACTGAACTTGAAGTGAATTATATTGTAACGTTTTTGTTTCAAAGATATGAAGGTTGATAGTAAAGGGATATTCCGGCGTAAAATTAATTTAGGGCCAAACACATCTTAACACAGAGTTAGACACCCCCTCCAGAGATGAATGTTGTTGACTGCTTGCTTCTCTAGTTATACCAACCTACACCTATACAAACCTCAACCAAAACACAACTCTATAGCCACAAATAATGCTCAGAACAGCACCTAACTTCATCAGCAGTACATATAGGGTCCCAGCCATAGTACTAGCCACCAAACATCTTTTTAACTTTGCCTAATTTCTTCCGCAAAGAGACTTAACACAACTCACTTACACTCTTCCAGCAGCCGCTTTTTTGTAGCGAGACCTCAGGCCAGTAAAAACAAAAAACGAAAAAATCTCTAGAAGCTCTGGTAGAAGCTCAAGTTGTGTAAGGAGGACAAATGTCTCAATTAACCAACAAAGTTACAGCCCAATCTCCAGTGATGTAACTGCAGTCTGTTCATCATTACACACACACGGATCAGAAATCTGCTTTACTGGGTTGCATACAACCATAATAAATGAATAAGTCGAAGAGTTGTTTTGAGTTCAAATATGATTTACTTTCTATCCAAAGACACACAATAAAAACATGCTGCATGTATGAAACTAATGTCGAAGTGTATTTGCTGAATTTCTGAACACAATTTTTTCCTGTCAACTAAATGTTTGCTTTCATCTTTCTGTCTCCTCAGGTATAGAGTAAAAACTCTCTCCATCTTGGTGTGTTTCTGGTCCTACCACCTTCACCTTCACCTGTCCTGTCCAGTCCAGTGATGCGCTTAAGACCGTTCTAACTCCTGTTTTGGCAAGTCCAAGTCTTGTCCATGGCTGGTCATGTTTTAAATCGTTAACCACTCGGCGTCAAGCTGGACCCGAAGACTTTGTCTCCCCATACCTGCTCCTCTGCCCCGGCCCCTAAAGAGCCTTCTGAAAACACAGCTCTGCCTTACAACCCAGGGCTCCTATTGGCCAGTGAAGAGGAAGAAGAGGAGGAGGAGGAGGAGTATGTCAGTGAAGCAAGTCTGCCCGCTTTGCTGCAAGAATTCGCAAATAACTACAGAGATGCAGAGACCATCACCGGTAATGTCCCTCTGCATTCAAACACATACATTGACATAATGCACTTGTCATAATAAATCAACACAAATGAAAGAGAAACAGACATAAATGTTTGTTTTTTTATGGGTCTGTTTAGTTTCAGTGCAGATGTATTTCATCTCTGTGCTGAAGATGTAATAACAGCTTAGTAGTACTTTAATAACATATCTGCAGTATCATTTTAACAACAGCTCTGTAGTATCATTGTAAAAACAGATCTTAAGTATCATTGTAATAACAGCTCTGAAGTCTCATTTAAATAACAACTCTATAGTGTCACTTTTATAACAGCTCTGTAGTATCATTGTAATAACAACTTTGAAGTCTCATTTTAATAACAGCTCTGTAGTATCTTTGCAATAACAGCTCTGTAGTATCATTTTTATAACAACCTTTGTAGAATCATTGTAATAACAGCTCCGTAGAATCATTGTTATAACAGCTCTGTAGTCTCATTTAAATAACAGCTTTATAGTATCACTTTTATAACCGCTCTGTAGTATCATTTTAATAACAACTCTGTAGAATCATTGTAAACACTGCTATGAAGCCTCATTTGAATAACAGCTCTGTAGTGTTGTGTTAATAGCAGCTCAGTAGTATCATTGTAAACACTGCTCTGTAGTATCATTGTATACTGAGGAAGTGGCTGTATGAGAGTGTGACAGCAAGAGCGAGGCCTGTGGAGCTGTGAGAAACTGTCTCCTCTGTGTGACCCGCTTCGAATGTCACATCCTGTCAGTAAAACAGCTCCAGGGGACCTGGGCTCTGTGACTGAGCCAGCATGTGAAAAGAGCTCCCAGTGGACTGTCTCTGTCAACTTGTTCACTCATCCTTCTTCTTCTTTTCCTCTCACCACTCATCCTTCTCTTCAAGAGAGCACAGGGACACTAATGTGTTGCCCCCCGTGGTTTTGTTGTGCTGTGGACCATCTTCTTTCTCCTCACAGTTTGAATGAGCCCATCTGGACCAAGTGTCTGGCAGGCGCTTCAACAAATGAAGTGATAGCATATGAATAATGAATGGATATTGATTCATTTTTGGTGTTGCAGTGCTAATCAGGCTGCGGTGTAGAAACCAAACTGATGACAGACGACTTTTTTAAGAATCGATGTTAAGACTGCAGAGTACTGAGACTGCTGTACATGACTGCAACCCAGAGGGATTCATCCAGTGCTCTGTATTGATATAAAACTTGGAAGACAACACTTAAACAAGGAGCTGAGAAACATGAAGGAAAGGGCCCAGTGGAGGGGACAGTCAGGGAGCTGGATACTGCCTGGCAAAGAGCCATCGTAGCAAAGCAGGAAGGGATGCCAAGAAACTTGTACAGCACAAGACCACAGAGTCTGTTCAGCACTGATTGAGACAACAGCAGTTTCTTATGCAAAAACAGGAAGATGCTATACTGTACTTTCCTGTTACACACATGCTTCTGCTGTCGACCCAGTCCCCTTTGTTAGATTGAAAACCAAGCACCTGATTCTAACTAAAAGTAAGGCATGAAGTATTTTCTGCTACCTTTGATGAACTTTCATACCTTGGAAAGTCAGAAACTTGGCTGCACCATTTCTTTATCCATTTATTAAGTTTCCAAAGCAGCTTAACCACTCACAGGGTCCCACAAGGCTGGAGCCGACTTCACTTTACATTGGCCAAGAGCCAGATTACATCCTCCTTTGTTAGAGCTATCATATGGTGTGTTGTCATGTAGAGTCAGTTTAAGCTTAAAGCATCTTCTACATTATTTATTATAGCTTGGTGGAGTCACTTCAGAATGGATGTAACCCTTGATATTGACTGGATCAGTGCATTTGTGGCTCTTTCTGAACATATGTTGTTTGCTGTTAAACCTATGTTCGAATATATCATATCATATATCATATATTATATCAAGGCTGTGAAAGCTGCTTTTGTGGATGACTAGCCATGTTATAGTGGTGTTACCTCATTCAAATATATTGCACAGAAAATCTAAGAGTACCATTTAATATTAAATGATAAAGATACATTTTCAGTGTTGACTGATATTAAGATATAAGATTTAGCATTAAGTAACAATCACACAAAGGAGGAATGACATAACTTTACATCTAATGCTTCACTTTCCACCTTCTTTGGTTTTAAAACTATACCTCAGTTTTATATTTCAAATATTTGGATCCCAGTCTGTTCCAGTGGAAAAGATATCAAAGTTTAAACAAGAGAAACAAACCATCAGATTCTTGATCTGACTCATGCGCAGTCAGACAGGAACAGTCAACCAGACAGGAGTGTAACACCTGTGATTTGCAAAACCAAATGATGAGATGAAATGATACCTTGGCACTACCTACGGTGGTCACATGTCCAAAACGCCAAAGCTATTTAAATGCAGCTGAGTGAGGACAGTGCAGTGCTGCCATCTTCTGGTGTGTTAGGATTATTAAACACAATTTACTTTTTTTATACATAAAAACAAAATTTACGAGTTTAAGTCAGTAGATGTTTCATTTTAAACTTTTTGGGGCCTGTCCCTCTATTTTCCTTCTGTCTCTCACTTATGTTTCACCATCAGTCCTTCCAAACACTCTGCTTAAATACTTCCTCACAAAGTGAAAGAGACTTTGTGCAAGTGTGTATGTGTGTGTGTGCGTGTGTCTAACTTCTCTCAGTCCAGAGCATGAATAACCACAAAGAGCTGAATGGAGCAGCTCACTGCCATGGAGCAGTTCCTGGGCGTGAGGTGAACTCTCCGTGGTTACCGGCCAGCAGTGATATAAAGAGTTGAGTAACTGTGAAATTATGGGATGCTCAGGGAGGAGAGAGATCAGGAACGATCACTCGGACAAACAGTTACAAGTTATGTAAGTGGACACACAGAGTAGAATCCAAATTGCTGAGTCTGCCTGCTCACTCTCAAGCAATTACATCATGGGAAAACTTCTTTTGTGTTGTAATGTTTGGAGAAGAGCCTCATTCTTGTTGACTGTTTGCATTATCACATACACCGGAGGAGACAGAGCCAAGTTATATTATACCGAAACTGTACTGACAAAGTCAAGCCAATCCCTCTGGAACAACTCTATCGGAGAAGTGTTTCCATTTTGTAGGATTTTAATTGGACATGCAGGTTTGTCAGATGTGGGCTGCCTTGCATGTTAACTCGGTGTTGCTATGGATTCTGTGTTTTTGTACATGGAAGGTCAGAGCTGATGGGTGCACACATTACAAAACAGGCTGAGCGGCATTTGTTTGGTCACTGCAGGAACCTTTTAAACTCCGCAAAACAATCTTGGAATTTTTGGAGTGCTTTTAGCATCTGAGTGCAACTTTGAATACGCCTCTCGAAACTGAGTTTGTGACAAATACTGCTGGACTAACCTCAAGCATAAACAGAAGCAGTTGGTGCTCTTTTGACTCTCCATCTTTATATTTCCTGTGTTTGAGGGAGGTGTTACCATCATAAGATATTGCATGTTTACATTTTTGATACAGCGACACGTTCTGTCATGTCTGTGCTTCCTTACTTGATGTTTCCAGAGCACACAATGGCCTCATTCTGCACAAAATCAGTATCTGCTCTGACATCTATTTATTCAACACCATTGAGACTTAAAGGGATATTCCGACATAAATTTAAGTTAGGGTCAAACACACCGTAACACCGAGTTAGACACCCCCTGGAGAGATGAATGTTGCCGAATGCTTGCTTCCCTAGTTACACCAACTTTAGTAGTACTAGCCATCAAACATCTTTTTAGCTTTGCCTGTTGTCTCTAGCAAAGACACCAAACACAGCTCACCCACTCTCCTCCAGCAGCCGCTTGTTTGTGGGGGGAGCCCTGATGTGTCTATAACAGAGACAACCAACCACAGTATGAAAACGGCAACTAAGTTATTGTACATACAACATGGCTTATGTTAGGTTGATATGCTGCAAACAGCTAACATTTAAAACTATTAAAGTCAAACATCAAACTTGGGCATCAGATTATACCGAGAGCGCTTAGGTGGAGAATTTTTTTCCTTTTTCTCCTAAATGAAATGCCTGATCTGAGTGACGTTTGCTCTATGATTGCTCCACGTTCAACCATGGAAACACAGTCTACAGGTATGACAAACCATACTGTATGCAGAACTGCACAAACACTCAGTTTTTTTGGGATTGGACTTAAGAAAAGAAGAGAAAAATTGTTTGCTGACAAAAAAAAATAATACTCAGGTCATGTATACATACTGAAGAAATGGATTCAAGTATATTAACTTTGTCTACAACTGTATTGCCCTCCAACTATGCAAATTACTAACAACCAGCTTAAAAAAAAACAGTTTACTGCTATCATCTGGAAAATCAAATATGTGAAACTGATTATGTTTCTCTGTCAGGTAAAAAAAAAAAATCTGCCTTACTCTAACTTTATGACTTCTTGACTGACAAAATCAAAACTTGACTGTACTGTAAGCAACCACAAACCACTGAGGGCTCATGTAGAGCATTTCTGAATGCTCTCTGAGGTAACCTCGTCATCAGCCCAGTCACCTCTGCCAGTTTGTGTCGTAATGGTTGGCAAAATATGCCTGTAAACTTTCAGTAATGGTCTGATTCAGAGTCCATGCTACAGTAAGGAAGAACAAAGCTGCATTGCAGGTTATATAATCTAGTTTTGGTATCAGGAGGACACAGTTATCTGTTGAATTATAAGTGGTTCCATGAAGGTACCGGGCAAGAGTATCAACTATAAAACCTGATGTTGCACTGATGCTAGTTTTCACTCTCTGATCAGTAATTCTCGTTCCTTTTGTAGTGTTTTAAAAGTGACTCTCCAGTGAAAACTTAAATAACATGAGCATAATAGACAAAGAGAACCACTCAGGTAAAGAAATTTGAACACCTGACCTCACCACAGCTTCCCACACTGAGCTCCTGCAGGCTGCCAGTGATATTTGACCAGGTTGACATGCTCTCCTGTGAGGTATGTGTTGACCCTCTGAGACCAGCGGCAGCTTTCAACTACAGCCCAGTCTAATTCTAGACCCTCACAGAGCTGGTACTGAAGCCTCATGGGAACAGCATTGACATTTTAGATAGTACTGCTGGGATAGAGTTTGAGTTTTAAGTCTGGTTCTCAATTGATTATAGTTTTGCCTGTATATATCAGTAGTTTGTTGCCCAAACATGATTGGTGCATTGAAATAAGATCTAAACTGCTTTTTACAAGAACTATAAAAAGTCTAATATTTTTCATAAATTAAGTTAATAAAACCAAAAAGTTCCTCCTAAATATTTAAAGACCGAAAACAAACAACTCTTGATTTGGTTTTGATCCTTTAAAAGCAAAATAACACTGGGCTGAAGTTCGACATGAGCCCCATTAAGTGCCTCCCACATTTACTGCCGTGTTGAATGTTGTCAAGTCAGCTATGCCAATATTTTGGCTCCTCAAAACACTGTCCTGTTTTTGTTCCCTAAAACAGAGGCCTCTGACTCTCACAACAACTATTTGAGAGCGGGAAGTGAAGCCTCTGACACTCATGAAGCAAGTTAACAACAGTGTGCTGCTAGCAGCGAGTGTTTAGTTACATATTAGCAAGTCTTGTATTCCTGGCTGTTAAACATTGAAGTAAACCTAATTCTGTTTCACAAATGTTAACACACAGTTAAGTAGCCCAATGATGATAGAAGTTTGTTAGATATTTTAGAGCTGTAAATAGAATTTGTCTATTAGGGTTAAGGTTAGGGTTAGCAAACAAAGTTAGCAAAGAACCACATTGTGATGTTAGTCAGAGCTAGCTTTGTGTTAGCTATTCATGTGTTTCAGACCGTCATATATGTGAAGGTTTTTCACAAAAAGTATTAAGTTAACATAACTTAAACATGTTAAGACACATTTTAGAGTATTTTGAGCGTTATTTTCCTCTCAAAATTTAATAATTGAAACATGTTAAAACTTTTCCTGTAGGTAAAAAAGGGAAAATTGAAAGACATCTGGAGGTTTTTTTTTAAAGCTATTGCTAACTTTAGCTTAGCTTAGCATAGTTTTAGGGTTAAGATTTAGTGAGAACAATATGCAATGTGTGATTATTTTGCTCTGTATTATAATAAAACTATTTAGTGACACATTCAAATCAGTTTTTTTTCCTCTCCCCTAAATACCAGTGTCAGTGTATCTGAGAGACACACAGTGTTGGCTAATACTCAACTGTAGGACTAGAATCAGGACCAGAAGGGGAAGTATTAGGACATTCCCAGAATAAAGAGCAAATTGAGTTTCCCTTTTGAGTGCATTTTGCTCACTTCTGCAGATGTAAGTGAAAGTGTAATACAACTATTTTTCTTGTTCATTTTATTCATTGTAATACTTAGAATTGCCTCTTTTGTCTTTAGTCTGAGAGTTTACTTCGGAGCAACATGTTCTTGAACAACCAGAAAGACAAATAGCTTCAGGCGTGCTGTGACCTGCGGTGTGTATATACTGAAGCAGGACGAGTAGAGAGAGCGAGAGTGTGTTTAGTTAGCACAGCTCAGAGGAAGAAAACAGCTGGGTTTGTGGCTGTCAGAGTGAGGAAGACAGAGTGGGGGGTGAAGTGCAGGGCGGTCCATGTGGCTATCGTCACTGGCATGTCAAGCATGACGGGCTAGTTTGGCTCGGGTCTTCTCTCTTCACTCCTCCCTCCCTCTTTTCCTCTCTCTCTCTGTCCTGACTCTTACTGTCAGTGCCGTCCGCTGAAACTTTTGACTCTCTCTCTCTTTCATGTTCTTCCTGTCTCCCACCCTCCCAATACTCTTTCTCTCTCTCCTCTGTGCTATTTCGTTCGACCTTGCTCTCTCCTGATCCAGTGGAAAATGTGATTGGGGGGCAAGAGAGTTGGTGGTTGTCGGGCGTCAGGCACCATGAGTGAGTACGCTGAGCACAGCATGGTTTTCAGCCAGCTGTGGCTGCTCTTTGTGCAAGTTTACAACTATCTGGTTAACATCTGGGTCTCTGACTAACTGTGTTCACTTCTTTATTTCTTTGTTTGTTTGTTTGTTTTTTGTTGTTGTTTGTTTGTTTTTTTTTGTTTGTTTTGTCTTTCTATCTTTAACTCTGTGAGCTCTTTTTTTCTCCTTTTTTGGAGTTGTATTTTAGGGAACCTACTGGATTTGCCCAGACAAATTTAATGTTCATTTTTCTGTAGTGTTTTGCAGTGTCAGTTCTTATACGTCTAACATGATTGAAGCTTTAATCTTAAATTTAAAATATCTTTTGTTTTGGTTTAAAAGTTTACATTAGGAGTGTTGTGAAAAAGGTCAGCATGGCCACATGTAACACTGTCTTGCAGTCCTTGTTTACAGGAGGCAGCCACTTTGGACACAATATTTGTTGGACATAGTTTAAATTTGTCTCACTATTTCAGCAACATTTATGAAGTCTTCGTACTCTTGTGTTGTTTCTGCAGTCTGACTATAGAATCATGTGGTGCCAGCTCACGTGCTCCTATACCCTTCTTCTTTCCAGTGACCTAAATTTGAGTGTCAGTCCAGTGATACTACACAGACTGATGTTGTATGCTCAATGTTTGCTCTTGTGTGGGCAGGTTTTGTTTTGACACTAATGCTTGATCATGCCAGTGTTAGTATAACTGCAGCGGTTTAGATTGATGAAATGACTTACAAATGTTGGAAAATGCAACAGTACTGGTACATTGTCACCTACATATCAGACAGAATCACCTGGACTTGATTTTGTCTTTCTGTCTTTGAGTCCTCCATTCCTCTGTGCTCTGTGCATGTAAATGTGTTAATTGCTCAGTGTGACAGTGTGACCGCCTGTTCTTACATTTGAACTTGAACTTGCTTCCTCTGTTTGCCAGCGGTCTATATTTACACCTGAATGTCACACTCAAACTTTTCCTATTCATGAGGCAAAACCTTGGGTTGGATTTACAAGATCGTGCCTCTATATGATACTGAGCAGGGAGAATTCTGAATCAAAACAGGTGCTACATGTTAAGTCCTGCTTCTTATATTGTGTTGTCTGTGTGAGTTATCATGCAATGCCGTTCATTGTGTAGAATGAAATCCTGTCAGAAGAGCCACCTGAGAACAAAGGTCAACAATGCTCACGAAAGACAGTATATTTACTTTGTACTTTAAACACTTCTTGTCAACTTCTTGCGGCTCATTTAGTAACATTTAGTGCACATTTACAAACTAGACCGCAGACATTCACACATACTCATTTTTTTTTTGTCTGTCTCCATTCATTGACCTTTTTTGTCAGCACAGAAAGCTTTGTACTATTCTTATCCTCACTCATATCCTATCAGTACTCTATTTGGGAGCTTAAGCTTGTCGGTCATATTTCATTTCAGTTCAGAGGAAGAATTTTGTCACTCAGCGTCCCCTTTATGATCAGTTGATTTCAATATGATTCGTCTGTTGTCAACATTAAGAACTCTCAAAACTTTATTAAGGTGACTCCAAGCTTCACAAGGGCACTAGATTGAACTTTTTACAAGGCTTGTTCTTGTTGATAACAGTAGTTGTGGTTTTATTGATTATTATTGATTATATTATTATTATTTATTATCTACTTCAGCCGCCACTCCAGCCGCCACAACTTTTGAACCGTCCTCCATCTCCTCACCTGTCTTCCCTCTTTGTTACAGACTGGATGGGGTGGAGTCACATCTCTGACGTAGGACAGCGTCTTAAAGGGACATGAGACCATAGCCCACCTACACTCATCCAAAACCAATTTTTATTTATTAATTTTTTGACACCCAATATACCGATATGGGCAAAATGACATCGGATATTGTCGTAAATTTTGGTATCTGTAAATTTTCAGTTTATCGCCCAGCTCTAGTTATGGTATAAAAACAAAAGAAAAGGTACAGACGCAATAACAGCTTAACATTTAAAGTTGGTTCTCATATTCCAGGAGGTGATTCTGCCATTGTGTTGGATGTTTTTATTCAAGGGTGAATTTATAAAAAGAAGAATCAAACAGAATACATACTCAGAGACAATGGAGGAGGGATTGTTTTCATGGTATTCCCCACATTAATCAAAGATGTCATACAGTTGAAACTCCTGAGTCAATGTCACTGTTGTCGCTTGTCTAATGGTGTTGCTAATTGTAATTTGGTATTCAGTCTGTCCTGAAACCTCATTGGCTGAGCTGGCCGAATGATTTCCCAGCTACTGTATGAGTGCTTGTGCGTGTTTCCTTTTTTTTCAGCACAGTCAGTCATTCAGTACTGGATTAGCAAACTGAGAGACAGCATTGTTTAAGGCAGAGACAGACAGAGGGACAGACAGGCAGCAGAGGAGAGCGACAGAGGCAGCATAGAGGGAGGCAGAGAAACAAAGGACTTGATTTTGACTGTATGTTAATTCCCATTCTCTCTCACAGCTGCCCATTGATGAGCTTTTAATTTTGACGTTTCTGTTCGAAAAACAAGGAAAAATTCAAAACTGTGTCTGAATAGGGACAATGCACGCCTCAATCTTAAATGGCTGAGTCTTTTTATAGCTCACTAAACTTGTGAACAGAGAGGCACATAGCTGAGGGCTTAGGTAAGATGATTTAGTTTTCCACCACAGCACATAAATGTAGCTCTCTGTTTGACTCTGGTTTTTGAAAGGAGGGTTTTTGTGGACTTTGTAGTCAACAAAGAGAAAGAGAGATTGTGGGCCTGTTCAGCTGCCTGTCTAAGATGACATCATGCAGGATATGACAGCAGTTCTTTTAGTGTATAGGTTTTTTTTTATCCAGACGGGTACAAATCCAAGCAACATAAGCTATTTGCTTAACAATTTTGTACTCATGCTTGTCCGAAAGTATGGAAGTGTATTAGATTCACTTAATCTAGTGTGCTCAAGTGAAAGAGGAAACTGTTTTTTTTTTTTGAGTAATTTTTTTCTTCTTTCTGTTTTCTGACCATTTTTTTCTTTTTTCTTTTTTTCCCCTGCTAATATTTTTCCCCTCTTTCTGTTTTTTTGGACAAAATTTTATTCAATTTTATGTTTTTTTTTTACAATCAGATAACGTTAACCACCGCGGCTGCTCCTTATCAGTGGATTCTTCAGCTCTTAGATAACTTTGACTACGGAGTCAATGAGAGTCAAGCAAAAGAAAATAACTCTGAAAAACAGAAAATGATGAGTCAGAAGAACAGAAAATTTACCCTTGTTCTTGGTGTTTTATTCTATTGCTGTCTGTCCTTGTTTTCCTTTGTACATCCTTTCATAGATTTCATAGCCTGCGTCAAACTAAATATATTAATAAACAACAAAAACGAGGTGATACTTTTTTCCAAAACCAAAATGAAATGAACCAAATGAAGAGTTTGAATAAAAAAGCAAATTTCCATTCAGTGAACCTGACCTTTACTTCACCTCTGTATTGAAGTACAGCAAGGCAGCTGAGAGGAGTGGTGGTTTAGTTCTTAAGTTGTCCACTAGAGAGCATCACAGTACTACTCCTAGTACAACTTCATGTTAAATGAGGACAGGTGTTTTACTCTCTTATTTTCCTAGAGCCATAGAGCACACTGTTTAAAATCATAAATCTCTGTCCTAAAGATAATGCTTTCTTTTTTTCTGTTGATGATGCATTATTCCATGACTGTTGACATGCTGTTCAAAAGAAGAAACAGTGTTTGTCTCTTTCTCTCTGCAGATGTCTGTAACAGTACTGACCTGCCGGAGCTCGAGATTATCAGTCTATTGGAGGAACAGCTGCCCGTCTACAAGCTGAGGGCTGACACAATCTTCGGCTACGACCAAGATGATTGGCTGCGTACACCCATGGTGGAGCCCAACTCTGCCCTTGACCTGACCAACGAACAGATAGAGGAGACCCTCAAATACTTCTGTAAGTTCATCAGTGCGATTTTGCCACCTTTTGAAGTAGAAATATTTCTTTTGCAAAAACTCAATGTACGAACTACTGATTGGTGATCCCTCCTTGGACCAAAAAAAGTCCAGTCCTCGAGGCCCACTTTCCTGCATGTTTTGGATGTTTCCCTGCTCCAACACACCTGATTCAAATGATCAGCTCGTTATTAAGCCATTACAGAGCTTGATAACGAGCTGATCATTTGAATCAGGTGTGTTGGAGCAGGCAAACATCCAAAACATACAGGACAGGGGGGGGCTCAAGGACTGGACTTGAGAACCACTGGGTTAGCTCATAACGCGCTGCTGAATCAGGCCTATCCTGATAAACTGGTTTCCGTGTATGTATGTGTTGTGATAGGGAAAGGTTTTTACTGAACATATTGCTTTATAGGCCTTTGGATGATTTTAATGTGGTTTGGCAGTTTTGGCTCAGCATCTAGAGGACAAAATACTCATTATTAATGTCAGATTTCTAGCTTAAGAAACCAGCTCCCTTAATACATTTGCTCTATGATATCCAAAAACAACCCTGCAATGTCCTTTAAAACCACAGTTGTTCTGAAAAAATGAGGCCTAATTATCTTAATGTAAGATTTACTCTGACCTTGAGTGGAAACTATCCCACAGGGACGCACAGTTGGCCGTCTGCCAATCAGAGTTCAGGCGTGACAGCTGACCATGGTTTCCACAACAAACACACCTGATGTGCTCTCCCTCTTCCATTCTCTGTTGATTGATGTTTTGCCTTTCTGTGCCTCAATATTTTATATTCAAGCACGTGTCTACTTTTGTCTTATCAAGCTAAGAACTGCCCTGAGGTTGACGCCTCAGGCAGCACTAAACCACACAGTCCCATTAGCACAAGGCTACAAGCAAAAGCACGCTTACACCAAACACGTGTGCACAGCGAAGTGAGAGAATGTGGAGTGGGTTTTTTCATCATCAATAATTCAGTTTTAATTTGTTACTGCTTGAACAGTGACTCAGGGTAAAACCAGCCTCTAAAAATAGATCAAGTGTCTTATAAATAGGCTTCCCTGAGTAGAGTAACTTGCCCCGGATGCTCCATGTTGTCATGGTCACCTCCACCTTGACATTTCTCCTAGTCACAGAGGTTAAAAGGTAGGGACAAGGTCATGTTATGTAAGAATGAGTGAGCAAATGTTTTTTTTATTTTTCCATCAGATGTATTCTCCATGTTTTTATTTGATCCTCAGTAATCCTTATCACAGACTAGAGGCATGTTGCTTCTAATTATTGCCTCAAACAGATGGCTTGGTATCGACTCCCTGAGGGGGCGAATGCGCTGAAGGGTCATTTTAGTTTCATTGCGGTCGCGCTGGCTGAGTATCACTACACGAGTGAAGTGATCTAGGAAAACTCTCTCTGATTAAAAAAAATGCTACGATACCAACCAGAAGTCTCCCAGGATCTAATATCATTGATGTATCTATTTATGCAACTGTTTGACCCGCCTACTACTAATCTTTAGCCACCTGGAGCTCCCATTGGTCGAGATTTGAAATGGCTCTGGGGTTTATTAAGGTAAAATAAACACTGTTACATCACCAGTGTTGATTTCTTTCAAGTATATCACCTGCTGCAAGTAAGGGCATGTATCAGGAGGATGATGGCAGGAGCCAGCTGGCCAATAGGGAGCCGCTTCAGTGTTGTGATGACATCACACCCACATGTCTCATGAAACAGGGGAGGGGAGAGATGCTTTTATAGTGGGTGTAGCTGTAAGGAAGGTTGTCAATATTGGTAACCACATGAAAAATAAATGGTAGACAGTATAGATAAAGAGTCATTTTAAATGATAAAATTTGCTTTTATTGCAACAAAATCGTAGCTATGATGTTTTTTATAACATGCGTCACTTAAGATACCTCTTTTTTTTTTTAAGTTTTCTTTACTTTTTTCTTTTTTTTGTTGCAACCTGCAACCTAATAATAATAATAATAATAATTGAAAAAAATTGCAATGTATGGTATGGTAAAACTAAAACTCGCTAAAAATTGCAACAATATTGTTTTGTGGGGCCACTGGTGATTCCCACCTGTAATAAGTTGACAGTAAGAGATAAAGAACAAATTGAATCTTAAACTTATGAAGTATCTCTTCTCTGAAGTTTAACATAAAACCTGGGACTTGGATGAAAAGAAAATAGGAATGAATCATATTGTGAGACTAGAATCTTGAATCTTCTGGAAATGTAAGCTGAGCTGTAGGTAGGAAAAAAAATGTTGGCAAATCTGTTTTCTCCAGGGATGTCTCAAACATCCTCATCAGCTCATTAAAATGATGGTCCTGGTTACTGTAAGCTTTGGCCTTTCAGAACTAATAATAAAAATAATTATAAGAATAATAATAACAACTTTATCCTTAATTTGTTCTTTCTAAAACATGCATCATGTTATACTGTGCCACACAGATATCCTCACCTTTACAGTGTTGCCAGTCACATGTATTTCAAATCCGTATTTATAGGGGATATTTTCTTATTCTTCAAACATCATGAAAGCTTTTCTTTCTGGTGGAGTAGCTGTAAAAAAAGGGCATGCAATTAAATCTTACAGATTTATGCATAACCTGTTTGTTGTTGTTGTTGTTGTTGTTGAGCAATAGTGCATGTACATTTTCTCCCACAGGGGGTGAAATGTAACTGAAGCTGTCTCAGGAGAGATGAGGCAACCCCCTGTATGACACAAGTGAAATCTTTAGCTGTTACATGACCCCTCAGGCTCATCAGTGTTCAACTCTACAGTGTTGCAGCCAAACTGTTAGCCATACGAGTCTGTTCCTTTGTTTCTTAGCCTATCAGCTTTTAGTCCAGGCTTTGTCTGAGGAGGATAAGACTGTGTTGTGTTGAGCTGTGCTTGGATAACTCCCATGTGCATCACAGCAGTTTATGTTGTCACTCTAGACGTGGTTGACATTGACTGTGTCCCAGACTGTCATTGAGTTACAGTCTGTTTCGTCTCATACTCTGCTCCCACATTCTTCTGTTCCCCGTGCACATTTCATCAGCTGAAATAACCAAACCCCTTCACACCAGTTGTGTTCATTCATTTTGTTTTGCCACGTCACCTCTTCCAACACTGCTCTGCTTCCCTGCTCACTTCCTTTTAAAGCTCTCCTGCTCAGTCTCAGGCCTTGGAGTCTGAGCCTGTTACTATAGCAACCACACAGAAGGACAAAGTGGAGGAGAGGAGGGGGCAGATGCTTACATACGAATTGAGGGGCGGGATCAAGCCAGTGATACTGCCCTCTCTGATTGGCTGTATTCATCCACTAACTCATCCCACCCCGCTGTGTCATGATTTTCATCATCTCTGTGGTGCAAAACTCGTGACTGCTGCTGCTCGCTCTGTCTCTCTCTCTCTCTCTCTCACTTACTCTGTATTTCTGTGATTATTGAGTCATTGTAAAAGATGCAGGGGTCCATGTGTGGAGCTGGTGGTGTCAGTGATCGAGGGAATCTTACACAAGAGGAGACTGCGGTTATGATATGACTTGGGAAAGGCTCGGCTGGAGGACAAGCTGGCAGGAGGACATGGCAACAAATTGACAGGACGCTTTAAATCGGTCGATACAGAGGAGTAAATTTAGCACGTTTTGTGGAGAGCGAAGGACAGAGAGAGAGTGCAGATTTTTAAAGATGCAGACTGCTTTAAACACAATACCTGAGGAATTGATGAAGAACACAAGATGCTACAACTGCTGGTCATCAGCACTGCAACAAATATAGAGCACAGCACAATGGAAGTTTGCTACTGAAGAGTGTGGGGACATAATGGGACCTGTGTGCCAGCTGAAAACTACCAAGCATGCTGGGAAAGCCGAACTGGATTGACTTGCATGTACTATCAGTACCTTGTAGGACCCCAGCATTAGCAGCAGCTGGGTGTCTCTGAGCATGCTGGGACTTTGGAAACTATACAGCTGTCAGTCAGAGCAGTGAGGATGAAGAGGAGAGGCCAAACCAGAGGCCAGAGGTTTGTCAAGGCAGACTACTATGAGCTGGACTGGTACTATGACGAGTGCACAGATGGTAAGACAGCACTTTGGTACAGTGTCATACAGCTGGATTTGGTTCTTTGAGAGCTGATTCAAACGACTCAGAAGGCTGATGTTGCAGCTTTAGTATATTTGGTTATAAGTTAGTCTTAAATTGCAAAGATCCCTATTTGACTTTTGGGCTAAACTGTGACACTTGCAGACAATCAAATGCAAAGATTATAAACTGCTTTGATGTAATGCAAAAATATACAGACACTAATAAAACCAGATAAACAGCACAAGTGTGGTTCAAAATCCCACATCCGAATCTATGTTTTATGTAGTTACTGAACTGAAATAGACTTAGTTGATGTAACCTCTTGGTTCAGAGGTTATAAACAAAAAGAAATACATGCTTTGGTAATGCCATGCGTGTGTAGTAGCTAGATTTTACAGATTCGCTGACACACACGCTGAGGTTCGAGTGGCAGGATTACGATGGATTTTTCAAAATGAAACAAGGTTAGTGAAAAGGGAGATAAGTCGTCCCCTGAGGTTCTTTAAAGATGGATTATTTGGTGTTAAAGATTAATTTTCCTCATTGTCCATGATTTAAACCTTGAGCAGAGCCGGCTTAAACCAAGACTGTTCATCTAGTTTCCATTTCAAGTAATCAGAGAAAGTGACCTTATGAACTGAAAATCACTTCACCATAAAATACCAAAACTGATGTAACAGCTGTAGCTTCAGAAACAAATCGCTGCAATATAAAAAGATGCTGTAACAGGTGCTAAAAGTCAGCTGAGTCAGTGTAGCTCCTAAAATAAGCCTCAGAGTAGCTTGTATGACTAGCCAGGAGTGTAGGTGTAGGAAGCAGGATTTAAATTGGTAATCCATTTGTGTGAAGAGTCCATTTGTTTTGACATAAACCACTCACTTATCAAAGCTGCTGGAGAAGAGGAAGGAGATACCAGCTGACCTGGAGAGACTCATGGGAGTCACAGGTGGCCAAAACAGCTTGTTATGAGAAAAAAGGATACATAATGAGGATACAAGATCCAATAAATGGTTGAAGTGACTAGACCTAGAAAATAGGAGTTCAGGTCTGTCGAGAAAAAGCTGAAGTAGAGCAGAAAATTTCAAGATACTTAATGTTTTTACACAAAAAAAACATTTCATCAGGCTGCAACTCTACACGGTTATTCAGATTGATAAACGTAAAAACAGAAGGGGTTGACGTGTGTGAAGACCAAAGATGGCTGCACAGTTGTAAATTGCTCATAAATCCAAGAATCTGGTGCAGTGATTTGCAATTATGTAACGTACCCCAGTTTTTACGACAGCCTTTTTTCTGTAGGCTGCAGCACCATCAGTACAGAACCTTTGTTGACAGTGATTCTCCAGATCTGTCTACTACACACAGACACACACGCAGCAGCCAACACATGGAGGAGACTGATGGTGCCTTACCACGTGATATCAGTGTTTCTCTCTCTTATTTTGTCTTTTAAAGCAGCTTGATTTGGGTCCATGTCCTTACCTGTTATGTAATTTAATCCATTCACTCCCTCAATAACCTGTGATATTTGCTTTCCATTTGGCTGAACACAGGTGCCTCATTTAGCATTTAACAGTGGTGTGGTGGAGAGCAGGATCAATTTGCTATTATGTTCTGTTTATTATGTTTTATTATGCATGTGTGCTGGGGATGCTCTGTGGATGGTCTTACATAACCGTCTGAGACTGCTCTGCACCTCCCCAATCTGAGCTGTGCAGCTTAAACATCTGCAGTGGTTTTTAGCCGTGGCTTTTTTGGCGACAGTCGATCTCAGACACACACCGACAGGAGATTTTACAGCTCTGTTTGATACTGAAGCGATCAAATAACAAAATATGAGGGGGTTGTCTGGTATCTTTGATAACAGTCTTGGTGAGTGTGGAGACAGAAATAGAAAGCAGCTGGTTTGCTGTTATTCTGAGATGTGAAGGGAGGGATGTGGAAGTAGGTTGGCTTATATTTAGCACAAAGATTTGCATGCTGCTCTGTGACACCAGTGTCCAAAGCAGCCTGCCAAGTGTTCATTAGCAAACAGTTTGCTGGCTGGATGATAAGAAAGTTATTAGGGGAGTTATTTGTCACAAATAAAGCCTGGGAATCAAAACAATTGAACTTGGGACAAGGGCTAAAGTTTGACACCTCACTTTTAGAGCTAGTAGTGACCACCACAAGCTACCAGAGTGGAGAAAATGTGTTTGTCCCCATTTGATCGAACTCCTCCTCCCTCCAACTGCAGTACAAAGCTCATACTTGACAAACAGCTCACGTGAAAAGGTGGAAGTCCAAAGAAAGGGAAAGTAAGTGGAGTGTAAAGAGAATGTGACCAGAAAAGCAATGAGAGGGACAGCACCAAACACACTGAAGCACTGAGAAGTGTTTGTCCAGGACTCTTTTGTTTTCTGCTGCGCTGTATTCATTGAATCATTGAGGGGAGCTACTCAAGCATGCAGGACGGGACTGAGCTGGCATCAGTTTTCTGGACCAATTACTGTAATTCTAACATTTTAACGCTGGTGAGTAATGAGCAGAAAATGTGGCTGCTTTGTTGGTGATGATTTTTATGAATGAGCAGGTCAAACAGGATAAACAAGGCCAGTTCTGATGAACTTGTGATCTTGACATCCTTCAAACAGCATTCACGGAAGAAGGATGAAAAAAAAATAAAGTTAGGATAATTTCCTCAAACAGTGTGGCTATGAGCCAGATGCTACTAAAGTAGGTCGCTTGTTTTAAGTTTCCCAGTGGGGGTGCAGCTTTTAAAGGCATATTCCGGCGTAAATTTAAGTTTGGGTCAAACACAGCATAACCCTGAATTAGACACCCCCTCCAGAGATGAATGTTGCCGACTGCTTGCTTCTCTAGTTATACCAACTTTAGTAACGACCGCACGATAGCAATACACAGTGGTCTATGTCTTCACGCGCAAACCTCAACCAAAAAGCCACTCTATAGCCACAATTAATGCTCAGAACAGCACCTAACTTCATCAACAGTACATAGAGGGTCCCAGCCATAGTACTAGCGATCGAACATCTTTTTAGCTTTACCTAATTTCTTTAGCAAAGAGACTGAACACAACTCACCCACTCTCCTCCAGCAGCCGCTTGTTTGTGGGGGAGTCCCTGACGAGTCGATCACCGAGTGCAGCAGAGTTTAGCAGTATTTCCTTAAAGTAATAATCATCATAATAATCATTTTCCATTGGAGACGCGGTAGTTCTTCTGCCTAAGTGTCTTGGTCTGATTGCATTTCCATGAAGTAATGATCAAAAATTTTCTGCTGCACTCGGTGATCGACTCATCAGGGCTTCCCCGTAAACAAGTGGCTGCTGGAGGAGAGTGGGTGAGTTGTGTTTAGTCTCTTTGCTAAAGAAACCAGGAAAAGCTAAAAAGATGTTTGGTGGCTAGTACTGTGGCTGGGACCCTATATGCACTGTTGATGAAGTTAGGTGCTGTTCTGAGCATTATTTTCAGCCATAGATCGGCAACATGCATCTGTCAAGGGGATGTCTAACTTGGTACTGTGTGTTTGGCCATAGCTTAAATTTACGCCGGAATATCCCTTTAAAGTTTAGATTTGGTCTTTCTCAGTCTCCTGTACTGTCTGGTTAACTTGAGTTCTCCTTAACAATCTTCTAATCCAGTATTCAGGACACCAGATTTTGGGTTTGGCAGTCAATTGTTATTATTTTGTAGGGATGGGAACGAAGGGTTTTTCAGAGTGACACAAAAACAGCAGACCTGATTATTAAGTGAACTCTTGATTTGTTTGTGTCAGAAAATTCCAGCCCTACTTAAGAATGAGGTCAGTGTTATCAGTGAAATAGTTTTGTGCCACAGCCCTGGCTTTGTCTGTTCAATTTCTACCAAACACCTGGTGCACACTCAGTTTTTATAAACACTGCTGTTTTATAAAGATGTGAATGTGTGCTGTCTCAGAGTCTGTCTCACAACATGAAGCTGCTTCCTATAGGTAAACAGCTCTGGTGACAGTGATCTCCCATGTTCTTACAGTGTTCAATGTCTATTTTATCTTGATCAGAATTATAACGAAAACTGGATCTTACGGCTGTGAATTGCTTGAGTTCAGGCAAACATTATTTTCTATAACACTTGTTTAAGTTTTGGGGAGCAAGTTAAAGAGAAGAGAAAAGGTTCAGCTCTTTACTGGCTTTCCCCAGTTTTGATGACTCACAGTGTGTTTAATATGGTCAATTTTTAACTAATACTTCTATTATCCTTAAACTCTTCAAAACCTCATTAACTTGGTGTTTATCTCCAAATGAAAATGACTCTCACCCAATGATCCAGGTTAAATATTTGTGAAATCATTCACCTATCAAGGTTTCACTGTGACTGGCCCCACCCTAGAAACTAGAGTCAGCCTATTATTGTTCGTCTGCCCTATTCTCACCACAGAGGCTAAACAGGACTGTACCAAGTCACTGTCACTTCAGAGGGGGTTGGGAAAAGACCTACTTTCAATGTGTTCAGAGTTTTTTAGAAAACATGTCTCTGCTCTCGTTTGCACTTGTTGATTCCCACTTGGACATTTGAACCCAATTTTAAAAAGATGACATTAGGAGAAAGTTAAATAACTGGATTTATGGAATAAGTTATACTTTTTTAAAAATGACCCTTTTTAAATGTCAGGTTGAATCTATTCCAGAAATGAAAAATAATGGGCCGTCTCCTCTGTGTGGCTTCACCCCTCTGTCTCTGAGAAGTAAAGTAAACCTTTTACTGACCGGTGACAGAGGAGACAGGGAGGAGTTATGGTGTTGTCTCACAGAGTTGGCAGGAACAAATGATACACACACCTTAAGGAACTCACCCAGGAGACTTTATTTTCCACCTGAAGGATATGCTGTTAGTCCACAGAGGGCTCTAGGCATGTATACTGTATGCAGTATACCTTTTAAAAGACTGGAGTGAAAATGACTGCCTCTTTGACAGCTGAGTACTTTTACATCTTGGTGCTCACACAGATTAGATATTTATTCATACTGTAAAACAGACAACCAGGAGCGCACACCGCGCAGACGGATCCATGGCAGCATGTCTGCAGGTTTTGTGGTTCAGTGGTTAGCCTCAGAGCGGAGGATGGCTCTGCTCTCAGCTGCTGACACTTGGGAAGAGCTGGAAGACCTGAACGTGGCAGAGGAGGACAGGGAATATATCTTTACCCCCAGTCATGGAAGCATTGAGCAGGAGGAAGAGGAAGATGAGGAGAAAGAAGATGAAGAAGAAGAGGGATATTTCTGTGAAAGTGCAGAGCTGCTGGTAGAGAATGAGGAGGAGATGGATGAAGAGCAACAAGTTCTGTGTGAAGGTAGTCTGCTATTAACTCTGATATGAAAGAAACGTGTTTGTTGCTCTAGTTTCTCTTCTTGACTTGTTTTTGTGCTCGCTGTCTCGGTATATTGAACCTTTTTTTTGGTTTGGTTTTCTAGTGAAACTTGCTATGAAGCTGCATGTAATCGGAGAGACGGATTAGTTAACCTGTGTAAACTTTTACAGAGTATGTGTCCTGTGTCGCCTTTTCCTCATGTTAATGTTGATCTCAGCACAGAATAGCTCCCAGCTGATGTGACATGTTCAAATATGGGCTTGGCTGTCTGTCCCTGATGACACCGAGTGTTATGTTAGAAACATGCTCCACTACATATTATTATGTTTCATCTCTTTTTTTTTCGATGGGTTGTTCCCAACTTGAAATTGCAGGCTTGTTTAGAAAGACAGCAGGGAGACAAGCTGTGGATAAAAGTGGTGTAACATACAAATACAACAAAGAAGCTTTCTGTAATCCAATCAGTTTAAAGTTTAATTTTCTTTTTGCAAAATGTGGACACAAAAAAGATGATGGCTTGGCCCTGAGATATTTAGGACAGTTCATAAACGTAGATATCACTGCAAGATAAACATGTTTTATTGTGGCTGTTTGGGTCCAATAAGGAAATTAGATTACGTTTATTATAACCACACAGGTTGTGATTGGGTCTGCATTCAGTCACCATGGGCTCTTCTTAGTCTGCTGTCTTTGTGTTTGTTTGTTGCCCTTGGACTTGTATGTTGTCTGTTGCCCAGTAGCAACAAGAGGGCTTACTGAAACAAAACTTAAGACTCAAGACCCCCCGCTGTCAAGCAGACAGACAGAAAAACATTAAAGAGAGAGAGTGATTGTAACCACCTTAAACTCCTTTCTCTCTGTCTTTGTATAAAACAGCACAATCACCTTCCTATATTGAGTTACACTTCCTTATTCCATAGTCCAGGTAACACTGTCCTCTCTGTCTTCTTTCACTTTTCTTCGACCTCACATTTATGACCAATTAGAGACAGCAATAAAGGATATAAATTTTTGCCTTACTGAAATACCAGGAAGTCTTAATATTTCTTCCACAGTAATAAATGTCACTGCATTTAGCTAATTTTGTTTCTCAGCTACTTGGTATGATTCGTAGGTCTCTTTTTATTCCCTTATTGATCCAACTGGGGTGGAGTTTAAACCTTTGAGATGAACTGAGCACACACATAAACAGAGAGTCTGATGGGTAAACAGGCTGCACCTTGTGCTATCTACGTGACAATGTCATCATCATCAGAGAACAGACAGCAAACTGATACAAGCAAAGCACGTTGGATGAGGAGGGGAGATTGGACTTGTGTGCCCTTATGCAGATTTGTTCCCTCTGTTCTTCTGCTGCTCCTGGAGAAAGGAGTGTGTGTGTGCAGATATTTGTTTTTCGCATGCCCGTGTCTCTCTTTGTATTTACTTTTTTCTCTTATTACAAATAATTCAATAATCATGTAAATGTTTAATGAGAGTAATGACCCAGAATCTTGTTATGATCAATTTCTCAGGAATATGACTTATATCACTGACACTAATAATGCCAAGCAGTCAGGAGTGAAACACAAAACTATCAGCTCCACTTTGACGGGTTTCCACGTATGATTTTTGTAAGACAGGTCTCAGTCGGTTTAATTGTGATAACTTCAATCAAATATCCAGTTTTCATCTTAAGACCTTTACTGTATGACTGAGTACTTTAAAACTGAGAACTTTCTCTTGCTTCTTTACTGTTGTCTGCATGCTAAAATACTAAGTTAAGGTAGTAAAGAGTGTAAATGTAATTTCTATATTATTTTTATTATTTATTCTTTAGAAAATGTCATGCTTGTCCCCTCCCAAAAGGGCATTTTTGAGCATTGTAGCATGCTGACTTAATCATTTCACTCAAAACATCATTGTGCTTTAATGCAATGACACAGAGCAGCATGGCTGCAGACAATAAGATGACTGTGTACAAAAAGTCTGTGTAAAATGTCCTCTTAAAATATCACAGGATATAAATATATAATATCAATTATGTGATCACGGTATCTAGGAGGGTCATCTCAAATCTTGGACCACTGGGTTATTTTACACAAAACAGTTCAAATGCATCAGGAAGCTTTTGGTGAATCCAGTAAAGGGCCTTTGTCAAGCTTTTCAGTGCCATGCATGCTTATTCAACCCTGACTTAGTAGAAAAGAGCAACTTTTTAAATAATGAATGATAATGATGGGAACTTCTTAACTAAAGCAAAGCCAGCTCAGGCTTGTGTTGATGTTTCCAGCAGCCACATGTTGTCTGTGCTGTATGAGGATATGAAAATGTGTCGTTTGCATGGGCCAACTCTGATTTGCATTTTAGGAGGCGTCAGAGTTCGCTCTCCTGTTAGCACACCTAATATGGGAAGTGTTGATCTAAAGACTGGAACACATTATTCCTGTGAAAACATTAATGATCAAAATGTCCGTGTGTATAATGATGTGTAAAGTTATTACATGTCATATAATCAAATGTTGGGTAACCCTTAAAGTGCAGCATCACATACCTCTTATCTCAGACTGACAGCCATTGAAGGATGTTTAAAAATAAAGATCCTTGAACTGATGTGCGAACTTTAACTTAAATCACTGAGGCAACCTACCCAGGACTAGCCCAAACACTTATTTCCACTTATCTTTTTATCTGAGTCAGAGCTATTGTGTGTCACTGCCAGGAGTTGTTAACAAACTTGAACCTGGGGTTGAAATAGCAGTACCAGGGTGTGGTATCTTCTTGCACTGACCACTGTCTCCATACACTATCTTATCTTTTCTTAATCTCTGGGTTAGACGGTTAATAAAAAGTGGGTGAGGTGGCTCTGTTTACAGTTTATGGGATCACTTCTCAGGAATATTATATGACTCATAGTCTGAGAGCAAAGCTGCAAGAATAGGGTATTATTCAACTTGCCTAAGAATCGTTTGGACTAAAGTGCAAAATCAAACACAAAGGATTATTTCTTATCATGAAAGAGAGAGCCTTTTAATCTTGAAGAGGTTACTCAGAAGAAAGATGATCAGTTAGTTGCAGAGATTTCATTCTAAGTCAAATTTGGTCCCACAGTGATTACTTTCAGTTACCTCTTTGTCAAAACCTCCTGCTCAGGAGTGCTGAAAGTTGAATGTGTTTTAAACCAAATTAAATATTGCAACAGAGGGCCAAAAGTGGCTTGTCACATGGAGCTGTCAATTGTGCATCAGTGTTTCAGTTAAATTGTTTTTGGGGTTTTGTATGAAGAGTAATTGATCCCTGTTTTTTTTTCTGTGTCTGTGTAGTACTGTGTGCTGACAGAGTGGGCCAGATGACGAAGACCTACAGTGACATCGATGCTGTCACTCGACTACTGGAGGAGGTAAGATCACGTCAGAGAAGATTAAGTAGAAAAGCACAGTGGCTTTGATATATTCAGAGCCTGAGGCACTTTGATCAGGTGTTATTAAAATGATCTGATAGTCTAAACACAGGTTGCTTTATGAGGTTCATGAAAAGGAAGGTTTGATGGAACCACGTCATAAAACTAGTTTCCAGCAGCTGTTATTCAAATGTGAGCGATCCTCATCAGCTGTTCAGTGATAAACGGAGCGTCAGCAGGCTCTCTGCAGAAATTCAAACTGTGAAACTAGAATGGTGTCATTGTTAAAGTGTAACCAGCAGACCAGCAGCCGTCCAAATACGGACGAAATATGGTATTTAAAGATGCCAGTCCATCAACAAACAGAGTTTGTAGAGTTTTGTTCCACTTAAGTTCCTCTTTGTGTGGCACATTCTTGAGAAAAAGACACAAGAACATTACTTGATATCTCAAGCAGGGTGATATAGTTTTCACAAGTCATGTTCAGTCATGTCTTCTGAATGTGACTCTTTAAAACATGTCAAAAAGTGGAGTTTAAGGACTAATCTACTCATTTGAAAAACAGTTCTGAGAGAAGCAACTCACTGTCTTTCTCTTGGCCTCAAATGTTGATTTCTTAAAGCTCTATGACCTCATGCTTTACTAATACACCCTGTAAGAGCCGGCTTAACAGAAGCAGGTTTGCCTTTATTTTTGTTTCAGTCACTGAAAAATAGACGCAACATCTCTCACACAACCAGGATTTAGATTGTTGCTATTGCAAATCTTTGGCTACACATTAAAACCATCTTCAGCTTAGAGTCCATTAGAGGAACAGGAAATGCTCCGGTTGATGGGAGTTCTTATGTAACACAGGAGCAAAGTGTAAAAGGAGGAGCAGGGTTTTGCTAAGGGTTGGTGAATTTCTTTTTTGTTGTTGCTCAGTTGTAAATGACACTGATACTGTCATCTTTGTTGCAGACTCACTTAAAAACAGGATAGCCCAGTGGTTCATGAAAGAGAATAATTAGAGTTCATTGTCTGGACGTTTTAATAGCCACGGACCTTGTTGAGTAATGTGTGGAGATACTGTTAAGATTGTGTCACCCTTGCTATTAAAGGCTTCATTGTGCTTTTGTTCTCTTAGCTGAAACCTTCCCGCTTTACGTTATTCCCTGCACAGTCCTCACATGTATTACTCCTAGTAGAAAAATTCCAAATGACAGGAATTGCTTAAAACAGTCCTTCTGTTTTTTGAACCTTTTACTGTGTTGACTCTAAATCCATCTTTTCCTCTCTGCAGAAAGAGCGTGATTTGGAGTTAGCAGCGCGCATCGGACAGTCACTGCTGAAGAAGAACAAAGCCCTCAGTGAGAGGAACGAGCTGCTGGAGGAGCAAGTGGAGCACATACGGGAAGAGGTACACAGCCTGTGTGTGCAGAAAGTGTCTATAAGTGTAATACCTCTTCATTTAAGTGAGGACAGTCACTATGTATTTTTGGAGTACCTTCTCAATAACGGGTGATCTAACGCGTTGCTATCTCCAAACCAGTTGTTAGATATAAGTTACATGTCACTGTGTGCGTTACTTTTTTCTCATTTTTCTAAAAGGTAGATTTGTTTTCATTTGGGGGGAGTGACGTCAGTCATGTAGACGACAAGTCACGTTTTCAGCAGGAGGGCCACTTGTGTAATACATGTGCACACACACACATAAAGCAGCCACGGCAAAGCAAATATAAACAACAATGGAGGGAGGAGAGAGATGCGTGTTCTCAAGCTGGAAATACAGCCACTATTTTTAAGACTGTCTTTATATTTTATTTTAAAAAATGCTTATGTTTTGTCAGTCAAGAAAAACTATCTTTATTTTATTTTATTTTATTTTTTTTAAACGTTTATTTTTTGACATTCCTTTTAAAGTTACACTTCCAATAAAGTAAGTGTTGGAAAGAAAATGGTTGTCATTTATATGTTGAGGCTGCTGAATGTAACTTGTAATCTGACTTAGTTACGTTTAAAATCAAGTGATTAGTAAAGTAAGTAAGTTGCTTTTTAAAGGAGTAATCCACAATCAAATTACTTTTTAAAAGTTACTGTGGCAACACTGTCTTTGACGGTGTACCATCATTTTTTGAGATCTTGGGAAAACTGCAGTAATTACAAATGTATAGATTATTATTTGAATAAAATAAATATGTTAGAGCATAAGTTATCAAACTTGTTTTTTTTCCCCAGCCAAACAGCCACTCAGCAGCAGCCTTCAATAACTACCATGAGCTTACTGTCCTCTGTCTGTATGTCTTCCTCATGTCTTCCCCATACAGGTGTCTCAGTTGCGTCATGACTTGTCTATGAAAGATGAGCTGCTTCAGTTCTACACCAACGCTGCAGAGGAAAGTGAGGGGGAATCTGCAGCTACAACTCCGTAAGTCTCCTTACGTTCACCTCCTCACAAAGTTCAAGTCATACTCAAACAAACACGTTGATTGCCTTTAGTGTTTATCGGCTATAAACCTTGTGAACTGCATTAATTCAGTGCATATAATGGGCATCTAAAGTTATTTATAACATGTTAATGGTGTTTACAGAGTACGCCCCACTGAAACTAGTGTGTCAAGTCCAACTATCTTCCCCCTGGACTCCCTGCAGAAGAAACTCAAAGATCTGGAAGAAGAAAATAAATCTTTGAGATCTGAGGTACATGTGCTGTACACGCCCTCACATAAGCCCCCCTGCAAACCAACACAATGTATTTAAAAATAGAGTTCCTCCCAAATATGCAAAGCTATCTAAGTTAACAGCATAAATAATAACACAAAATTACAATGCTTGTTTGATTCGCTGAGTAATATGAATGAGCCTCATGAGTGACTATTCACAGACACCGTATGTAGAGTTAATTGTATCTCTGTGAGGGGCTGAAGTCAGGATCCGGCTTTACAACTCTGACAGTCTGTCTAATTGAACTCTACAGCAGCATAACCCTCTGGTTTTATTTTTTAACAGTTATAAGGTTGATACACAATAACTTTAGTGTCATGTATTGATTAGCAATGTCCTGTCTTTGCTTCAGGCCAGTCATTTGGAGACAGAAACCATCTCCTATGAGGAGAAAGAGCAGCAACTTGTCAATGATTGTGTCAAAGAACTACGTGAGTAATGGATGGATGATGAATTAGATGTAATATTTCTCTGAAGCATTATAGATGATGTGTTTAAAAAAAAATCTCACTTTAAAGAGCTCTTATTTTTGCTTTCAGGTAATGCCAACCAGCAGATGTCCTCTCTGGCTGAGGAGCTGGCCAGGAAGAGTGAAGATGCCTCCAGACAGCAGGAGGAGATCACACACCTCCTCTCCCAGATAGTGGACCTCCAGAAGAAGGCTAAGCTGGTATGAGGTCCCCATCATGTCTCTTATCCACATATCTGTCTTCCGAATCCACGTGTTAAGTATCATGTTGTTATGTCTGAATGTATCCAGTGGGGAGGTGTGTTTTTATTTGTGCTCTTCTTTTTTGTAGTATGCTGTGGAAAATGAGGAGCTGACTCAGCATTTAGGTGCAGCCAAAGATGCCCAGCGCCAACTCACTGCTGAGGTAAGGCCATTCACCTCCAGCTGACTGTAGCTTCATCATTTTATTTTCTGCTGTGGTAGCTCCCACCAACAAGCTATTTATATTCATAAAGCTACAGGAGCCCGCCTGTGACTAAAACCCAGTTCTCGGCCTATAAAACTTAAATATAAACATACAATATATTCTGCTGTTCACTCAAACCATAAAAGAAAACAAAACAAGAATTCATCTTGTTGCTTTTTTTTTTAAAAGAATGACCTTCTTTCTCTTTTGCAGCTTCGAGAGTTGCAGGATAAGTATGCAGAGTGTATGGAGATGCTCCATGAGGCTCAGGAGGAGCTGAAAAACCTGAGGAACAAAACTCTTCCTCTCAGCACACCCAGACGTTTCCACTCTCTCGGTCTGTTCCCAATGGTGAGTGAATATTCAGTACTATGTCACAGTTTTTCATTAATTCCAGGAGTTACAAAAATATATCACACTTTCCTTCTTTCCTCTCCAGGACTCTCTGGCTGCAGAAATTGAAGGCACCATGAGGAAGGAGCTTCAGATGGATGATCCAGACGTAGAAGAGCAGAGGTATCAGGAGGATTATCTTAAAAAAAAGGAAGTGTCTTTATGATTTTTATATTAAACTCTGAGTTTAAACCGCTATGATATCATTTTTCTCCAGGCTGCAACCGAAGCGAGTGTTCCAGACGGTGAAAAACCTGAACCTCATGCGCCAGCAGCGTTCATCCCTCGCCCCCTCCCCCCTCAACATCCCAGGCTCCAACCAGACATCATGCCTCACCTCAGGGCGCTCAAGCAGGGTGGGCACACCATGCTCTAACTCCATATATGGAAGTGATTCAGGGAGTGGGATCATCTTGGACAACAGGACCAGCAATATCCTGGAGGGTCCAGATGATGGGTATGGACAGACTCTTCCATTTGTTTTCTTTTTATTGAATTTTTTTTGTCTTTTTTTTTTGTCTTATCCATTTATTTAACCTCTCTGTCGTGTTATCTATAGAAACCAAAGAGTTGCTATCAACACTCTTAATTTTTAAGATTTCTTTGGATGATTTTTGACAGCCCTGGTGTTTGTTTACAGAGTTTTAGAGTGGGTTCTATCTGTTTGATGTCCACTTTTAGGTTTGTTGCTATTATTTTTTACCAAACACAACAGGTACCACCAAAAACTAGGAGAGAAAGACAAATATCATTCAGTTAGCCACCCCAAGATCTAACTATTTCTGCTATCTCCTCCTCAGGTCAGAGGACTCTAACAAGCGGCCCCCTGGCACCCCAGGGACCCCTGGCAGCAGGGACCTGGAGGCAGCGCTGCGTCGTCTGTCCCTCCGCCGCGACAACTACCTCTCAGAAAAACGCTTCTTCGAGGAGGAGAGGGAGAGAAAGCTGGCGTATCTGGCCAAAGAAGATGAAAAGGGAGAGGAGGGGAACAGCGGAGGCCCTGGGACCCCAACAGAGAGCCTTCTGTCGCTTTGCTCACATCCCTCTTTGGGAAGCGTGTGGTCTGGATACTCCTTCACAGCCAGATCCTACCTGCCAGAGAAGCTGCAGATAGTGAAGCCACTGGAAGGTGATTATTCCTCTCAGAAAAATCAGTCTTCTAACCGTCCACATGATGAAAAAGAGAGTAAAAATCAAAGGGTCTTATGTGATGAAACTGAAAATTTTCAGAAATGTCAGCAGAATCAAATCCATAGCTCAGCACAAAGCTCCAACAGTGTATTTCTATCATCAACTAAAAGTCACAGTCAGATGAGTCAGAGGCAAAGTAAGACACTTCAGAACCAGCAGCAGAATCAATATCTGATTTTTCACGACCACAGTCCACCAAAAATCTTTCTCAGTGCCTCACAGGATTTGAAGATGCTGCAGAACAGCTCTGGTTTGTCCGAGCCGAGCAGCCTGCAGAGCTCACAGCCTCACCTCGGAGCTCCTCTGGCTTTAGTCACAGGTCTGCTGCAGATTCTGGAGGAGCAGGGAGGCACTTTGAATCTCCAGCACTCCTTTTACTTCAGACACACTCAGCCACGCTGCTGGTTTGAAATATAGAAGAGCAGACAGTCTGCTGTGTGCCGTGTTTCAGAAAGCCACTGACATCTCAAAGGTTTCTGTTTCCAATGAGATTTGATCGTTTTCTTTCATTTGAGGAATTTAAGTAAGGGTTATGCCTCTGCACATGAGCTGCAGTGCCTTAATGTTAGCCGTTGATGTGCGATGAAAACATTTTAAATGACTATTTATTCATCACTTTAGTGAGCACTTTGCACAGTTTTTTGCAGTGTTTAACAGTGTGTGCTAACTAAAATGTCTCAATACAAAATATATTTAAAAACATTTCTTATGCCTTAGTTCAAACATTAGAGGATCTTTATAAATCTGCATTTATTTCTATATTGGGTTGAATTGCTTTTGTATGTAACCATATGATTCAGTAATCAATATAAGACAATGCATGATAAATTATTTGCCAACATAAGTAACAAACTTAAGGATAGGTTTTTCATCATGTCACTATGTAGCCTTCTAATATTCCAGCACTTTAATAACTTTGTCCACCACTTTTTGTCCAGGGCATCAAATCACGGGTGTCATTCTTAGAGGTATATTCTGTTCTGTGGCACCACCTGGTGTTGTAACTTAGGTACAACACTTGCATGGAGACATTATAATGAAAGTTTATCTCATCATCCAAAATACTTGTATTATGTATTAGAGTTAAGAGCAAGAAAGAACAAAACAAAAATATAGATTAAATGTTTTAATGTGAAAGGCTAAAAGGTTCATAGAAATGATTAATTTCAAGTCTAATGATGGTTGTGAAAATTAATAATAAAATGCCTGATATTTAAACCTTGGTCCTTACCTCCTATGTATACTATAGATCATAGTTGAGGGCTGCTTTCAGAGTATTCTCATCAGTCTTGAAGTAACCCAAAAAAGAAAAAAAATCTGCATATGTACAGCAACATTACTGTGTAAGTGTACTACATTGGTGTTATACTACCACCGTCCATCCCTTTCACTCCTTGTGTGCTTTTATTCATTTATTTTGGTTTTGTCTCGTCAGTGAACTTTCCATCTTTTCTGTTCAACTTGTCTCTTTCCTTTGTTGATCATTTCTTGAATAAAATCGAACTAATTTTCTCACCCTCCCTTTCCTCTCATTCTTTTGTTTCTGTCCGATGAGTTTCTGTACTTACATCTCTCACTGGATCTTTACATTTATTATTAAAAAAACAACCACTCATTGGACTTGAAATCACACAGTCACTCGGTGAAAGGACTCCTAATAAACAGGATGGGGTTGTTTACTCTTGCAGCATGTTGTTTTGTATAAGCATGTTGTTTTGTTGAAGAACCGTCTATCCTCTACACTCTATTCTATAAGACTGTTGCTGTAAGTACATGTGCTGTGTTTGTGGAGACGGTTTGAATGCATGTGTGCTTTAAACATAGAAAATGACATTTACTCAATTGATTCTAGGTCAGTAGGTCTACATACCATGAAGCGCCACATTTGATACTGTAGTTAAATGTTAGACAGGGCAGGTTTCCGCTTACTGCTGCTAGCTTATGTGATCAGGTCTGGATTGCAGTATGTGACTGAGTATAAAAGAGTATCTGAGGTCTCGTCTGCTCGAAGTCTGGGAAAGGTCCTTCGAGTAAATCATTAGCTCGAGTATTTTAACCTGTTTATAATGAGTTGTGGTGTGTTATTTAGATTTAAGACCATTTCAGAACTGCATAAAGAAAAACAAGCTCACTGATGTCTAGTTGCTTCAGGTCTTTTGGGTTTTAGTTTCAGGGTACAAGTTTCAACTCTGTGCCTCTTGAGTCACAATAGAAGGAAAAAACGTAGTGAGTACTTTCAGTACACATTGATCTGATTTGTATGATGCAATAAAATTAGAAAGTTAAACTCACCCCTCTGTTTTGAGAGCGTTAGATAACAAGTATCCACAGCAGACAGCTTCAACTATGTTAGATAACATAAGTCTTTGTCTGACTTTCTTCCAGGCTCTGCTACTCTCCATGCGTGGCAGCAGTTGGCTCAGCCCCACATGGGTGCTCTCCTGGATCATCGGCCTGGCGTGGTCACGAAGGGCTTCCGCAGTTTGGCACACGAGCAGGAACAGGATGACAGCTGGCAGCTGGACCAACCAGAGGAGGACGAAGTGTCTTGTGACTCATTTACTGGTTTTTCAGAAGAGAAGTCTGCTCCCGTGGATCTGCCTCGCTCTACCTCTTCTCCTTTTGTCCTCTGCAACAAAAACGGAGACTTTGAAGACAACAGCCGTTCAGAAACATTACAAGAAGAAATGTGCCTGGCGAAAGAAGCGTTTCAAACAAAAGATGGACTTGTTACAAACGTGCCGCTTTCCTTCTCCAGCCCTTCATCTTCTCCCCTCCCCTCTTCAGAGATGAACGGGCACGTGGACCTCAAGGAGCTCCAGGCCTTACAGCCCACCACTGTGGACCACATGCCTGGTGAGGGAGCACTTAGCTGAGGTCACATTCACCCTCCCTTAAGACCCTAAACATGAGGGTAAAAGGGGAGGGGAGATGGGGGGATAGGAAAGGCATTCACTGGACATCTCACAGCCCCAATGTGACGTCTCTCCCTGCACACACCTGCTCACCCACCCACCCGTCCCACCGACAGCCCCTGTGTTCGCAGCCATCGTATCCCATCAAAACAGAGTACATGTTTTATTTACGATTCACTTCATCTTACATCTTCATGATTTCCTCTCAGCCCACACCTCTTTTTGCTTCACTTTGCTTTATTTCATCCAATCACAGCTGTGTTTCTATCTTCCCTCTCATTGGTGGACTACAGCACAGAATCTCATTTATCAAACACTTCTGCAGAGTTTAAATCTATCGCACTTCCTCTAACAGTCAACACTCAGACTCAGACCAGTGTGCCGCACCAACACTCGGAGGTGCAGAAATGTCCGTATGTGAGCACGTACAAGTACGTATTAGCGCAGCTGTCCAAGTCACATGAACACACAACACCCATGCTGGGCTAAAAGTAGACTTAGGTGGGTCACCTTCAGAAACATATGGTATCTAAGGATTTATTCACGGGTTGCAAACAAGCGATAGCATGTTACTGATTAAATATTGTCAGAAAGCTTTTAGATCGAGTAAGAGCTGAAACCTGAATGACATCAACACACATGAAAGCGTTTTGGCTGTTCATTTAGGAGACTGAAAATATTATTGATCCTTCATGATAGCCTTAAAAAAGCATAAAAGACAATCCACAAAAGGACCCACTATTTCCATGTAGTTGCTTTTAATGTCTAAAAACACCAGCAGAGGGCAGGCGTCAGACTAAATCAGTGGTTCTCAAGTCCAGTCCTCGAGGCCCACTGTCCTGCATGTTTTGGATGTTTCCCTGCTCCAACACACCTGATTCAAATGATCAGCTCGTTATCAAGCTCTGGAGTGACTCAATAACGAGCTGATCATTTGAATCAGGTGTGTTGGAGCAGGGAAACATCCAAAACATGCAGGACAGTGGGCCTCAAGGACTGGACTTGAGAACCACTGGACTAAATGATGAACTGCATGCTGCTGACACAGTATTTTCCCACATTCTTCACAGCAGAGAATCTCATTGGATGATACATTTAGAGAGGAGGGTGTGACTTTTTGTTATGAAACCCTAATATGACATGTACAGGACAAAATCAACAAAGACAACTTTGTCCACTGGGGACGCCAAAAATCATCACAACCCCAAAGCTCCTCACAGGAGTTCAAAATGGGAGAAGTCCATCGAAGATGTGCATTTTATTTCATCAGTCCTGAAAAATGTCCTTACTTGGCCTTTAACCATTTCAAACAGCTTCAAGTATCTCCCTAACGTTTCACAATCCACACAACACAAAGTGAAATCAGTCAAATCAATGCCGGTACAAATCAATGCCAGTACATCTGTTAAAGTTTGTACAGGCACCTAAATATGAATCAAAAAAAGTTAAACTTTCCTTTTAACAACAGACCAAACATGTAAAACTTTTTCAAAATGATGCTAAATTACCCAGAGTGACTTTGCCAGAGGTCAGCCAATCAGAAGTGATGAAATTATTCCCTACTCAGACTTATCTGTTACAGGAACTTAGCAAAAGTCACTTGCACATTTTCGCGTCATTAAAAGAAACACGACCCTCGTGAAAAAAAAATTGCTGTTTGCACCTAACTCTGGGTTCCCTCCATGCACACTTCTCATTTCTGGATCATCTTGCTGATGTATGTTGGTGCTCTTGCTTGGGGCTGACACTATGAACAGGGTCTGTTTTTCCCCCACTGTGTTGTGTGCTGTGATTTTCCACTGCTCTTTGGTTGATGCCCTTTGTCTCAGTACTTACTGCCTCTTCCTCTGCTCTCTTCGTGTCTTCTCTAGTTAATTTCCCTGGGAAGTGTTTGTCCCACACTAGCTCTACATACACCTTCACCACCTGCAGGATTCTCCACCCGTCTGATCAGCTGACCTCAGTGTCCCCAAGGTAAACATCTTAATCCTTCAATTACTATTGCGCTGTTTTATTTCATGTAGAAATATCTATCCAGGGCAGTTGTAATTAGTCTACTCTTTCAACTTTTATTTGTCATCATAATCCATAGACTGTATATAGAATGGACGCCATTTGCCTCCTTGCTGGGTGAAGCCAACATGAGAACAGCACCCTCTGGTGACGGGCTGAAGTATAGGTCATAAATTCTGCCTCCTCCAGCAATCCCTTTGGAGCTGTGGACAAACTTTAGAAATTTATTACACAGAATATACATTTTTCTCCCCCCTGGTTGCGATGTTGACATGTAGTTATTATAAGACTGGTTTGTTGCCAAGTCCTCTTTTTAAAAAGTTATTAGGGGTTCATGTTTTCTATGATTGACACCTGACACAGCCTATGGGCGTACAAAGATTGTGTAGCTCACCCAGGGGATACACTGTTTAAACTGAGTGTCATCACAGCAGCTCTCGGTGACTCTCCTGCCGAATGCGTACAACGCTACTGCGCAATGTTTGTTTCAGGAAGTAGAGAAAAAAACACGGAAATACCAAGAGCTTTTTGGCTTCAAATCTGTATACTGGCGGAAGGTGGAACCAAGTTGTTCATAGTATATACAGTCTATGTGATAATCACAAGATGGCAGATGGAACCATTTCTCTGTTTCTATAACAACTTTGACTGGTAAAGAAGGAGCTGTAGCTAAATTCACGGTGGATGGAAAGTTTTACAGTAAAAAGATTGTAGTTACACATATTATCTAGCAGTTGTGTGTAGTTACTAAATCTTCACCTTACACCGGAAATCACAAAGCTTGGCAAAGTAGGGCAGATTCTAAAATCTGCAGCAGCAAAAGTTCTCAGAAAATCACACAAGTATTGCTTTAGATACAATGTGTAGAGAGCTACCACCTCTGTGCAACAGCACCTGGCTGACCTACTGCTCTCTGATTGGCCTCAGCAGGTCATGTGATGAGGAAGATGAAGTGGAGTTGTATCATGTGGTTGTCATGGCTGGAGTAGAGCAGACCCATTGAGTGTACCCACTGGGGTGCACCTGGGTGAGACAATGCATGGGAGTGTATCCCTAAAGACAGCGGGTGTGTTTGAACGAGAATAACATCATAACAACAACCCTCCACATAGTCAGTGCAGTGTGGACTTTAATGTGTTCTAATGTGTTTCTAATGTTTCCTGTCCATATAGTTTTGAACTAACAACCAAACTTCTGACTCCAATCACTGATCAAATCTAACTGTGAGGATGACGACATGAATAATGATTTAAAAAGTATAAAGTTACGGTCCCCTTCAGTCCAGACTCTTCATCCAGCAAAAGAAGCTGACTCAGATGTTGTCCTATGATTTATATCCCGTACTTAAACCAGCTGATTTGTTATGGAACCACCCCACTTGTAGTTGTAGCACTAGTAGAATTGACCAGTCTTGTTTTGGCAAGCTTTGGTGTATGCAGGAAAAGCAGTCAGTATGGAGAAAGCAAAAGCAGGCAGATCGCACACTAACAAAACGACACCCAGCTCTTATTGTTAGGAATTCAAAGTCTGGACAAATATCTTCATGCAAGTGCAGCAAACAAACTGTTAGATCAGCCATTTTAACTTGAGACACAAATCTGCTCAAAGTGGTCAGGTTTCTTTTTTGAGGTTTATCACTGATGCTGTAAAAGAAGTCTTGGCTGGTTGTCGTTTTTGTAACTGCTTTTGAACAGCTAGCATCAGTTCCAAGAGAAATATATCTCTTCTTGATCTCAGACAATGAAAGAAGAAGGATTTGTTCTGACCTGTAATCACTTTAGATTCAACATCATCAAAACCATTAAGTGCTTGTGAATCTTAGCTGGTGTCTCCCCAAGGTCAGCCGGGGATCCCAGCACTGCAGATAACAGCAGCTGTCTAAACACTGGACCCAAAACTGCTCACAGCAAAGGCGAGGAGGAGATAATGTATGATTTGAATCAACAGATGCTGAATGTCCTTGTGAAAACAGCAGAATTAAAACATATCTCTCAGTCTGATGCCAGCACTGCCTGTTATTGATATTTGTACCTAAACGATCCTAGTGGAGCGTGTAAATCCAATAACTGGAGTAGGTTTAATGTGTATGCACTGCCAAAGCTCTACTTTGAATTAAAAGAAAGGTGATAAAATCTCTCTTGGCAATAACCACTGTGCCAGCACGACTCAGGAACCCGGGGAAGGTCACATCATGACGCCTGAGTCAGCATCATTAGCTGAGTGACGACTTTTTCACTTACTTTCTGCCTCTAAAGCTGTTTGTGTCTCCCAGGGTCTAATGATTAACTCGTGTGGTTTAAAGTTTGATGTTTTAACAAATCTTAGACTGTCAGTATCAAAGTGTTTAGTAGTAAAAGCACTCCAAGTATACTAACTTGATGAGTAATGTCCACTTCTCTCTCTGTCCCTGTATTCCCCACCATGCTCTGTGCACACACACCTTCTTCACCCCCTCTTCTTCTTCATACATCTTCATCCTCTCTCCCATTACTCTTCCACCCACAGCCCAGCCCTCACCTCCTGTCAGAGCAGCTCTTGCACTGGCACCTCCACCCCCAATCCCTCTCCCATCCCCTTCTCTGCCCCTCACACACCTTCCTTCACCCCCTGCTGCACCCCTCGCCGTCTCTCCCTGTCCCTCTCTTTAGCGGAGTCCTCCACCAACCTCAGAGACTCCACCAAGACCACCAGCACTTCTCTGGGCCTGGTGCACCTCCTGCTGGAGCACGGGATATCTGCCTCTGTGTATGATCCCCGCAGCTGGGACCGAGGGTTGGATGCTAGTGGAACGTCAACACCTGTGGGAGGCGTGCCAGCGCAGAGGAGCAGCGACCCACCGGAGGAGACAGACCAGAGACGATTGAAGAAACGTCCAGACACCCTCCTTCTCCTCGAGCCCTCCACCCCGCCCAACTCCCCTCGCTCCAAATCGGCCTTTTCTACCTCCACCCGCCCAGTTTTCCAATTCAGCCCTATGAATGATGAACCGCCTTTTTATGAAACCTTCCTGGCCTCGAAGCCGGCTCGCACCATCCTGAGGGAGGTTCTCGGGGAGGCAGAGAAGGAGCAGACAGATGATGAAAGCCAAGCAGACACTCTAAATCTCCGGCTTGTGGACAAACTAAAAAGTTTCCGCGCTCTCCTCCCTCATGCTGCTTCTGCCGCATCTGGGACTTCTCTCTTAGCCTCTTTCGGCTCTAACGGATTAGGGAATAGCACTCTGGGTGGGGGGCTCCCAGGCTTAAACGCAGGGCTACGGAGAAATCGAAGTTATCCTGCCATGGTAGGGGCGAGTATGGCTATGAAAGACCCAGGAGGTCCTCCCACTACAGAAATACTCATACCACATACGATGCAAGCCCCACAAACCCAACAAGCAGCGCACACACAGGAAATGAGCAAAACACAGACTAATCATACTCTGGTCAAAAAGGCCATTCACATACCACAGACTCTACATGCCCTGGAAACAGTCACCCCACAGACTATAGTACAGAGACACACAAGGCCAGACTGCAGACTGTGGCATTCAACAAGTAATGACCTACAGAGTGATGATGAAAACGGGACATAACAGAAGCTATTCAGTGTACTCACCTCTATTAAACTCATGATGATTCATATATGAAAGATACCAAAACACTCTGCAAGCATACAACTACCACCCCTGAACTGAACAGCTACACTGATGAACAATACAGCATCAGTCTGATCAACATAACCTGAATGAAACGGTGGAGGAGGATGACCCTCTCACGGCTGACACTGTTACACTGTGTTGTTATTCACTGTCAGACCAGACTGCTGATAACAGAGTTTGTTGCCTTCCTTAGTGTCCATTTCAATTGTATATTGTACAAGTTGTATATGCAATATACTGTGTCATTTATATTAAAATATTAAGAGCCCAATCTGGTTACAATTCTGCAGAGCTTTCATGTAACTCCTTTTATTTGTCTCATGAAGAAGTGCACCAATGAAAAAAAACAACAGCTCGTGGGTTTTAAATGAATCACACTGGCCTGAATCGAAGGCGTTTCCCTTTTTTTATCATTATTAATATTAGCATATTTGGACCCCAAACGATGCTTAGCTAATAACTTTCTAATGTGTAGCTGCAACAAGAAAATTAAGGTCGGTCTGTGTCCAAACACAAAAGAGGGATAAGGATATGCTGATCCTCATAAATGATTTGTATATTTTAGCATCTCATTGTTTTTATATTTTTCTTGCAATGTGGGATGATAACCAGATTTACCAAATCTTTTATCCTCGGGGAAGAAATCTGAACTTCTCTTCAGGCCACTGTGATCATTTGAAGCCTTTGGAGTGTTTTTGTCTTGATGCACTGGAGATCATTGGAGTTCGGATGTTGGCATTAGAGATTATTTTCTATGGATGACTCATTTCTACCCTTCAGTCTCTGTATGTGTGTAGATCTGTATTTTGACAAATAATCCAGATTGTGGCTTTAATGCTGTGTCATCCTGCTGTGACTTACTGTACTCATGTGCCTAAAACAGCTAAGAAACTGTATCACATTGGATTTGTCTTTGCGTTTGTTCTGTTTCATGACTTTTTACTTTCAATGCAGTAGAGGGAGTCCATGAGATTAACCGAGCAAATCAATGACTTTGCATCTGAACATGCTAAGGGTCCCCTCTCCACACACCTGCATGTCTGTGGAGACGGGCTCTTTTTTTCATTTGTATGAGTGAGGCATATCCTTTAATTTCAGCCTGCTGGGTCATGTAGCACAAAGAGAGTGATCCAGACCAGGTCCAGATAAAATCGCACATCTGTTGAAACACTGTGACTACAGAAGACGAGAGGCAGAACTGCAGAAAAATACAAAATATGTTTCACACTTGAGAGCAGCTCCAGAAGACAAAGAAATGGAGGGGATTTGATTCATTCACGATTAAGGCATTACTTCTTACTCCACAAAAATTCAGCGGGGAGATGTAAATCAGCATGTCATATCAGTCACCGGCTCTTTTTAACTGCTTATACTCAAAACCAAAGTTGGACCCGAATGGAGAGTAGCTGGGACCATAACATAAAACTAAAGCATGTCAGTTTGCAAGAGTGAGTGATGGTTTAGATGCAACATGATGACTCCACTTAATTTATTGGTTCTGAATAACAATATTGTGTGGGTGGAAAAAGCAACACGGAGGTTGGGAAACATGTTTGTGAATGTAACTGTTCATGGAGTGGCTTGAAAAATCCAAATGTTTCTTTCAGAGCAGGAGACGGAGCTTTTTAACACTGTTTACTGCTGTAACACTGACCCACCTCCAGCATCTGGATGTTTCTATGACATAATGTACACTTTTTTTTTTTTTGTTAAAGTAAGCTGGCTTAATTTGAAAAGGAAGCTAGTAACACATCTGCCAGAGAGGAACAGTTTTATTTTCTCAATCCCATCTTAAATATTGACTTTCAGTGAAAGAAAAAGAAAATGGCTGGCACTGCTGCTAGGAGTGGTTTGTTGAAACTCTCACAATTAAGAGGCTAAACTAGGAATGAGTTATAGGAATAAGAATATATATATATATTTAATAAAAACTTGGATTGTTAGAAGTCAACATATAACTGAATGTTTGTGTTTAAGTGAAGGACTTTTAGAGATTGTATGGATATATATTTTAAAATTTTACACTGATGTTTGTTTTTTTTATGCCTCACAGAAACCTTTCCATTTACAGCAGCAGGTTCAGAGTCACCTGTCTGCAAGCCTACAGTTTATTGATCCTGCCAATTAATTTATGACGCACATCTGGGTATATCAACAATCACACAACAATTTACAGTATTTACAACATTACCAAGTGCTAAGCCCAAGGTGACAAGGAGAGTGAACGTGTGTGTTTGTGTGTTTGTGCGCTTGTTTGTCCGTGTCAACTGAATCATCTGAATGTAAGTTATTACAGTAATCCTGAAGTAGGTTCATATATTTATGTACAATATGTTGATTTATCTCTTTATCAGTTTGTGTTGACCTCAGAAAGGGAAACTATTATTGCATTGTAAATGTATGCATCTTATAGTCTTGCTAACTTTTTCTTATTTTAAAAAGAAACTGTAATAGTAGGACAAAACCAGGAGATTCAGCTGTTTATTCGGAGTAAAGACAGAGAGAAACTTTCTGTTCAGGGACTGAACAGGCTGGACTGTCAATAAAAAATAAATACAAACGGACTGACTTATCGTCTTTCTTTAACACAGGAACAAAAAGCAAAAAGATCACAGGAATTTTCTGCTGATTTCATGCAGCTTTTTTTTTGTCAGGAAATAGTAGTCATAGGTCTTTGTTATATGTTTTAAGTCATATTACTAAGAATCATGATGTAAGGTAATTATAAATGTTTTATCAGTATTTTTTTTTTATTTGTGAAGCTCCAAATAATCGATTTTTTTTAAAGTTTAAGATTAATAAATACACTTGTACCTCTTAATGACCAAAAGGACCATTGGTTGTTGTAATTTTTAAAGCCTGTAACCACTGGGGGGCCAAAATGTCAAACCAGAAAATTTACAAAACCAAAGAAGCAGCTGTTTTTTCTACTTTCCCCACATCGAATCCTTGTAGTGAGTGTTACATTTATTTAGAGGTTTCAGTGATTCGTCTGTCAGAAGACAACAAGATGAGGTTGTTTTGTCAAAAAAACACAACTTTCACATGAACAGGACAAACTCAGCACTGATACAAGAGGTACCGCTTTGTTTCTAAGAGACTTCAAATTTAATACAAGCTGAAAGTTCCTTTCAGGAGCTCTCAACAGAACCCAGTGATTTCAGAAGTGCGCTGTGGCCCCCTTGTGGGTCCTGTAGTTATTGAGAATGACTAGTGAGCTGTCAATTACAGTCACCCTGTAAACTTTTGTCCATTCCTATGAAAGCGTTATAAAGTGAGTGAGCACAACACAAACACGACCATATAGCACCTGAGGGACAGATTCAGCGGACAGGCTTCTGCTGCAACTGGACTGCTCAAGACGTACCTTTGTCGAATACCTCTCTATCACCACATGGTCTATATCCCAGCTTCCTTTTAGCCAAGCAGTTCAGTAATAATGCCCCTCCTTTACTAAACCTCTCTCTTACAGTTATGACAGTGCTTGCTTATGATTAATTATATTCAGCGTTATAATAAACATTAGTGGTCATGCAGTATGTTACAAATGCAAGTGAATCACAGGCCTGTTCATTTGTGCCTGCAGAAGATGGTGGTAGAATACCTCAGAGAGTTGGGTGGGGGTGAGACGTACCCAAGACCAACATTTACTTCTGACCCCGTCATAGTAATCTACTACTTGTGGTGTAGTTGGTTATAACAACACCCACACCTCGCGTGTCTCACGACTCCACTCTAAAATAGATTCTGATTGCACCACTGGTCCCTTAAGCTGTGACTCTCTGTCACCTAAACTATGTGCAAATGGTGTGCTGTTTTTACCCATGAATCATCAGCTGAAGCTCACAGCAATCTTTCCCCCTTTTTCAGGCTGTTGAAGACTTAAATCCTGGAAAATATGCACTACCTGCACTCTTCTTTCATCACCAGTTTGTTGATGATTCACTTTTGGTTTTCCATGCAGCAGATGGTTTCTTTAATCACTTACATTTAGACCCAAAATCATGGTTTTCCAGACTCCTTATTTTGACCCTTTACGTAAGATTTCTAAACCTATTATCTGCTGCAGATATCTTTGGGTTTTCCATAACCTACGACAACCTCACAAGTAAAAGCTTTTTGATATTTTAAAGAGTGTTAATTTTTAACGTCAAAATACTGAAAATACCTACAAGTATTTTCCCACTATTAAACTTGGTTTGCACTTTGACACAGTTAATGTCTCCATTCATTCGTCATACTGAACATAACTCACTCTGGCTCCGCCAGTTCCATCTTGACTCCACAGGGAGGCAGTGTGTCTCAGAGAACAGAGCGGACAGCTGGTGTGAACACAAACCAAAGCCAATTCCGAAGCTGGGAAAGCAAGCAGTGAAGCATTGAAAGATTAAGACATGCATCCAAATGTTGGTTTAGCAAAACCCATATGTGCTCATCCTGGACTCCATATGAAGCTCAGTAGATCCGTCTCCTCCTGGGTGTCTCCTCCATTCTGCATTTGCTGCAGAGTCAGTCTCCACACTTCTTGTTTGCAGGTTAAATCAGAAATATTCGAAATACTATTTATAATCAGATAGAGAGTGGCTACTGTCCTGGACATGATGTTTCAAAGGGCTGTAATTATGTCCTTCTTTTGTAAATCTTATTTAAAGCAGAGTGCTCTAGAATTGGAGAAGATGGATGATCAAGAGGCAACTTAGACAACGGAAACAAGCCATATCTGAATGATGGAGATTAAAAAGACGAGAGGGGACAGATGGGCACTTGCGGCTTGGGATGCTTGTGAGATGGATTTGAATGGTTAGAGGAGGACGGGCAGGTGTGTCTGATCCCAGCAGGGAAATGAGAACATTTGAGTCAGCCACCACTGAAAAGTAATGATGAGCAGGAAGGAGGAAACTTTTAGCGTGTCTTGGTTGGCGTGTCTAGAAACCGTTTGATTAGAATAGAACAATACTGGTCACTCTGTTATGTTGTGTCATTTGTGGAGGAGATCACATGGAGCGAATGATTCAAGCTGCACTTGGTCCATGATGCTCTGAAGGTTATATTGTACACTGAAGAGGAAATATAAAGCTTAACTCACCAAGCAGAATTCACCCCCTGAATAGATTAACAAACCTCCTCCAGACTTTTGTTCTGAGGCAAAAGAAGAAGAGTAAGTCTCCACTGAGCTCTTCTTCTTCGGCTGCTCTGCTTCAAAGCCAAGGTTATTCAAGAGGCTCTCAAGTGCTGAGAGACAAACAGCAGCTCAGAGAGGAGGTCCACTTCAGCGTCGTGGTGTGTGATCATGACCTCAAGAGGTGAAACATGATGAGCTGCAGAGCCAGTGTCCTTCAGTAATGATCCGTCATAGTGTCAAAGCTGGCAGAAAGGGTTTTCTTCTGCTTAATCACCCATATGTTGCCAGAAAACTGAAGCATGCATGAATATGTATGAAACTGACTGTTCTTTTCAGAGAGCGTTGTTGAGTAAACTGTAACCTGGATGGACACTGGAGAACACTTTGTTCACTCAAATCAAACATTGACTTTTAATACAGACCCACATCATTACAAAAGCTGTTTGAGGAAACTTTATATATTCAATCATTTCATTTTAGATACAACATCAAAACACTAACCTGAAACTGTTTTAGCATCAATTTAAGATGTACTATATGCTAACTGCTGCCAACTCAACCAATCAGTCCATCTCTAGACTGCACTATTTCAAATTCTTAAGAATAAGAATAACTTTATTTATCCCATGGGGAAATTCAATTACAATTTTCAATTTCAGTCCACCATGAGCAAACACTTGGCAACAACGACAAAGAAAAAAAACTAATTTTAACAGGCAGAAGCTGTGAGTAAGACCAGACTGATGTTCTTGAGCAGCCATCTGCTGCGTGTAAAACAAACTTAACGCTACTGCCATAACCCCCTCTTCCAGAGAGACAGGAAGGGGCGTGGCTTGCACTATAGGAGGCGGCACACAGAAACAGCGTGCTCCCGGGAGAGCTCACTAGAGAGAGTTTTCTGGCTGGCTAAAGTCCAGGAAAATAACTGTGTTTTTAGACGACAAACTTTAAATTGACTGTTCTGGGGCCTCTGAGACCTATGTGAACCTGCTCAGAGGGAGTATAATATGGGACCTTTAAAGCATATCACCTCCTTTATTTAAGTGTGATCAAAGTTATTTTGAAAAGTTTTATCTGGCCTCTGTGTTTTCAGCCCTTCTCATCATATTATTAAAGCTACGTCAATACTGACTTTACTGGATTGATTTGACCACCTCTGCAGTCAACAAAGGGAATTTCTTTTAGGCCAGATGATGTATTTCAGGAGAATTCATTTCTGTGTGTGAGATATCTGATTTGTTTTTTTTGACAGACATCAGATGTTTGACGGCGGTTCAAAGCTGTGAAACAAATTCTGCCTCTGGACGCTTACTTGATCGATCCTCTCAGGCTTAATCTTCCTCTTTGTAACCAACACACACACACACTATACAAACAAACACACACACACAGGCGCAGACAGAGATCAGCTTCAGGGTTTTAAGTGCAGTCATTAGAGGTTTACTTGTCCAGTGTAAATAAATGAAGCATATGTCCTCTGGACAAACGGAAGTTATAAATCTGTGAAAGTGAACATTTGAGATACACGGTGATATTGTAAGTGAAACTAATGATCCAGTGCAGATGCAAAGTTCAGTCTTCGATATCCTGCAGCATTACTGACAGTCACCATCAGTAGAACAAAGATTATTTAATACTGTCATTCACAGTTCAGTCCCATTTGTTCATGTGCTGATGATCAATTTCAACCTTGGCGAAAAAATGAATAGAGAATTTATGGCTTAATGACAGAGTGCTGGAACGGTGTGGTTTGAAAAGAATGTGAGTTTTTATTTCCTGTTCCTGACTATAGAATTTGGAAATAACAATTTTCAGTCTATTCAACCTCATTTCAATGACCAAGGTCCTTTTTAATTACACATTTTACAAGCTTATTGGTCATTTCTTCCTCTTTTTTTGAATTTGTGCTCTTTTGCAAATTCTAAAATAATTTCAGGTCATTGAAATATCTTTACACAATAGACAACTTTGAAAAAAGACGCAGAATTAAAGTCTCCGCTCTAAGGCTTTCAGACTCTCCGCCTGACTTCTACGAAGAAAACAGATCCAGAGAAAACACAGAAACTCAGTAATCCCTGCACAGCCTGACTAAATGTTTATCAGTGACTTTGGCTGCTTTCAGTCTGACTCATGAAATGAAATATCTGACTCTCTGACAATAAACTCTGAGACAGTTCGTGACTTTTAGAACTTAACTTCTGCAGTAGGTTTGCTAAAAAGCATACTCTACTGTTACTACTATGAAGCACCATAGGGTCAATAATACTTTCAGAAAAAGCCTCTCATCACTCTTCTTCATATTGCATATTCAGATGACATTAGATCTCGGGTTAATTAACCTCACTAAGAGCCCCTGTCACATTTATATTATTCATATATTCATGTTCTGGCACAGTATGGACATGAATCTTTCATTTTTCTCTCTGTGAGTTTACTGC